TTCTCACGAATACTTTACAATGGCGTTGATGATTTTATATCAGCAAGTCCTGCAGCAATTTCTCTCTTCTTTGTATCGGGTATCTTTTCAGTCCCAGCCTCGATCTCGTTTAACATGGCTATGAACTTTTGAGGGCGGATCATAGCAACTTCTGTGGCGTGCATGCCAGAGAATTTCTGGGGTAACATGCCTCTGGCTGTATCCTCTAATAGTTTATCAAAATGAGCGCTGGTTGACACCAACGTCGGTGTTGTTATCGAGGTGGTGATAGGGTCTCCCAATTTCAGATATTGAACTCGCATTGATCCATCCTCAAACGTACGATAAATACGTGTCATAGGTTCGTTCCCAACAATACTACATCCGACACTATAGATCCGACTGGTATAATTATAAAACTCTTCAAATTTGATCTGTGATAAAGTAAATTGATGTTTCGCCTTCATTTTAACACTATATAACCCACAACCACAACATTTTTTTTGTTTTGTTTTGTTTAGATGGACAACACATGCACATTTTTTTTTTTTTTTAAAAAAAAAAAAAAACTTGGTTACCTGCGAATTGATTTTTTGTCATAATCAAAGAATAAAAGCATAAACCTTTGTGTCACGTTTGAAAATGCCGTTAGTCTCCCTACATTAAAAAAAGAATAAGTACACTGTTTTAGAAAAGATAACATTCTTTACATTGATCGCCATCCAAATGATCCAAAAATAACTCCGTGAGTGGTCCGTCCGTTATATGATGAAAGCATGTCAATAAGGGTGTATCGTTTAGTATATTCATCAGCACAATCGATTTTTCAGTGGCATAGCAGTAAAGCTCTCCTGTTGCCTTAAACGCCACTATCGCTTCTTTGCTTTCTACCAACGTCTTTTTCACAATCGCTACCTTCTAAAATAAAAGGGAGGGTTTTTTTTTATTTAAAATCGAAGTTAAAAAAAAGAGGGGGGGGGGCGATAGAACACTTACTCGAAACGTGTACAATTTAATGGATTGAGGAGATACAATATAAACGCTGGTTTGCATGATACCAAACGAACAAGATCTCCATCTTGCCTTATACGATGTTCCTACTGGCATAGGCTCCTTGTCATCATACTGCGTCCTAAAAAGATTAGAGGGTTGAGGTTTTTTTTTTTTTTTTTTGTCACGCTCTCTTACAGACACACGCTGTTATAATTTACCTGTGATTTAAGCCATCCATTAACGCCATATACCCGTTATTCGTCACATATACATAATTGTATTCGGAAAACGGACTGAGCTCAGCATGGACAGGCATGGAATAGTCTACGGCTGAACGAATACGCGATAATTGTGGAAACTTGATTTCATCCACTATGGCAATTTCTTTACCCTTCATCTTGAATACATGTATACTACTGGTCGTACGCACAAGAAATATCACTAGTTCCTTCGTGCATAATGGGGACTGATGGATCTGTCGAATCGGGTATCGTAAATCCACAGCATGTTGAATCGTATTTTTACTTTCCATGTTTGATGCTATCACTATTTTTTTTCAAAAAAAAAAAAAAAAAAAAAAAAAAAAATCAGTCTATGTGTGTATGTATGTGTGCATATCCTACATATGTGTGTTACCTAAACTTGACAGCGAAGGTCCTGCACTAAATACCACACATTCACAATCCATCCATTCTGTCACCATCAATGAATTCCCCTTTAACGGATCATACTGTTCATATTCTCGGTTCTTTTTCATGTCTTTCTTTACCAATTTCTCCACCCATGATTCCACACCTAAGCCGTAATAAAGTTCAGGCGCACTATAATATATATGTTGTACCTGTCCCAAGGGAATTGTGAGCAGCATAATAAAAAAATATATAAATGAAAAAAAAAAAGAGAGAATTACCTCTCGCCTTAATGGAATGCCTTTTTATATGGTGTGGGTTGAAAGTCGTTTGTTCGTGGTATGACGCTGTGTTCTTCCAAGAGTTGTTTATCTATAAAAGAAAGAGGGTTCCGTTGGCTTTTTTTTTTTTCGTGAGGTGATTGCAAACATAGAGACTACTCACGTTGTTCTTCTTTTGTGAAAAGTTCCACCGGTAAACCGTCATCGACAATGACTTGAAAGGGATCGGTGGAAACTGCTGGTAATTCACCCAAGTCTGTTATATCTGTCATGGTCTGTGTTGCTATAGTAAAAAGGGTTTTAGGCTCCAAAAAGAAAAAAAAAATTAAATTAAAAGAGAGTGACGTTCATATTTGACAGAGAGAGAGAGTGTGTGTAGCTTTTTTACACATGAGTGGAGTTACAAATATTTTGTTTGATTTTTTAAAAAAAATGTACTGATGCCAAATCTGTCAAATGAAAAAACTAAAGCAAACTCACATATACACAAAGGAAAATTAAATGACATCAATTGAAATACCTTATAAATTAACTAGTGTAAAAACGGCTTTTATTTGTGATAGATAAGTATGGGTCGACGTCAAGACGAAATAATATTCAAGTTGTAACGCTCTTCGACGTACAGCTGATTACTCCATCAGTGAATTTCCTGTTATAATATATTGGGTTGAGTCTTTCGAATGTAATAAATAAAATACTGCTACTAAATGTAAATAAAACCTGAATGATCCGAAAAGTCCAATAAACTAGAGCAAATCACTTCTCTTCCGCTTATGACTCGCCTAGTTCGAGTTCCTTTTAAAGAATTATTTCTAATCCTTATCAAATAACCGTAAATGACGCCGCCATTGCTTGACTGAGTAAAAAAGTTAGTGGTGAAATTTAATAACAGTTTAGCAAATCGATGACCCTTTGACTTCATTCCAGAAATAAACTTTCTATTGAATATATTTTAAATCAACAAGAACCTGAGTACATTATATATCGATTAATTAAAGCTTAAACTTTGACGGTAATTTCCCTCCTATTGTAGTTCCATTCAATTCTAATGGCCAATTTGTTTTTGTATTAATCGACAAATTAAATCTTGTCCATCGAAATCTATTAAAGCTCACAGCTGAACTTTATTAACGGAGGGAGGCGCATCAAGCTAAAAATGGGTTTTTTCGGAGGAGTTTTAAATGTGTCTCTTTACCCCCTTATTATTTGGGAGATATATAAAGGGAACTTCACTTTCTTCTCTCTTTCTCTCTTTCTTCACAAAACAAAACCACTCTCTTTTTCTTGTAATTTATAATGAAACTCACGCTTGCTTCCATCATGTTATGTATCTCGTTTTTATTGAGCCAGTCAAGTAACGCAACGCCTATTTCAGAAAATTCAATGGGTTGTATGATAAGATCGAATACATGGGATCCATACTGCAAGAAACCATAAACATATATTTCTTTCAATTTTGCTATATTATATCAATAAATAAAAACCTTCTTCTTTTTTATGCTTGCATTTAATTCTTTTATCGCTCCAATTTAAAGTGATATCCCCCTTTCTTTTTTTTTTTCGTCGCAGTAACAATAGGTTTGTCATTGGTGAATAAACTCCAAAAAGAAAAGAAAAAGTTATCCAATTGTATGAATACGCCCGAGTGCTGCCTTTCATGCATGAGTGCATCTTTTGTGTTACACGCATACATTCTGAATCACTCTTGGAGTCTAGACGACGACATACTCCTTCTTCTCCCCCCAAAAAAAAAGAGTGTTCTTCTCCTTGGTCTTTTTTTGCGCCTATTTTAAACAAAATTGGCATCTTCCGTTTGGTTCATGATAGTCCACGAGTAACTTCTCCTTAGAGTCACTTGTTTAAAATAAATGTTTTCTAAAGGAGATGTAAACACATACGCACCATTGACATCTTAAAACGGGGGAAATGGGAAATCTTGCTATTTATTGTTTTTTTTTTAATAGAAACAAAAAATTTCGAGGGATAATGACAACCCATATGCAAACCTTTAATAATATGTCGGTTGACTATCCTTGGGAATGAAACAAGCACGGACTTAAAAGCCTGCACTGGAATATATACCATCCTTATCAATTGAAAACTCTTGGACAACGCTTCTTTGCGGATGCTTTTCTCCTCCCCGAGTCATTGCCATGTGACCCTCCTTCATGGTTTGTGGGTTAGTCAACATGAAGATGAAACGTTTTATGCTGCATCAATAACCACCGAAATAGATATTTGCTTTTGGCGTGATATATTTATAGATATTTTTGTTAAATTATACGATGGAGTTCTTCTTTTTTTTTTTTTTATCATTATTATCGGCCTTGTATCTAAAATAGATGTTGTTCCCGTTATTCCTATATTTGTCAATGTACATCCACTGCCAATTTCGAACGGATCAACTTGGATGATTGGAATTTCTCGATGGGGAGTATAGTAACGCGTCATCTTACAATGCTGGAATTAGATATTCAGGAGAACAAAAAAAAATCCAATGAAAATGTCCAAAGCTTATATGACAATAGTGTAACAAATAAACAGGCCGCAATAAACAAAACAAAAGAGGGGGTCCATCGTACACATGTAAAAATTCCCAACGTTAGTTGTTTCATGCTGTAATTAAAAAAAAAAGAAGGAATCCTTTCATTGCGTGATTTTTGTCATATATATATATATATCAAAAGACTTTAGACAAGTGCCCTGAATAGTAAATAATGCAATTTAGATGAAAGCATCTAAAATGGTTTAGTTTAATATAATTAAGGATACCAATCAAAACGGAAAACTGAAATAAAATAAATGCAGCCATATGTCGAGATTTTTATATATGCATTTTTATGGATAAGACCTAATGGCTACGCAAAATCGCCTTTCTATTTATGCTTTTTTAAATATATTAATAAATATGTTCATATAAAAGCTTTATCTACAGCAACAACAGCACCATTTCCACTCTATCATCATAATTAAACATAATCATACACTTCCACCACATATTCCTTCTCATCACCTTTAGTTACTAAATCAGCATACTCATCAACAACACTTGGAGGTTCAGTACTACTAGATTGAGCGTGGGTCAGATGGTAATTGTTAAACTCTTTTCATCTTATAGTCTCTTCCACAGCACGTTGAATAAATACACGGGAATCCAGGTGTGGAACTCAAATATATTTTATCTTGCTTGATATGGTGATCCCGAGATGATTCTTCAGAGCTGTCATTCCACTCTTTACTATCACCATATAAAGTCAGGAAGTTGTTATTGGGTACAACATTAGCATCACCTTTATCTTCAGTATTGGACTTTTAAGGCTGCCGAGTTTCACTATAAAATTAAAAAATCCTCTATTCTCATTCCAAATACCATTAAAATAATACTTGCTCAAAAATATAGGTCTTTACTTGTAAGGAGAATACATTGAGTGGTCCAGTTTATATATCCATCTCTGCTTATTTTTTGTAGCACCCTATGACTTTCTTTATCTTTGTTGTTGTTGCCCTTTTTTCAATACATTGGGTCGGAAATCGAAAAAACTATCATGCAAAATATGCTATCCAGATTATCATGGAAAAGAACGTCATGTCCTCTGTCAAAAAAGTTAAATGCCAACTAGGGACACTTCAATGCCTCACTGAAATTGGTTTAAACCGAAAAAAAAACAATATTTTAAACCCTATCTACGACAACTGAAAGCGCAATTGTTGATGACTGACGAGGAAATAAAATCGTAAAGGGACAGTCATGGCATCACCTTTTTCTGGTAGTCGTCCGATTTATTTTCACTACGAATCCAGTACGAATCACCTGTTTGTTTACAATAGCCTTCAATTCTTGACTACAATATTTGTCATTTACCAGTCGATAAACATGTTTACAGCTCCATATAAGACAGCATAAGGCCCTCTCTCTATTTGAACCTATCACGTGATAGATAAAGGGTGCTTGTATGTAGGTGACACAGTAAAGCGAGCCAAAAAAAACAAAAATAAAAAGAACTCCGCTAGTTCCTTGTACTTGTTACCCTTCTCTTCATTAGAAAAATGCAGACCATTGGACCAGCAGGTATAATTAAAAAATAAATAAGAGTAATGCCCCAGAATTACAAAAGGTCTAAAACGATTGCAACGAAAAAAAAAAAACGGCCAGGCTTTTATAATGTGCCTGTAACAAAGTTCCTGGTTTTATGCGTAGGCTGCTGCTCTATTTTGGTTGCCATACTTAACCTAAAGCAGTACTCTCATTTGCAATTAACGCCACACCTTATAGTTCATCATCAAGTTAAGACCTCTCTTTAATAATTTCGAGTTTTTAATGACCCATGGGAACTGACCTTCTTTACTTGTATAGTTCTGGCGATTACTGACCTCTCATTTCATATTTGCTAATTCAGGTGATGTGTTTTTCGGTTCTATATTACTGTACACCATGCGTGTCATTGAAAGGCAGTATGGAAGTGCAAAGTATATGGTAAAATAAATATAAAACTTTACCCCTTCTCTCGTAAACCTCGTTTCTAATATCAAATATGAATTAGGCCTTTCTTTTCATTACCACCTTAATATCCACACTATTCGAACTAGGTGCTCTGGCGTTCGGTGCTCGCATTGGATTAAAAAGCATACCAGGCGGACCGTAAGATCATACACGCACCCAAAATTATTCACAACCGACAACATAACCTTTACTTTGTTATAGTTTCGCACTTTTATTCGCTGTCTTATATCAATACCATCGCCTTATCCCAGTAACATATCGATTTCGAGTGTTTGGTATAACAATGAACGATAAATTATTCTTGTACATCTTGGCCTTCCAAGTAAAGATATATATATATATATATATATAAAACAACCTTGTTCCCCATTACTCAATTGTTTTTACCTCCCATAGCTTGCCGTATCTCAGTCATTGCAAACGATCACACCAGCTCTATGTGGAATTCTATCAGGCGCTTTATACAGAACCGACATTGCAAATATCAAACAATGGAGATTCCCGTCCATCCTCCAAAAGTTCACAATACAATTTATAAAACCGTATCTCGTCTCTCCTCCCATTGCTAGATCCTCTTCTACCACACCGAATCAACGTCCTATCGTGACTGGAATATCGCCTGTGGATAACATGATGACAACTGGCTTAAGAAACCGAAGAGCAACCAATTCCACCACCAACAGTACTAATAGTAGGCCGGAAACACCTGCACCCGTATCCGTCGCTGCAGAAGGTACATCCTCCGTCAGGGTAAGTTTCTAATAAATGAAGAGTAAATTATTTAACAGCGCCTAAATTTAAATATATATATAAAAAAAAGGATTACTTTGATACAATCACAGGTAGAGATGTGGCGGGATCAGAACTGGAACCACCTTCGCCTGAACATACCAGAGTTTTGGTAGTCATGTTTCCGGATCATCCAAGAGAGACAATCACAAGAGCGCTATCATCAGCGCATAACGATTTAAACAGAGCAGTTGAAATCATGTTGAGTACACCGTCGCCTGCACACGCTACTGGAAGTAGTACGACGAGACCCTCAGAATAATAATACAGCTTATCCTTTCCCCCGTGCATGATAAAAAAAAACACCCCTTTCTCACTCCTTTGTTTCCTTTATAAATTGTAGACGACAAAATAAAAATTAACTAGCCTAAACACGTTGTTGCCCTGCTTGCTATGTCAATGTTTATCGCGGAAATATTCATTAACTTTGTTGAACACTCGTGTTTAATAGGTCGTCTCTTATTTAAGTGCCAGATATGAGTCTATCCAAAGTTACTTCAACCTCTTTCCTAGAAAGAAATAAAACACGCTAGAGAGCAATCATACAATCATGGAAAATTACAAGTTATTTTCTAATAAATTGATTTGCTATAACCAGCTCTTCATATTGCTTGACTTCAAAGACAATGGTACTATTGTTTATCCACTGGTGCTTTATATACTCGGGAAAGTATGATTCAGACCTTTACCCTATGAGTTTTTTTTTTTCTCAAGTACATGGAGAGAATGAAGAATTCCATTCAGCTTTTTTTTTTTTTTTTGGCTAACAATGGTTGAACCTCTTTAGACAACAAGAGGGTCAAAGTAAATTATGGCCAATAATATGCTTTTCTCACGCCAAAATATACGATGCGTACCCAGACATATGTGTAAATAACGCGTCTGATAATCTCCAGAGTAGCACTATATAACTGAGTTTCTTTTTAGCATAGGCATACAAGTAAAAGGCACCCATTTCATAGTCACCCAATTACTGCTTCAATGGTGTTAAAGCAAAGTTTTCGAATTAAAGGCAGAAATTCTTTTCTCGACTTCGGTTGTATTGACTGCTTTACTAATAGTTGAATAACAACTACATTACAATACTGCGTTTATAAATTCAGTTGGTTTTCATGGCAACTTTCCTCTTGAGGTTATAATTAAAGCATGCTATAAAGTGAAAGGGGTTTGCCTTCACGTCCATGTTTAATAATCCAATAAATACACTGAGTTATATGGGTTTAATTTTGAAAAGGAAAAAAAAAAGCTGGGCGTTGGCGGGGCCATTTAATGAGATGTACAAGTTGGCAAAGCTAGAATCGATTAAAATATAAGCCAATAGAAAGTCAAGGATAATTTTGGCATGATTTTTCATTTTCATTAGATATAAGTGTAATTGAGAGTTTTTTTTTTTCATTTTCATTAGATATAAGTATAATTGAGAGTTTTTTTTTCATTTTCATTAAAGAATAGGTTGAGCCCAGGGTAGCCACTCCCAGACCTGTTCCCCCCTATTACCGGCCCTCCAGGCTCGAGGTCTGGTACACTATGCTCACAAATTGAAACTGGCCTTGCCCCAACTTGATCACACTGCCTTCATATGAAAATGCCGACAACGCTTCGCAGACGCACGATTGGTAACGCTAGCACTCCTCCCTTCAGGCGTGCAATAGAGTGAAGAGAAAAAAAAAAGGACGTAGTCGAGAAAAATGGGCCGTATTTATACCTTTTTTTCACGATATTTTTAGTTGCGCAGCAATCATGCAAACTCACTCTGAGTTTTAACATGAGCAGTCCCGGACTGCTTTTCTGGAGAATTCTAAAAAAAAAAAGTCACTACGAGTACCACCAAATGAAAATGCGCAGCACTATTGATTTTTTCGTGCAGCATTATTTTGTTCGCGCCATGGTTTTTTAAAAGACCAACTCTATTCAGTTGAATCCCTCACTCTTCATTTGTTTTCTACGCACCACTACACTTAAGGAATTGTACAAATCGAAGTGATTTACCGTCATATAACAAGGGAACACAGCTTTTCAAAAAAAAAAATTGGGAACTTGTCAAGTAGAACAATCGTATAATTAGACTGTATTTGGACGGTTGGGAATCAAACCCTATTTCACTCTATTTACAAAGTAAGAAGCGCAGTCTATTAGCAAAAGGAGCTGTCAAGCAGGTGAATTTCTTCTCGGGATTGAGGTGAAGTCATGTTAACGAAAAGCTTCGCCATTTTTACGCATAAGTATACAACTCCCTTAATCTACGATAAGGAAGAATCAGGACACAAATGACTGTTTACACACGAACAACAAGATACTCCTGTCATTCCCCAAGAAGGCTTGTATTGTACTGAAATCCAATTACACAAAGGGTTTCATATATTTAGACATTTGAACAAGTTCATGATTTAAAAGATGTAGTGACGACAATTGGGACGGAGGATGTGGTTTCGAATGCATAATTAGTACGTTCAAGATCAATATGATGAGGATTGAGTCGAGTAAAAACAGGATCTATGCCCACGTAAAATATATTTAAGAGGATGATACCGACCATTGTGATGGCATGAGATCGGGAATAATTGACAAAGCTAAACGTCAATCTCACACTGGAAAAGGCAATACTACCCAGAGACCTTTATAAATGGGGATGAGTGATGTCAATATAGGATATACAGCCTATATCGAGTTCTTCACTATGAGTATGAATGTAATTAAACTGGATATTGCGGCGGTAGGAATATCTCATCTTGATGGATCCTTTACTCTCCAGGAGCAGACACATCATAAAACCTCAATTAGCATGATGAGGACTAAACTACATCCATAAAAGAAATCCTACTTTAAGAAACCAAAGGCAACGATGTACTTATGTCGTTCTTAATAAAAAAAAAAATAGTAAAAATAAAATGGACGGAAATACAGATGCTCATGCTACGGCCAACCATTGATGTGATAGTAGAATTACACGGCATAGATCCACACTTTATTTCAATATTTATCTTTATCACGCTCTAATTTTTTCAAGTATTTACCGATTACTTCATTTATCAGTTTTGTCTAGTCATTATAATGCATTGACAGAAAACTTTCCAGTACTGAAATGGGTAAGTGTCATGAATAGCAAACCTTGTTTTCTCACTATTGTACATGGAATTGAGTGCTCAACGTAGTAGAAATGTGACGAGACAAGAAGTATCAAATGACATTGTCCTCAAAAAATTTCGCATGCCGAAAGGTATAATGATGAAGTTTAGGTTTCTGTGGCGGATGGTTGTCCCTTTTTCTTATTCTTTTTTTTTAAAGAATATGGCAAACATGAAAGATACAATAAATAAGGTGAATTAGAATCATTGTTATATGAAATGATTTTAACTAGCATAGTGTGTATGTCTTGCGTTTTTATAAGTCGTTGGAATCCACGGTATTTTCTTCACTTGATGATTTGTACTTTGATATTTTATTTGAATTTACCCAAAAGAATTTACGATCACACATTGATACATCTATGGAAAAAAAGTATCATCTTGGAAGAAATAACTTTCTATATTGGGCTTTGATCACAGGGTCATAAAGTATGTATTTGTGAGATTCCGTGATGACACAAAAAAAGATGGTTTTGGGGAATTCAGGAACCCCGCTAAAAATACGACTGATTTTCTGAAATTAACAGATCTGATGATTAAAACAAAGCCAAGGAATTGAATAGAACACAATCCTGGCAAAAAGCTTTCTTTCCCCTCTAATGTCATATGGAAGAGGAGTAGCAAGGATGTATGGTGCGCGTAGTTTCTCGGATCAAGGTAAACTTTCTTAACTGCAAGTTAATTTAAGAAAAAGGAGGTGAAGGAAGGTCGCACCAAAATGGGAGTAAAATAACAATAAGATTTTTTTTTTTTTCTGTTTCTTCTCAGTTTGTTGTTATTCTTTTCTTGTTTTTGAGAATGTCCATGCCGCACGACTTTAATGCTACGGCAGGTTTAGAAGTATTTGGTACTCCTGTCCTCAAGAAGAACAAGGGAATTATTTCTCGTATGAAGAGATCACTTTCTTCCAGTGGTCGACCTCCCAGTATTCCGTTAAAGTAAAGGACGCAAGAAAAAAAAAGAAAAAAAAAAAAAAGAGAAAGCATCAAGCTCATCTGTGCATTGTGTTTTTATGATAGATTCCCAAGCGAAAGTGATGGAAGTCAACAAAGTGTGAGTTCAATAACGAGTCATTCGTCTAGTCCAACGCCTTCGGGTACTTATTTCAGGGCTTCACCTACCACGCATTTAAGCTATGAAACGTTTTCCTCGTCGTCTACTTCCAGCTTATCGATTCATTCGTTTCCTACGGTACCCCAAAGACCAACAAGTAATAAAGTATATAAACACACATATGAAAAAAAAAAAATGCCCTTAATATTTCTATCATCACATCCCTCCTAATTTTATTATAATTGTATGTAGAAAAGAAACCGATAACAATGAATACAATCTCAAAAGAGAAATTACAGGCGAAAAGTATGTTTGAAAGTCGATTTATTCAGAATGAAGAGGTATCACTCACAAAGTTAATCTCAATCGAGAGTAACAAGGCGACACAAGTAGCTAAAGATACGCAACGTCGTGCACCTGCACCCGCCATGTATTGGTCCTGTCCTCAAATCTATGGTGATATACCTCCCAAGATCCGAGCCCATGCCAGTGTCGTATTGGGTGATAAAATGTTTGTATTCGGTGGTACGAGTAAAACACTGTGCTCGGACACCCTGTATGTCCTAGAATTAGGTATTTCCCACACACACACACACACACACAGGAGAAAATATAGACGACTAAACAAATTATCCTGTGTAGACACATTTACATGGTATGTCCCAATGGTATTTGGAACAGCTCCTCCTCCTTGCCGAGCCCATTGCTTATGTGCAGATAATACGCTAGGTAAAATATATTTATTTGGTGGAGGCGATGGACAGAAATATCACAATCATCTGTACATTTTGGATACGAGTACAATGAATTGGACCCGCCCTAAAACAACGGGAGAAAAGCCATCTGAACGTCGAGCACATGTGACAGCCTTATGGAAAGATTGGCTCTATGTATTTGGAGGTGGGAATGGGACAAGAGCACTAAATGATGTTTATCGATTGAATCTAAAGACAAGAGAATGGGAGTCTGTGCACCCTACCGGAATTCAACCCATTTCGAGAGGTTATCATACGGGAACACTTGTTGGTAACAAATGGATCATCTTTGGTGGCTCAGACGGGAAAGAATGCTTTGGTGGCATTCATGTGTTAGATTTGGAAACAGAGTGTTGGTTTCCTGTACAATTGGATCCACAGATGCCTCGACTATCACATTCAGCAATTTGTGTAGGCTCTTTTCTATTTGTTTTTGCAGGACATGATGGAGCCAAGTACTGTAATGATCTACTCATGTTAAATCTAGTAAATATGACTTGGGAGACTAAAGTGGTATATGGACAGGCACCAACACCGCGTGGCTATCATACCACTGTTCTCTATGATAGCCGTATCTACTTGTTTGGTGGTTATAATGGCACAAGTTTCTCTAGCGATGTCTATATCCTTGATCTATCGTCTTATGCTTACTTGCCTCAAATTATGAACTTTGAAATTCTTCATTAAAACTCCCTTCATTTTTATTATTTTTCCCCCGTTCTTTTCTTTATCTTTAAAAATGTTTCGCTTTGATTCCTTTAAAAAGACAGCAACTGTCAATAATGTAGATAACTCCAACGACCCTTTGCATAATCAACAGCAAGATACGACACAATCTTTCTTACAGCGCATAACAAATGCAGATACGATTTTAGGCGTCAACAAGCAACGACCTACACTGTCCAAAAGCACCTCGAGTGCCAATATGAGTTCGTTTTCTATACCCATGCCAACGAATTCTTGGGGAATGTTGGCTTTAGCAAGACTGCAGGATGAACAAGATGGAGAATTAGATGATGTCGTCCATCTTCTCTTAAACAAGGACAAGGTCAGTAGTTGCTTTTTGGGTTATTTTTATCTTCAAAAATAAACTGACATGTTCTTTTGAGTGTAGGCTTTACTATTACTACCAGTGTCTTCACCATCTCTTTCTTCTACCCTCATTGACCGTGATTTTATCTTGGACCATGTAATTGTCTACAAGAATAATCAAGCCGACACAAACCAAGTGATTTCACTTAGTGGTATACGTGGTCTGTTCCAAAAGTAAGGAGCCATAACACCTCTCCTTGTGTGTATATTTATAAACTTTTTTTTTTATATATAGGGACCAGTTTGTTGCTTTGGGCCTCTTGTCTTCAGAGAAAGAGATTTCGAGTTTAATGACAGACACGACGACAAAAAAGTAAGCCCTAAAAAGAAAAAGAAAAAGAAAATGGGGGTCTTAGTGCATATCAATTTTAAAACTTTGAACCATTGTAGATCGCTCTTTGACACGTTTAATTTGGATCCTTCTTCGATTACAGCGGATCACCCCAAGTACAATATTCTGGCTAGTCATGTGCAAGTGCCGCTTCGAAATGAACAATCGATTACAGTGATGCTCATCCAACGTCCAGTTTCGAAAAAGGATGTGACAGAATGGATGGAAACCAAAGCGCAAAACATGAAATCTATGCAGAGTCCGTTACGAGATGCGTGTAGTGGCAAAGTGGATGATTTTATCAAGAATTACAAGAAGCATCCACCACGAAGTATGCAAATGGCCAGTAACAAAATATTGGATTTCCTGGATGATTTACAGCAACAAGAAGAAGAGATGGGAGTAGAAAGGTTGGATCGTATCGAAACGTTTATTTGTAATCAATTGTATGAGCAATTATTTACCAATGCGGATGGAGATGAAGCGATGCAGGATGAAGCACTGGAATCACGAATTGCGGCTCTTAATTTGTTGGATTTGAATCTCCAACATTTAGGCGTATTATTACCAGAACCGGATGATATAGAGACAATGAATGGGGTGATTAAATTAGCGGGCAGTCAATTACAGCAATTAAACACCATCATGGGGGCTAAAGAGAAATTGGATGCGTTAATCAAGACACATGAGATTATTGTGGAAGCTATTGAAGAATTTGCAAAAAGAAATCAAGACAAACAGACCACGTTGGATAAAGATGCAGAAGTGGTACAGGAAATGAAGCAAGCCATGTCTACTGTAGAAGAACCTAGCGAAATTAGTAGTGCCAGTGCGGATGTGCTGTTACCCATCTTGATATTCACCATTGTCAAATCCAACCCTACTAATTTCGTATCTAATTTAAAGTTTATACAACGCTATCGAAGACCGGAGCAATTAACTGGACAGGCTAGTTATTGCTTGACCAATATGGTTAGTGCTTTTTGTTGACAAATGTTAAAAAATTATTGATTTTAGTTTATTTATTCCAAAAGATGGCAGCAGTTTCGTTTTTGGAAACAACTAATTTGGTCGGATTGGGTCTGTCCGCTGACAGAGTGTTCAGGTAAAATAACAATCATGATATAGTAGTAATGGTGTGTGAATTTAAAATATTCGAAACAAAAAAGTCATGTTACAGATTTGAATGCGACCAAGTTAATTGAACCCGTGAAGCAACAGGGCGGGTTAAAGATTATGTCGGACGTTGTGGATGGATCCTACCGAGTGTTTGATGGATTGGGTAAATTCTGGCAGAGAAATACACAAGAATTGGAAAACAACAAGACGGTATCTGGTATCGTGGATCGAGTCCGTAAAGTAGGTGACACCGTTTTGATTAAGGAAGGATTGAGTGAATTGAAGGAAATGACTACAAACAAACCTTCTTCCATTCACTCGGACACCTCTTCCTTGCCTAGTTTTATGGAGGGTAGACTCAATAAATCCAAAGTAAGTTTTCTTCTTCTTTGGGAGGATATAAAGCTAATTTAATTTTTAATATTAGGCGACGCCAGTGGATGGGCCAATAAATAAATTTTTGGAAATGAAATCAGTGGATGAATTAACACTAGGCGAAGTCACTGTTTTATTAGCGGATTATAAGCGATTAGCTGCCATCATTAAACAAGCAGGCCTTGCATAGAGGAGTTTAGCCCATGATGTCAGTTTTCATTTATTTATTTTACTCTATTTGAAAATATAATTAATGTTAGTTGATTTTTTATTGTCATTGCATGTTTACAAAAGATGTGATCTGTCTTTAACATTCCTGTGTAAAATGGATAAATGTTGATGTCGATATCAATCGGTGACAATTCAGCTGTCTGTGCAACTTGTTACTCCTCAGTCCTTTATAATAGATATGTAACAATTTGAAAATACAAGGTTTCAAAATAATGTTCGGAAAAGGGCAATCAGTGAATATACATGAGATAGCTAATACGAAATATTTCGAGGAGAAGTTACCAAGGGCAACGCTCCTGGGACACATCATTAGGCCCACAATGAGTAGTGTTCCCTTTACGAAAAACTAAATGTAATTCGTTTAATTTTTATGCAGCAAATGTCAAAATAATAAATATTTTTTTCTTTTTGTTGGTCTGGACTCTCCCTCTTTTTTTTTGTTTTTTTGTTTTTTGTTTTTTTTTTCTTATTTCTTATTTCTAAACAAAGTTTTTTTTTTTTTTTTTTTCCTAATTATAATCAACATGAATGCAAACGATTTAACAGTTGTTGCACCAATAATGAAGAGGATATTGGATGAGGTTGTGAATAATTCTCTCGATTCAACTAATTCCAGCAATCCGGACGACGATACACCGTTTGAACGTTCTTTATGTGCAGCGTGGGATGTGTGTACAGTGCAAGATTACGCTGCAGCATTAGTCCATTCTCAATTCCATAGAGTGTTGTTAAAGGTAGGAGAGTGAAGGGCTTGTATGAAGACGGACCAAAAATAAATGAAGGATAGAGAGCTAAACAAAGAATGATACTGAGCAGGTGGTGACGATGACAAGTCGAATCCGAACCAGAGAATTAGCCATGGGAACACTTGCGAATTTAGCTTGTCATTGGGCTTCGGGTATTGGACCATTATTACTTGACGACATGGATATATTAAAGCTATGTAGATCGATTCTCTGGAACGAAAATGATGCGCGAGTTTTACTAGAGACGACCCGATTATTAAACACCTTTCTATCGTGTTCGATTGATACATCACATCAGACAGTGATTGAACATGATAACCTGACAGAATTCTTAACGCCTGTACCAATGGCTCCTTCTATATTTCATCAATACACCCTCATCATCTGTAACACTCTTTATTCCGAGCTCTTGTTAAATAGCCTCGAATTGATGACTAGAATCGTTGTCTATACAAATGCAATCACACATAGTATCACAAGACGTAGACAGAGGTTAATGCAGCACGACCATACCCAGACCACAAATGATGATGATGATGATGATAGACATCAATTCATGGATAAATCAGATACATTGGCTCTGGTTACTTGGGGAGCTGAAAGACTAGAGGAAGAAGGCAGAGGTGTTGGCATAGGCATGGGTTTCCATCGTGGAGTGGCTAAAAATGTCATGCATTTACTTTGGGCATTACTAGCATACAACCAAGTGGGAATCACTGACTGCGGTAAGCGTGTTTTATATATGTATTTAAAAATAGCATCGATTTAACATTTTGTCACAGGGCCAGAAATGACACATGGTTTGGGCCAATCGATGTCTAGATTAGTCTCTTATATACAAGAGGATGAAATGGATACAAGGGTTGAAGATGAAGATATTCAAAACTTGGCACAAGCATTAAATACAAAATTATCCATGGCCAGTTAAAAGAAAAACACATACACACACACACAAAACTCATATAATACATTACTATAAACAACTTGTAAATTCCCCCTTCCTTTTTTTTTTTTAATAATTAAAAAAAGATAATTTTCTTTATTTTCTTGAACAAATGGAGTCATCCCCAAATTGGAATCCATTATTAATTAAATAATTACGAATAGTGCTTCCGTCAAGTCGCATATTGACGGCCTTTTTATGGTCTCCCACAGTAGAAATCATGCCCATACCATGGTTATCGTCTTCTACCTTGAACTTTTGCTCGCCTGCGTTCTTGTTTATAAACTCGTCAATACGGGCATATGAGTCAGCAATCGTCATGTCATTGGGGGCAGCAGGTGTCAAGGGTTTGGAATTACTTGTGCTTGGCATAGTTGTTTTAGTTGTAAAGTGAAATAAAAATACTTGAGCTGCGCCCAAACGCTGGTTAAATAAATAAAAAAAGAGTCCCACTAAAACATGACAAACAATGTCGTCATGTGTGTCACAGTTTTTTTTTAAAAAAGCCCTAATTTTCATTAAAGCCAGCCACAGTGGCTCACGCTAAGCATTAAGGGTGCTTAATAAAACAATTCAGATTGAAAAAAAATCATCATTGTTTTATCATGATGGAGTCATTCTGGTGATTATTAGCGGGTGATTGTAGTCCATATCCATGTCTTTAACCTGCATTGATTATTTACACATTCAATAGCAGCATTAACAAACCGGTGTATCATAAGAAAGTATAAATACACACCAGCTTTACAGCATGGCGTCCCGTGGCGGTCATCTAAGTATGGCTTGTATGGAGTAACTTTTTCCTTCATGTTATTCCCGAATCAAACAATTTATTCAGGTCAGGTAAAGATATCCGGCCAAATATCCCACCCAAGCTACTTCTATAAATAATATTTTTCGTGTATTCCACCTGGAAAGATAGATGTCCGGTAGTGGGTAGGACGTTTGAAATGCCACCCAATTTCACCCAAATATGGATTAATAAGGCACTAGATATGTAGGCTCATAGAATAATTACCTCGTTTTCGGCAAGATTGGGATAGATAGCTGGTATTTAAAGTGTGAAACGGGGTCAGTAAATCACCAATTTTAAAGCACATGTATGTTCTTAGCATGTCTGCCCGACTCGAATCTTTTTATGAATTTCAGGGACGCAGTCAACTTTATTCTAACAAATGGAATACCATGAGGTTCAAAATGCTTCAAATGAAGCTATTTACATCAGTTAGTATTAAAAGCCCAAAGAAATTAGCCAATATTCGAAGTAGGCTACCGAGAACAGCTTCGTCTTGGTTGTAGATAATAGCGGTAAAGAAAATGACACCTTAATCTTTACAGCAAACTCGGACAAAAAAAAGGGGGTCTGTGATGAAAAATACAACTCTCAAATCATCTTAGCAAATGTAATTGTAAGACCGAGGTTTTTAGAAGTTTTGTTAAAAGTAGATGGTTGCTCTGCCTCTGATCTTTAGACAGAGTAAAAGGCACGCGATTTATTATTTGATTTTGAAATTAGAATAAACCTTAGGCAATATCACACCATATTATTTTTAGCGGGGAGTTACTTGAGCAACTTTTGGATAACCAAAAAGCAAGTATCGTTAAACGAGATCCCAGCCACATGCCTAGGGTTTGCAAGAGGTGACTATATGGGTATTTAAGAAGCCCCAGTAACCATCGTAACCACCGTGGTAAAACCCCTGCTACTAGGGAGAGCGTGCGTCGCTTTGGTTGATGAGAAAAAAAATTACCTTCGAGTTATCAAATATCTGTACACTTAAACAGGTATGTGGCTTTTAACTCTGCCTACTGATATAAATTCAGATAAAAGAAACGTTATTGAAGTTTTAAGATAATATTAAGTGCAGCTGAATGAGCACTTTTTAAATGTGGACGCGAATCTCTTATTTTAAATTCTGTACGCATGATAGGCTCATTAGGTTACCTCCGGACCCCATTGTGGAAAAGAAAAAAAAGATCAGAAAACTGGATATTCAGACAAAATATACAAACCCCTAATTATCGCCAATCTTAGCTGATGTGAAATGTAGAGACAGAATTTTTTGAAGAAGATTCTGAACCCACGGATGATATTAAAGAACTAAACACAGTGATTGACACAATCATAAGCAGTCAGACTTATTCAGCTTATTTTAAACTACTAGAGATAATGAAAACAATATGGCAGTGGCTGAATCCAACGATGCCGAAGTTATCCGCCAGAGGATAATGCTTGTATAATTGATACAATGTCAACGACTGCGCATTTTATTAAGCTATCAAAGAGCTCGTTGATAGAATGGATTTGAAGGGTACCTACAGCGGCTCCACCCCCAAAGTTCGTTTTCCAATTTCATAAATTCGCTTTTGTCGCAGCCCAAAGTTCGCTTCTTGATTGGTCAAAGTTCGTTTTTTGTAAATCACCCAAATTCGCTTTGGTGGCACCCAAAGTTCGTTTTCACGTCAGAAGAGTTCGCTTTTAAAAATTACAGGATTATGAGATAATGTTATGAGAGATAATGTTATGAGAGATAATGTTATGAGAAAAAAAAAATGTTATGAGAAAATGTTATGAGAAAATGTTATGAGAAAATGTTATGAGAAAAAAAAATGTTATGAGAAAATGTTATGAGAAAATGTTATGAGAAAAAAAAAATGTTATGAAAAAAAAAGTCACAACATATTATCTCATAACATTATCTCATAACATTTTTTTTTTCTCATAACATTTTTTCTCTATGAATTTAGATGTTAATGCTTTGCGTTGCAAAGATTGCAATGTTGACTTTAAGACTCATTCAGAGTTAAACAATCATAATTACGGCACTCATGTGGATAAAACAAAAGTCTTTATTGGTAATGGTAAGAACTGGACATTTAAATAAAACATGACATTTTTTTTTAAAGAACAAATAGACACCATTATGGAAGTTAGCAAGGTTGATGGCAAATTTAATTGTCCTGAATGCTCAAGCAAGCTCAGTACTCCTACCACATTTAGCGCCCATCTTAAAAAAAAGCATAACGGCCACTGCGAAGCCATTTCAAACAAAACAAAGCGACGAAGCCTCGAAGATAATAACAACGATAATTCTACAACCATATCATTGAAACATCGAAAGTTACAAAGCCTGAATCTAAATTTAGATGAAATTGATTCATCTCGATCTCCAAAAGCTCTTGATAAAAACACTGCTATATTGTTGGCATCTGGTACATCTTTAGGGTCAACTCGTGAAAAAGAGAATTCTATAATGTTGGCAAGAATTGGAAATTTGGAACCAATATCCATAGTGGGTGGAAGTGGTAAAACTTATCATTTTCTAAAATCGTCAGACAGCATAAGTGATGTGCTAACCGATCAACCTTCTGGTTCTTGGACCCTTCCAGCAGCCGATACAACAGTCATACAAAACTCTTCATCCTCAAGCGTTGACAGCCTTCTGGATCATATTATAAATACAAGTCCACTCTATAACCACTTATTTGATCAAAAATACGTGGAGCTTACAATGGAAGTTACAGAGTTAATAAACCAGGATTGGACTTTCTTTCCTCAGCTTAGGTATGTCACCTCGCAAATTTTTGCTGGGGCAATCCTAGTGAATAAGACATCAGCATTACTCTTGAATTGCATAGAATCATATGGAAGATCGAAGACCGTTGATGCACACCATGAGCGCAGAATTGGAACTGCAATGAATACATCCTCTTTTCCCAAAAAACAACCAAATTACGGATGGATTAATATTATTACCACTCACGAAGACGGAGCAACCAAACTAAAAATTGGCACAACGGTCAGTAATCTGTTGGTGACCTCAAGTATACGCATAGACAAAAACTCAATAACAAAGAATATTGTGGAACTAGGACCAACCACCAGTAATTTCACTGCAACACACGATACAAAAATTTATCTCAATATGGAATCATTAAGATTAGGAAAAGTGTTAGCGAAGGATGACTCAACAACCAGTATTGATGTAGGAAATTACTTCTATCAACTTAGACAACTCAGATCAAAATTTCATTGTTTATCCACATATACTTTATGTCGTTCATCCAGTACATTTGCATATGATATTTCCTACAGACCTTACACGATTTGGACCCTATGCGACTATGATTCTTCCCAACAAACAGACTCACAATCTCAATTGCTATCTCAACTGTTTCAAACAATCGCCACTTCAGTTATCAACAATGGCATATTGGCCCAAATCAAACTAGATGTTCTAAATGATCTATGTAGCAAATTGAAAAATGGAGCAATAAAATATACCATCCGTGAATTTATTGATCAACAAGAGAAATCATTTGCAGTCATCAACAATATGAAACTGAACCAATTACTCACAATTTTAGCTGATTCGATGACTACATCTATTAAAAATGCCAACGCAGTGGTGAACAGTAATTTTACAACACTTCAGCGTAAATAATACCCTATATAAGAAATCATCACTACGGTATACCGCTATTATTTTATTGGGTTGTTTCTTTAATGTATTTCATCTTATATCTTTGATTTGCATTGATACGAACAAAAATTGAATTGTAAAAACAAGTTGTAAATATTATATTATCAGTTCAAGGAAATAAAAACCCTGTTAATGAATACTAAATATACTTCACCAAATGTGGTAGCTTCATGACCTTAATAAACTATTCTTGAAATGCATTTGTTGTCCAGTGAATAATGGAATGAAGCTTGAGCTTGATTAAGCCAAATCTGATGGCTTTGTGGTATTTTGACCTGGTAATGTCCACACACCAGTTGGTTGTTCTGCAAGTATATCTTCAATGAGGTCTGGAGAGGCGAGCATGTAATACTTTTTCCCATTTTCTAACGATACTGCTATTGATTTCCAATTTCCAATCTTGCTTAACATTATTATTTTTTCTTGATCAGTTTGTGGAAGATCTAAGGCATTTGACGCAAGTAATACTCCCATGTCATTATCACATCGAGCTGATGTTGAAAATAAAGGACCAGATGAACCAGAATTTGAATCAATTTCATCTAAATTTAGATTCAGGCTTTGTAACTTTCGATGTTTCAATGATATGGTTGTAGAATTATCGTTGTTATTATCTTCGAGGCTTCGTCGCTTTGTTTTGTTTGAAATGGCTTCGCAGTGGCCGTTATGCTTTTTTTTAAGATGGGCGCTAAATGTGGTAGGAGTACTGAGCTTGCTTGAGCATTCAGGACAATTAAATTTGCCATCAACCTTGCTAACTTCCATAATGGTGTCTATTTGTTCTTTAAAAAAAAATGTCATGTTTTATTTAAATGTCCAGTTCTTACCATTACCAATAAAGACTTTTGTTTTATCCACATGAGTGCCGTAATTATGATTGTTTAACTCTGAATGAGTCTTAAAGTCAACATTGCAATCTTTGCAACGCAAAGCATTAACATCTAAATTCATAGAGAAAAAATGTTATGAGAAAATGTTATGAGAAAAAAAATGTTATGAGATAATGTTATGAGATAATATGTTGTGACTTTTTTTTTCATAACATTTTTTTTTTTTCATAACATTTTCTCATAACATTTTCTCATAACATTTTTTTTTCTCATAACATTTTTTTTTCTCATAACATTTTCTCATAACATTTTCTCATAACATTTTTTTTTCCTCATAACATTTTTTTTTTCTCATAACATTTTCTCATAACATTTTTTTTTCTCATAACATTTTCTCATAACATTTTTTTTTCTCATAACATTTTCTCATAACATTTTCTCATAACATTTTTTTTTCCTCATAACATTTTTTTTTTCTCATAACATTTTTTCATAACATTTTTTTTCTCATAACATTTTCTCATAACATTTTTTTTTCTCATAACATTTTCTCATAACATTTTTTTTTCTCATAACATTTTCTCATTACATTTTCTCATAACATTTTTTTTTCCTCATAACATTTTTTTTTTCTCATAACATTATCTCTCATAACATTATCTCTCATAACATTATCTCTCATAACATTATCTCATAATCCTGTAATTTTTAAAAGCGAACTCTTCTGACGTGAAAACGAACTTTGGGTGCCACCAAAGCGAATTTGGGTGATTTACAAAAAACGAACTTTGACCAATCAAGAAGCGAACTTTGGGCTGCGACAAAAGCGAATTTATGAAATTGGAAAACGAACTTTGGGGGTGGAGCCGCTGTATTTGGTGTTGGATAATTTTAGTTTTTACAAATCGAGACAGCAGGTGATTCGAATAATCGAAGCTAGAGGTCATAAAGTTATATATTTCCTCCGTTTCCTCGTTTGAGCTAAACCCTGTTAAGCTATTTTGATCCTCAATGAGAGAAAAGATGAAGTGCTAGCACTTGATGCAAGAAGTGAGGTTTTATCTTTGATAAAGCTTGTAATGGCACTCGATTTGTCGATATTTATGAATTTTGTCGTCATCTCAAACGACAAAATTGAAAAGTGATATACTCAAACTCTTTTCCCAAGCCGTTCATTGTATACAACATTTATTGCTTATAAAATTTTGACTCTGCGAAAACGTTGTAAAACGTAAAGCAATGGTGACGTAATTTAGAGTACAGTGTAATTACGCGCAATCGATCAAACCTAAAATCATATAGCATTAACCGACAACGTGAATCTCGTTTCTGGATGCACTGTTTATAATTTCCAATTCTATTTTTTTTTTTTATAACTGCCAATTTGGTTATTTTGTGATCGCCGATTGCTTTTTTTTTTTTTTTGTAATCGCTAAATATCCACCAGCCTAATTGTGACAAAGAGTGAGGTTCCATTGTCCACAATAATCATGCATGTAACTCTGACGCCATATATTTTAAAAAACCGATAGTTGCCAGTGCTGTATGGTACGAAAATTGAGGCTTAAATAAAAAAATTCCCTTTTCACACACACACACACATAATACAGAATACAAAGATAGACACGTCGCTTTTCTCTCTTTTATTTTTATTTTCTTTTTCTTTTCCCCTTTATTACAATACTGTTTACTACTTTCAAAGGTAATAATATGGGCCAAATACTCTCTGCGCCCATTACAACAAAGCATTCCACAGAAGGAAAGGATGAGCGTTTAATGTATGGAGCTTCCTCTATGCAAGGTTGGAGAATATGTAAGAATAAGATAAATTCTTGTTATACGTATTTTGTATATTTAATTCTCCTATTAATGTAGCCATGGAAGATGCACATACCCATATTTTACAGTACAAGGAGACCGGTGCTGCATTCTTTGCTGTTTTTGATGGACACGGAGGTAAACCAAAAAAAAAAAAAAAAAAAAAAAAAAAAAAAGTTCCATGGGAGTAAAGACTAAACATTACAAAAAGGTGCCAATGTGGCCAAATACAGCAGTGAGAAACTCTTTGAAAATGTGCTGGATTCTGATGATTTTAAAGAGGGACAAATTGAAAATGCGCTCCGAAAGGGTTTCTTCAAAATTGATTCGGATCTTCGTGAAGGTGATGATAAAAGAAAGAAAACAAGGACATTAAAGTGCGCCTGTATTAATTTAAGAATCATAGACCCGTTTTTTAAGAATGAAACGTCAGGATGTACCGCCATTGTTGCATTATTGACAAAGGATAACGAATTATACGTGGTAAATTAGCAAAAAAAAAACATCTTTTTTTCTAAAGAATTGACTATTAATCCATTTTTTTCTTTTGTAAAGAGTAATGCAGGTGACTCTCGTGCCATCATTTGTACTCAGGGTCTGGCCATTGCCCTATCTGAAGATCACAAACCTGGCAACCCTAAAGAAACAGAACGTATCACAAACGCCGGTGGTCACGTAGAATTTGGACGTGTCAATGGTAGCACACATATACACACATTTTGTTATTGTAGTCAGCACTGACTCATTATAAATTAGGCAATCTCGCATTGTCAAGAGCATTAGGTGATTTTGAGTTCAAAGGAGCCAAGCACCTCCCAGCCGAAGAACAAGCTGTCACAGGTAAAAGAAAATAGAGACTACGCAATTTTTTTTTTCTTCCCTTGATAATAACATGCGAGTGTCATTGTAGCCGACCCTGATATCACTGTTCACAAATTGACTCCCAAAGACGAATTCATGGTGTTAGCTTGTGATGGAATTTGGGACTGCTTAAGCAATCAACAAGTAGCCACATTTGTTCGAAAGCATGTGACAGAAGGTGTTCCATTAAAGGAGATTTGTGAACGATTGATGGATAGTTGTTTAGCCAAAGAAACAGGTTCAGGTGGTATTGGATGTGATAATATGACGGTGGAGATTGTTGCTTTTTTGAATGGGCAATCATCCGAGAGTTGGTATGAAAAAATTAAGTCCACCGAGCCTGTCCCCAAGGCCAATGTCCCGTTACCCAGTAACCCTAGTAGTCAGGGGGATGAACCCACAAATAAAAAACAACGAGGTATGCAATCTGAATCCAGGCAATATTCGGTTAATGAATTGCAAAATGCGCCTGATCTCACAGCTTCTTTAGTAGATGAAGAACCCAAAGGTGAAGTAAAAGGAGGAGGTGCTTAAATACCTGTTGTACCATTATTATCTTTTTTTCTTTTAATAAAATAAATATATATATATATATATCGTTTTTTTTTTCATTCTTTTTTAATTTAGAAAAATGTAAGGGAAATAATATATAAATGTCAATGTGTTCTTTTAGTTTTAGTTTTTTTACAAAGATTGGATAATGGCGTTGGTGAACTCCTTGGTGGTGCTGGTTCCTCCAATATCAACAGTCTTGTATTCACCCTTTTGGATGGTACCGTAAACAGCAGAAGAAATCTTGTTGGCATGTTCGTTCAAGTTCAAGTGTCTCAACATCATGGTGGCAGAAAGCAACATGGCTGTGGGGTTAGCAGAGTTTTGGTTTTGGATATCAAGAGCAACATGACGACATCCCTTCATATTTATGGTTAATAGGAATTCGGTGTATATCTCAAATTAAAGTACTTACAGGTTCGAACATGGCGTATTCACGACCAATGTTACAACCGGGGATAAGACCTGGGCCACCGATCAAACCAGCACCCTTAATATTTCACAGTTGGTTAATATTACACTCCTCTTTTTAATAAATAAAAAGCTACTTACGACGTTGGAAACAATGTTACCGTACAAGTTGGGCATGACCATAACATCGAATTGTTGAGGACGAGAAACAAGTTGCATAGCAGTGTTATCGACAATCATGTCATTGACTTCGATGTTGTGGTGAGCATATTCCTTGGCAACGTCACGACAAGTACGCAAGAAAAGACCATCAGCCAACTTCCTATTTACAGAAAAAAATATTAGTTCACTCAGAACGCACACGCACACGCACACACACAATACTCTCTCGTATTACTCACATGATGTTAGCCTTGTGGATAATGGTAACCTTCTTACGGTTGTTCTTGACAGCGAAATCAAAAGCGAAACGAGCAATACGTTCGGTCTTGTTACGGGTGATGATCTTGAGAGACTCAACAACACCGGGGACAGACTGTAGAGACGCAAAATAATTAAAATCTGGCTTTAGAGTATGGGGTAGGGGTAACACAACTTACTTGATGCTCTAAACCAGAGTATTCACCTTCAGTGTTTTCACGAATGATGGCAATATCAACATTGCTCAAACGAGAAGAAACACCGGGGACGTTCTTACAGAGGGACAAAGAAGCGTACATATCCAAATCCTTACGCATGCTAACGTTGAAAGACTTGTGGCCCAAACGAGAGGTAGGTGTGAAGAGAGTACCCTTGATACCAACCTTGTTACGACGAAGAGATTCAATAGACTCTTGGAAAAGGCTATCATCTTCAGAAGTCAAACCAGAGACATCATATTGCTCAAATTCAACAGGGACATTGGCAGCCTTGAAGACATCCTTGAGAGAATGGGCAATTTCTTGACCGATACCGTCACCAGGGATGAGAGTCACAGTGTATTTACCTCCATACTTCTTGGGGAAAATCTACATATATTTTTTTTATTCCGCGTTAATGAGACATGTTATTTTTATTGTGTTGCTTTTGCTTCCAATCAGCTTTTCTTACAGTCTTTTGCTCAACGGGAGCAGGGACGGGAATGGAGGTGAAAGAGCGGACAGCAAGCTAAACAAGTGAAAGAGAAAGGGTAAGTATTTTTTTTTTTTTTTTTTTGCAATCAACAAAAAAAAAAGCCACAAGCTTTTAATTTATTTACCTTTTGAATAGCTACAACGTTAGGCTTGGCAATGAACTTGGAAGAAAGCATATTGAAATGTCTGATTCTGATTTTTTGAAAAAGAAAGAAAAGAAAGAGGGAAGGGTAATATAACACGGGAATACCCTGAATTATTTATAACATTAAATCCCAACATCCCCCGCGTTAGTGAACACCCTTTCTGATTGGATGTTTGATATAATTATTGGGCTAAAATATTAAACCGTCTTGTACCACACCCTCAAGTTTATCCACTTTTTTTCTAATCAGACTGTAGGATTTTTTACAATAGGATTCTTACAAATAAATAAAAAGTTTATCAATCGATCATAAGATATCTGACTTTTTTTTTTACTTCTTCTTTTCAAAAAATGATTATAAACAACTCTCATCTAAAACAGTATTCATTTCATGCCCTCCCTTAAGGTTTTTTACAGTAACTTGGTACCATTAGCAAAAAAAAAAAAAAAAAAAATTGGTGCGACTTGTAAATTAATTTGAGGCACCTTTCTTTTTTTTTTGCAATATTCTCAGACAAAGTTCCCAGGGCTCAAAGACTAGCAATAGTAGTGTACTACCTGGTTATGTCGAAAGTTAAAATAAAAATAAAAATTAGACAAGAGGAATCATAAACTCTTTCCTCATCTACACTTTTTAATATAGTAATTTGATACAACTAGGATTCATCACTTGGGCTTACCAAAGAAGCTCCTTCAAAGTAAATTCCAGATTTGGACGCTATCTCTCACTCGAAAAAAAAAAAAAAAATTATATCTCAAAACCCTGTCTTAAGTTTATTATGCAATTGATTTCTCGTTTCAAGTTCGATCTCTTGTTTGTCAATCCTTCTCCTTGTCTGCACGGGGGGGGGGGGAAAGAGGTTTCCAACATATGTGATATTTGGTTCATATGGCCAAAACATGTAATGGCAAATACTCAATAAGTGAATCATCAGATGCATGTTCATCTGGGGTGCTTTATACTTAAAACATTGATTATTCTGATAGACGCACTGAAGGCTCATCCAATTCACAGTCAATTTTTAATACAAGCTATCTCATTATAACATAAATCATGTATGTGTAAATATCGTAAAAATTATGAAGATGTAAAAAAAGACGTATATGTATGCTTTGCCTAAATACAGTTACATATAGTATCTATTGTTTCTATTTGATAATCCCATTTGACAGTTCATTTAAGTTAGAAATATAAAGTATTGCTTTGTTGGTAGCTTGTTATACTTTTTAAAGCTTGTGCATTACATCAACGGGTTTATGGAGATATTTATTATTTTTCTGTTCGTTTTGATTACTTTCCTGTAAAGATCAAAGAGTTAGTTATTCAGCTCACCTAGATCATTATACCAACAAAAATATATGGTATAAATGCATATTAGAAAATACTCGTCCACGTGTCTCTTTTTTTACCCTAGCATATGATATAACATTATGAAAAATTGGAGCTGTCAGTTGTCGTTGTAAAATCCTTTTTCCGGTGTATATGCTTTCTCCATTGAATGGCAAAATAATTATAGCACATATGACATATCATTCTCTTCTTTTTTAACTTAACCCAAATGAAATGACTTATAGTTTTCAACAATTCACAATTAGCGCACAAAGCTTTTATTTTGGTGGCGCTCAATTGTATACTCAGCTCAATTATAATAATAATAATAAAAAAACGTTTAAAAGAAAGCGTTGGGAGTTTTCGTCATTTATTTTTCTCATTATAAAAACAATAAACGATAATGAGTTCATATCAGGATGAGTTGAGTGTTTGCTTATATGATATGATTCTTTATCTAATCCTGTACTTCGTCTTTTACAGGTGATTCAGATCGGAACTCCAATTTTAGAGGCGGAGCCACTAAAATATTTTTTTACCAGTGTATACCGTTTACGGCCCTTGGATCTTTGTTTTTTTTATACCCTTGTGTAGAAATGTATGGGCCGGAAATCCAGACTTTCTTTTCGACCATAAATTTCATTCGCTCTCCGTTCAGACTTCCTTACTTACAATCGCCTTACCTCACCTCATAGCAATTCATAAAAGAAGGATTGACCAACGTAAAAGATAGACATATCCTTTGTAACACAATTCATATCAGGCTGTAAAGTAAGGGACACGTGTGTGTGTTCTTGTTACACGAATTCGATTAGACTATTGTTAACAATGGTAGCAGGAAAATTGTTCATTTTAATCATAAATGAGTATACTTTTAAGCCAAAATTTGTTCTTACTCAATACTAGAAATTAGTTGATTAAATATTTGACATGCTATACCGTAAAAGGAGAGACTGGAGGAATCTTCATCAAATGATCATTTAAGTTGTACCCTGTCTATCAAAACGCTTATGCTTATTAAGATTAATGATGATCAGTAATCGTTATATCATTTAAAGTAACAGTTAGGTTGGTAAATACGGTCAGTTACTGATGTCGGTTGGTGAAAAAAAAATTTGTCGATCATTAAAAATATATGTCTCGTTGGTTCCTGTTCATGTATACATTGTCGGTTGAGGTAGGTTAAGCAAAATCGGTGAAAATAAAAGACCAGCTGCTGATTCAATGATATAATCAACTGCGGTGAATCCTTCACGTTTAACTTTCAAACAGTTCAATTGGGTTCAGAAAAGAGCAAATGTCTGCTATTTTTGGTCCTTATATATATATATAGCGGGGCATTATTCAAGATGAGGCGACAACCTGACATTTCATGCTCATCAAGTGTATTTATAACAGCACTGATATATTACAGGAAGCATTTGCATCGCAAATTCTAACTCTCGTGTCTAACCTCTGTTACATTAATCACCCTATAGCCACCTCTCTTTCTCTACAAGCAAGTTTGACCTTGGTAATTGTCTATCAGCGTTTCAGTAGTAGCAAGTATTAATAGTGGAGCATAATATTTTGCGAAAAAAAAATTTGTTCACTGTGTCTTAACATTAGTCGGTCAAAGAGCTTGAAATTGGTTCGGTTGATATAACTACTGGTACAGAAAAAAATAGGACATACAACACATGCTTTTATATTATTTTCGTAACCATAGGCATGTTCAGGTCTTATCGATGTTTAATGATAATCTTTGTAGCTAGCATAATTTATTTTTTCACTTACTACTACGGACCATGATTGTAACAAGCTGTAATAGTTTCACATGCTTTGGATAAAGCCTGTTCATAGTTGGTAAGACCTTTGATTTTACAATCATGCTAGCGTATTTAAGACTGTTGAGCTCAGTCTATATGTCTTTAGGATGAGGACTATGTGCATAATGTTTTTGTTTTAAAAACGACAATCCTTGTGTTTTCATTTACAGGACGACATTTCTACATAGTACCGAAAATCCTGCTTAAAAAAAGTCATTAAGCAAGCTGTATGGACATTCAAAGACGTAGTAAATCACAAACAGCTACACCCTAAAGATAACCTTTGGAAGGAAAACGCAGGTTGATTCTTGATTTTATCAAGAATGTTACCAAACGTGTGCTTATTCTATCCCAACATAAATAATGTGACGGGTATAGATACTGTGTACCTTTCGTAAATTGTTCCAATGTTCTGTTTAAGATGTTGTTGTAACTTAAAATTGTAATGGGCATATATTTCACTCCTGGGTGTTGAGTGCCCACCGAAACCACACGATCGGCTTATCACCCCTAGGTTGAGAGGTGCTATGTTGCGTGTTTTTTTGGTTATTGATTTTCTTCAAGTGTATCCTTTCTTTTTGCACCTTGAGTTCTTCTCTCTCACCATTTGTTAATAATAGCCTAATATACTACCTCACATTTTTCTGGACTGCTTATTCGAATCAACAGATGCTTGCACAGCTTCCTCTTGCTGCTTTTCGTATTCCTGTTCCCCTTTTTTTTTTTTTTTTTTTTTTTTTTTGACTGTGTAAATGCTTCAGTATACGAAGGTAAATAAAAGTGTGCATATTTCTAATATCAAACAAAGGAAAGAGAAGAAATTTACAAAAATGTTTTTGCTAAATCGACGAAGGATGTATTTAGCAGCTCAACTATAATCATTTAAAAGATAAACAAAGCTTACTGAGGTCGCGGTCGTGTGTAACGTCAATCTACCTGAGCGTCAAGGCACTTTTTTTAAAATAATTGTGACATATCTCCAAAGAGTTATTTGTTCATGTATCTTTATTTAACCCAGGGTGGAGCAAAAACTCGGCAAGACATCTTCATATTTGTTTCTAAAACTTAATGGTTAAATAGATTCTTTCGTGTGCATATGTATCATCACTTAATTTGTATACATAAGACGCTAAATAACGAATTGACATCAGAGTATCAAACATGGTTAAGAGAACGAAAACCTTTAAATGATTTTTTTGTCCCGTCAAACAGGTTTATATCGCTGTTACATTTCGAATGCTGCATATGTTTTACTTTAATTTTATTTTTATTTTGGAATTTTCTTTTTTTGTTTTGTTTTGGTTTTCTTTACCTCACACGTTCTCATGTCTACAACTACGTTATGGGATCTTCCAAGGGAAGTAATGTACATGATCTTGGATAACCTCAGTCTGGAAGATAGAACCACTTGTCGACTTGTGAATTCCGACTTCTTAAAGGTTGCTTCGTATGTCTTTCGAGAAATCACACTGGCTTCCAAAGAAAACATAAACTTTTTTGCCGATTGTCTGGACAAAACACCATGCATTGCACCTCATGTCCAAAAAATCAATGTGGATACCGCCATTCTTTTACGTTTCGCCAATAGAACCTGTATCAAGACCCGATGTCACCATGTCAAGGAAATTCAGATTTTAATTTCACAGGGCAATAGCCTTTGGGCAGAGCAACTGAAACCTTACCGCTATCTTCAACATGTACCAACATTTATTGACAATGTCAATGCTCAATATATTATGGACAATTACAAGAATCAACTCATGACAATACGATTAGGTGGTAAATACCTACTGGACTTGTCAATCCAAGACATTAAAGCCATTTTAAATGAATTACCCCAAATTAAATTAGTGGGACTTCACTACCCTTTTTCAGAAAAGAAGAAGAATGTTCACAAAGATCTTCCTCGCACCTTTTCATTTAATGAACTCAATTCCATTTTGAAACAATCGACTGTCATGACTGGATTTGAATTACAGTTTTGCGAAATCGCCGATGCTTCCTTGCTTGCAGTGGATGTAGGAAACGTGGATGCATTACAGAGTCTACGCCAATCGCTGGTTGTTCGGCCGTCCTACGAAATCAGTGTGTTCGATACCAACCATACGTTAACGCATATCGATATGAAATCTGTGATGGTTACCAACGTCACGCATTTTATGCGGTCCATGTTTGATAGTTTTCCAAACCTACGCAGTCTGGACATCAAGTTCGTTCCTCGTGACATGCCCTTACAAACATTGGTGGGGTCACAGTGGGATATGCCCCAGCCAAACATCTGGAGTAAAGAGTTTGTGTTTGGTACTTCCGGGCTTAGAAAATTAGCTTTAACAGATACCCAAAGCCGATTGAACATCTCTGAATTATTATCGGCTTTAGTTCGTGCCAAAGCACCCTTGAATGATATCTCTATTACAGGATCAGAGGATCAAGAAACTGGATCCATGGTTGTTATTTGTTCTGGATTTAAAAATACGCTTGAGAAGCTCAGGATGGATTGCAAGGCTTCCTTCGGTTTAGACAATGTGGGTTTACTAATCCATTTAAAAACAGCCGTTTTCCGTTGGGGTCGTAGTCATACTTCTCTTCCCATGTGTCCCGCCAATATCATCAGTGATATGCCAACTGTGACAAAATTGGATTTGGGCTATAACCGATGGTACACCCACATGATATCACGACCCACTGCATTTGCTTACAAACCGTACACGAATATTACCAGTATAACATTAACCCGTGTCATCATCAACGAGAATGAAACGAAGGAATTCTTGTTGCCATTGACACATTTAAAAGAAGCGATCTTTAGTTACTGCATGTTTGAAAAATGTAGAGACAATGAACTGGAAGAACCTAATTATGATACAGACTATACAACTAGTGCTCTGGGCAGGGAAGAAGTGTTTGATTTCATGACAACAACGGGTGAATTGATGAATGAAGTACGACGTAATATGTTTAAAGAAGGATTAGGGATGATTCAGGCTAATACGGTTAACGGTTTGGAAGAACCTGTAATAGACACGGATGAGGAAGTTGTTAGTTCTTGCGATACACTTGCTGCTGTGTTGGATTCCGTTGCAAGGACAATGGCAGATATTGGACAACGACATGGCCTTCAATCTAATCAAAGAGGGGAGAGTTCAGCACCTCCTGTAGAAACATCTGCTGCACCACCCATACCTGAGGGATATCTTGAACATTTATTGGATCGTGCTAGAGGAATTATACAACTCGGTAACCGTTTACGCCCAGTGAACGACCCATTTAAATCCAAAAGAAACGACCTGCACATCCAGTCCTTGTCGCTGGAACATCTTGGTTTACATGAATGTAAGATACGGGAAATGATAGGTGGGATCTCTAATGCGCGTACGATTCGAAATTTCGAGGTGGTTCAGGACAGACGTAGTGGATGTGCCAAATCGTATGATAAAGATCGTGCTTACCATGAGAAAAAGTCCTGCAACCCGCACGTGGTTTTAAACAAGAAGACAGTGACGGATAAAACTATTGGATTCCATTATACCCATGAATTTGGTGGCAAAACTGGCAAAAACGATTACCTCAATTCTAGACCAACCTTTAAAATACGTCTATTTTCACTAGAGAAACTTAGCATTCGACCCAACTGTCTCATGTCGATTTATTTTACCGATAAAAACGGGGGAAAGTTGAAGACATGCAATTCTGTCGTAAATGATATTGTGGAAGCGGCAAAGGCAAATAATGGTGAGATCCCTCCTATGACAATAGTTCCGGATATGTCCAGTGTGGAAGATGATCGTATTTATGCAAAAGAACTGATGGAGGCTTTCAAGAGCAATACCAAGACAGAGGAGGTGGGGGCGGAAATCAGTATCTCATCATCTGTCAAACGACAAAATGAAGAAGTTGAAGAAGTAAGCCGATTTTTGGGAAGAGCTCTTGATCCAGGTAGAAGACCCCCTGACGATTTTCTGGGTGCTCGAACTAGAGCTTTTTATGATACCATCCGAGGTATTCGAAATATATTCGATGATGCGGAGGAAACGGATGATGATACAGTGATGGGAAATGAAGCAAATGTATTTAATGCTGTCTCCCGGTTTGATCGCATGCTCGCTGAAGTGGGTCGTGCTGAGGACATCGCAAGATCATCACCGGACAATATACAGGACCACCTTGGCCAACTTCGGGATTCGCTTGCTTCTCCGGCAGAGAGTTCGGAAAGTACAGCGGTGCAACCTTTTGTCCTTAACAAAAATGTGTTTGATGCAGATATATTTAAGTCTGTTGTCTATGATACCTGTGAATTTAGTCGCAACCGTCGTCATGAAACTCCAAAATCAGGAAAAAACAGAAAAACAATGACTATTCGCCCTTTCTGATTTCAGTGTCTAATAAATTTGGCGATTATCTTATCACTTGCTATCTAAGCATGCTATCTTTGAATAGTCTTACTTTTACAAAAAAAATGAAGAATGGAGTGGTCTTAGATTATAGTCCGAGAATTTATGGCTGAATTTATACAGTCAAGATTTTATCCTTTGTTTAAATGCGATTTACATGCTTATGATACCAAGCATTCCTTAAATTCTTTTTCAATGATGTTCTCCCGATTAAAGAATCATGTATCAGGCAGTCAAAGAATAATTTTAGCTTGTAATATTGACTTCTTAATATAAACTACTTTGATCATAGTTGTGTCTACAGATCTGCAATTTAATAGCAAATAACATCTCACCCTACTAATTTAGAAAATTTAAGACCATTTTGATCTCCATGGAGGCGGCTACATTTTGACGTCAAATCTTCATATTACTGGTAAAATCACAAAAAAGTACAAAACAAAAGCAACGTTGTGTCACTTGATATGGTATCAGCTCAATGCTGGCTAAATTAACAGTGGACCTATTGGTAGAAAAAGAAAATGTCACCAAGGCAGAGGCTGAGGCCTCGATTGGCTCTAAGAAATTGACTCTCTTTCGAGTGATTGCTGAAGATGGTGAAGAAAGAAAAATGACCCAACAAAAAAAGGCTGATGGCGGGTTTCGACTATTTACTAAACCCACAAAGCCCTTTATGTTATTGAGTTGAAAAAACCGACCGAGAATAGAAAAGATCTGGAGTATTCAGATATGCGATAGCTTACCGGTTATATGAAAACCACCATCCGCAACAAACCTGTATATTGTTGTGTTGCCATGAGATGTTTTGGTACGTTAACAGTATAAACAAACTTTAGCACATAATACTCAACCTATTTTTTTGACAGGGGCTCACATATCTTTTTACTGCATGTGCGGCAGTAAAGAGTTGGTCAAAATGATCAAATTTGGCTCTTGCAGCATTCCTTTGGTTCGAGAAGAACAGAAAATATACCTTTCAAACTTCCTGACAAAAGTTCGAATTTAGGTAACGTACTTTCATTTCCGATTATGCTGTATTATACACTAACAATAATACTACCAGGCGCTTGTTCTGCAGATTGCTACCAGGAACTTAAAACTTTAAATAAAATTTTGTACAATGAACAGTATTGGTAAGAGTCCTTACTATCTATTTGATGAGTATAACATCGAGCCTGCCATTACTTTGTATGTTTAAACTTGTTTAGCGTCTGCAAATCAAGGTTTCAAACCGAGAAAGTAGCCTCCCCACGCTCCACCCGCAATTCGTCGGTCTACTTTTTCTGTCGACTTCAAACCTTATACTGTTGGAATGACGGTTCAGTGACACAATTCAGATACAGTGGATGTACGTCATTTTGTAATGAAGAACAATCACGTGAACCAGATTGTCCTGTATTAAGGGTTTTTATTTTTTATTTTTTTTTAATCTGCACTGTATCTTTTTTTTTTTTTATTATTATTATTTTTCTTCTGTTACTCCCCAATTATAAAAAATAAAAAGCAATGTCTCTTATTTACGGTCTTGTTGCACGTGGTTCAACCATTTTAGCAGAACATACGAACAGTAGTGGCAATTTCGCGACGGGTAAGGGCCTTATTCTTTTTTTATATTTGTTCCATCTTGAAAAGGAGAGAAGGAGAGAGAGAGAGGCTAATTGTAATGTATGTAGTCACTCAAGCTATTCTTGAAAAAATTCCACCCAACAATTCCAAACTTACCTATGTATATGATAGGTAAAAATACACAGGATATAAAAAAACAATAATAAACAAGCGGGAATAACATTTTTTTTTTCATAAAGATATCTGTTTCATTACATCTGTGAGGATGGTATCACCTACATGTGTATGGCAGATGATTCCTTCGGTCGCCGTATTCCTTTTATTTTCCTCCAAGATTTAAAGGAAAAGTTCTTGACAACCTATGGTAAAAGCCGAGCCTTTGAGGCACCCCCTTATGGATTAAATGAGTTTTCTCGTGTGATTGAAAAGCAAATGGTAAAATATAATCCCCCCCCCAATGATGTGGAAAGGACGTAGAACACCATAAAGATGTACGGATGACTTATTTTTTGTATTCTCATAGGAATACTTTTCAACAAATCCTAGTGCAGATCGTTTGAAGCAGGTCCATGGTGAAATTGAACAAGTAAAAGATGTCATGGTTCATAATATTGAGCGAGTGTTGGAAAGAGGTGAACGTATTGAGTTGTTAGTTGATAAGACCGATAACTTGAATCAACAAGCATTTGCTTTTAAAAAGAGAAGTACTCAATTGAAACGTGCAATGTGGTGGAAGAACAGCAAGATCATGGCCATGATTGTCTTGGTCTGCTTCGTAAGTCGCATGTTTATTTTATCGCCAAGTATAACTCATCTTCTTTCTCTGTTTATGTTAGTTGATTGCATATTTTGTTGCAGCTTCCGTATGCGGTTTCCCTAGTAAGTGCTTATTTATTATTGTTGTTGTTTGTTTTATCTCTGCAAAATGGCGTTTATTCACTAAATTTGTGTTTTTTTTTAAAATAGCTTTCGGATCATGCAGAGGAGCCTAAAAATCATATCCCTCTTCTTCTATCGTTATTCCATCCCCCCTCCCCATCCTCACATAATCTTATTCCATCCCGCTTCTTCAAATTAAAAAACAAGATCTCATTCTTACATTTTTTTTTATTTTTTATTTCTAAAAGAGATGTTTGCTGCGTGTATATATATATATACGTAAATCTATCATAAAAAAAAATCCACTTTTTTTTTATGAGGAAGGTGGTGGTGGAGGTGTGTGTGCTTCGGCTTCTTTTGCTGCTGCTGCTGCTGCTTCCTCTGCTGCTTTATGTTTTAACTCTTGTGCTTTTTCCATATCAATTCTTTCTTTTGCTCTGACCACCTTGGATTGAATATAAAATGAACCACCCTTTGCTGGATCGTTGGCTCCAAATAAGTGGTCGTAATTCTAAGAGCCAAAAAAAACATATTAGCCCATGCGTTTTTTTCAAGCCATCAAGAAGGTTTGCCCTTACTTTTGTTAATTTCGTGAGATCGGCTTCCTTTGTCACATTAAGAATTTGACAAGCTTCTTCTACCGACATGCCGGTCTTACGAGTCAATGCATCCATCACGGCTTCCTTTGTACCGGCTCTTCCACTACCGCCACCACTGGCTCCAGCTCCTCCATTCTTACCGGCATCTATTGTTATTAAGATGAATCGGCTGTGTCAAAAAAAAAAACTCCTTTCCTACTTACTGGCAGCAGCTTGTTTGTATGCGGCAACAAAAGCTCTTGTAACAACTGAACCTAATGAGACAAGGATTTGTGCGACGATTCTACCAGACTATTTCGAAAAAAAAAAATACGTTTAGTCATGCAGTGTCATTTTCTTTTAAAGAAGATCATACCATGTTAAAATTAAAAAAGTGAAATGGAGAGAGAGAGGGAAATAATTTGAACCAGGCGGGGCCTGGCACTCTCTCCCCATGCTACAAAGTCAGAGGAAAATTTATCCAATTAAATTTATTTATTTTTGTGTCAACTGTTTAAATTCTAAAGAAGAGACAAACTCTTTTAAAGACTGACCGGTTTCTTTAAACCAGTCAGCGAGGGGGACAAGGGAAGGATTTTTCTGTAGTGGACCATTGATGGCCGCATGAAATTCAACCTTGTTAATTCTACTCCAGAAATCGGGTCCCAAGGGTAACTGTAAGACCTTTTCATTGACCTGTCTATCATACTCTGTACGGTTTTTAATGAAAAGATCTGGACGGGTCAAATCGCATGTCTTGTCCCAGGCAACATCTTCCTTAATAAACTCTTTCATGTAAGCCAAGTGGGTTGCGATGGCGCCCGAATTGAATAACGAGTCATGGATGTCTTTAAATATTTGATAGAAACGGTGTCTAAATGCATCAATCTTTAATAACTGTTTTACCAGGGGACGCACGTCTGATTTTTCTAGTAGTCCATAACGATCTAATTTGTCAAACTTTGAACCGGTAGACGATAGGCGCGGGGCCATCAGTGTGCTTCCTAATGTTTGGTCTAAATCGGAGGCGATCCAAATAAATCTGCCCTTTTGATCAGGATCATGATAGAGCATGTAGTTATGTGCTGCGCCCATATACCCATCGTTATGACCCAGCAGTATTTCAAAAGCCATACTAAACAAAAAGGAAGGGTATAAATACAACAAAGCTTTTTATATAAATAGACACACACAAAAAACTTACTGTTTTAAAAACAAGGAGACATCAAACTTGCGTTCCCATTTACGGGTTAATTTTTTCTGTGTGTTTTTCTTGTCATAATTCGATGTTTCCGCCTTATGAATGAATTCAATGAACTTGACCAATTCCTTTAAATCATCTTTGATTTTGCCTTTACCAGCGTCTTCGAGTACTAAATACGACGAACGATTGGTCGTTGGTTCGAAATAGTCGGTTGGCTTAGATCCTAAATAACCTAAATTGGCACCGGACTGGAGTCTACCCACCGCCAATGGATTTTCCTGCAGACTTCCTTGGAACAATGCACCATTTTCGTATTTGGAACCGTTATTACCCAGCACATTTTTGAAAAATGGGTTCTTGTAGTTATCAACAAACAAAAAAAGACCTTGCGGTTCTTCATTGATAAACAACCTGCCGTTAAAAAAAAATAAAGCTTTTTTTAGAAAGACTGTAAACGTAAAGGGTGATCATTCTCCCCCAAAAAAATAGATATATATATATACCTGATATATGAAGCCTTAGCAGCAGGTAAATCAGAAGCCTCCAAAATATCATAAAACATTTTTTCGCGGAGATAACTAGGGTCTGTTGCACAAGCACGAAGTTTGAATTTTCTATAGCCATTGAGCGACTCCTTTTCTTTCTTGTCCATTAGCACGCTATAGGACAACTTATTGAACAGTCGCGAGGTTTGGCCACTCAGCTCCAGGTTGACATTTCGATAGGTTTCTAATGAGCTGGATGTGATGCGTGTGAGATTAACAGTGATACGCACATCTTCCAACACTCTATCCAATAACTGATGGTAATCGGGTGACTGGATATGTAAAGTGGGGATTTCTGTCGTCAAATGATTTTGAGAACGATCAAGTCCCTTGGGATAGACACGGTCTCCCTTGCCATTTTGATAGCGCACACGTGGTATAAGGTCAGGTTCTCCTTGAATCGTTTTGATACGCCCGTAAAAGTCATAGAGGACAGAAGTTGTGAGGGGAGAGCGATAAAATGGCTCAGCCTCCATCAGGGTATCATGTTCATCCAAGAGTACAAATTGGTAGGCAGAGGAAGAAGGTGCAGTGCCTACATGCACAAGAGGATCCAGGCTCTTTGTGTTGTCCAGCATGTAGATCTTGTCATTGCCTTGCATACGAACACCCAATTTACTACCATGTTGTCTATTCACGTCATGTTTCAATGAATAAATTACCTGGTAGGTGGTATCTTGCGCATGAGCCAGACAAAGACTTGCTATGGCAACTACAAAAAAAAAATTGAATAAAAAAGTAAGGATTCAATGGAGAAATAACTTGATTTCCAGCTAAAAAGAATAACCAACCATATATAGTGATATAACGCATATATAAAATAAATATATATAAAAAAAGTGAGACAAAGGAAAAGAGAACGAAGCAATCTATTCACGTTATTTATATTTACAAGAATGTTCGCTACTTTTTTTTTTATTTTATATATGGCAGTTGCGAATCCAATTACAAACGTTAGATGATGATCTTCTTTAACCCCTATTTATTTATTGTTTTTAACGTTTTTTTTTTATATATATATATAATGTAAAACAAAAGAAGGGGGGGGGGAGACCGGGGAGGAGAGAGAGAGCTAAAAGGTTAATTTTTAGATTGTAATAGTAGTAATAAGATTGAACAAAAGGGGGTTTTGCTCATTTAGTGAGAAACAAGGAGTGAGTGAGAGATACAATAATAAAAAAAGATAGTACATTAAAATATGAAGAAAGTGAAAAATAATGCGGTATGCTTTAGTATAAAAGGAAAAAAAAATTGATACATTCCCAGCCTGCTGGAATTCTTTTTTTTTTTAAAAAAAAAGAAAAAAAAAAAGTACACCGGGATTTTTTTTTTCTTTAACTATACATCGGATGTCATTGGCGCTGTAGAGGGAATATGTACATGATGACTACTATTCTCATGACGGTCGTTGGATCTACTATGATAGGGTAATTCAGTGTAATTGGAAGCCCTATCAAATGTTCGAGCGGGCATATGCATTGTATGAGTTTGATCGCTTGGTTGTTTGCGATTACTGTTTCGGGAATTGTGAAGGACCATACCACAATGCTCACAAAAGGATTGTTCAGGGAGACGTGTGTAATCTACTCTTAAAGCCTCCACGAGCAGTGTGGATTCAATGATCTCGAAATAGACTGTAAATGCCTAAAAACTTTATCTATTAGCATTCTTTTTTTTTTTTCATCCCAAAGGAAAGGGGGGAGAAATCCTACTACTTACATCGGATCGGTTGCCAATGAATTTTGTCACCTTGAATAAATTCATAATTAGGTTGACAACAAAGGTTAAAATCAAACAAATCAAGGATTTTCGTGCAATATATTCAATCACTTGGTTACGATGGCTCATGATGGAGCGAGAGTTTCGGATATGTACATATAGTCTTTTTTGCTAGTGTGTTAGTTGAATGCTTTATTTTTATAAGTTAATATTTAGTGTACCTTCGAACAAACATGCCACTAAGAAATATATTTGCTAGCGAATCAGCAACGAAATTTAAAATAATGACACCTGTTCCCCTACGAAAAAAAAAAAAATCAGGGTTGCCAGGTCAGTTTCTTGTCATAATTAATAAAAAAAAAAGAGTATTTTACCATTGTGCAAGACAGTTTGAACCAAATTCAACTTCTTGTGACATCAATTGTTGCTGAAGCGAATGAAACGCAAGCTCATAAGGCCAATCTGCAAATCGAATGGTAATCAAAGCAATGCCAACAATTTTAATCCAAAGCGAATTTCGGTCTGACTCTAAAATAATGAGTCGTTTGAACATGATTGAATAAACAAGGAGATAATCTAATAAGAGAGTTGTTTTAGTTAGTGCTTTTTTCCATAGAAAAAAAAAACAATGATATCATGCAACATACTTAGATGCCATAAACTACAAATAATGACATGTTAGTTTTTTTTTTACAGAACAAAAAAAAGGGGGGTGTGGGGGGTACCGAAAATTTTACAAAGGAAGCTTACGAAACAAGTAATGGCCAAAAAGCACATGTTGTGATTTCAAACAATGGAACAAGACCATAGATAAAACGATGAATGAAAAACACTAGTACTTGAGCAATGTTCATCAAATGACTATATATTAAAGAGAGAGAGAGAGAGAGCCATCGTTTTTTAGTCATCATTATCGACACTTTCATAAATATTCTATTTACATCAGACCGCGTGTACGTCGATATTGCCGAAGACAAACAATAAAATTTCGAACACACATTGTCACTGCTATCCACATACCAATCATGTTGATACGATCAATCACTCTTTCTCCATATTCTGATAATTCAATCATTCTTATTCGTCGCTAAGCAAACAAAAAAATCTGTCTTTTTTTGGTAAAGAGGGTATATTACTAGTACAATGACGAAAAAAAAAATACAGTAGTGCTCTTTTTTTAGCTTATTTGTTTGCCTCTTGTAAAAAAAAAATTATAAAAGTGTAGAAAAGAAAAGAGACAAAAAAGAAACATCTAGTAAAAATTTATATAAAGGACAAGGTTGGAGGAAAAAAAAAAGACCTAGGCGGAGTGGCAATACAGTGGCTGAGAATCAAGGGGATAAGTTGGGAAAAATACAAAGATGTCCATTGATTTTTCCAGTTCTTTCCCGTATGTAAAATTACATTAGGAAACAACCAATGACTAAACACTGAAAAAAAAAAATGATGATGATGATTCACGTTTTTTTATTTATTTAGTAGTACTAACTATCCTATAATCTTAAACAAGGGAGAATCCCAAGTTTCCCAATCCTTTGCCCTTCTTGCCTCACCAAAAATTTTCAAGACCTTGGCACGAATACGATAACTACCAACGGGTACACGATCCTGAGTTGCCTTGATACTCTGCTTAATATTCAAGGCATCGTTTCCATGGACATTGATCGAGATGGGTCTGGGATGAGTGGGTGGTACAGAGATCAAGACCTGAGGCCCATCCAATGATGTATTAATAGGAATTATGCCACCTCGCCAGCCCAAAATGTAATCGAAATTTTCGGGCGAATGATCATTTCTGGAAATATATGAGTTGGATCCTAACGGAATCTCTCCCAAGACCTCGTTTGTTGTACCATTCAAAACGAGGTATTGAATATGCGATGTAGGGTTACCAATGCGTGTGAATACTGTCACTGCATCGTACGCCAGATTGAATTCAGTCTTTGAGTCTTCGGTAGATTTAACGCCCATATTATCCGCAATGTAAGGATACCCCGCCTAAATACACATACACACAAACACACACACCACAGAAACCAATGTTAGTTTTTTTCTTTTTTGTTAAGGATGCATGGGGTTACTCACCGCTCTATCGAAAATGGGTAGATCCTTTTGATTTCCTAACGAACCAAAAAACGGCACATGGGTGATATCATTCCCCGCAGCCACCTTAAGAAATCCACCATGAATCAAGTGCTGAACGTTCATCATGGGTTGCCCAAACTCCACCTCGATTTGTGCAGACTCATAAGGTCCTAATTCTAAGGATGTCTGTTCAAAGGTGACATTCGTGTGAGCAATATAGTATCTCGGTGTTAATAACGGTACAGCACTTTCTGAAAAGTTGTATCCTATTTTGATAGGTCCATGTTAAATATTTATACAGACATATTTTATCTATCCATGTTTGATGTTATTACCATTGATACCGACAGCAGTGACAAAATTGAATGAAAAGATTCTCGAATTATTCGAGAGGTTAGCCAGGTCCAAAGGAATTCGTTTTGTAAAGAACTCTGTGTCATTTAAAGAAATCGTACTAGGCGAGACTAGACTTTGACCATAAATCGCATCATAAATCTTTTGCTTTCACTGTCAGTTTCTTTTTTTTTTTTTTTTTTAACCCAATAATAAAAAAACTTTGTTTTTTACCTGTACTAATCCCGATCCTTGTTTAATGGGTGATTCTAAAACCTCTCCTCTATTCATTGTCATGGCTGTAATTGGCTTTGCATAATTAGCTAGTTTCATTAAAACTGTGGCGGTATCACGTATGCCGGTCGCTTCCATCAATAAGGCAATGCATCCTACTAAATAAGGCTGCATTGAGAACGTTTTAGTGAGTCTATGTAAGTCAACCTTGAATAAGTATCATTTATTTTTTACCGTAGCCATGCTTGTTCCGCTCATGGTCGCATAGGCTCCCATACTCACCGGATAGGTCGAAAAGACAAACCCACCTACTGCTAAAATCTCGGGTTTAAAATGAAGCTACTTACAAAATGTGGTTATTAATAAACCCTAGTGATGCATTAAGGTGTGTGGAAGGCTATTTATTACCTCTGCATCAGGTCCCCAAGTAGAAAATCTATTATTAAAAAGGGGGAGGAGGAGGATTCAGAAAATGTCCTTTTTTTTTTTTTGATTGATTGGGTGAGAATACATACGCTGAAGCACGACCGGATGATTTGACTTTGACCAATTTAGCAGTAAATTGAATAGTAAAGGGCGCTTCTTGATGATACAAGGATAACATGTTCATCAGGTCCGAACCTCGTTCAAAGTCCAAAGCGGCTACTGGAATGGGTGTATCGTAGTTTTGTGTGCTATCTGAAATATCCGTGTCGTTATTATAAATCAAGATACCAGCGCCACCTGCTTTATAAACCATGTCTGCCATTACACGGTCATCACAGGCACCTCTTTGAAGCATAACGACTTGACCTGTCAAGTTCTGACCGATAAGAGGTTCACAAGCAGTGCTACTCAAGGTCGTTAGAACCAACGGATCACTGTCTTCCGTAAAGGTATTTCCTCCAGTCAATTGATATTCTAACCAGAAAGAAATGGTTTTTTAAAAAAAAAGGTTTTAAGTAGGTGTGTATGGGGGGGGGGTTTACCGTAGATGCCATTATCTGAAGATTGAATGACTTGACTTAACTTCTCTTCATTATCAATGGATCCTACTGAAATCAAACCTTTTCCTATAGCGGGTGAAGGAGTTCGAGCAATGCCTTTTTTTATTTACTCCTGAGTTTAGTATATCCCACGTTTTTTTTTATAATAATAAAGGGGAGGTTTACCATCAGTTCCCTCGTTTCCTTGAGCTACAACAACCACGATGTTTTTTCCTGCTATATTCGATAGAGCCACAGCAAGCGGATCCTATAAAAAACAAGACATTTAGAAATGTGTTATGAAATGTAAATGAAAAAAATAGGGTACCTCTTGCCAAGCGCTATAACCACCTCCCAAGGATAAATTGATGACATTCATGCCCGCTTTCACAGCCATCTCACTAAAAAACAATGCATGCACATACTGATTGTTAGAAAAGTTATTAAAAAAAGGGGGGAGGAAGTGTTCACTTACGCTGCTGCAATAATAATGTCGTCATCTGTATCCCCATTACACCCAAACACTCTATATACGACGTCAGTTTTTTTTTTGGGTTTGCGTATCTTTTTCATTTTTTACCTGTAGGCACCTAGAGTTACACCAACCGAGACACCTTGAAAACCCTGTACTCCTCAAATTTTTTTAGATCTCAGCCTATCTCTAACTTTTTTTCTTTTATAGATTTACCTTGAGCGTATCATTGGCAGCGACAATACCAGCGACATGAGTCCCGTGACCATCACATTGATCCCCTTTTTTTTTTAAATTACATATGAGCTAAAAATAGATTATTCATGACACGAATTTTAACTTACAATGGGTCATTGTCTGGTTTCGTTTGCTTGCTTGCTACAAAAGAAAAAAAAAATTAGCTTTCTTATGTAAATTGGTGCCTTTTGGTGTCTTACCTTGACCATACGCATCACCTACAAGATCATGTCCATAGGCAACCAAGCAACCATCCTACAGAAAAAAAGGGGCAGTGTCAGTAAAAAAAGGCTTCTTTTTTATGTCGTATAAGATCACACATGTTATCATATGTAAAAAAAAAAAAAAAAAATTGTTACCCCGAAACAACCACCCAAGGCAGGATGAGTATAATCAATGCCAGTATCAATGATACCAACTTTCACTCCTTTACCAGTCCAACCCTTTTGATGTGCTCTATCCGCAGTCGTCAAGATATGCGCGTCCTGTAAATTGGCTTTTCCACCATCGACAGTCAATGGCACAACAGAACTGTTTCCGAAATAAGCATCGAGGACATCTTGTTGAAACGTTTCCGAGTGCATAAGGGGGATCTCCTTGATCGTCTTGGGTCTTTGGTAGGTCTTTCCGGACCAGTAACGTAGGATATAAGGGCAATTGGCCAAGGTGGTATGCCAGTCAATAGGGTCCTTGGCACTTGCTGCGGTCAGGTCGGGTTGTACGAGCTGAATAGACATACCATTGATAACACTAGAGTAATTGTAACGGACACGTACATGGTGCATCATATCTTGGGATTGCAAATAGTTCAGAAAGCGATCATGGTCTTTGTACAGTAGTAGTGGGTCATCAAGAGAGGATTTGAATTGGATGGTGAAGCGGTCAGAATGGGTATCGGGGTTCATGGTTTGATGACCATGAACAAGCCCTATTGCCAACAATAAGAAGAGACAATGCATAAGGTGATGGAATAATGAAGAAAAAAAAGAAGAAGTATGTGCCTTTTGCTTTTTTTATATGATACTATTCACATTGAAAAATATCATGGTGGTTGATATGTGAATTGTTTGTTAGAATAAAGTTTTTTTTTTTTTTTTATTATTATAATCACTAGTCTATAGGATGGCATTCCATTCATCATCATTCTCCCCTTCCCTCCCTTTTTTTTTTCACTACGTAATTGACGTCAGACAGACATAAGGGTTCGTTTTCTGTTTGCCACATGGCCTTTTTTTTTTTTTTTTTTGACGGATGGGACAGAGTGTGTGACACTTAATGATAATCGTTTAGCAGTAGTATAGGACTAAATCATGGATAATCAAATAAGCCGTAACTGAAAATAAAAAATTCTTAAAGAGCATTCCACCTGTACAGAGTTTTAAGACAATCAACAAACTGTTTTTCTAATTTTTTTGTTTTCTAGAACGTACAAGGAGTCACCTGACCTTTTTCTAATTTTTTTTCTTTTTTTAAACAGGCGTGCATATACACTCGATTTAATTTTTTTGTGATATCCTTTTGAAAAAAAAAAAAAAAAGTGTGGGTATTTTTTTTAGGGTTATTAGTTTGCATATTGCCAAGTTGTGTGTAACAAAAGATAAGTGGGGTTATCCTATCAAAAGTGATTAGATTACGACAGTTTTGGATCTCAGTAGAACCAAACTTCGATTGGGTTGTGTGTAATAGTTTTTTTTAATCAGCCGTTTTTTTTTTTTTTTTTTATCAGATATCCCAATAACCCGTCTTATCATTTTTTTTTTTTAATTATTTCATAAAGTCGATAAGATTGTGAACTAAAAAAAAGTTTATATGAGATGCATTGACATGCATACAGAGTACAAAAAGTAACATGAAAGGACATTTCGGAAGAAAAGGGAGTTTTTTTTTTTTTGGTTGCTATGCACAATTAAGAGAAGCAGTAGAGAGATTAAACAATGCTTTTGCAGCTTTTGATCCCGTAAAAAATGAAGGCTAGAACGCTAAAAAAAAATACCCCACTTGACAGTTTTATTTAGCACTGGCTTGAATTTTTTTTTTTTTTTTTTTTTTAGTTTGGATAGGATTTGGCTTGATTGGTATATCATCACATGAACACGGTTCTTCCCGGACTTTTTTTTTTTCTTAAAAAAAAATAAATTCATCTATTAGACAGGGAAAACCCAATACAAGTAAAATAGGGCGATCTATTTGGAGCTACTAATTTTGAGTTTTTTTTTTTTTTTTTTTTTTTTTGTGGAGACAATAAACTTGTAGCATAAATATACCATAAGAGGCATTTTCAAAAATAAAAATTGACAGAGGGATGGCTTCTTATGTGATAGGTTTACAGCGGAACTGTAAATAATAGAAAATGGAAAGGAATATAAAAGGAAATTATTTAAAGTTACACTTTTTGCAAACTCCCTTTTTTTTTTTTTCTTTACACCCTGAAGACCTTTTAAAACTGATAAGACAAGGGGAAATTGAGATGAGTGTGGGTAAAATTTATTTCTATTTGTTCCACGAATGTGTGATACCTGCGATCTATAGCAGAAAAAAAAGTTAATCTGTAGTTTGGTTTAGATGTGGGAAAATGAACGGAACTCTAAATGCAGAGTGGGTGGAGAACCAATTGAAATCGTATATGGTAATAGTTATCAATCGAGGGTCATCCGGTGCTTCTAATGGGTTAAAAGAAAGGCGGTATTTAGTAATAGAAAGCCCCCCGCACAACAAGAACCAGTCAAATAATCTCGCGGAGCTTTTATTTTGAGGGGGAGGATCCTAAATAAAGTAGCTCATGATTTGTTTCATGTGGTACAATTCTTTTTTCCTTGGAAATTTTATTTGTATATAAAGGGGGCTCAATTTAATTTTCCTTTTTTTTTTTTGTTTCTCTATTATATTTTCCACCCAGTCGATCACTCAATTTTTTTTTTTTTTTTTATCTTTTTTTAAATTTTAATGGCAGAACCTAATTATGCTCCCAGTGTGGGTTCCGAGAAATTCAAGGTTGAACAGACAACCATTGACAATTATGTTGAAGAAGATAGAGCCTCCAGTATTGTTAATGAATTTGGTCACGGTGAAGGTAACTTCATGACCGCTTACTTTAACGTCGTCTGTGTCGTTGCAGGTACTGGTACTCTTGGTCTCCCCAAAGGTATATATTAATTTATAGTTTCACCCCCCCCCTCCCGCATGTCACTGACATTTTTCTTTTTTTTTTCTTTTGCAGCTTTTGCCGAAGGTGGTTGGTTAGGTATTCTAATTTTATGTCTTGCTTATGCAATGGCCGTCTACTCTGGTATTGTTCTTATCCGTTGTTTGTACTATAAACCCGGTCATCGTCTCCATGACTACAAGCAAATTGGTACTGCTGCTTTCGGTTGGCCTGGTTACATTGTTGCCTCTGCTCTTCACATTTTGAATTTATTTGGTTGTCCCACACTTTATCTTGTATTAGCTTCTGGTAACATGGTTGATCTCTTAAAGAACACTAGCAACGTTATTTCTTACAAGGTCTGGGTTGTGATCTGGGGTGTCTTTCTCTTGATTCCTTCTCTTGTCTTAAAGACATTGAAGGAAGTCACTGCCATTGCTGCTATTGGTGCTCTCTGTACCATGATGGCCGTCTTTGTTGTACTCATTCAAGGTCCTATGACACGTAATGCTAGCCCTCTTCCTGTTGAACATAGTGGTGTCATTTGGGAAGGTTTCCCCGTTGCACTCTCTACCATTGCTTTCTCATTTGGTGGTAATAACACTTACCCTCATGTGGAACATGCCTTAAAGAAGCCTCATCAATGGAAATATGCCGTCATTGCAGGTCTCAGTACATGTACTGCACTTTATTTCTTGACTGCTGTTCCCGGTTATTGGTCCTTTGGTTCTGCCACTCAATCCCCCATCTATAACAGTTTGCCTGATGGTGTGGGTCGTACACTCTCGATGATTGTCATGACCATTCATGTTATCTTTGCTATTCCCATTTACACCACCTCTTTCTCTCTTGAATTTGAAAAGTTCTCCAACTGTACTGAAGAACGTTATGGTCGCTTTGGTGCTTGGGTGGGTCGTGCTGTGATTCGTACGTGTACCATGGGTATTCTTGTGGTATTGGCTTGTTTCATTCCTTACTTTGATGACTTTATGGGATTGATTGGTTCTCTTGCTAATTGTGGTCTTGTCTTTTTGTTGCCTATTCTTTGTTACTTGAAGTTGACAGGTGTACGTAATAAGCCTTGGTATGAACTTGCTTTCTGTGCTCTTACCCTGTTCTTGGGTATCATTGGTTGTGTCTTTGGTACCATCGATTCCATCAAGGCATTGATCCGTGATTTCACCTCTTAAAAAAAATCATCCACCTTGTATTCTATCTATTTTATACCTACCTATCACAACACACTAAAAAAAAAAAAAAAAAAAAAAAAAATCCCCCTGTAAATATTCTTACTTTCTTTATTTCTCTTCACTTATCCCTTAAAAACCTTTTTTTTTTATTATTATTTTAATCAATGTATTCTAGATGATCTACATCCAACAAAATAAAAAAAAAAAACTTTGCAGTTATTAAAAAAAAAACTTTTTTTTTAATTAAATAATTTTCCGCGGGCCCTTTTTTTGCTCTATTGGATTCGAGCTTGGGGGCATTTTTTTGACAGCATGGGGGATGTCCTCTTGATACAAAAAAAAAAGCGTGGGAAATAAGTTGTCAAAAGAACATGGGGGGTCCTCTTTTGAAAGAAAATCCTTAAAGATATAAAATAATAATATCTGGGGAATACAAACATTTGGTGTAACAAACTTGTCACATATTTTAATTGTTCGGATCGGATGTTTAATTATTTAGGCTTCTCGATAATGCATTTATCCCATTTGGCAGGTTTAGGGGTGGGGGGTCCAGTGGCGGTTGGACAGACCTTTTTTTTTTGCTTACAAACATTCCCGTTACAAATCTTTTTTTTTTCCCTTTTTGTGATGAACAATAATAAAAAGATAAGCATCCTTTGTTCTATATTCACATGTTGATAAAAATCTCTATTTTGTGCTTATTTAGAATTCAGTCTTTTTTTTTTTTTGTCAAGAGTGACTGAGTATTAAAAAAAAAAAAGTTATAGAACATTTAGTTTTTTTTTTTCTTTCTTTTCTTCAGTTTTCCCTTTTCTTTTTACTTAACAACAAATAAAAAAAATGTCAGTGGCTGATAGTGGGACAAGACCCAGCTTGACTATCAATACTAAAATCAAGCGTTGGACCAACCTGTTTAGTAGTAGCAAGACAACCACAAGTCCCACCCACAGTGCAATAGGATCCTCCTCTCCCTCCTCTGAAGAAGAAGCCTTGACAGCAGTAACAGAACATTCTTCCGTCTTTAAAAAGTTTCATGTACCCCATTTTCACACAAAGAGATCCAAGTCTACGTCAGCAGAATACACTCCCTTTGAACCCGTAGCTCCTCAACCCATCATGCCAACCCCAGTACCATGTTCACCAGACCTTCATTCCTCTTCACCACCACCAGCACCTTGGGAATATACCAAGATTCAAAAGCGACATTCAATGAATGTCTATGATTATGACACTCAATACCATTCTGACACAGATGTTATTCTTTCTGACACTTTAGATCTTACCCCCATTGAATCTGTACCCACCGTTACCACCACAACCACCCCTACCAACACAAATCGTATACGACGTCGATCCAGCTGTCCCACCTACGATACACTTTCCTTGACTACCACCGAAAGTAGTAGTTCTACTTTGGTAGAGAATGATATCATGTCCATCACCGAAGTACATACTCGTATCTCCTCTGTCTTCAAATCGTACACCCATCCAGCCGATAAAAAATGCAACCTGAAACCTTGTCGTAAAATGAAGGCTCGTGCAGCCGAGGCTGCGGCCAACGGTACTGTCGCACGGACTTCATCCTCCTTTTTAAAATACATGTATATACCCAACGTCTTTGATCCCGTTACCCATGACACTGTCTTGGCCATGGCTTCTATCAAACCTAGAAAATATCAACTCTATCGTAAAACGAGCTGGAAAACAGAGGCGAAAGCCTTGATGACTTGGCATCATACCTTGGATGCTTACATGGCTCAACCTGTCCCTTCGCCTCCTGAACATCCCAAGGTAATAATAATAATAAAAAAAGCGCATACATCAAGTGTATTCATTCTCTTTCTTTATCTTTTTTTTTTGTAGTCCCCAGAAAAACAAGAGAAAAACGATTTGACCCGTAGATTCATCATGCGAGAGTTCTTTGTGACCGAAGTGAACTTTTGGAACCAGCTCTATTACACCAAAGTCGTACGTTATATATATATAAATTTCTGCACATTTGATTCGAAATTAACATGTGAAAAAAAAAAAAAATAGATATTTTATGACGTCATTGTCAATGCCATAGAGAACGGGAGCCAATTTGTCAAACAGGACAACGTGGATATGTTTGCCAATCTGTTTGACCTCATGCAATTTTCGGCTAAACTCATCCACCGTCTCCGTCATGTCCAGGTCGATGATCTCGAAAAGGCCTTTAAAGTCGATTGCAATAATGCACACCTGGGTAAGATTTTACGTGATATGGCTCAGGATTTAGTCGTATTTTTACGCTGTGCTTTGGATTACAAGGAAAATCGAAAACTGTTGGATAACAATGTTAATAATAAAGGTTATCTGAGGTACAACCAGGTAAAATTCAATTTTTTTTTTTTTTTTTTTTTATTTAGAAGCTAAAAATTCCTTGTAGAAACTAAGTACGAGAAAGGAAACAAGTCAGTTTACAATGAAAGATTTTCTGATTATACCTATTCAACGTGTAGCTCGTTACGGGTTATTAATTGCAGGTAGAGTGGTTTAAAAAAAACAAGGTCACACGAAAAGACTAAAATAGTTTAACCTTTTTTTTAAAGATCTTATTAAGCATTCGGAACCAACAGATGCCGATTACAATGACTTGATCATTGCTCATAAAATCATTACCAGTCTTGCATCTACCATGAACTCTGTTCAAACCAAGAACAAGGCCTAAATTCTAATCTTTTTCTTAAACCCTTTGTACATACATATATCACACACACACACACACTTAATTTCATTACAAGCTTTTTTTTTAATTTATAATATAATATATACATAAAATCTTTGGAGAGGGGGCGAGGAGGAAGAGAGAAAGATTACTGCTGAGACTTACGATAGGTATTGGCAGCTTCTTCGTGGGTAGCAATCCAATCCTCCACGTTACAGGACCAAGTCTTTTCATACTGACCAAACCAACCCTTTCTTTCCTTTTTAACCAATTTAAATCCATGACGTTTTTCCAAGATGGTAGCGGCTTTTGATTCTAATTCATTGGTCTTGGCCTCTACACGCGATAAACCCTTTTCATGTGCCCATGCCATGGCTCGGTCCACCAAAAAAGTGGATAATCCACAATGTTGGTATTCAGGTTTTACTGTCAAACGTTCCAGAGAGGCAACACCATCTGCGTGAGGACGAGCAAATACCACGGGAGGCATTTTATCTTGCAGGTTGGAAAGGGATTCGGGTAAAGTCAAGTGATATCGCTTGAATAAAGCAGCGGCCATTAATTTCCATGTGGCTGGTTGGGCGGGTCTCCTTGAATAAATGACTTCTTTGTAATGCGCTAATCCAACCATACCACAATACTTATTATCCATCGTCAAAACCCAGAAATGAGAGGGTGATTGTTCCTCTAAGGGCTTTTGGGTACGGACAATCTCTGTGGCGGGTTTGGCGTCTTTATCAAACGACACATGCTTTTTACCTTCCTCTCTTGTTCTATCCTCATCCTCTACCTGTACCTGTTCCTTCACCCAGTTGAGATAATAAATCTCTGGGTCAGAAAGATCGTTCTGACGAGCTTGTTCTACTTGGTCCACCACTTGAAATCGGTCCGTGACAACAAATACACCTGCAAAGGAAACAACGGCCCAAGCCAACGTCATGAATATCTTGAGTGCAATAGAGGCCCAACCAGGGACGGGTAATCCAGCTAATAAGACAGGGACAATGGCTAACAGGTAAGCATAAAAGGCTACCCAGATAATCCAAAAGGAGGGAGACTTGAGTTTGCATTTGACGCCTTCGGGTACCAGTGTGAAATAAGTACTGTAAAATAAATGGTCCACTTGGTCATGGTCACTGGCTCGGTAAGTTCTTAATACCAAACGCGGTGCTTCCATCTTTGTTTCTGACATTGTTTGTAATAAGGAAGAAAAAAATAGAAAGGTAAAGCTTTTTCTTTTTAATTTTTTTTTTTTAATTTTATTACACGTTTCATGTATAAGGTGATTTCATTGGTCAATCGCGCTTTCTCAAAAAGTTTTGTCTCTCCGAATGTCTGTGTAAAAAAATAAACTTATTGAGGCCTTGTGATATTGGCGGTCTTGATGAGATGAATGGATCGATTTGTCCAATTTCTAAACTGTATTGCACTTTCCTGACCCGCTTTATAAACTACAATATTTTTTTTGGTTTGGTTTAGTAAAGAATAGATTTGTTTCAAGGTCAATCTCTTACTTTCTTTCTCGGTTTCATCTAATTTCTGTAAAAACTCTTGACCAGCACTAGCACCTAATGTCTGAGAGAAATCTGTGATATCCAAAAGCCTCGCTCTAAACGCCTAAACCAGCAACCACACACCCCCATCTTGGAGTTTTAGTTATAATACAAATCAAAAAAAAAAAACCACTAGATACCGCTTACCGTTCTCAAGGCTATGGCTAGAGGTTTATCCACCACCAAATCCAATAATTTAAGACCAAACAAGTAAAAATAAGGACACAATAATCGAAAATCCACATTACTGGCACTGGCATCCAACGCATTTCTTACACGTGTGCCAAACGTCTTTGGTAACTCGATGGAAATGAGTGAATTTTCTACCATGTTGCCTGGTAATCTACATATATATACTCGTTATGTTAACACCCATGATCGGTGTTTCACTGTAAATAAGGGTGCTTACGTGAATTGAGCCATGGGTTTGGCAATCCAGAAAGGTAGTTCAAATCGTTGATTACGGTCCACCTATAATTCCTCATGGGTAAGCCCATTAATCATTCATACATAAAAAAAAAAAAAGGGATCAGATCTTACGGGTTGTCCGTCACCCAACAAGTTGGTCTCTGCCGCGTAATCATGAAGAGCTATACAAGGTATTCTCTAACAACAAGTCAGTTTTTCTTTTTTATACTTCTTGCCGCTTTGTGTCTTTTACAATTTGTTCAGCCAAGATGTTGTCAATGTTGTAATATTCGTCAAGGTCCATTTTTTTTTAGAAAAATAAAAAAAAAAAAATTATATGTGTAGCAAAAAAAAAAACAACGCGTATTCGAATAAAACACGTATTCCAAATATATACCTATTTTCTTTTTTAAATAGGCGATCATTTACATTCCGTGCTTGTAGTGTTTATAGAGTGAATTTCCGATGGCACAGAGAGAGATAGGATCATGCGTGCATTGACACAACCCTTTGTACATCTCTGTCATTCTCACGCTGTAAAAAATCCATGGATATGCTGCCTACACACTGGGATTTAACGTGAGCCAATCACGAGTATAAGGTCTCCCGGAGGGACTGCTAAAAATGATGATGCATTAAAACAGTAAGGAAAAAAAAAAAAAAGTTTCTCTTGTTCTTTCTTGTTAAAGTTGTATTTTTATTTTTGTATTTTTAGTTTATATATATATCCTCCATTCATTCCTATCACATAGAAACGCGTTTTTATTGTTTATTTTTTTTAAAAAAAAGTTATTGTATCAAGTGTATATAAAATATATCTTACAAGAAAAGTGAGTCGATATTTTTTTAAAGAGTTATTTAAAAACTAACAAAAAAAAAAAAAAAAAAAAAAAAAATTAGGTAAAAACCCCCAGAAAAAAAAAATGTCGAAACAACATCAAGAAACAGATCATGGAGCACGTTCTATATTTGATGACCCAGTGGATTTATTTAATTTCAACCAAATCCAATCTTCACGTTCTGTACCCGCTTCAAGGAGGAATTCTCATGAAGATCACAACAATTTGGATCTCTTGTTAGGCACCACATTATCTCTCAATAACACGGATTCCGAGTCGGGGTAAATAAATAAAATTAGACCATTTTTTTTTTTGTTGTTGTTGCTCATTTCCCTTGTTTAGATTTCGAAAGTCGCCTTTTACTATAACACCTCAAGATCAAGTGACTAGCTTTAAATCGTCCATGGATGACGTGTCTGAAAGTAAGGCATTTTTTTTATTTTACACATAGGAAACGCCATGTTGTTCTATTTACTCATATTTTCACATACACATAGTCTCTTCCCTAAACCCTCGTTTATCACAAGCCAATGAATCACCTAAACGTTATCCAACACATGCCGAGCTGGCAAAGTTTACATCAGCTCAACATACACCATGGTTAACCAACTACCATTGGGAATTGCCTACCTCTATGGGAGTCTGTCCACAATTACAACAAGTAGGGTTCTGTCCTCGTCAAGATCTATGTCCTTACGCTCATCCAACAGGCGCTTTTTTTGTTTCAAATAACAATTCCTCGTTATACCAACAAGATCAACAACGACAACCATTCTTTACAACTCCCCTGATCAAAAAGAAACAACAACAACAACAGCAGCAGCAGCAGCAAGATCGATTTGCAGAGGCAAGTGTAGAGGATTTCACTGGTAAATTATTCGACCTCTGTAAAGATCAAAATGGGTGTCGATTCTTGCAGAAAAAGATTGAAGAAAATCAGACGTATCTGGATCTTGTCTTTGATGAAATCCAACCTCAATTCGTCCAACTCATGACAGGTAAGTAAGCTCTCTGAGCAAGTGGAGAATAAGTTTTTTTAACAGAATTCCACCCCACCCCCCCCCTTTTTTTTTACTATTATTATATTGCAATTTCCAGATCCGTTCGGAAATTACCTTTGTCAGAAAATGCTGGAAAAGTGTCATCATGAACAACGCACACTGATTGTTGAAACTGTCGCACCTGATCTTGTCAACATTGCTTTGAATATGCATGGTACACGTGCCGTTCAAAAACTTATCGAATATCTCTCTACCCCACAGCAGGTAATAATAATAATAATAATAAGCGTTCAAATGGGATTTAACATCATCCATTTTTTTGGGGGGCATTTTTAGATTAGCATGGTGACGGATGCACTCAACGCAAATGTAGTAACACTGATCAAGGATCTAAATGGAAATCATGTGATCCAGAAATGTCTTCACCGTCTATCGGCCGACGATAATCAATTTATCTATGACGCTGTGTGTACTCATTGTATCCAAGTGGCGTCACACAAGCATGGATGTTGTGTTCTACAACGTTGTTTTGATCATGCCACTCTATCACAAAAGGTAAAAGACAAAACAAAAGTAACGGATCAACTGTCATTAGGATGATTAAAAGTTTATGTGTTGTGTGGGCGGATAGGATCAATTAGTAGAGGAAATTGCAAAACACGCACTGACTTTGGTGCAAAACGCATTTGGAAATTACGTTGTACAATACGTGTTGGAATTGGGTGTGGCGGGATATTCGGAAAGTATCATTCGTCGGTTTGTCAATCATGTGTGTATTCTCTCTGTGCAAAAGTTTAGTTCCAACGTCATTGAAAATGTAAGTGGGGTCGAACATGTCTTTATTATTATTATTATTATTATTAAGAGTGTAATTTTGTTTAGTGTATACGTACGGCTCAACCTGCGACACGCCGATTATTAATTGCTGAGCTTGTGAATCCGTCGGTCATGGAAAAACTATTGCATAATTCGTTTGCGAATTACGTGGTACAGACTTCACTTGATTTTGCTGAAGAGGATCAACGTGCTGAGGTAAGTTCATATTAATAAAAAATGTGAGAGTTGGATACTTAACCTCTCTCTCTTTTTTTTTAAAAAATAAAATAAAAAAGCTTGTGGAGTGTATACGTCCGTTATTACCTACTATCCGTACTACGCCTTATGGTAAACGTATACACAGTAAAATATTTCGTGATCCGAAACCTCTGCCAAAAAATTAATCATTGGGGGGTCTTTTGTAAATAAATAAATAATAAATGGGATCCAAATCCTTTTTTCCCTTCAATATCGTTTTAAAAAAATGACTCACCACAAAAGTATTTCTGCTTTGAAAAGTCTATTGAAATGATTTGAGTAAACCAAGTTTTCAAATAAAACTCAAGAATTTCAATATGTTTTTATATATACACTTATAAACGGTAAATGAGAGAAAAGGAAAACATTTGACAGGTTGAATGGAAAAAAAAAAAAGTGTGTATTCATTTGACTTTGCAAGAAGGGTTTTTTTTTAGTACATTGAAGAACGTATTCAATGATATCTTATAATTATGCTAAAGTAACATGTGAAAGTTTTATCATGTGTCATAACATTACATCGTAATTTGTTCGTATCTATTCATTCGGGATAAGCGATTTAGTCGGCGCATTGTAAGTTAAGGAAGTGTAAAGCTACTATCAGGCAGGTTTGCTTTTCATGTAAATGAGCTAAAGCCAATCAAGCCTATTGATACATTGCCTTTTATCACTAATGAATGCTTTAACTTTTTACTTTATTTTATGCTCAATGTCAATGACGGAGAGTAAATCTTTGTTAATGCACTTAAGAGCGAGCGAACGAGACTCTCCCAGAACAAGAGATAAATGTTCGAAATCAAAAAACATGATCTCCTTGTAAAAACTCGGACCCTCTTAATTGATATACAAGGGTTCTGTTTTTCTTTGAGCACCCATTAACTTGCATCAATTTATACCTGCATTTTTCTATTACCAAATCGAGTAAAAGCACACATTTTTTTTTGCTTTGATTATTAGGTAAAAAAAACCCGTATTCGCCATGATCGACATTTACTGTGATGGGATCTCAGGGAGGTAAAGACGATCATCAAGTGTAACAATACTGAATCGCTAATGGTATAAAGAGAGAGAATAGAGGCATACAAATTATTTTCTTTATACTCCTTTGAAATTACTCAGCATCCACTACAGACAAGTCAATGCTATCTGCTCAATTCATCATTTTTATTGTGCTCTCGGTTGGTTATGCTATGGCAATCAATGTAGCTGATATCGCGGAATGTCCTGCACTTCCCGCTCGTCAGACTCCTGCTAGAGACGTCACGGATCTTCGTATAGATGATATCAAAATCATTGCTGGTTTAGGTGATAGGTAAATGCAACAGAATCACGAATAACTAAAAAAAAAAAAAAAAAGGGCCACAAAGAAAAATTTAACAAGCAGAGATAATAAAATAGTATTATGGCAGGCTTAGCCATGAACGGCATTGACTATGAAAACAGTGGGGTATTCAACTTGAGTTTGATTTCCGAATATCGTGGCAATAGTTATGCTGTAGGTGGTAACACTGGTGCCATAACACTTCCTAACTTTATTAAAAGATACAATCCTAAAGTCCGAGGTGCTTCCGTTCATTCGCATGTAATTTCCTTCTGTACGAATCCTTATTGTGGATTACCTACAAGCTTTTGTAAATGCTCAATTTCTTTCTTCCCTTCCTTCTTTTTTGTCTTGTAAAAAGTTATGTTGCAACTAAAACATGTTTTCCATTGTAGATCGACCTTTTACAGATAGATTGAATGGAGCTCAAAGTAACGCTATTGCCAAAAATTTGGATTACGAGCTTGATTATCTTATTCCCCGTAATTTTGGTTAAAATGTTTGGATGCGTTGCATAATACATTCTTATTCTAACTCCTCCTTCTTTTTTTTTTAAAAAAAAAAAATACAGGTATGAAAGCTTATTATATATTTAGTTCTAGCTTTAAAAATGACTGGAAAATGATCACCATTAATATTGGCAGTAAGTGCTAAATCACATCTATTAGTATTCTGATTATAAAAATTAATCGTTTTATAAGCCAATGATCAATGTTCAAGTTGCAGTAGTGAATCAGAAGCTTACACGACGCCAGAAGCTTATGGAAAGTATGTGGAAGCGGCTATCCTTCGTATCCAGAAGGAAATACCTAAAGTTGTAGTGAATTTACGTAAGTTTTACTGCAGGTTCAGACAGAAAAAAAAAAGTAGGATCGTAAACAAATGTCATAACTTGCATTTTTTTTAAGTGGGCACGTTTAAAGTATCCGGCATTTTTCCATTATCTGCTAAGAACAAGTCATATTGCGTGAAGAACGGAATACTAGAGAATAACAAGGAATGTGCATGCTCGGGTTCTACTGCTAATATGACTAAAATGGATGACTTATCAGACGCTTACAATGAAAAATTGTCTATACTTGCTGCCAAATATAAAGGTGTTGTGGGGGGAACCTTTGCTGTCATGTACAGTCCGGCCCCTATTGACTTTAGCTCGTTCCCTATCAATGCTCTGAGTAATGTTGATTGTTTTCATCCTAGCAAGAAGGGGCATCAGTGGTTTGCAAAGGTAAAATAAACAGTAATACATTCGTTTGCCATCTTATTGACATGATTTTTTTGCAGACTTTATGGAACCAGCTTTTTATAAAAAGAAGTCTTAAGCCTTCAGTCATTGGTTTTCAGGAAAATCTTTCTGTAAGTATTTCTAGATAATGTGCTGTTGACTCGAGTTTCTTAAAAAAAAAATTACAACTGTAGATTTACTGTCCAACCAGCGTCGATAGGCTTCCTACTACCAATGCCTAACCTAATAGTTTTTTTTTTTCTTATCTTTTATGAAAGTGTACCGTGCATACCTTTATGTGAATAAAAAATTAAACAAAGACCCGGATTTTTTTTGTTTTTTGTTTCGACGTACGTTATCTTAAGAATACAGAATAGTAGCTGCGTTTTAACGTACATGTCTATACATATTAAGAAAGAACATTTACTTCCATGCAGCTCGGGAAATTTAGACAGATATAAACTTTTTCTCCTGATATTATTTCTTTCCCCAAATAGGCCTAGTTATAATAGAAGGATAGGTATAAACCGATGCAGATTCTATCGAAATCAGAATAATCTCCAAGGGAAGTGTTTACTTCCTTTTCTGTAAAAAAAAAAAAAAAAAAAAAAAAAACTTGTAAGACTGAGTTTGCGCGATTGTTTTCTGTTCAGGGCAGAAAAAAAAAACCAGATACAATAAACTTCTTATTCCATCTCTAATTTGCATTGTCTTGTACACATTTCCACATGTTACAATGAGCATGACGTATTAACATTGAGATGTCATTTACAAATGACTTGCTGTACTTTGTAATATAGTATTCAATTCATCTAAATGAAAGTAATACATATACATTGATACGCGTCATTCGGCTACAATCTGATTAAAGAAGACGTTGTAACTTTACAACATCAAATAAAAATCAACTCCCTTATTTTCTTTATTTACACTTAGCGCAAGTACAAAGTGGTAAGGATAAGCATTATGCATATTTCTGATACGATGTCTAAAAATAAAAAGTTGCTGTATAACGCAAATCGTTTATAGTGCCACACATACAAGTTTGATATTAATTACATGAAAAAAAAAAAGAGAGAGAGAGAGGCATATCATGGGGGTGATGTCTATCAATTCATAACCATTGAATTTCTGTCGTGAAGATAACCATTGATCAACTCCTTTTTGATGAAATAGGCCTATTTTTGTGTAACACAGTGTTGCCCATCAAATGTAATATTAACGCACATTTTATCGTTGGTCAACAACAATGACCGTATTTTGTACGACTATCTTTCATTTGGTTTTAAACTGACTAAAATAAAATAAAATAAAATAGGATTTATACAGATAATACTATTAACGAATAAATCGATATTAAAATATCCCATATATTTATGGCGCAAAAAAAAAAAGAAGGAAAGTATAGCTGTTTACATCTTTAGATTATAAACTATAATGCCCGCCCAATAAAACAAAAGAAAGATACACGTGGTTTTCCCTTTTTAACAAAAAGTGATAATAATTCAATTGTTTCTATGTTTTTTTTTGGGCAGTGTTATAATAATTGTAGTGAGACTACTAAAGAAAAGAAGAGGATTAAGTAACAAGTTGGATTGAAAAGTTACCTTAACATGTGCGTAGTTCTTATATAATATTACTAGTTTGCTATACAGATTTTTATACAACATCCCCCTTGTTTCTCCTTGTTTTCTTTTATATCACAATAATACCATATAATTGTGCTATAATCATGTACCACTTATAAAAATAAACAAAACACACACACACACACACACACACACACGCACACATATATACATACACATACACAATTGCAATCAAGTGATTTTTGTTCAGTATTTAACCATGATCTTAAAGAGATTGATTTAATCTTACTCGTTTGTCCCTAGAAAAAAAAATTAAACATAAAAAATCTTCTCCCCACATCATTTTGCTCCTTCTTTTTCTCTCTCTTTTGTTTCTCTTTTCTTTTGTTGTTGAATGTTCCCCCTTGTATAAAAAAAAAAAAAGTATATAGACAATAATCTCCTCTCTTTTCTGCTGTACTATAATAATAATATAAAAAAAAAGGACCTAATATACAGCACCATCACCATCATTACCCATCAATATCATCAATTAATATAATATAATCACTATGGAAATATCATTCAGTAATCTATCGCTAGCATCTGCAGCCGCATCAAATAACGGAGACTCTTCAAACCCCAATAATTTACCAAGACGTACAGGATCGTTGGTCAGACCTGAAAGAAGCAGAATCGATTCACAACATCCACAATATCATACACGAAAAAGAGTTTTAAACAACGAAGATTACTATACTCCAGCTGGCGACCGATCAGCACCTGCAAGGCGTTCAGTAATAAGAAGAGGGTTATTAGGGGTTGAAGACGATGATAGACAGCATCAATCCAACATTGAGTACACAACTAATAAAACATCTAATTCGTGCGATACTTGGAAAGCGTTTTGCTACCTTGTAACGTGCTGTTGTCCTCCCCCTATTCTTAAAGCCATGGGTAACTATCACAGAACCTTTTTTTTTTTTTGTGTCCTGAGGGATAAAATAGTATATTAATAGATTTCTGTAGGCAAAAAAGACCAAAGTGCACAGATGGCTTATCGAGAAAAGATCGGCCTCGTTGTAATTATCTTGGGCATTATGGCTTTTGTGGGGTTCTTAACATTTGGATTTACACAAGTGGTTTGTCCCAGACCACCACTTAGTTTTCGTGTAGAATCGATTACCAGCGGATATGTTATTATTCATGGCTGGGCATACCTTTTAGCTTCTTGGAACGGACACCCTGCCATTCCTGGCATCACCGACAAACAGACGAACGTTATCTACGAGCCAATTAATGCTGGAGGAAAAGATGCCTCGTTTCTTTTTCAAAATATAAATCAGAATTGTGCGTCCATTATTATGCCAAAGAATCTAGGCGCCGTCATCGGAAAAGGGGATACTCCTTCTTATTTTCCCTGCCAACTTATAGATTATACTACTCCACCACCTAGTGCATCTACCTACTCTAATCAGTCTGCATGTCACTTAAACCCTCAAACTCACACCACTTTTGATACTATGAAAGCCAACGGCATTTTAAATTCAAATGGAAATTACGATAAATCAGGAAGAGTTTATTATGACTGGACTGACGTTAATTCTACCACACATTTAGCTGTATTTAACAGGTACTAAAAATACTAGCATATATACATATATTTATATATTAAAATGACAAAATGTTACTGCTGCACAATGTACTAACATTGATTTATGACAGCTATGTATTAAACTTAAATTTACTACAGTCAATACCTCAGTCTGTATTTACATTTCCAGCAGATGGTCTTATTCAATCCATGGTGCAAAATTCATCTCTTTACGGCGGCCAAGATATTACTCATATCATTGCAACACATCGAACGTTAAGTAAACAATGGAAATCAGAAGCCCAATGTCTACTCGATATTATCAAAGTGGGCGAAATTGATACCAAAAGTTTTGGCTGTATTGCTTCCGATGTAGTGCTATATACATCGCTGATTGTTATTCTTGGCGTGATTCTGGTTAAATTCGGTCTTGCTGTTGTTTTTGGTTGGTTCCTATCTTGGAAGCTAGGCAACTTTAAGAAAGAGGGCAAAACAACGTACCAAGAACGTATGCGACGAGATAACGAAATTGAAGATTGGACAACTGGTATTAATGTTCCAGCTGAAGCCATCCGTCCCCATCAGGGCTCCCATAAATATCCTTCCTATAACAGCAATAGTAATCTTGATAAAAAAAGAAGTATCATTCCAAAGAAATCACGATTTACACAACCAGATACAGGGTCAATGCATTTTAATTCCGTTGAAAGACCAGGCAGCACAATCTGGAAGCAATCAAATACAGGGTAAAAAACAAACACTTACTTTTTGTTGTTGTTGCATTGGAACTTAACCTTAATATTTGTTGTGCCCTTTTACCTTTCCCTTTTTTTTTTTTTTTTTTTTTTAGATCAAGAATCTTTGGAAATAGTAATGCTATTAATACTGGATCTGGAATAATTTCCCCTCGACCTACAGGGTCAAATTCTGAAAATAGTAGGAGCGTAACTGCAAGTCCTTTATCGCGCCGATCTTCACGAACAACTCGGTCAAGCATTACACAGTCTTTACAAACCACGACATCGTGTCCATACGAATTGTCACCGCATGCAGTAAAACAACCTGCAGCAGAGTTTATGCCTTTTGGTTTCAGTCTAGCTCACACTATTTGTCTCGTTACTTGTTATTCAGAGGGTGAAGATGGATTGCGTACCACATTGGATTCCATTGCCACGACAGATTATCCTAATTCACACAAGTTGATTTTAGTTATTGCAGACGGTATCATTACTGGACATGGTAATGCAATGTCTACTCCTGATATTTGTGTTTCAATGATGCATGATTTCCTTGTCGAGCCAGCTAATGTGGAGGCATGTTCTTATGTGGCTATTGCTGACGGTACCAAGAGACATAACATGGCTAAAGTCTATGCAGGATACTACCGCTATAATGACAATACGGTCGATCGCGATTCTCAACAGCGCGTACCCATGATAACCATTGTCAAATGTGGTACCCCGGAAGAGAGAGAGAAAGAATCAAAACCGGGTAATCGTGGTAAACGAGATGGACAGGTGATCCTCATGTCATTTTTACAAAAGGTCATGTTTGACGAAAGAATGACCGAATTGGAATACGAGTTCTTTACCAATGTTTGGCGTATCGCCGGTGTCAGCCCTGATAAATATGAAATTGTCTTGATGGTGGATGCTGATACCAAAGTGTATCCTGACGCATTGTCCCGTCTTATTAGCTGTATGGTCAACGATTCAGAAGTAATGGGTCTTTGTGGCGAGACAAAGATTGGTAATAAAACTGATAGTTGGGTGTCAATGATACAAGGTAAAATATATGCATACATTTCCTATAAATAATACACCACACTAAACAACCCCCCTTTGCCCCTCACCCTACCCCTTCTCCTTAGTTTTTGAATATTATATCTCTCATCATCAGTCCAAAGCTTTCGAATCTATTTTTGGTAATGTTACTTGTTTACCAGGATGTTTCTGTATGTATCGTATCAAGGCACCTAAAGGAAATAATGGTCATTGGGTTCCAATTCTAGCCAATCCTGATATCATTGAACATTATTCTGAAAATGTTGTGGATACACTTCATAAGAAAAATCTGTTATTACTTGGTGAGGATCGTTATTTATCAACGCTCATGTTGAAGACATTTCCCAGAAGAAAAATGTTGTTTGTCCCTCAAGCTGTGTGTAAAACCGTAGTACCGGACTCCTTTGCGGTTCTGCTCTCTCAAAGAAGACGATGGATTAACTCTACCATTCATAATTTAATGGAATTAGTGTTTGTACGCGATCTGTGCGGTACATTTTGTTTCTCCATGCAGTTTGTTGTATTTATGGAATTAGTGGGTACATTGGCGTTACCTGCAGCTATTTCTTTTACATTGTATCTTATCATTTTGGCTTGTATTGGTCAGCCTGCGGTCCTATCCCTGATTTTGCTCGCACTCATTCTGGGTCTTCCTGCAGTTTTGATCTTAATGACAAGTAGAAAACTAGTCTACGTCGGTTGGATGCTCATTTATTTAGTCAGTTTACCAATCTGGAATTTCGTGCTTCCATCTTACGCTTACTGGCATTTTGATGATTTTACGTGGGGAGAAACACGTAAGGTAGAAGGCGAAGGCAAAGATAATCACGGTGACAAGGATGGTGAATTTGACTCTTCTCAAATTGTCATGAAGAAATGGGCTGACTTCGAAAGAGACAGAAAAATGAGGGAAGAAGACGAAAGATCAAGGGCTTTGGTACAGCAACATTTGTCCACCCCCTTATCCAGATGGTCGCCTTATTCGAGGTTAACGCCTAATTCTACAGATCTATCTCTTGAAATAGATAACTCTACATTGTCAACTTTAATTGGATCAACCTTAGGGAACAATTCACCCAGAATAGGAGTATCCAATAATCAACCCCCTATCCCTACATCTTCAAGACGTAGAGAGCGACCCACTTATGATGGTAATTCAAATAATGAAGGTGAAGACGAAGATGATGAAGACGAGCTTGATGAAGATGGTGAAGATGAAGAGGAGGACGATGACGACAGATCGTCCGTTTTATCCGAAGAAGAATCTATTCATGTAAGACAATGGAGAAGAAGTCTTGATATTCTTGGTGAAGCAGGTCCCTCATCATTTGATATTGATTTACCAATGATCACAAAAGATGACGAGTCTGAAGACGACTGGCAAGCAAACATTATGGATTCGTTCAAGAAGAAAAAAACAGACAAGGAGGAATCCCCTAGTCACAAAGATAAAGCTGACTCTATTGCAGACAGTAAAGCTTCCATTTCTGATAAAGAAGAGTAATCACACTGTAATAATAAATAAAACTTAATAATTATAAAGTTTCTTACTTTTCTTCATGTCTTCTTTAACCCCCACCCCCACCATCACCGTATCTTGCTCTGTTTATCACTTGCCTGTAGTGATTTACAGTGCATATTATTCATTAATAAAAAAACAGGCCAAACATAGCCTACTTTTAAATGGTTTTTCAGGTTCTAACCTGGTCATGATGAGAAGTTGTTACATATTATATATATCCGATCAGTTTTATCAACCACCGTCGGCATAGATATAAAATAGTTTGTTATTGCATCAGTCCAAAGAACCAGCATTTGCATAAATTTGATGATGAAGCCTGAAAACAAAGATAAGACATCAATTAGAGAATATCACCCTGTCATGTTCAAGAATTAGATGACACAAGAAGATAAAGACAGACTTATAATTCCGAAATTTCTCTCTTTCAAGAATACATATGTATTAAAGGATATGGTGCATACACCATAAAAATAAAAAATAAAATCCAGCAACTGATAGGCAAAGGTATTTTTATTTTTTTATTTTTTATTTTTTATTTTACACATTAGAATATTACAAAAATTAGATGGATTAGGGGGGAACATAAAAAAAGAAACAGACAATTAAATATATTACAATGGATCGAAATCAATACTTCTAAAATCGACTTCACGTTTCACAAGCTCGAATACCAAGAAACCAACGCTTGTGGCGGGAACAACACGGATCACAGTATGACCAAACTCTTGATATAAGAACTTTCTCCAGCTGCCACCGTTTGCTTTCACTTGAGTTTTACATTGTTCCCAAGTACGCTTATATAAATCGTTCACGGGCTCTTTCTTGGTTTTATTGGTAAATTCGGATTGACCCTCCTCGATGTAGAATATACTGTGGATCTTTGAAAAAGGGTGCTCGATGATTTGATATGCCTAGATATGTTTTGAGTAAATTAATAGAAAGACCCAAATGTGGGGAATGTATGATCCTTTTACCACTGCTGCTGTTGCACCAGCAAAAATAACAAATAGAGGCTCCAGCATCAATGGTGGTCTTTCAGAAGATTTACCAGATGCCGATATTATTTGATGCTGATCAACCTCATCCATTTTATGCACTTCCTTCCATCCTTTTTCAATCTCATTTAACGTCTTTCTCGAATCGACTTGTAATCCATACATTTCATCTAAAAAGTAATAGTATCCTTGCTGTTTCACCCACTCAAATGTAGCAAAGAAGAGACCACATGCTAACGAATCCTAATCGAGAATATTAAGATTAGGTGTGTCAAATGACTTTTTCATCCCTCTAACTTACTCTTATCAAAGTCAATGTAAATCCTCGATAAGCACTGGCTATGCCCAATTCTTTCAGTGTGGATTTCGCAAATTGGTACATAGACTTATGCTTTCCTTCTAACAAATCGCTTACTTCGAACCGAACTTTTAATGAATCCAGAGGTGTGGCAACAATTGATTGAGCGGCACCAGCCAGGCAACCTAAGAAAAAAAAAAAAAAAAAAAAAAAAAAACGTTGAGGAAAAAGTCGTGCGTGGACTGGTGTATTTTTGTACCTGCTAAAAAGACAGATGAATAAGGTGGTGGTGGGAAAGGACGATGCAGTTGAAACGAGCTAGGTGGGTGAAAGATAGGTAATGTCGCAATGTAGGTAGTATAAAGGACAGTACCAATTAGAGTATTTGCAAGTAAAGGTGGAAGAATATGGCGAGGTATAAAGTTCCACTATCGACAACAGAAAAAGTTAGAAGGGCAAATTGACAACATTTTTTTAAATTGCATTACGCCTTTTGTCTTCACAGCATGTGTGATCATGCCAATAGAAGTATATCTAAAAGAGAATCGTTTCGCAGTTGCATCGTTGATGGGCATGAGTGCTCTTGCCATGATGAGATAATCAACTCGTAAAGGTCGAAAGAGCTAATAGTTGAGCATTAGCTTTGTGAAAGTATAATAAACCGAAGAAGAAGAAAAAAAATTATCGTGAGTACCTTGACAGGAGTTCTATAGAATAAATAGAGACTCTGCATCATTAAGGTTCGAGCTATTGCTGTTGTTCCACCGACAGAAGTAACTTCTTTGGCTTTCTTCTTTTTCTGTTGTATTGATCGATAGGATAACATATTTCTGTAAGGCGATTGTAAAAAAGATGGTATATTTCTACTGGTAAATTGTGTCGGTTGCCATTTTTTTTTAATATCATGAATTTCTGCAACCGGCTCTGCAACAGAGGGTGCCATGATTAGAAACTACCGAAAAAAGAAAAAAGTAAACAGAGTTCGGTTTCGTGGAAACCCTTGGGGGGATTTAAGATTCAGGGCCAAAAGTTTAATTAAAGAGGTCACAAGTGTGGGGTCATTTTTTTTTTTTTTTTCTTTGTCGGGTAATTTACACATATTTCTGGATAAATGTTACTCATTGGGGGTCTTCATTTAAGGCCTGCCAATATTTTAATTTTTGGGTGCCACTTTTTTGGGATTTTTTTTTTATTATTCAAATTAAAAATTATTAGACGTGAAACTTTGCCCTGAATTGTTTTCAAAGAGGGTATGGAAGGAATAGAACAGCAGAGTGGCATTGGGTGACCGACATCCCATAGATAAAGGCTGATCGGCCTTATTTGGCACCAGATGTTTTTATTTAGGCTGAGTATTGGGGCGGCAAGTCATCTGCAGGTTGACTGGATCCTCCTTGGTAAGCAGGTAATGGTTCATACTCTCTTGGCACCTCATTTGACTCTATTTTTTTTTTTTTTTTTTTGTATCATGTAAGGAAATGAAAAAAAAAAAAGTAAAAATGACCATTCATATATACCTCCAATCCTTTCCAGTAAATTACGAAGGATATTTGTAAATTCAATCGCACCTATTATCATGGTTTAGATTTTATTTTCTATATACTGATATTCTAAGTTACAAAATACCTCCTTCTGAAAATGTAATCTTTAAATTTCCAGCCTTTGTTAAACCACCACCGTGAACCTAAAAGAAAAGTTAAACAATGCATGTGACAAAGAGAGAAAAAAACATCATTTTACTGGAATCACAACACCCGCGACAAAATTTGCTCCAAACCAAGGCTGCTCTAGTTTCCAGTTTTTGAAATTTAAAACGGGTACATTCAAATTTTTAAATTCTGGCGTGGGGTTTTGTGCTAAATAGATAATCTAGGCTATATCGTAAGACAAGCGTTTTCTCTTTTTTTTTTCTTATGTATCATTTACTCTTTGATTTGATAAAATAACAGTTCCTTTATCCGATTCATAGTAACCTCTATTCACAAAGTAACACCTTAATAAAAAACCAAAAAACACACACACACACACACACACATCTTTTGCTTACTCGGAGTTTCCGGGATATCCTCTGTAATACCAAGGAAAATGAAGTGTCAGTACCTCAGTTTTTTTTTTGTTTTGTTTTGCATCCTCTTACGTTTCATTACAGTCCAGTACCATTTTGACGTGAGACTGAGTAAAGAATATCTTTTCTTGTGGTAGGGGTACTGGTGCAGTACCATCTTGTGTCAGCATAACCCAATTTAAACTCATTATTGAAGAAAAGAATAAAGAAGAAAAAGAGTGTTGTATGAAAAAAAAAAAAGATTACGTAGTATGACTTTTTTTTTTTTATTCATGTGACTATTTATATGCGAGCGGCATAAATTACTCTTTCAAGTCTGGAGGACAGTCAGGTTGATGGAAGGGAGAAGCAGCAATGAACTCGGGCAAAGTAGATAACGTGTTATTAATACGAGTCAAGATAGGAAAGGCCGTCATATCAACACTCCATCGCTTTGCATTACCAACCATGGCTGTAACAAAGAAATCGGCCATTGTAATAGAGTTGCCAACACAGTAGATTCCCGAGGTCAGTTCCAATCTAGCCTCTAACCCCTTAAAACCAAGCTCAATAGACTCGCGTGCCCACTCAGCTCTCTTTTCCAAATCTTTTCCTGCTACACGAATAAGAACTCCCAGATTTTGAATAGGATGAATATCACAAGCAACAATCTGACATATTTCACGAACCTACAACAATTGATTAGTCAAAGTTACGTAGTACAATGATGAAAAAATTTACCTCCGCTCTCGCGTATAAGCACTTGGGAAGCATTGGACGCTCTGTATTCTACATGAGTTACCATGGCTATTTTCTCTTTGTTTATTAAACTTACCAGGATAAGCTTCCTCAAGATACTCGAGAATGGCTTGACTTTGAGAAAGCGTCTTTCCTTCCTTCGTAATCAAAGCAGGTACTTTTTGGGTGGGCACAATTTTGGTATATTCTTCGGTTTTCTACAGAGTAAACTTATTAGCCTTGATAAGACCCTAAGCTTGATATAATACTCTTACTTGTTGCTGTTTGAACAAGTCAATTGGCTTTAATTCAAAGTCAATGCCTTTCCATGCCAATGCAATTCGAACTCTCCATGACGCAGACGATCTATAATAGGCGTAAAGTACAGGCTACCGAAATAGTGAATAAGCGCGTAGTTCGTCTTGTATGTATGTATATTTATATATATGCTATACTACTTACAGTTTGTTCAGTGCTCATCTTGAAGTCTTATGGAACAAATGGAAAAAGAAATATATTTCTCACGCGAGATCGGTTTTTATACTTTCGCCCGGCTTGTTTCAAGAAATCATGATTGAAAATTACTTACTTTACCCGGCGTCTGCAGCTAATAAATTCCGGTATGCCGTAGTCCTTCCTTTTTTTTTTTAAGCACGATCCTCTGATATCGTTTGCCCACTATTTATCAGATCGTTGCGGAGTCATGTTCTAAGCATGCTCTCGTCTTGGAATAAAGATAAAGAAAAAAGCTTTCATTAATTACTCCTCTTATCAAGGACTGGCCTTCCATAAAGTTTGATGATGTTACAAATTCCCAGCAAAAGGCCATCGGACTAATTTATTTCCGAAATGTGTTTTCTTTGTTGCAACAGGCACAGAGTCTCTGTTTATTGTTTAATCCAAATACTCAAACTCAATCTGTGCTAGACAAAAATGAAGTGTACCAACTAATCACATGAGTCACATGTATTTAGCTTAAATCATGAATTATGGTTTAAAATCCAATATACAAGGGACTGTGTAGGTTTAGAAAAACCATATCACTTCGATTTTCCTCCGCATTTGAAAACTATATCGACTCACCATGAATTCAACGGGATTGTACAACAAGACCGAAACAAACATTTTAAAATGAATATTTTTCATAATAGGATATGCGACTCACTAACAAAACATTCCAATAAAGTTCTAATAGTAAAGAATAAGTTGAAAAGGAAGGATCATGGAGAAAAGGATAAACTATTACTATTGGAAATAAATATCCCAGACGTCTAAAGACGAAGAAGAGAACAATACTATGTCGATGGGTTATAAAAAGTCAAAACGTCACGATAAGGGTTGAAAAGAACCAATATGTACGAGATCCTATAACCTACACATACAATCGCGTAAGCAGGCCAATGTCTTTTCTTGTCACGCACATGCAGAATATTTACTGCCAAACGGACAGCCGATTGGCTAAAAAAAAAAAAAGGGAAGACCAAAACAGAAACTTGAACTTTCAACCGCTCCCCCCACCTATTCTATTGAATTTATTATTCACGATGACATCCTTACCGCCTTTTGCAGCAACTCAGACAGGACCACGACCCATTCTACTTCAAATCGAAGAGCAATTCAATAAACGTATAGACGAAGATGTGGGAAAACTTGTGGATTGTTTCTCAGATATTGTGAAAGTTGGAGAGGTATATTCATTGCTTTTCAATGATCTGGCACCCCCCCTCCATTAACACTGACGATAGAATAAAGATAAAGACAAGTTTAAAGTTGCTCAGGAAGGATACCAAATCGAAAGTCAAGCTGCCCAAATTGTAAGAACTTGAACTTGATCCCAGTTCGAAAAAAAAAAAAGTAATTATTTCTATACTTGTAGGTTCGATCCTGCGAATCTTTGCTATCGTTAATTGGGGAATTGAAACAGAATTTATTATTAAACGATACCAAAACATTGTCGAAATTACGAAAGACGCAATCTGAAAAATTAGAAGATAACACAATGGCCATTAAGGCCCAAATGCAGGTTATGAAGAAGGAATTAGCAGAGACCATTTATGATTTGGAATCAACGACTTATCGATCGCTGACAGATCCTTACGAAAAGGAGAAATAAAATTTCGGTTGTTTTTAGTTTTAGTTTTAGTTTTATTATTTAGTGTATGGTTTCTATGGAAGAGAGTTGGGAGTATTATTACAAGAGGGGGGGGGGAAGGTGGAGTGGGGATATGATGAAAGTCTTATTTTTTACTTTTCTGCTTTGTCTTCTTGATCACCAAGTGATTGCAACTCAACAAGATGACGGAACACACCGTCTTCGCGGCTCAATAATTCGTGATAAGTACCCAATTCAGCAACGCCACCGTCATTTAAACAGGCAACCAAATCAGCAGAACGAATAGTAGAAAGACGATGAGCGATAGTAAAGACGGTACGGCCCTTCATCAAGTGGTTTAAGGCATCTTGGACCAACACCTCTGATTCTGAATCAAGAGCACTTGTAGCTTCGTCCAAAATCAAAATCTTGGGATCCTTCAACAAGGCTCTTGCAATTGCAATACGTTGCTTTTGTCCACCACTTAAACTGACACCTCGTTCTCCAACAAGTGTTTCGTATTTATCGGCAAATGTGTTGATGAAGGAAGCACAGTTTGCTTTAGTAGCAGCTTCTTGAATTTCTTCAAAAGTGGCATTCTCGCGACCATACGAGATATTTTCAGCAATCGTGCCAGCAAATAAGACAGGCTCTTGAGAAACAACACCCACTTGTTCACGCCACCAATGCAAGTTGATATCCTTAATATTGTTGCCATCAATCAATATATTACCGGAAAGAGGATCATAATAACGAAGCAAGAGGGAACCAATGGTTGATTTACCTGAACCAGAAGGACCAACGATGGCAATAACAGTACCAGGGTTGACAGTCAATGAAAAGTCCTTAAAGATTTGGGACTGGGGACGCGTAGGGTAACTAAAGTTGATTCCTTCAAATTGGATTTTTCCATCAATTGACTTCAATGCTTTACCAGTCTCGACTGAAATAGGACTTTTGCGCTCTAACAACTCAAAGAGACGATCTGAGGCACCCACACCTTTCATAATCTCAGAATAAAAAGAAGTCAAGCCACCCAAAGAAGTACCGACATAAGCGGTATACAACATGAATGAAGTCAACTCTCCAATGGTAATAATATTCTCCATGACCATTTTACCACCCGATAATAAGACAGCCAATACAGCAAGATTACCAGATAATCCTGCGCCGCCAAAAAAAGCACCACTTGCAAGCGCTTCTTTTTTGGCTAAACTGAATACCTCTTCTACACGAAGTCCATAACGCTTCTCCTCACTTTTTTCCTTAGCAAAAGCTTGAACGGTTCGTACACTACTAATGCGTTCTTCAGCGACCTTGGTAATTTCACTCAATGCATTTTGAGTCTTTCTCGACAAGGATTTAACATAGCGACCATAGACAATGCCAAAGAAGGCAACAGGAGGAACAACCAACATCATGATACCTGTCAATTTAGGACTAATAATAAACATCATCGAGGATCCCACAGACGCTGTAGCTAGAGCTCTTATTCATCCACATCATAAACAGGATCAGATACCGGTTTTCATCGAACAATTTTTTTTTAATGTTTTCACAAACCTTAACCCATCACTGACATTATTTGTCAAACTTTTTCCGACAATGGCAGTATCCGTTGATAATCTGGAGATCAATTCACCAGTTCTGTTCTTATCGAAAAAGGCCATATCCTGCTTGAGGATGGATTGATATAAATTGTTACGTAATCTTTGGATAATTCGTTCCCCGGCGATTCGAAAGAGTAACACACGACCTGCGTTTGCTGCTGCTCCCAATACGAATACCATAGATAAAGCGCCTGCAAACTCGGGTAATGTCAATCCAAGATAACTATCGACGGTGGGATGGGTGACAATATCAATGATTTTACCCATTGAAAAAGGTACGGACTGAAGAATAAAAAGTTAATTTGATATTTCGGTTAGTTTAAAAGAGAGAGGGGGGGGGGGTTATTTTACCATTGTAATGGCTGAAGAGACTACTAATAAGCCAGTGGCAGCTAAAAGAGGGAAATGGGTTTAATTTTTGAACTCAAATGCTTTTCTGAACATGGAGTAGTTACCAGTAATGCTCTTCATCTCTGGCTTGGCTAATTGAAATAATCGTTTGACATCACTGCGGTCAGCTTTTTTAGCTGTTGCAGCTGCTGCTGCAGTCACTTGGTCTTTTGCCTCTTGTTGAAAGCTATGTTGGCTTGAAGAAAAAGCTTGACGAAAACCGGGTTTAGGTAACAGAGGCTTTGAAAATAAAGTTGTGCATTGTCGCTTGTACAAGGGTGTCAGTCTTACGTTAGAAGACACACACCTAAACATAATAAGTTTTGTTTTTGTGAAATAAGAAAGACAGAAAATTATGTAATTTCGAGGCCCCTTTTTTTTTAAATCTCCTCCCCCCTGCCGGTGGGGGGCGGCCTTTCGGCAATTGACAAAACCGAAACACCCATGGGATTGGTCCCTCATTAAAAAATAATTAACTCCTCAGTTGTCATTCATCTGTTGTTAAAGATTCATAGTGTTTTAATGGTATGAATTTATTTATTTTTTTTTTTAAAAAAAAAACAGTTACAACTGTCCATTCAACACTTGGATTTTGTTTTTAATATTGTGCCAAGCAGTGTAAAATAAAAGATGAGCCGCGCGGAAGCTTTTGATTTATTTTAACTATAATTACTCCAAGTGTCTTTATACTTCTTTCACTCATCTTTATTTTTGAATGATACTACTGCCCATCTTGATATGCAAACCTTTATACGCTTCTTCAAACATCTTTAACTTTATGAATATTATCAAATCTTCCCATAAGGCTCTGCAACTCTGTAACCATCGTCAAATATCCCCACCTTGTGTCAAGTATCATATACAAATTCTGTTTACCAGTAATGGAAAGAATTTTTTTTTTGTGCAGATGGGGCTCAGGTTGAAATGATAAGTTGTTTAAGCTACTCTGTGTACTGGTGGTCTATTTTTTTTTTTTTTTTTTTTTTTTAGGGGGGATACCCAAATTTTCTTTAAATGACATTGAGTCAAAGAACAATCTATCAAGGTGGATACAAGGTTTTTGAATGATGAAAAGATCCAATCTGTAAACCACGAATAGTTATTTAGGATATTTTACTATCATATCCTTATCTAAATTAGTATTATATATTTTATTGGTTGTATGCTTTATTATGCAATTGTGTATGCTTATTATTGACTGTCTATATTATGAGTTGACCTAGTATTGCCAACAGAGGCAAAGTCACTCAACATGGTCTGGTTTAATTATTAAGTGGTGTATTAAAATTATTTGCTTCAGTACATACCTTTAATTTCCAGAGTTTCTTCATTAGCTTTGGGATAAAGCTTACCAACATTACGACAGAGCAGGCCAAATCAAAGGTCAAATCTTGTTGGAAGTCATAAAATCTGTGACATGGGCTGAGAAAGACAGTAAACTATATAGTTTATATTCTAATTAAAGTAGTCAACCTGCTTGTCTTGTTAAAATTATACTTACGATACACTTGAATACCATACAATTTAATGATTTCGTAAAATATCCCCCGTCTCCAGAATCAACGATCTGATGAATTTTCTTCAAACGACTTTTTTAAATTGCTAGGCAAGTTTTTACACGATCACCAACAAAACGCTGATATGGATCGGCAAATATGGAGGGGCCGATTACCTCAACAAGAGCGAATGGGCAATTTGAGGCGAAGTAAGGCCCCAGGGATTTGGTTAAGGGAATTCTTTCGTCATCAGCTTGTAAATCCCCGGGCTTGCCTTACGGACCTTTCTTTGAAGTTTATTAGAAAGCAAGAAAAAGTCGACAGAATACTTTCATCAGACTTGAAATACCATGGGGGGTTATTTCATTGTCATCCTTTTTTTTAAAAGTATTTGCCTTTCAGCCTTTTTTTATCACTCAGCTTGGAAAGCTTTGTCTTGCTCTCAGAAACTTTCTTTAACAAAAGAAAGCAAGAAAAATCCGGTAAAGTACTTCATCAGACTTGAATTACCATTGCGGTATTTCATTATCATCCTTTTTGAAGTATTTGTCTCTTCTCTCTGTCCGCTTGTAAGGCTTCATCACCCCTAAAATTAAGGCCTTTAATTAATTTTCAAACTTCCAAGAAAAAAAAAACAAGTAGCATTTGGGCTTACCATTGCAAGCTGTATTAGTCGTAGTAATGCTTTAGCAGGGTCTTTGATGCCATAGTACAAGAGACTAGAAAAAAAAATGTATTAAATATCATTGTTGTCAATCTTTCGTTGTCAATCTTTCGTTGTCAATCTTTCATTACTCCTGCTTGTGTAACTCCGACACATGTCTTAAATGGGATCTTTGTTACTGGATCTTTGACCTCAAGTTTTGGAAGGGGAAAGACACGGGCACATTTGTAAATGCCGTATTATCAGAGATTGCACTGCTTTGAAAGATATCCTGTACATCAGTAAAGGACAATCGTCTCAAATTATGGGCGGCACTTTTCCGGTTGTTCCCTATTGCCCTTGTTTATCATCATTCATAGTATCCCAGAATTACTTAACCCCCCAAACGCTTGTATACAATTTTTATTTTGCATTGGATGAGAGCAGAGAATTGAATAGACCGTATAGATAGGCGTCCAGAGTTATAAGATCTTTTCGTCTAAAGATTTTAAACTTTTTAAATCACATCTTTGGATAGAAGAAGAAAAAAGTCATCTCACTTTTCTCCATACTTGCGTCCCCCCCCCCATTTTATAAAACAGTCACACAAAATAGAGAATAATCTAGAGGCTGCTGTTAGATAGGAAGATCCAGATTTACGAGGAAATAGGTAAAACAAATGATAAAATGATTGTGTGTGTGTTTTATAAATGATGATGAGATAGTTTTGACTAAAATTGAGAATTTGGGGCTAGAGAGAGAGAGAGAGAAGGGACATAGGTTGTACGTGACAAAAACTTTTCCACTTGTTCATCCCGTTCAGCAACTTTTATCAGTATGGATCGTGGCATAAAGTATCATTGACATCTATCGAGACTCTAAACCCCGCCGCCCTAATATATATATATATAAAAGAAGAAGCGGGACTGACCAAAAAACCGTTTTTTTTTCTCTCTCTCCTTTTTTTTATAATCAATTGAAAATGGCGTTTTGGAAACCTGGCACCACAGCACCTGGTAAAAAAAAAAAAGTCATGCAAGGAATGCGAATCATTCAAAAAACTTAAATACAATTTTTTTTTTTTTTTTTTTTTTTTTTGTTTAGGTAGTTCTCTGGACAGAGATACGGAAAATGAGACGGGAGAAGCGGTGGTTGCGCATGCGGAAAAACAGTACCGTCACCTTACACTTCAACAACAACGAGAGCGATTACCCGTCTTTAAATTAAGAAGGACCCTATTGTATTTGGTGGAGAAATATCAGACTACGATCGTTGTTGGACAAACTGGTTGTGGAAAAACAACACGTAAGAAAAAAAAAAAAAATTGTGAAAAGAGAGAGAGAGAGAGCCATGAGCTGACGAAAAAAAGGGATCTTGTGAATAGAAATACCTCAGTACTTGAATGAAGCAGGTTGGGCAGTGAATGGAAAACAAATTGCTTGCACACAGGTAGGCAAAAAAAAAACACATAGGACCTACCCCCAATGGGGTTATTGAAAATATAGTCTCTTTTTTTTTTTTTAGCCTCGTCGCATTGCAGCCACATCCGTAGCCCAACGTGTAGCAGAAGAAATGAATTGTCCATTGGGATCGCAAGTGGGTTACTTGATTCGATTTGATGATCAAACGAACAGCGATACCAAGATCAAGTACATGACAGACGGCATGCTTTTTCGAGAGACCATGATCGATCCACTGCTGACAAACTATAGTGTCATTATGATTGATGAAGCGCATGAACGTAGTTTATACACGGATATTTTGATAGGTGTGATTAAAAAGTAAGGTTATTTTTTTTTTTTACGTGCGGGAGGACAACTCATTTTTCTAACCCCCCCCCCTCTCTCAGAATTCAGAAAAAGAGATCGGATTTAAGAGTGATTATATCATCTGCCACCATGGATGCCGAACAGTTTTATAAATTTTTCAACCATAATGCAAGTAAAGACCGTAGCAAGGATACAGCTACCATTGTTTCGTTAGAAGGAAGAATGTTTCCTGTGGATATTTTGTATGCAGAGAAACCAGTGGTAGATTATATGGAAACAGCCATCCAAACTGTCTTTGATATCCATACAAAAGAACCTGCAGGTGATATATTAGTGTTCTTGACAGGACGTGAAGAAATTGATACGGTGGTATCCGAGATCTATGAACGCGGTAAAACGTAAGTTTTTTCTTTGGGTAAACCTATCAACGACTTTTTTAAAAAAAAAGGGGGTGCGCGACTAACGGGCGGGAATCTATAGTCTACCACAAAATAGTTTAGCTGTCATGCCTCTTCCTCTTTATGCTGGACTTACAATCGAAGAGCAATTACAGGTCTTTGAAAGCGCACCGAAATACACACGAAAAATCATTGTATCGACGAATATTGCAGAAGCTTCTGTGACATTGGAAGGTATTGTGTATGTGATTGATACTGGGTTTGTCAAGGTACGTGCGTATAATCCCAAGACGGGTATGGAAGCGCTGGTCGTGACACCGGTCTCCAAGGCCTCGGCCTTACAAAGAGCGGGTCGAGCAGGTCGAGTGAAAGCCGGTAAAGCATTTCGATTGTACACAGAAGAGACCTATAGAGGTTTACGAGATACCAGTATTCCCGAGATTCAACGAAGTAATTTGGCGCCTGTGATTTTACAATTAAAGGCCTTGGGGATTGATAATGTACTTCGCTTTGATTTTATCACACCACCACCTGCCGAATTAATGATTCGTGCACTGGAGTTACTTTACTCACTCAACGCCTTGGATCAAGTAGGACGCTTGACCATCCCATTGGGTATGCAATTGGCCGAATTCCCCGTCGATCCCATGCTGGGTAAAATTTTATTAGCTTCCAAAGAATTTGGATGTAGTCATGAGATTGTGACCATTGCTGCCATGATGTCTGTACAGAATATCTTTATCCAACCCGCCAAAGTACCAAAAGAGGTGATGCATGAAGCCCGACGTAAATTTTGGGTGGAGGAAGGAGATACCTTAACCTTGGTGAATGTCTATAATGCCTTTATCAATAAGGGCAATAAATCCGGTAAATGGTGTCATGATCGATTTTTAAATTTCAAGGCGTTATCGCGTGCCATGACCATCCGTTTACAATTGATGAAGTACTTGAAACGATTTGAAATTCCCTTGATGAGTGCAACGTCAAAGTATCCCAAAACAGAAGAAGGAAGACTGGCGGCCAGTCAGGATGTGCGAAAATGTATCACCAGTGGTTATTTCTCCCAGGCGGCGATAGCAGAACCCGATGGCAGTGGAAGGTTTCGAACCGTGCGGGATAATGTGATATTACATATCCATCCAAATTCCGTCTTATTCAATCGTAACCCCAAATGTGTTGTATTCCATGAAGTCATTGAGACCACACAAGCCTACATGAGAGATCTAACTGTAATTGAACCTGAATGGTTAGCTGAATTAGCACCTCACTTTTATGAATACAAGAAATAAAGGAGGGGGTTTTTTATTGATTTTTTAATTTTTTTTTTTTTTTTTAATTCCATCTTCTAGGCTTTTTGTTATCTCTGGGAGGATACTGTTGTTGTTGTTGTTGATGAGGGTTTCCACCACCAAATGGAGGAGGAGGTCGATAACCAGGTCCACCTTCTTGCATTTGTTGGTGTTGTTGTTGTGGAGGGTAAGGTCTTTTATTCATTCCACCGTTATTATGCATTCTTTGTCCATGTTGCATGGGAGGAGGAGGCGGTCTTTGTCCAAACTGATGCTGCTGCTGTTGTCCACCATCAAACCTATTACCACCTCCATTATTCATCATGGGAGGAGGAGGTCTGTAACCTTGTTGATGTTGCATACCTCCATTATGTCTCCCTCCTCCTTGTTGCATACCGGGACCACCTCTTCCTCTTCCCATACCACCTCTGTGATTAGAAGAAGGAGGAGGTCGATTGAATCCACCACCCATGTTAGAAGAGTCAAAGGGTGGACGCATCATCATATCATTTTGTTGTTGTTGTTGTTGAGGACGGAAAGGAGGAGTTTCGTTAAACTGAGGATGGGTGGGTCTAAAAGGAGGAGGACCATTCTCTCTTGGAGCAGCAGCATTGGCAGGTCGAAATGGAGGAGGTTCTACCTTTTGATGCGAGGGAGCATTATGAGGTCTAAAAGGGGGTGGTTCCGTGAATTGTTGTCTATAATCTTCCTTGATAGGTGGAGCGGGTTCATCATCATGATGTTGACTCGAATCAAATTTATCCGAAGTTAATTCTCCAGGTCGAGGTCTTGTCCAGAAACGCGTCGTGTGATCATTGGAACCAGAGACCAGGATATGACCCACAGGATGCCAATCAAGGGACCAAATATTGGATTCATGGGCGGTTTCTTGTTCACCTACAGGTTGATCTTGACCTGTCATCCAAAACATCAGTGCACCGTCGGATCCACCCGTGGCTAAAAGGCGTTCATGTTGTGGATGCCATTTAGCAGCTGTTAAGTAAAAAAAGGGGGGTTAAGTCTATAAATGATTTTTTTTTGGAGGGGGGGGGGGTGATAAGATGACTTACAACAGATTTCCTTTTTATGACCTCTAAACACTTGCAATTCCTTCATTGTTCTGATATCGTATACTTTGACAAGTTGATCTCTACCAGCAGTGACTAGCCAATTACCATTCTGATTCCATTCTAAAGCCAAAACTGTATTCTTGTGTCCATGACTACATACATAGGGATGGAGATTGTTTCGTTTTAGAAGAGATGATGATGATATTTACAAAAGAATAATAATAAAAAAAAAAACTTACAGCGATGTGATATTTTTGGCAGATTTGGGATCCCATAATTTAACGAGATTATCTTTACTTCCAGAAGCCAATAAAGACTTGTAAGGGTGCCAATCCAAACACTTGACATCCCAACCGTGACCTTTCAAGGTCTTTTCTTCCGTACCGGTGTTAAAATCCCAGATCTTGATATACGAATCATCGGAACAGGTAGCGAAACGAGTATCGGAGGGCGCAAACGTTAAATCACGAATGGCTTCCTTATGCCCTTGAAACATTTTCAAATTACTCATGTTGGATTGCCAGTACTTGATGATACCACTATGATCACCCGTGACCATCCAGTTATCATTATGAGACCAGTTCATGGCACGTACAGCAGAATCGTGCGCTTGCAAAATGGTTTCGAAATTAAAGGTGAGACCGTTCCATAAAGTGAATTCACCACTGGAGGAACCTGTAATTAAACGACGACCTTCGGGAGTCCACTAAGAATAACAGAGGGCAAAGGAGAGAGAGAAGCGTTTAGGATTTCTTTTCCTTTTTTTTCCCTTCCGATATAGAACCAAATACTTACTCTGACTACATTGACGGGATATCTGATCTTGTTTGTAGAGGTATGGATGAATTTGGTAGTGACTGCGTTGATTGGATTATCCAGGTAGGCCACAGGAGGTAAAAGCTAAATAAAAATGTCAGTTAGATAACAACTAGGAAATACAAAATGTTTGACTTACGTTCACAATAAAGTTAGGGTCTGGCCTTAAATAGCGCGTATCTCTTCTATCACGAATCCACACACGTTCCTAAAATTATTACAAAAAAACAAATGGAGTGTTGCGCAGAGAGAGAGAGTTGAAACAAATGAGAAAAAAAGAAAGAGAGAGAAAAAAAAACAAATCAGAACAAAAGAATTCAAATGATACTATTTTTATTATGAGGAGAATAAGTAAAGTATTCAATCTAACCTGCATCCATCGAGCTACACTATGATTATAATCAACTGTTCGTCTTTGAATGGCTTTTCTCATTCGTTTACCGTCAAAAACCATCTTTGAGAAGGGGACATTGCCACCTCCACCTCCACCTCCTCCTTCTCCTGCCATTCTCGTAGGTCGTCGACTACCTCCTCCTCCATTATTTCCTCCTCCTCCTCCTCCTCCTCCTCCTCCGCCACCACCAGACGGTCCTCCATCGTCCTCCCATTTGTGAGTTGATGCTACTTCCATTATGCGTGTGTATATTTTATTTTTGTTTACTTTAAAAAGAAGAAATATATATATTTAAAAAAAAAAAAATACTGTACTAATTTTTTTTTTTTTTTTTACTCTTAAAAAGTCACAACTCATATTTTTTTATTCCATTGGTGTAGTAGGGCAATTATTGGCGGCAGCCAAAACACTCTTTAATTGTTTGACACCACCTTGAAGAGACAAGTTTTCAGAACCAATTAAAGAATGGTGAACATGTTCAATGGATTTGAAATACTTTACAGTCTACAATATAAAAAAAGACGCGAGAGTTTATCTTTTTAGTAAGCTGGATAAATAGGACTTTTTTTTTATAAGAAAACAAACCTTCACATGAAGCTCCAAAGTTGCGTCTTCATCACAGACAATCAGTCCCTTTGGATGCATTTGAATAGCAGACACTGTCCACATGTGATTTACTCCTTCTTCAATACATTTGGCTAACGCAATGGCCTAATAAAGGGTTAGAGGGTAACCCATAAGCCATAAGCAGTCTTTATATCTACCTTGTGTGCACCTGTAATCAAGACAACCACTTCACGCGCATCCATCACAGTACTAAAGAGAGAAAAAGAGGGGGGGGGGGGAGATGAGAGTTCTCTTTTGGTGAGGGTTGAAGATAAAGACACTTACGCTACACCTACGGTCAATGCTAGTTTGGGTACCTTTGTGATATCACCTTCAAAGAATCTAGCATTAGCGATAATGGTTTCATAAGCCAATGTTTTGACACGAGTACGTGAGGTAAGTGAAGAGCCTGGTTCATTAAAAGCGATGTGACCATCTGGACCGATACCTCCCAAGAACAATTCGATACCACCTACACGAGCGATATCGGCCTCGAACTTCTTGCACTCTTCATCCAGATCGGGTGCGTTACCATCGAGGATATGGACGTTAGAAGGATTAATATCGACATGCATGAACAAGTTGTTCCACATGAAGGAGTGATAGGATTCGGGATGGTCACGAGCAAGACCTACGTATTCATCCATATTAAACGTCACCACATGTTTGAAACTGATTTTTTCTCCCTTGTACAGTTCCACAAGTCGCTTGTAAACACCGATAGGAGACGATCCCGTGGGGAGACCAAGCACAAACGGTCTTTCACTCGTGGGCTCAAATTGTCTTATACGTTCCTTGATATAGTTGGCTATAAAAATATATAATCTGTCAAAAAATCAAAATGGTTCCCCTATTTATATGTAAGCAACTTGCCAATAAATTCGGAAACCTCGTCATAATCATCACGAATAATTAATCTCATCTTTTTTTAATGGGTAGTAACGCTTATTAAAAAAAAAGGGGGAAAAGAAAAGAAAAAAAAAGATAAAAATCCATTGGCCACTTATAAATATTAGACGGGCCACAATCAAACACAACAACAAAAAAAAAAAAACTAACCAATCATGTAATCACGTTCATGAATGAACATGTTATGCCATCATGGGTACATTGTCATCACGGCTTTTATATCAAACAGATGATGAATCTCTCTCTCTTTTTTAAAATAAAATAAGCCGAAATTAAAATATGTATCGTTTCAGGGGAGCTCTCTTCTTCTTCTTGACCAATTACATAATAACTTGTCTCCGTCTTTATTTCAGAAAGGGTCCTTTTGAAACTAAAAAAGAAGGTCATGGTCCCATAATATTTATATCGACCTGTTTCATCATCTTACCCCCCATCTACCACCAAATCAGGGACAATGACTGATACTTTCCCTGTAACCCCCCACGACCACCGCCACCTTAGTATATATATATATAAAAGTGTTACAACCCCAGACAAAAAAAAATTAATCACCTCTCAGACACTTTCCCTCCATTCTCCGTCCCGGTACTTTATTTGTTTTTCTTTATACGAAACCCTCTCGTCTACAAGGAAACGGAGTTAAACCCATCCCTCTCGTTTTTGACTTGGTAAAATAAGATACCTCTATAAAAATAGACAACAACACTTTATTAATGATTCTAACCAACCTGGAAATCATGCTACGTTTGTGTTACGTAATTGTATAAATTATGCATTGAACCTGAACACAACAAAATCTGCAGTTTTTTTTTTAGGAGCATTTGCACTACCCCATATCAAACGAGTAATAGGTATGACCGACTTTTTTTTTTTTTTTTTTTAATATTCTCGTTTGAAAAAAAAAAGTCTGTTTTACATCGTAATTACTTTTTACTGTATTTAACTAGGTATATATATATATTAAGGGAGATCTACTCATTGTCTGTATTAGAGAAAAATGGGATGGGAACGACATTGATAAGTATCTCGATATGATTTATATGTAACACGGACATTGTGTGTGTCTCGGGAAAAATGTTTCTCCCTACTTGTCAGATTGTGTTTGTAACCCGTTTAGAATAATTTTAATTTTTTGCCTCCCTTGGTAAGTAATATAAATGCCAATTTCATACATTATCGTATTCTGAGGGCGTGATGATAGTTAAGCGGTGATTTCCTGAAATATATCATTTGGCTTGTTTAGAATTTTATAAATATCTTATAAGCATCTTCGTATATTATTCATGCCAATAAGAATTCGTAAATAAAATTACTCATACAAAGTGATAGTGAGTGAATAATAGATACTAGATACTAAAATTACATCTTTAATTCTAAATGCGTCTAATCCCTTCCCTGCATTGAGTTACATAATATTTCAGAGGGGAGGGGGGACCAGCATGGATGCCTTTTTTTTATGTTTGTTATTTAATAAAGTTTAGTGAGTCTTAATAAAAGAGAATCTTGCTCTAAGATGGTTTATTTTTGTATCAAAGCAAGTAAAAGTCAACATTTTTTTGGTTTGTTTTTGTTTTGGCATGTCACTGCGTTATTCTATTATGAAGAGAGCTTTTTAAAGGAAATTGTCAAAATAACGGAAATAGAAAACTAAATGTATTTTGTAAAATAATAAGCAGATACAAGAAAAGAAATGTTTATCTATGCTACAACATAAATGAAGCCAAATATTTTGACAGCTACATAATAAGCAGAATGATGACAAGTGTCAGTCCCTTTTTTTTTTATCAGAGTTTGTGGACAATTTAGATCATATTTAAGAATAATCGATTTTTTTTTTCAGTAAAAAGGGGGAGGGGGGGGACAGGAGACATAAATCTGGAGGTTTTAAAAATCAAGTTATGATGCTGATTATATACACGTCAGAAAATAATAAAAAAAAAAGACCTACTAGGATGATTGTATGCTTCACTATGTAGACCGATAGATTTAATATATCAGTGCAGTCTTTCTCTGTGGCTTGTACGATTATCGTTCCTCGAGGGGTCGTGCATTTTTTTTTTTTAATTAAAAAATTAAGGTTTGTAATGACACTGTGTATTTTGAAAAGAAAATCTCTACAGCTGATAAGATGCCGTTAAACGCGTTCTTATTTTTATTAAGAATCATGCCACTTTTTTGAATGTTTACATGACTTGCGCGTGTTGTTTCCGATATAAACAAGAAACTCAGATTGAACTTTCTCGGATGTCTATGTGATAAAATAGGCTGTCTGGACTGGGTAGAACAGGTTTAACTACGAATAAATAGATATAAAAAAAACGTCGATCAATAAGTTTTTATTCTGTAGATCCTTTTTTTTTTGAAGTGTGTACAAGGACAAGTGTACTAAAATAATTTTAAATACAAAAGATAACCACCCCCGAGCGGGCGCACTAGCTTAAAACAGGTAAAATTTATATATTGCCTCCAACCCGACATTTTTTTTTTTTTGTTGAAAGCTAAAAAAAAAAGTATAGTGGTGTGTGTGTGTTCTTATATGATGAGACAAAGTGTGTATGCCTCTCAAGATAAAAAGGGAATAAAATTAAATATTGTCACCTAAAATACACTGAGGACGGGGGAAAAAAAAAAGATCTGTGTACAAGGTTGTGAAAAGATAAGGCTAATGATTAAATAGTTTGGTTTTTAGTAATGCAAAAGAAAGCTTAAATAATATATCAGCCCATCCCATTTTGTGTGATGATTTTTTTTTTCTGGCTGACGTATTTCATCATTTTTTTTTTTTTTTTAGCGTGAGATGGACAATCTATCTTTTAGCAAGTGTAACATTAACAATCTTGAGTAGCAGATGGACTAGTAGGTCAGAATGAATAATAATAATAAAAAAAATGTATTGTAGTCATAAATAAAACTTCTTTTTATTTACACTCCTGCTTAAAAAGATGGGTAAAGTGTGAAATTCTCATCAGTAAAAAAAAAATATCTTTGTAAAAAGATAATCTCAAAGATCTGATTATATCGGACAGATAAGCAGAGCGGACCTTTATTTTTTGAAGGAAAGTTTCATGGTGAGGCATACAAGACAGAATGTCGCACAGGGCTCGTTTTTAATGTAATTGAGTGTGTGTGAATATCTTTGTTTTGTCTCTTGAGCACATCATGAAGTAAGGTCCAGGGGGAGATACATTATCCCGCATAGTTATGGGATCTCAAATAAGTGTGGGGAAGGTGAAATAGGAGGTAGAATGTTAAAATAGTTGACATCATGATTTTACTATTTGGTTTTTAATCTCCAGAAAAGAAAAGCACGTACGTTAGGTAGATCTTTTTGAAAATCCCTCATCCAAATCTACAAGGATCTGATAATCTTGTTGTTGCACAAGAAAAAAGCTTATCATCTTTTTTTTTTTTTTTTTTTTTTACGCTCAAGTGGAATAAGAAGGATGAGATCAGTCCATCCATGAACCTATCTTTCAGTTCTTTTCTTGAATTCTACATGTGAGATATCTAATAGATATAGATTAGGCTAAACTATTTTAGTGATCATGGGAAACGCTGACTGATGATCAGACAGTAAACACTTTACCAAATTCTAATTTTAGACGGATTCATTTAAAAGCCTCCCCCCCCCCCTCAAGTGAGACATGATTTAAGATTAAAGATCTGATAACATTTTCTTTTAGAAAGCATACACACGCAGGTAAATGCGGGGGTGGGGGCGGGGAGGTGTAAAACTGATTATCTGATGGAAGATAAATGATCCATTATTTTTTATTAAAACCCGCTAGGTATTTTATCCTCCTCCTCCCAACCCCCCACCAGATAAACAATAACACGTTTCTGACTGAGATTAAATGGGTAAATATAGAGTTATCTTTGATCAAAAAGATCCCCATGGTTCATCTGTGATAGGTGCTGACATACAGATTATTTTGTAGCTGTATATATAATCAAAGATGATGATGGTTTAGCATACGAGTTACATCAGCTGCTTTATTTTATTTTATCCTTGCAAAGCAACATATACAAAATAAAAAATAAAAAAGAATTTCAAGAATCTGATAAGATTTGATCAAGGTTTTGTCTGGGGAATGATAAATGTATATATATATAAAAAAAAAAGCAACCACCAGGAAAATTCCCGTCGTCGTGTTTTAAACATTATCAGATCTTATGCACCATCATGTGGGAAAAAAATCTATTTGAAGATGGCTAAAAGATCTGATAACAAAAAAAAAGAAGGGGGGGGGAGACATGTTTGTTGATAAATGGAGTTTAGATAATTTCATGGGAAGAGAGGAGGGCGACGTGGAAACAATTAATTACACCTTAAAATAGTTTTTTCTGTGTGATCTAAGTGAGTTATCTGATCTTTTTTTTTTTTTTATTCAGTCATCGGAATTCTCGGAAATCAAATACATTCTAATTAACAAAAGAACAGGGTAACTCTATTTTTTTTTATATTTTTTTTGGGGATAATTTTCTCTTTCTTTTGAACTTGTAAAGGGTAAAAACAAATGAACAGGATCGAATGTATACAAAAAAAAGAAGTATGCAAACAATGTATGTTTTTATCTCTTTTTTTTTTTTTATCCATCAGATAGCCTCCCCCTTCTCGTATTTTATTTCCTTTTTTAAAAGTGTTACACTATTTTCAATCCAAGACAGAAAGGGCCAGGCCGCAACTCCCCAATTTCGGAAAAAAGGATTTTTATCAGATCCTTTCATCATTGGTACATGAGTGGTCCCCCCCCCCAATTAATTTGAAACTCTTCCCTCATTTACTGGCGTGTGAAATCCTTATCATCGAAGGCCTGGTATGCAGCTTTAAGAAAAAAAAAAAAAAAACTCGTTTTTTTTTTATAGATGCTCTTAAAAACAAAAAAAACTTAGTATGCATTTTACATTTTAGGTTTAATGAAATAATACTGCCCATTTATTATCAGATCATCCATGATGAAAAAGAAGTGGGGGAGGGGGAAAAAGACAAAGACGGGAATACCTTAAACGTGGGTTACACTTTCTTGTCATGAGTCATTTTAATAGGTCTGTCGCTTATTAGATAGACAAGATCTGATAAAAAAAGTGTTTTTCCGATTGCGCCATTTAGTGTGTTTTCCTCGCTTATATTTTATCAGATCCTTTTTTTTTAGTTGTTATTTCGGAAAGTAAAAAAAAAAAGGTGGTTCGACTTGGAGGGTAAACATCGTCATTTTTCCCGTATAATTTTTTTTTTTTAAACAAGGGTGGGGGGGATAGGTGGGCGGGGCGGAGCTTTAGAATCAGATAATCAAAATAGGTTTTTGCCCTAAACCTTAATTTAATCACCTGAACTAACGATCAGATATATCCAAACATTTTCATTGGCTGATTTATTTTTTGGTTTTTTTTTTATAAAAGGATGGGCCTTTTTTCTCGTACTTTTTTTTTTTTTTTCTTTTATCATATAATCATTTTAATTTTTCTTTTTTTTTTCTTTTCTTTTATATATATAAACACACACACACACACACTTTGTACATTCTTCTTTCATCAATGCAAATCATTAATACTACACCTACAACAAAGAGCATGCTTAGCACTAAACTCATCACATCTCGTAACAACAAGGCTCTCTTAATCACATCCAATACATCCACACGTCGTCGTTCTTCTACATCTAGCCATGGTAGTTACCAAAAGAAGAAGATGATTCGACCAGATTCACCAAAAGAAGAAAGGGACGAACCCGTATTCAACATTGTTTACAATGCCCAGGATACAATGATGATTACCCCTCCTCCCTCTCCAAAGTCGGCTCCCCTTTCCTCCTCTGCCTGTTGCTTTGAAGCCAATGATCGTATCTTGACCGCCAAAAGAAATGGTCAACTCAAGTCCGTCATGAATGAATACATGGCTCTTCAAAAGGAAGGTCTTTTATTCACGGATCATACCTATAACCTTATTCTGGACTCTTATGCCAGTCTCCGTTCCAACGGCACTCCCTTGACTCCCATGATGAAAAGTAAGTTTTTACATGTCAAATCATTTAAAATATATATATATAAACTAACCCTTTTCTCCCATGTATAGTCTATAACGAAATGATTCAATCTGATATCCAACCCAGTAGCTCTACCTACTCTATTCTCATCCGCACACTTTGCAAACGAGACGTCGAGGTCCAAAAGGTGATTGCCATGTTAAAGCGTCAACATGCTCGTTCCTCCCACATCAAGTCCAACAACATGGTCGAACTCGAATCCGAAGAAAACCTGCTCAAGGCCTTGGCTATCTTTAACGCGGCTGTGTCTGAAAATCTAGTACAATATTTCGATGCTGAGCTTTATAATCAGATCTTACGTGTCTTGTCGCACTATGGTAACACAGTCGAGTCTCTCCGTGTTTATCAGCAATTAGAACTCCACTCGGTCCCTACCTCTGCTTCCTTTGCCGCTCTCATCAACCTCTTTGGTCGTGTAGGCGATCTTCCTTCGGCCTTGACTTACTTTGAAAAGTATACACTCTTAAAGGATTCCGTTGGCCCTCATGATGCTTCCTACGTTTACAATGCCTTGGTCGATGCTCATCTCAAGTGCGATCATCTCGAGGGGGCTCTCAAAATTGTCCGTGAAGATATGGCTACACAAGACGTCAAGGTTTCTACCATTCCTTATAATTCCATCATTCGTTACTACTGTATCGGCAACAAGATGGATGCTGCTGAGGAATTAATCCAATCCATGAAGGAATCAGGTTTCCCTCAACCCGATGCCAGTAGCTATGGACCCATCTTATCTTCTTACTGTCAAGCAGATGACTATGAAAACGCCACACAGATGTACGCTGCTCTTGTCAAGACAGATATCTCAAAGTCGTATGGTAATTTAGCCAACTATGCCTTATTGTGTTTGAAGGAAAACAAGTACGCTCGTATCCTAGAGGTCATGGGTGATATGCGTCATGCTGGTTTAGAACCTGACTCTGTCTTGGCTGAACGTATTGTCACACAATTTGCTAAATCTGGAAACGTGGATATCGCTATCGAAGCTCTCTCTGCCATTTTAGACACCATGAAGCCTCGTACGCTCTCCAAGGGTATGACACAAATCAAGAACGCTGCTACTCAAGTGGCTTTAGCTGCCAAGGGATCCTTCCAACCTACCTTAAAAGTAACACGTATCCTGTCTCCTCACTGTCCTCACGGTTTACCTATTCAATTAGCCAAGGTCTTGATTGAGAACTATGAGTTTGATGCCAACCATGAAATTATCACAGAGACCGATTACAGTCTTTTGTTTGATGCCAGTATCACTATCGCCTCAGACCCTTCCACCCATGCTCGTCACAACAAGTCTTCTCTCTCCCCTCTCTCCATCTTTTGTTTCTGTCTCTTCAACGAGATGACCGAACGATCCTTCTCTGTCTCTCCTTCCATCAAATCACGTATCTTGACTCATTTCTTGCGTACCGGTGATAAGAAGACCGCACAAAAATGGGAGTCTCTCTTTGTCGAACAAGTGGTAGAACAAGCTACGGTCAAGACAGTATCTGAAGCGGAAGAGGCATCTACTGCTGTGATGAAGGCAGCTATTCATGGTCAATTGGAAGAATGCTTGGATATCTTGCGTACACGACTCATCGATGCTGGTTTGGTACCTACTGCTGAAGCCTTGCGTGATGCCATTGCCTTTGTGGGAAAGCAAGGTCATTTGGAGACCGCTGTTACCATGTACCGTCTTGTGATCAAGAGCTATAAGGAAGCAACTCACTTGGATGCTCCCCGTGTCGAAAGAGCCATTTACTTGATGACCAACAGTATTCTCATTGGGTATGCTCAACAAGGTGATATGATCAATGCCAAGAAGTACTATGAACAAATCAAGTTGATGGGACGTTACCCTGATGGTAACGGTTATGCCAGTCTCTTATTGGGTAGTGCCAAATGTGCTACAGACGAAGCCACAGATGCCCTTACCATGTATGATGAAGCCAAGCGTCGCGATGTCAAGCCCACAACTTTCTTTTACAACGTGGTGATTTCCAAGCTAGCCAAGGCACGTAAATTGGAGTCTGCCATGAAATTATTTGAAGAGATGCAACATTTCAAGATCATGCCCAACTCGATTACCTATGGTGCTATTATCTCTGCCTGTGTTCGTGCTGGTTCTGAACCTTTATCTCGTAAATTGTTTGCGGACATGTTGGCCTCTCCTTCATTCCAGCCACGTGTAGGTCCCTTTAATAACATGATCCAGTTCTACGTACGTCAACAACCCGATCGTGAAAGAGCCCTTGAATACTTTGCAGAACTTCGTCGTCGTCATATCAAGCCCTCCGCTCATACCTACAAGTTATTGATGGAAGCCTATTCTGTGATTGCCCCCTATGATATGCCTACTGCGCATCGCATGTTAAGCGAGATGGAACGCCGTGATCATATCCGTCCTCAAGCCACACACTATGCCACCCTCATTTATTCTTATGGTACACTCCAACGTGATGTCAAGAGCGCTGAACGTTTATTTGGAGACATGGAAGAAAAAGGTGTGAACAAGGACGAAGTTGTCTATCAGGCCATGTTGGATACACTTGTGAGTAACGATCGTTTAAAGTGTGCTGAAAAGTTGTATGGTGAGATGCAAAAGACCATTGTCAAGAGCTCCTCTCCTTATATTGAAAATGTGTTTATCCGAGGTTATGGACAAAAGGGTTTGTTGAACAAGGCACAGGCTATGTTTGATGCGATGGCCGATCATCCGTTGGACGGTGAGGATAGCTTGGTGGTGATTCGTGAACCTAGTACCTATGAAGCCATGGTGCGTGCCTATGTTGACAATAAGAAATTAGTCGAAGCCAAACTTATCTTTGATTTAATGGTTCAACGTGAATTCCCTGAAAAGGTCACTGCATTGGTTGCTGAATTGGTATCCGTCTAAAAAAAAAAAAATTCATCATCTCTTTTCCCCCCCCTTTTACTTTATTACTTGCATTGTAAATACTTAATAAAATTGTACATATCATTATTTTCATTCCTTAATTTCCGTCATCCTTATTAATTTTTTTTTTTTTTTCTTGTTCAATCTATTTTTTTTTATTATAATTATTGTTATATTGTTATAAGAAATCTACACGGGTAAGTTTTCAGATCCATCTCGAGCAGTGGTATGATCTTCCATATCGGCATACATGATGTGACGAATCGAATTTCTGAATCCAATATCCACCACAAGTTCATGATGATAAAACAAATCGTCCGAATCCTCTCCCTCACTCCCATTGGGTGGTAACATGAGTGTCACACTATCGCCTAATGTACCCGCTAACGAAGGTGGTACGGATAACGTTGTAATCACCGTACCGTTCAAGAGTAATTGGGAAGACAAGCTCGAGGTGATCAATACACGTATAATTTGAAGTCCATATACCATGAAATCCAACATCACAAGTCGCATCGTACTCACTTTTTGTTCTATCCATTTTTTTGTTAGTCCCTCCCCGTTGTTAATAACACAAAAAAACTTACGGTTGCCAATAAAGTCAATAATGATGCCGGGTTCACCAGGTTCTGTCGTTAGATGCATGAGTAGACCAACAAACCATCCGGCTGTGACAATGGCTAATGCTGTTCGTAATGACCGAGTGAGTGCTCTTGGTGAAAGTAATTGCTTTTTTTTTTTAAAAAGGAAACATATAAGTGACTGGGAGGAAGACCGTGTGTGATATTTTTTTTTTCTGCCTTTTTACCAGTTGCAGTAATATTCGAAAGAAGAGGACGAGTAAACTTGTGTCGAGAAAATAAGTATATGCAATGTGACAATATAAAAGGTAATCTAAAGACCGTAACACATCTCTCTTTCCATTCGAACTCATACAAGTAAGTTATTTATGTGTGTGTGTGTATGTTAAAAAGAGAGAGAGAGAAAGGGAAGGTGCGTCACAGGGTTTTATTTTTTTATTTTTATATTTTTATATATTTATATATTTATATATTTTTATACAGACAAGTGATCCAAGGACAAACCACAAATTTCAAAAGGTATTTGCAATGATTTTGTAAAGGTCACTTTGATGGCTCTAAAATATTTTACGTTACCACAATTTAAGCCTAAAGAAATACGTCCTGTGGTGGCGGCTGGTGGTAAAAGTGTGGATTTACATTGGATCCATTGACTCTCACTTGTCAACACAGAAACGGATAATTGCTTTTCGGGTCTTTTTATCTCATTTGCCGTGGGGGTCAGGATCGTGATCTTGTCCGTGCGTGTGGCTCCCACCAGCATCAAGCCAAAATAATCGCCCTTCTTGGGACCTACCGAATAATAAAAACCATGTTTTAATTTTTTTTTTTTTTTTTTTTTTTTTTTTTTTTTTTTTGGATATATTTTTTCTTTTTTTTTTTTTTTACCTGTGATGGTGTTCCAGCAGGTATTGGGATCATTATCCACAACTCTGTGATACGAATGCTCGTCCCACTCAAAGGTAGGTGGTACATTGGATAATGCATTATATGCGTTTTCTAGACGCGGGATGGAGGTAATATTTTGATAATCAAAAGGGATTTGTTCGGGTCTAACAAAGGGATCCATGTTGGTCATAAACAAGCATCGATCATTGGAACAAGAAGAACGTACATCCCGGTGTTGAAGTACAGGTGGTTCCGATTCTCTTTCAAAGTAATCTTGAGGTGAGCTAGAAGTATCTGCAGTCAAAGTGCGTTGTAAATGACGAATGGCATCATACTAAAAAGAGAAAAGAAAGGTTATTTTTTTTTTTTTTCTAAAGAGAGGTGCCCCCACCCCCTTTTTTTTTTTTGTGTTCTATAAATATATAGAAGGATGCAATCCTTTTTTTTTTTTGTTGGTTTATCTTACGGTATAGGTATCCAACATTTCGGGGTAGGCAATGTCCAGATCAGTTGCTTTCACACCATTGGCGGTATGAGGAGGATTACTGAGTAACCAAGGGAACTGGTTCATCCAGATGGAAAAATAGTGTTCGGCTTGTCTAATGTTATCTTTACTTTGACCACTTTTACCCAATTGAGTCAAGAAATTTTGAACTTTCCATCGAGGAACGAATGCACCGTATCTAAAATCCGCATATCCAGTATGTAATTTTAAGTCTAATCATAATAAAAAAAAAAGGGGGGGGGGATGCCAATAAGTTTTTTTTTTTTTTAGCTCATTCTGCTTTTTTTAAGATATATGGGCTATTGTGTGCAACTTACCCTTGTTGTAAAACCTCCAATTCATTTCGTTTTGATAATGAGAGGGCTTAGAATTGGCATGAATCAAGGTGGGGAAACGTAAAAAGTTGGTATATAAACTATCCATGTAGGCGTTCATGTAAGTGTCGTCTTGAAAGTAACAGTAAAGTCGGGCAGCGGTGGCACATGTAGTGAAGCGAGCCATGCTTTGTAATTCCTCGTCCGATTCCTGAATCTCGATATGAATGCCGTCTAATACTTTAGCATCTAACCTCAAGTTCTTTTATGTTTCCAAGGCCAAGTTAGTAAAAAAAAAAGAGAGAGAGAGAGAAGAAGGGGGGGGGGTAGTTTACCTCTACTGTCAATGGTCTGTTTTTCACAAGATTATGAATCGAGATATCTGTAATGAAGTGATACTTTAAGAGGTGTTTCACTGTATAGATAATACTTTCATCGTCGTCTGTAACTCTTAGCAAGATGGCCGAGACGGGATTCAGCTCGTTTTCTCGAAGTGCTTCTGTCGTGAAATAGCTTTTGGGGAAAGCACTTTTTCCGGTACGGTCTGCCATGGTGGGAGCCCAAAATAAGGGATTGACATTGTAGTCGATGGTGTCTGTTGTGCTGGAGGCGGCCTTCGTGTCGTTATTCGTATTAGCTGATTTGAAAGTATAAAACATAATAAAGATGAGGAGGACAGCAGCTACCAACTTTTTGGGAGATGTGGGTACTCCCAACGATCGTTTTTCCTTGTCCTTTCTGGAATGTAAAGGTAAAGTGGCACTTTTCATTCTATGCTTGTATGAATGTATTTAAATGAAAAATGAGCTAAAAAAAAAAGAACTAAATAGGATTTTTTTTTCTATTTATTTTTGTTTGTGTGTGTTTGCGTAAATCCAACTCCGGCTATCGGGTGTAAATGTCACCATCGACAGTCCATAATTCACTTAAGAATTCTGGATCGAGATTTCTTAAAAAGTGGCGTCTCCAATCTTTGATGAAATCCTCCAAGTCGGGCCATGTTTCTCTACCTTCACTGTCTAATTCCACTGTTTTGGTTAATTGTTCGATGGCGCTATTGGCATGCTCAATGTAATCAGGTCCTTTAAAATGGTCTACTAATGTGCTACAGACTTCCAAAATTGAATCCCAGTTTTCCTCCGTGTCCTTGGCTGCAAGTTCCTCATCCACTTCGGATCCATGCTTTTCCCAGAAATCGAACACGGTGGTCTTTAATGTTACTTGACGGTCTGCGGGTATCACGTTTGAATGCATTTTTAAAGCAGAAGCCGCCTTCTTTGCCACTTTGTAATGAGGTAAAGAAACCCAGCCTCGACCTTCCAACGGAATATTGAATTCACGGACGCATCTCTTTTTGAAATCCATGGCGCTGGGCTCATAACTTAAACGACAATGTTGACACAGCAGTAATAAATCTCTACTCTATTAATGACAAAAGAAGGTTGAGTGCTACGATGAAAGTGGGGCGTGAGGGGGGGGTGATAGGTAGTTGTAAGAGAGAGAGAGAGAGAGAGACTTACGGACTTTGCTTTAATCACTAAAGGCATCCATTGTCGATACATTTCAGGCACGACGTGGTGAATGGAGAGGTCTTTTGTCGAACCACATGCGACACACATATTGTTGCGATCTTCTACCATGTAATCGCCCTTTTTATGGCCATCGCCTTTTGCTTCAAAAGTCAACTTGATCGATCGGGATTCTTTTGGAAGTAAAACTGCTAAATCCCTCTTTAAATACCAGTCCGCTTTTTTTCTATGTGTGTACGTGTGAGAAACACAAGTCATTTTTTCTTTTTTAAAAAAAAAGGGGGGGGGGGCATTTACTGGTTACAGCGAAACATGAGTTTATGACCGGTAGAGTAAACTTTCCAATTCTCATAAAATATGTTGGACTTTTTACTTTGGATAGCGACCTTTTTTCCTTCGCGTGGCATCTTAATTGTTGGAAGAAAAAAAAAATGAAGGATACAGAAAGAAAAAGAAAAAAAGCCCATTTCAGTTTGACAGGGAAAAGAGTTTTTTTTTTTTTTTGGTATGAAACGCTTTTTAATTGGCTAAAATATTTGAAGTGCTGCTGCTGGACCCCTTTTTTAAAGCGCCGAGTTTTGATGAGAAGATATGGATATCAAATTGTCAGGGAATATGATTGCTACTCTGTTTCCTAGTCCACCCGGCATCCAGCAACGGGAATAACAGTCAGCTGCTTGGATATTTTTTTAAAACGTTAAGTCGTAACAACAAAGTTCTATAACACCACCAGTTCAACATAAATATTGTCTTAAATACAATTATCCTATAGTAAACCTGTATGCGTTTAAAAAAAAAAGATCTATTTAGAAATATGGTAATGGTATAGCCTTGATGAGTTTGAACAAGCAGATGGTTAATGAATTTATGGCTATATTTGTAGTAGTGAAAATACCAGTGATGCCACCAAGGTCTATTAGTAATTAATCTATCAACACAGTGACATATGCCAATGTACTCTCAAACAAGTGGTATATAGAATTTATCACATGCCTTACTAAATTAAGGTTTGTAATCCAGCTATTCTTATGAATGAAAGAAAGCTTGCCTATTTTTATTTTATTACGATGATATTCATGTTCTGTTAACTAGTCCCCCTTTTTGATTCTTCTTTTTTTTTTTATACAGTTGGGTATTTCCTTGGTATTGGTTTCTTTTTTTACATGTAGGTCACTTTGGTTCCCATTTTGATGGTCTGCCAAAACTTGTTTAACAAAGTCTGTAAGGCGATAGAGAGACGTCCTCTTTGACCACGTAGTAAACCCAGTAAAGCAAATATGACAATTAAAATGGTGGCAAAGGATGTAGCCCCTTGTGTAGTGATTTGACCCATCCAGTTCTTTACGACTGTTATATTGTGATCTAAGACAGAAGGTGGTGTGTTCATGGCGCGTGCAGATACAGTGTGGCGCTTGTCATGTTGCAGTAATTCTGTATTCTTCATTGACATGTTTTCCTTGTCCTTTTCTGCTTTTACTTCCCTTTCTGCCTTGGCCTCCCTTTCTGCCTTAGCCTCTCTTTCAGCTTTAGCCTCCCTTTCTAATTTGGCCTCTCTCGCTAACTTGGCATCCATCTCAACCTGTGCTGCGCGTTGTTCCTTTTCCTTTTTTTCTGCTGCTAATCTAGCCTGTTCTTGTTCGATATTTGCCTGTTGTTCCTGAACAAGTAATTGTAATTCCTATTCATTCATTTTCTATTTTAGAGAACCGCACATACACAATTTAAATAAAATTATGTCATGAGAAATACCTTTTTCTTAGAATCTGGTAAAACTTCGTTAAATTCTAAAAAGATGTGCGCAGATTCATAATCCTGCATAGCAGGTAATATACGGGCAATGTAAAACCGAACAATGTCAAGGTAAGGTTCAACACTGATTCGTCCTTCTGTCATATCATCCAAGAATAAAGCAGGTAAAGCTGCAAACCAAGATTCCACAGACTCTCTGGCTACACTGGCTTGATCTAATTTCAAGTTTAGCCTTAAACTAAAGGGGGGGGGGGCAAAACAAAATTTCTTAACAAACGTGCAAAAGGGGGGGAGTTTTATAGCCACTTTTTTTTTTTTTTTTTTTTTTTTTTTTACCTTGCGCCGACAAGTCGAGGGTCTAAAGCTTCGACGGAGCCATAAGCTGTTACGAGTTTATTCCAGATACTCTGACAAACTTGTTGAGTGGTCTGATTTTCATCCTCATTTAAACCAATGAGCTTGACAGGAGGCATAGGAGAAGCACCAATGAGCAATGTGGAAGCAATGTTCAGGTATAATAACCAGACATTCAGCTTCATCGTGTCGTCTTCATCTTTGGTGAGGGTCGCAATAGCTTTATTGCAGGTATTAGCGGCAGGTACATATTTGGTGAGTAAATATAACCTTACTGCTTTGTTGTAAAGCGTTTTAGTGCTCATTAGAGAAATAATTCTTTAAATGAGAAAAAAAAAAAAAAAAGTGTGGGGAAAAAGACTGACTAAACAGCAACATATGAAAAAAAAAAAAAATCCTGTTTTTGATTGGGAGGAGGTGTGTCTATCCAAATGCCGACAACTAAAATTAAGCCAGTAAAAGATATGAGGGTAATTGTTTTGCCGGGTAAGCTACAAAGGAACAGTGGAGTTTGCATGAATTTGGCCCTAAGGGGGAAGAGAAAGTTTGCTTTCTTATTAGAGACATTGGGTAGAGAGATTTATCCTGGTACTCTAATTTTCTACCTAGAGTGATTAATGTGCGACTCCTTTTTTTTTTTTTGAAAAGAAAGTTGTATATTCTCGTCTCTTTACACATTTATAGGATATAAAATGAATCTTTAGCTCTTCTTAACTCCATGTATAGTTACATAAGCTCTATTCTCAAAGGAAACCCTTAAATATCAATTTATCATATATTGAATAGCTGGAGACTAAATGATACATCTGAGTTACAGATCGTTTACACTAAAGACAGGCTATACTGATCCAACCCACATATAATTACGATCCTATGCTTTAAAACAGGTAACATAAAAGTTATTAACTTGCAACATAGAAAACAAGCAACAACAACCATCAATCCGAATTGTTACTTTCCAATTCAACATATGTGCTACTGTTAAACATGGTTTTTGTCGATTACCTTATTGGGAACTTCTCTAAAGACTGGCGACAATGCAACAATAATTGACACTCTAATGAAATGCTGTACAATCGCACATTTATTGAACACAGCTCTCCATCTTGTTTGCTTATCGCAGTTAAATACAAAGTTTTTGTTAATTATACGACTAAGTTTTTATGCATTCAAGAGACCTCTGTTCATTAATATATATATATACCGCGGACTCGAAGTACTTTACTTGTTTTTATTTTTATTTTCAACCATCATACTTCATACTAACGACGACAAAGGATCTCAAGAGGATGACAATAGTGTAGATAAATGATTTAAAGCCAACTACAAAAGGCACAACAGCTACTCATCTTATAAAGTTTATCAATGAGCACCATAAGCTGAAGCCAGCGATTCCTGACTAGAGTTAACAGTATAATATCATTCCCCTCCCTTACTCGCCTGAGCTAAATCTTATTGAAAGAAAAAATTATACAATATTTGAGGGCAACAATTATTAAGCATAAAATTGAACATAACTAATACAAGTAGAGGACAAATTTATTAATTATGATAAATAGGCTCAAAATGAGAGACCGTGGGGCGAACATGAAACTCATATTGGTCCCAAATGCCTTGACAATCCTTATCCTCTTCTTTTGCGAGCGACTTGGACATTTGGCCCTATACAACATGTAATTACTTTGAGCACAAACTAACTTTAAGAAATCATTAAATATTTACCTTGTCAGTATGTCGTGGGAATATTGAAGGGTATCCCTGGAATATCCCTTCACTAGTGTTCGAACCAGCGCAAGATTGGTACGAGCTCGGAAAGTTCGAACACTAACCATGAGGAATGATGTTCCTCATGGTACATGTACTCACCGTTTTCCAGATCAATTTGCATTTTCAACAAGATAACGGTTGTGCCTTTGTAAAACAAATATGCTAAGAAACGCATACAATAAAAACAGTTTTTATATAACCTTACCTTGCACAAGAGTACCAAAGATCACTGCTTCATACTCCCCTTTTTGGCATGGAAGAGTCGTAGATGCAATTGACGCTTCATGACTTCCAGCACGCGCATCTTATCTTCGTTGAGCAAAGCTTGTGACACGCCTGGCTTTTTCACTTCTCCACAGCCCACTTCCATTACCATGCCTTCATGTTCATGATAAAAAATAATATCAGGACGCAAATTCTCAATCTCATTAGAGGGTCCAGATATCAAAAAAAAAAAATCCCGAATTTTTTCTCCCAGCCAAAAATTCAGGAACGGGACGATGATTTTCGGTTAACCATAGACGATAGTCATCGGGCGACAAAAAAAGTCGACAGAAAGTTATCGTCCGCGATAAATCAACAAAAATCCTATGAATTCACCAAGAATTACACAAGCAATGTTTTAAACTTGTTCTATATTTAATATTTTAGTATCTGTAAATTAGATTATAAAGAATTTCGTAAGTAAAGAGGATAGAGTACCTTTGGCTAGTGACATAGCATTTAGCTAGTCACACACACATAGAAAATTCCCAAAGTTACGGCCAGACAATATTGAAGACAACGGACCTCGTCCGATCTCCATTATTTTCTTCTTTCAAGATCCAAGAAGTACTGTCAGACTCAACTTGGACTGGATCGTGAGAAGAAAATAATGGAGATACGAAAGTCGAGACAGATAGCGCAACGTGGCTTAATTCTGATTGCTTGGTCTTGAATCTTGGTTTTCCATACAGCAAATACGTAGAGCGGATTACATTATCCAAGGTCATTTCATTTAACGTTGTGCATCCATGAGGTGGTATGTATAATGTACGTCTTTGTATTGCTTGATCACATACATGGATATTTTGTTAGATGCGCTCTGACAAACTATCACTACCAGTATTGCTCAAGAAAGCGCCGTCGGTACTAAAAATGGACGAGTCGTATAAACGTGCGTCACAGTCTGTGGGGAACAGTTGGGTCTCATCAGACTTTTTAATGCTACTATCCACCATGGCCGCAAAGTGGGGATTGGGGATGGGCAGAGGAGTGCATGTGTTACCTGGAAGCTCACACATATCCATTCTGCAGGTGTAGCCAACAGGTGTAGCCATAAGGTCTGACGGGAAGAATGACGAGGGTGAAGAGTTGTCATCAGTATTGTTGTCCTGTATGCCACGAAAGAAAAATTAACAGAGAAGCTTCAATGTTATATGTCGTTATACTTACACTGACAGTAATAAATTCGGAGGAAACAAAATCTTCATTTGTCGTACTTCTTCGGTTTCTTTTTATGCCTGTAGGTGAAGAGGGCTGGGTAGATGATGCTGACGTTGGCGTTGTTTCCCTTGAGCGTTTCTATACATCATCATAAATTTATGTTACATGAATTTTTAATGGTGTATATAGTCATTGCTATTGATTACCTGGATGAATGTCGCGTTTCGTGATATTGTTCCCTGATTATGACCCTATTTGTTATCAGTCACTAATCACAATGTGAATATCAGTCCTATAATCCAACTCACTTTGACAATATTCAGTTGCTCAATAGTATTGCCTGAAATGTAGTATGCCTGTGATTGAGAACTTTCAGACACATTTTCGAGTAGTTCTCTTAATTCAGCATCCTATTCGATAAATTTGTTAAAATCAGCTGTGAAATTTTTGACTACTGAAGTAAAATAACCTTGTACACGATCTTTAAACGCGCAGTCTTTGGACCTTCATTTCGGTGGTCTTTTACGCCTGCGGTATAATCATTGAGAATGGCGCGCAATGAGAATACCAGAAAGCTTCTTTCAGGCATTCCATAGTCACCGGCTAAAAAGATCCATGGAAGTCATAGTCACCAGAGAAATTCTGGACTCTCCATTAACCACACCCTTGCCACCATTACATCACGCCTTGCAATACACCCCTTTCTTGGACTCATTTTCAATCATTCATGACGTGTTTTTAGACCAGTTTGCGTAATTTAGTTTTAAATAGGTCTTGAAACTTCTGTCAGCTTGACTTTGGAAAAAATCTGTGGCATTCATGATCACAGAGATTTTAGGCCTTCACGACAAGACCGCCCAGACGGTTTTTAGGCATCCAGACGGTTTTTAGGCATCCAGACGGTTTTTAGGCGTCCGGACGGTTTTGCTCCAAAATAATTTAGCAATATATATCTATTAACAAATAAGAATATTCAGCTGACGTATTTCTAAAATTTGAACACGCTTACTTGTCTGCTATTTTACAGTTTTGTAAATTAGGATTTCCTGTTTGAGAAGCGGGTTGAAGTGCAGGACACGGCCAAAGCGGTTCTGTTTTTCTAAATGTCGGAGAGCGCGCACATTTTCCGCGAAAAACATATTTTTCATTAAAACCATACAGTCGATGGTCAAAACAGCCTCAAGCTTACGCTTAAGAAAGCAAAAGGGAAAGATAACAATTTTTTTTTTGTATGTACATAAATAAAATTTCGTAATGGGGAAATTCGGGAGACATAGCTCTAGGGGGACACCGTCCTAAAGCAAAGACTAGCCATAGCAAGAATTGTAATGTATCTTTTTTTAAAAAATAGAACTAATAATTTAGTTTTTTTACAAAAACAAAAGTCATTATAAATTCATCCTTTTACCTTATTAATCACACTTTCATTCGAAAAAAAAAGAGAAGTATTTTAAGGAAAAAGAAAAAGAAAAAAAAAAAGTGTGTGAACGAGCCTTATTTCTAAGATTATTAATCAAAACAGTGTAAACTGATAAACAAGAGCTTATGTCAGAATGATGTAATTGTTTATATTGTTTTGCATGGAGAACAAAATTAACGTAAACCAAAAGTGATACTGTTAGAACTTGGATACCACTTTATTATGGACTTAAAAAATAAATTAATTAAAAAACGTATGATGGTCTATGAGAAAAAACTAGGATATCTATATAAAGCACTGGGATAGTTCTAGGGAGAATATTAAGCGCCTTATTATATCATTATGTAATAATCTGGTGATAGTAAATAATCAACATGTCTTTAAATTTAGCCCTTCCATACTGTCTGAGTTATATAAATATTAGTCAGAGGGATCAACAGTTATAACATCAAATGACAAGAGTAATATTTGTGCTCAGGATCTATTAATATTCCATAGTCCAGGCCCATTTGAAGAGCTTGTTGTATTCAGTATTTATTAAAGGAAAGATCTATTTTAGAAGACTAAAGTATTCATCTATCAAAATAAATAAAAAACAAAAGCTTGTTGGAACCCCCCCCCCCTTCTCTTTTGAACTTGTTGCGCTTGCTAAAAAAATAATACGCTTTTATAAGGCAATAGATCGTCTTTGGTAGTTAATGTATGTTGTTCATGCAGACATATGGTTAAGTAATATGTAAAGTACAACCAATCATCAAGCGCTATTTTGGCAAATCTGAACTTAATTATTTGAATTGGGATGTCTACATATGTAAACTATACCACTTAAACACCTGAAATGATGTAATGTATACTGTACAAATAAATACTACTTAGAATACAATCGTGACAGACACCTCTGAGGACGTTCCTCGTAAAATGTTTTTATGTAACTGTCAACCCGTGGCTACACAAGTCCATACGATCCGTTAAATTATCGTTAATCACCAAAGAAAGCTTTTCCCAGAAATGCCACATCCACACCCATACCCACAACTATTGAGCCCAGATCCTCATCCATTAAGCCCGGATCCACATCCATTGAGCCCAGATCTGCATCTATTGACCAATATCGTTTAATTTGTTCATATGAATCTTTGACTAGACATCCACAAAGATAAACGATAATTTAGGAGTTAATTTTTTGACGAGATCTAATCTCATGGGCCATTTGAAAGTATTCAGCAATTGGTACGAGCCAAGACGAACAAAAAAAAAAAGAGTTTGATTTTTGAAAGGCATGACACTATTTTTTTTTAATTGTGCGACACTCTTTTCTAAAAAAATACGACACCACTGATTTTTTTAAAAGTACGACAATACAATTTTTTCATTTTGGTATTTCTCGAGGCACCTATTTTTATTTTCTTTTTTCTTTCTTCATAACGACTAATTATATCTAGTATGGAAGAACCAGCTTTACAACCTATTGTAACGCTGTTTGACGCAATAACAGACTCGCCCGTCTTTCGGTCTAGTGTGTACCGCTGTGACGAACAATTAGAGGGTTTGGAACATTGGCTTGATTCCTTTTCACGTCAGTTGAAAGCATATACGGAAAAATTAAACAGTAAGCCCGTAACAACAATGTTTTATAGCTGGATATTAATTTTGTATAGAATTGAATTTGGAAACGGCTCTTTTATGTCAAAATGCATTGCCTCGAGGAATCGATGAAGCTTTATTAGGTATAAAAAAAAATTGTGTATATCTGCGTATGACTCCGGATTAACTAGTTTTTCCATGTATTCCCATTCGTAGACCCAAATTTTACTGGGCCTGTGATGAAGAGTTTTACCGACGCTTTACAGTCAAGTTTATCCTTTAAATCCAAATTGGTAATTCATCATACGGTGGTGTCGTGTAACCCTGGTTTTTTACCCAAAATTGACTAATTTATGCCATTTATAGGTCTCCAACCTCGAGGAACGTTTAATATCACCTTTACAACAATTCGTCAAAACCCATCTTAAAGAATTTAAGGTAACTCACCCTGTGCTAGAAATATTTGTACAAAAAAATTATAGTGGAATAAAATCATCTCATACACACCTGAAAAAAAAAAGTCATTTAGAAAACAACATGAGAAATCATTGGAAAGGTACGAAACTCAGCTGATGAAATACAGTACGTTGAGCAAAACAAAAGAACCTTCCTCTATTCGTGAAGAAGCTTTCCGGTTACATGAAGCAAGAAAGGAATATGTGAAAATGTCGGGTCAACATGTATTACGTGTCTTAAATTTCCGTTCCTTGCTTGAACATTGTCTGGTTGAAAAGTTTACAGATGCCACTCTTTCCCAGAGAGATTTCTACAGCGATGTCCAAATTTGGGCAAATTTAGATGCTGCATTAACATTTTGGAAACAATGGCTTGTTGACGTAAGTAGACCTAAAAAAAAAAGTTGTGTGGGGTGACTCAATTTTAATGATGGATGCAGGAAAAATATACTTGTACATATCAATTGCATAAACAACAACTTGCACGTAAAAAATTAGAAGATGAATACATTCGACTTACAGCACCTGATCACAGTCTGGGTAAATACAATATCTCGACCAAAAATTTTGAACGATCGCACCTCGCTCAACTCAGCTCAAAATGGGGTTATTTATTTGTGCGTGCGTCTCGACTTTCTTGGACACGTAAATGGTTTTTCATCCATAGCGGCTATTTCGGTTCATGTCAAGTAGAAACTACATCCAAGCGCCGTGGTTCCATCTCGATTGAGAGCAGAGTATCCGTATTGGATTGTGAACTTGTGACGCTGGTCGATACAGACCGAAGATTCTGTTTTGAAATCTCCGTGCCTAAATTACAAACATCCTATGTATTACAAGCGGAAACAGAAGACAATCTACAGGAATGGATCAGAATATTTTCGAAAAACAAGAGCGATTATTCATTTGGCTCCGGTCCTAAAAGATCGCCCAGTTTACGGATCAAATCCAAAGCAAATCCAACCACAGGTCTTTCATCGCCTACAGCTACAACCACAACCGAAATTGTACATGCATCTAATATTCCTTCATCTCCCAAAATCATCATGCATGATGACTCTGCTTCTTCCTTCTCCAATATCTCGAGTATTTCAGATTCAAACCCCATCTCTTCTACATTTTCCGACGCAGCATTAACATTATCTAGAAATTTCTCGGAGGAAGGTCCTTCCATCGTCATGGTTTCTACCACGCCCGATACAGAAATCTCTCTCGATACCACTTCTTCTTTAACCCCACTTTTAGTTTGGGAGGCAGCACGTGCGGGTCTTTCCGCCGCCAAAAAAATGCCCTTGATTTCTTGGGGTATCCCTTGGTCACTTGTTCCCACCATGATCAATCTGACACAAGATGCATCTCAAACACATGAAAAGTCTGCCACCACACCGCCTACTTTTCCACGCGTCATTTGGCCTCCAAGCCCTGCATGGGTGGATATTCCCAAAGTCCAAATGCCTGGTTATACCGATAAGTTGAATTCACAAAACAGAGAGTTACGTCGTTTATTCACTGGTGTCAAAACAGAGGAAGTTGTCTTGGATGTATTTGTGGGATGTCTTCGTAAAATGCCTACGGGGTCGGAAGCGCCCAATATGAAGGAAATAGAGTTATCCAAATCCTCACTTCATTCACCGGACGCTGAACTGTATGAAGTAGAATTAGTCAAGCAGTTGAAACAGACAGGGTTAACACCACCTACACGACATGGGTACGCTTACTCAGGACGAGGATTTATTACACAAGACACGTTCTGGTTTTATAGTTGTGTATTAATGACGTGTATCAACACCGTGGCGATCCGTTTAAAAGATATTGAGGAAATTAGAGTGATGAAGGATACTTCATTAAAACCTGCGAATCACGAATCATTTCCTGCGAATTCCGATCTTGTGCTTTCGATCTCTTTAGTATCTAGTACTGAAAATGATATTCAAGAACCTATTATCATAGGTACCATTATGGATGATATTGATATGGTTGCAGAGAAATTGCGAGTTGCTGTGATGGATGCCAAAAACAACGAGGTAATTGAGAAAGAGACAGATCAAGATAGAATCGGTTATGTGTATTAATTTATTAATATAGTCAATGTCATTGAGTACCTTGTATGGAAAGATGGTGAACCTCTCTTCAAATTTGTCTTCGCATAAAAGTGTGGTTTTGGATATACCGCTTACATTTAATAGCGCACTTCAACCAGTTGCAGCTTCTGCTAAACCAGAAAATATCTACCCTAACAGACCTCATGCCAACACCGTTGGAAGTCAAGATAAAGCAAATACCAGTGGTATTCTCAGAACAAATCGTCAGCGTGGAGATTCTGAACCCATAAAGTCTACTGTCATTGTTGAACAAAAGAAAAGGGCCGTGATCGAACCTCCTGTAGATCGTAAGTTTCTTTTACTCAATTCGACATTGATTACTAACAAACAAAATAAAAAAAGCCGATACACCTCCTTCGCATATTCACGTTCCCCAGGGCCCAGTTGAATGTAATTGTGATGATCATTTGGAAAAGATGGACGCTCAGATTACACTACCAATTTCTGCTAAGCGTTGCTATGAATTGTTATTCTCAAACGAACAAACTGCTCCCCCTACAAATGGTGGTGTATGGGAACAGAAAACCGCTGCTATTGATGGACACGGTAAAAACCTTTTATTGCTTTTGTGCTTTTTTTTTTTATATCCCAAAAAAAACTTATCACATATTCTTGCTTTAGACTTAACTGTGACAAAATGGGAGATGTTGGACGGCCAAATGCAACGTACCTTAAAATATTGGATGCCTGTTTCTAATCCTATCGGTAAAGAAAGAAAAAAAGCAGACCAACTCACCCTCTGTGCATGTATACAAGTTGTATTCACCTGTTTAAATTATAGTGCGTATGAAGGAAGCTGAAGTTGTAGAAACTCAAATCTTGATCAACAAAGAAGACTACATGTAAGTTATACACATGTATATCAGGATAATCAGCTGCAAGTATTAAACTCAATATTTTAGTCGTTACACTGTTCAAATCTCTACCAAGACAGCTGCATTACCTTATGCCGATGCATTTATTCCTTGTGTTCGATACTGTATCACTTGGGTCAATAAATCTGAATGTCAGTTAACTTGTTACCTTGGTGTAAAATGGGTCAAAAGTGTATTTGTGCGAGGTAAAAAATGAAAACAAGGGAAGGAGATATAAAATGTGTACTCATATGCTTTCTTCTTTGGACAGCCATTGTTACGAGAGCTGCTTTGAAGGGTATGGCGGATAGTGTCGGTGTATTTATTCCCATTTTAAAATCGTCCGCCGATACGACCAAAGCAACTTTGAACAGCGCAAGACGAAAAGCTTTGCATCAATACGAAAATTTGACAGATGATACGAAATCGCATAAATCATTTGCTAGTTTGGTCTCGGTCGTGGAAGAGGAACAGGATGACAAGAGCGTCGATTTTGTTCAAGAAGATAAGTCAGATGCAGCATCTGTCCAAAAGGTTGTTTCTTTACCAGCCGTGGCAACGTCTTCAGCCAACTATCCAGAACTATCACAACAACAGCCACATCATCAGCAGCAGCAGCAACAACAGCAACAACAACAACAAAAGGCTCCTATACCTGTTCAAGCCATTGAAAAACCTCGCCAAGTAGTTCAACCTGCACCAACCACGTCATCTCTGCAGCCGAGCAAAAGTAGCAAGCTCCTAATAGTGCCTAAAGTTTCATGGATTTCTATCGTTAAAGATTCTGCTGGTTTTCATTTATTATCGATTGCACAAGGTCTCTTGTTTTTGTTTACAGTGTATATGACCATTCTATATTTCAAATCTGGGAGAGCGTTGGAAGACGCAACAGATCATTTGCAATATAATATGACGTCAACCGGAAAGCCTTTACAAAATCATGCATTCGGTGCCCGTTTAAATAAGTCATTGTCCAGATCTGTCTATTTACGTGATCTTGATGAGGGATTTTTGAAAAACTCCATCTTACCACCTTATTCTCAATCCCAAAGGTAAGAGTGAAAAAAAAATTAGATGTATTTTGAATTATCATACTAAACTTAATGCGGGAATATTTATCAGTTACACCTTGTTTTTGAAATCTAAACAAGACGAAACCAACGGAGTGGAACAAGTAAATGATATAATGAATCGAGACTGGTATCATGTTGAACATTATAGATTAGCCATTGATTTAGATATCAGCCGAGAAAGAATTGCCATGTTAAGACACGATATGTTGATCATTTTTCAAGTGTTAAACAAGGTGGATTCTCAATTAGTCGAGAATGAATACATGAACTGGTTATTAGATACGAGATTGAAATGTAAATATAACCCTCCTCTCGACTCTGATGACCCTCGTGCCGAAAAATCTATCTCTTTGTGTCATGATATCAGAAAACAATTAGATAGGTTGTTTTAATTTATTGCCATCTACATTTTATTCTTTACTTATTTATCCCCTCCCCACCTTTCAACTATTAATATCCTAATTACAACAAAAACTAATTAATTAATAAATATTCTTAATACATCCTTAATGATTTTGATATTTATGACGACAACCAGACATTTCTCATTATTTTTTTTTTTTTTTGGGTTTATGAATCTCATTCTGTCTCACGGTGACATAGATACCCTGAGAAGTTTGATTTGTCAATTCAAATATTGCGACGGGAATATCCAAAACTAAGCAATTTTGTCTTATGTGAATAAATAGGCACATGAGATTATATGGCGATGCCCTGTTGCTGAATACGGAGATATAATAACAGCTTCACAATTTTTAATATGAGTGGCGACAAGTATCTTTCCATTATACGCAGCCCCAACATGTATATCACTTCCCAAACGCGATACATTCTCTAGATAGGCTCCGCCAAAAGTCAATATATTAGCAATACGTAAGTTTTTGACATGTCATGGTTAACATTTATTACGCTAACAGATCCCCTTTCCATAACTGTTATGGAAATCCGGGTAACTATTTAAAAAAGCTGTGCCCTAGCTGCAAACAAAACAATTAAAAACAAATATAACGAATGTTTGTAGTTATGCCAGAGACACGTTTTTAATATAAAAAAAAGTCTTTCCCAATTTAGACAGACAGTTCTCTTTCTAACTGACAAAAAACATGACAGGTCTCGATAGCTATTCTTGAACTATAAGTCGTTAATTAAACTAAATAAGGGCATTTTAGAAATTTGCAAATCAGAATCACGCCAAAAAAAAAAAAAAAAAAAAAAAAAACCAAAGCATAGACAGTTATTTGAAATCACAAATTGTAGGCCACTCTTTTAGATATTTGACCAGGATTTGGTCCAAAAGGTTTACACCAAAAAACTTTTCTTATATTGTTTATCTTCCCAGAGTATCTTCTTAGCTTCTTTTATCGAATATTTGGTGCAGGTAAAGAATTAACTATTGGCATCACCTTCCTAATAACAATCTCAATAACCAGTAAAAGATGTAACGTCAGCACTAGTGGTGCTGGAGTTATCACAACCAGCCGCAATTATTGTCTTTTTGTTTGGTGTTGTACCTCACGACAATATCCTCAGAAGTTGGCAGGAATAAAACAAATTCTTCAGGCAATAATTTGATATTTAACATTTAGATCAAAATAAAAACCATCCTACAGGTGCTTGACCAAACGTTTACTAGTCGGGATTAGACCAGCAAATGAGCAAATAGCTAAATATCGAATTTGTCCATGTCATTGTTAGCTCATGTTTATTACCAAGATAAATAAAAAACAATTCCATTAATCTTTTTTTTTTTACAATTATTGAAGCGATTTATCATTTAATCATCTAAAAGAAATATATTAGGTAAACATATTGACACGTCGCTTATATAAAATAGAGACCATATCTATACATTCTATCTAATAAGTACTACCCTCAGTGACACGATCTTTTTGTATTATCTTTAAAGTAGCTGTTAAATAAAAGATGTAATGCAGTGGGTTATAAAGCGAAATAAACAAACGAAAAAAGTGTTAAGATGCGTAGCACGGAAATGCTTAGATAAGTTTTACTATTCATTTTATTACCACCACAGCAAGTTGTTACATTTTAGTGTCATATTTATACTTTTTTACATTTATTGATTGTGTAATTCAGATACATGTAATACCAAAGTAAAATACATTAAATAGAAAACATATGCATAACATATAATGCAAGAAGAAACTAGTACAGAAGGGAATTGCTATCTCAACTTTAGTTTTGACAAAAGACCGACCACCTGTTAAAGTGTATGACTATACTGGCTTCATATGAAGCTCTAAAAACACAGGGCTTAGAATAATTCGCGCGGATAATATATGAGCTGGTTGAAGTTCAGACAGGTTCTTGTGAGGTAGGTCGATTTATTTAACACGTAGTATATCTCTCACAGTTCTAAGAATCATTTGTTAAAGTTACTTGGTATATCATTGAAAGCACCTGCATCGGTAGTTTATCCGGAAAAAAAGAACAAGAAAAATTATTGCTCGTGGATGGTAGAGTGGAAACTAGATCCCAGTATACATTATAAGTCACTTTTATACTGTGGTAAACTACTTGTAACTAGTTTGAATACATACTATCTTGTGAAAGGCTATGTTTTTATTCATAAACTCACCGCTATTGGAGCTTTGGCCGAAGAAAGAGAGCAAAGTTATAGATATACCCAACTGACCCGTGTTTATTGTCCTATTTAGAGATCTTTGGTGGGTATCATAAGAAGCACTCCTGACATAGATTGTTTTTTGATGGGGTTGTGAATGGATTCATCCATTCAGTAAGTTTTTTTCCTTGGTATCCTGCTGTGTAAAATTATTGGATTAAAATTGATGTGATACAGAATGATTATTGGATCCAAACACCTGCCTAAAACATAGTTAGCAGCTGAATGAAGTAATCATGGGTGACCCGAGGGCTCAGGTGCTATTTATTGACATTTTCTAACAAAAGCTTGGAAAACATCAAAAAAACAAGTGCTAAAATGAAAAGTGACGTATATTTAGCATTTGGGCTTGAAAAGTTGATGACCCATTTTTACCCAAAAAGAAGGGAGTAAAAAAAAAAAAAAGCCTTTTTTTTCACCACTGGGGGGCACTATAACACGTCGTAATGCCCCGAGCTACCCTTTTTGAACTTTTTTTTTACCCCATATTTTGTATTTCATTGTTACCAAAAGACCTTCTTCTTTAGGCCAAACTTCTATGTCATTCCTTTGAAATACGTGAACTAATTTTGGAAGGTAAGTAAAAGAATAACCTTTTTTTTTATTCACCGAAAAGGTCTTCCGGTTCTGTCGGTTTCATTACCCAAATAGTGCGTGTTGTGTGCAGGATAAACCCCATCCATACCGGACAATGAATTTAACGTCAAAATTAAAAAAATATCAAAGAATCAAATGTTTATGAAAAACGCACTGGTAAGCTTGAGTAACATATCATTTTTTTTTTGACTCACGGACACTGTATACCCGTGGCCTATGCAAAAAATGGCTGATAAAGTAAGTATTGTAGGCACAACAGTAAAGCTGTAAGATTGGATAAGGCACAATTATCATTTACTCACTACTTCAAAAAATAATGAGTAAAAAAGCACAAAATAGAGTGGCATAAATCGTTGGACCTTTAGTTCGCCGGCAAGTACTCCGATGATGGATAGGCATTTATAGTTGGGGTTTTTTTTCAACGGCATGTGAAAATTAACTAAGAAAAAAAAAAAAAAAAAAAAAAAAGAATATAAAAATGTGACACTTTTGATTATTCTTTATTTTTCTCCTTTATTTAATATAAACAAATAATGATACCAGATACAACACTGACAAGAGGATTTATTTACAGTTCAGCTGTGGCTCAAACAGCTGTTGCACCATTTGCATTTTTTTATTATGTTTATTTCATCGCAACAGAACACAAGCTTTTCACTTTACATTCATCTGTCGACACCTTCATTCATTATTGGTTAGGCTGTGAGCTTTTATTCTTTATTTACTTTCAAATCACTCGTAGCAGAATGCAGCGTATTTTACCCAGTGTCGCTCCCTCTGCAAAAGAAAGAAGTGACCTTTATTCAGTATGTCTCGCTAATATTCATGAGGCCGAGACTTGGTTACCAGAATGGTTTATGTTAAGTGGCAACCCTACCGCTCATCCTGAATTCCAAGACATTTGTCGCGATAACGTAGCTGAATGGTAACTAACCAAAAAAAAAAAAAAAAGTAATGTATGACGCAGTAAATTCTTATCTCATCTTCGATAGGTTATCTTGGGCATTTTTTGGTTCAGCATTAGAAGATGTTTTACAAGATGAAGCTGCTACTGAAGAATTAAACTATATGATTGACAACTTTGAACAAGAGTTCCATATTCAATTTGATATTGGATATAACGAAGATATCATTGCCTATCGTATCAATTTGGATCCTGTTCACGCTTATCATCGACCTCTTGCTTTTTATGCCTTGGTCATGTTTGGCACAACCTTATTTGGATGTGCCATGCAATTTATTTGGGGAATGACAAAATTTGGCCCTGAAACTAAATCTACTGTTTGGAATTTATTGGACCCTCAGCAAACTTACGAACCTTTCTTCAAGACAAATCCCGAAGACGGCCCCGAGAAAGTTTCCTACTGGTTTCGTGATGGTGATCGCACAAAGAAGCCTATTGTATTTATCCATGGTATTGGCGCTGGTTTAATGTGCTACGTCTCTTTCCTCCCCAAATTATTTGCATTGGACACACCAATTTTCTGTATCGAGTTACCCTTTGTATCCATGCACTGTATCGAGGATGTTCCAACCATGCAGGAGACCATTCGAGATTTACAAAAAATGTTGCAGCGTCATGAATTTGATGACGCTGTATTTGTATCACATTCATTAGGAACTGCTGTTACTTCTTGGGTAGTTAAATACATGTCAAAAAGTGTCGCAGGTGTTGTATTTTTAGACCCCATTTGCTTCATGTTACATTACAAGGATGTGTAAGTCCCACAATATTTTTATCTTGTATTTTGTACTAACATCCCAATTAGTTGTCATAACTTTGTTTACCGTACCCCAAAGACAGCCTCGCAGGGTCTTGTCAAGTACTTTGCTTCAACCGAATTATATATTTCTTATTATATCTCTCGACACTTCCACTGGTTCCAAACAGCTTTATATGTTGCACCCAATGTACCCCATCATAACCATTCGCACACTTCATCCGTGAAGATGCCTATTAATACCAAGGTTTTCTTGTCTGAAAACGATAATATTGTTGACTCGATGCGTGTAGATACTTACTTAAATCATCATGGCATTGATACTGTCCTTATGAGAGGCCTCGACCATGCCTCATTTCTCTTCTTTCCCACTTGGCAGAAAGAAATCTTGGCTACTATCAATCAATTTGTTAGCCAACAAGCCTAATTCCCCTTAATTTTTTACATATCACACTCTCATACTATTGTACATACCTTTCTGTTAGATTATAGATCTTTTAATGCTATTCCCCCACTCCTCATCCCTCTTTCCCCCCCTAATTTATCGATAAGATGATAATAAATATTTTACAAATTCGTTTTATTCAAACTAAACCGTTACACCAATTCGCTGAGCTAATCTCTGGTATTGTTCTCTTGCAATTTTCCTTTGTCTCCAAATAAAGACAATGACGGATATCACTGCAACGGATAAATTGAAACCCTTTTTCATATAAGGTTAGTTTTTTTATTTTTATAGAGGAAATCCTATTATGAGCGCAAATACACTATACTTACTTCGAATTTTATCAGTCTCACTCTTTCCACACTTTTTACACGTGGGCACGCACGAAATGAAGGTAAAGCGATCGAGTCATCTTCATAAATAGTGGTTTGGTTTCTTTTATCTGCTAATTCGGGGTCGTCCCATTCGCAGCGCACTGCCTCTTTGTTACCGAATTCTACACAATAAGGCTGTGTTTTCTAAGAGAGCGCATAATTATTAGATATGGAGGCCGTGTGATGTAAGGGATTTTTTTGGTTTACTTTTTCTAATGGTGTGCATTGTTCACATTCGCCAATTGAATGACAAGAGTAAGTTGATTTATCTACAGTTTCATGTGAATGGGTATAGTCTCCCAAATGTTGAGAGGATTTATTTGCGTCTGTGGTAATCCCAAACGGTGGGGTTCGTCGGTATTGAATATCTGCTAACGTAAATGTCAAAAAACTAAAGAGACGAAAAATGAGAAAATGTATCTATGGTTGTATTGGGTACATATTTACAATAATAAAGTCAAGAAGCAAAGTCTCTTCATGATTGAAATATTAAAAAAGAAAAATTAATTGTTGGAAAGCTTCTGATTGAAAAAAGTGTGTGCACTGATTAATAAAGAGCCGACGGAGTTGGTGTGACCTTTTTAACCACACCCCTTCCTTTCATACAAAAATAAAAAAAAATAAAAAACTTGTCAACATGCAAAGAAAGTCATTATGGGGATCTTACAAGGCCTTAAGTCCCAAAACACGGGTAACCTTGGGCGTAGGTAAGTGCATATTCTATAATATAATTTTTAAAGGAGGCTTATTTTAAAATTAAAATTCTAAAAGGTGGTATGATTTTCGCTACAGCTGGTATGTACCTGGCTGATTTAATCGAACAACAAAAACCTGCGACTGAAATCGAAAAGTTACAGCTTGAAATGCTGTCTCCTATCGTCGTTGTCGACCATCAATCCAAGAAATAAATTTAATAATAATGTTTAACTTTAAAATAAAAAAGTGTAATTCTAAACTAGTCTGTTTATCGCTCTAGAGAAATGTGAATATAAAGACACTTCATCTTCCCAACTAACTGTTTTTCTTTACAAACATCTTTATATTTTAATTTATTTTAAAACGTCAAGTATGAAATTAACTTCAATTTGTCTTGCGGTTAGTTTATTCTTGACAACCTATGCCGCTGTCATACCCTCAACCAAATACACAGAGTTTAATTGGTCGAAAGAACCCAAGAAATTTTCTTTGGATGCCAATGATCCAATTCAGCTTCAAATCACTGACTTCAATGGCCAAGGATTCAGGGTGTATGATAACAATAATTATTTGGGAGAAACAAATGTTCAATCTGAAATTGACGAAAAGTTTCGTCAGGGCTACTTTAATTTGGACAGAGGACATCATATTATAAAACTTGAGCTGAAAGGATCCTTCACTGGTGAAGGTACCGGAGCTATCAGAATTGTCTCAGGTACAGCTGCAAGCAGTTTGACATTTTATTCCTTTACTTACCCATGCCCTTACTTATAGGTATAGATAAGCATGAAGTATCGAATACTGCAGTCCTTTCGCGGCATGCTAAAAAGGCTAGTGAGGGTCTTACTCGGGAAGCCAAAGATGGTGATGATGCTAATAAAAAGCGTGACGAAGGAGACAATGAAGATGAAGGCGATGATGATGAAGATGATGATGAAGGCGATGATGATGAAGATGATGATGAAGACGATGATGATGAAGACGATGATGAAGACGATAATGAAGATGATAATGATGATGAAGAAGAAGATGATGATGAAGACGATGATGATGAAGACGATGATGATGGGGACGATGATGATGAAGACGATGATGATGGAGACGATGATGATGGAGACGATGATGATGAAGACGATGATGATGAAGATGATGATGATGAAGGCGATGATGATGAAGACGATGATGATGAAGACGATGATGATGAAGGCGATGATGATGAAGACGATGATGATGGGGACGATGACGATGAAGGAGATGATGGTGAAGGTGATGATGATGATGAAGGTGACGATGAAGAAGATGATGATGGGGACGATGATGATGATGATGGGGACGATGATGATGAAGAAGATGATGATGGGGACGATGATGATGGGGACGATGATGATGAAGATGATGATGAAAAAGATGATGATGGGGACGACGATGATGGGGACGACGATGATGAAGATGATGATAATGAAGGTGATGATGATGGAGACGATGATGAAGGCGATGATGATGACGATGATGAAGAAGGTGAAGGTCATAGCAGAAATAATGAAGACAATGACAATAGCAATAATGGTAAGAATGATGATAAACCCAACATTCGTTGCAATAATACTAACTTACACACCCAAGGTCCCTCTTCTTTTTCGAGCACATCACAAGAATCAACCGTCCAAAGCTATCCAAGCTCTGTAACTGTCACATCTACTGCATACAGGTATGTAATATGTGCCAGAAATCAGCGTATATAAGTTTCGTAAATTAATGAACATTTACATTTTTTTAGTGAATCTCTTAGTACTGTAACAAGAACCAACACTGTTACCACTACAGATACTCCTGTAACCGAGACAGAAATTTCGGTCACTACTGATACAGTTACCTCTACTCATGTACCTGACGCCGAGACAAGCACTGAGACTGATTTTGAGACTATTACTGATACTGTAACAACAACCGAAGTTCCTTACACTGAAACATTGACCGAGACGGAAGTTAGCATTACAACAGATACTGTTATTTCTACTGAAACTCCAGATACCCAGACTACAACAGAGACAGAAATTTTAACAACTACAGACACTGTTACATCCACTGAAACTCTTCACGCTCAAGTCAAATTTGTAACTACTACAGACACCATAGTTTCTACTGAAATTCCGGACACGAAGACTGAAGTTGTAACTACCACAGACACTATAATTTCTACTGAAGTTCCTGAAACCAAAACAGTGACTGAGACGGATTTTGTAACTACTACAGACATAGTCACTTATACCGAAGCTCCTGAAGATAAAACGACAACCGCAACAGAGACTTTGACCACTACTGATACCGTTACTTTATCTCAACCTCCTGGTACTGAAACAAAGGTTTTAACAACTACTGACACAGTTGTAACTACTGAAATACCTGAACCCAGAACAAGAACTGAAACAGTCTTTGTGACAACTACCAGCACCGTAGATTCTCCTGAAGCAAGTGTGGATACAGACTTTGTGACTTCAACAGAGTATATTGTCTCCACTGAAGCACCTGGCACTCAAACAATAATAGAGACGAAATTCATAACCACCACAGATATTGTCACTTTTACGGAAGTCCCTGATACAGAAACAACCACTCAGACAGAGCGTGTAACTACTACAGATGTTTCAACCGCTACTAATACCGTAACTTCTACAAAAACTCCTGATACGAAGACAAAAACCGAGACAAAATTATCGACTACTACAAATGTTATGACTACCACTGACACTGTCACATCTACTGAGATTCCGGATACAGAAACAAAAACGGAGACTGTCACATCCACTGAAGTTCCTGACACAGAAACAAAGACTTTGACTGATGTGATAACCACTACAGATGTTATGACTACCACTGACACCGTAACATCAACTGAGATTCCTGATACTGAGACAAAAACGGAGACTGTCACATCTACTGAGGTTCCTGACACAGAAACGAAGACTTTGACTGATGTGATAACCACTACAGATATTATGACTACCACTGACACAGTAACATCTACTGAGATTCCTGATACTAAAACAAAAACAGAGACTACTACGGACACTGTAATTTCTACTCAGGTTCCTGACACGGAGACAACAACTGCAACTGAGCGTATCACTACAACAGATATTCTCACTACTACAGATGTGTTAACTACTACAGATGTTCTTACTACTACAGATGTTCTCACTACTACCAATTTTATTACATCTACCGAGACCCCAGATACAGAGACTAGAACGAAGACGGAAATTTCGACTACCACAGATACAGTCACTTCTACTCAGATTCCTGATACCCAAACTAGAACAGAGACTACCACTAACACTGTCACTTCTACTAAGATTCCTGATACTAAAACTAAGACAGAAACTACCACAGACACTGTCACTTCTACAGCTATCCCAGAAACTGAGACAACGACCGCAACAGAGCGTGAAACTACTACGGATATTTCAACCACTACCAACACTGTTACGTCTACTGAAGTTCCTGATACTGAAACAAGAACAGAGACCACTACGGATACTGTTACATCTACCAAGATTCCTAATACCAAAACCAAGACAGAAACTACCACAAATACTGTCACATCTACGGAAATCCCAGCTACAAAGACAACGACTGCAACAGAGCGCGAGACTACTACCAATACTGTTACATCTACCGAGATTCCTGATACTGAAACGAGAACAGATACTGTCACTTCTACTTTAACTCCAGCCACTAAGACAACAACAGCAACCGAAAGTGTTACTACCACAGATGTTATGACTACCACAGACACTGTCACGTCCACGGAAATTCCTGAGACAGAAACTAAAACTGAGACTGAGGTTTTGACTACAACTGATACTGTTACTTCTACCAAGATTCCTGCCACCAGAACAAGAACGAAAACGAATACTGTAACTACAACAAACGTTTTAACTACGACAGATATCGTGACTACGACTAATACTGTCACTTCCACTAAAGTTCCTGATACCGAGACAACTACCAAAACTCAAATCTCTACTACCACCGATACTATAATATCTACAGAAATTCCTGATACCAAAACCATGACCGAGACTGAAATTTCTACTACCACGGATACAGTGATATCTACTGCAATTCCTGATACAGAAACTAGAACCGAGACAAAGGTTCTAACTACCACGGACACCGTTACATCTACTGAAATTCCTGACCCGAAAACAATGGTTATTACCACTACAGACACTGTCATTTCTACTAAGGTTCCAAAAACAAAAACTAAGACTGAGATTGTAACCACTACAAACACGGTGACTTCCACAAAAGTTCCTGAGGCTAAAACCAAAACCAAGACCAAGTATTTAACTACCACTGATACCGTTACCGCTTCTGAAGCTCCAGGAACCGAGACAAAATGGGAAACTGATGTTTTAACTGCAACAGATACTGTTACTTTGACCGAAACAAGAACCAGAATAGCTCTTAAAACTACAACAAATACCATCACATCTACAATGTTTTCCGATACAGTGACCAAGACCATTATTAATATGGTAACGACTAAGAATACGATTACCTTGACTAAGCCTTCTACAAGTACATCATCCCAGTCTACCTCGACTTCATTGGAGCCTACATCAAGTGAGAAAACACCGGCTTTACTTGCCACTGACTCTACTGCATCCAGTTCCTCACCAACTAATTCTCCAAGTTCTACATCTAATTTGAGTGAAACAGACAAAACTTCTTCTGTTAACAGTTCAAGTGATACCTCTAAATCCACTTCAGCTACTGATACTGCTAAATCATCGTCATCGACCGATTCTGCCAGGTCTTCTGTGTCTACATCTCCGTCCTCCACTGCAACCACATCTAGCAGCCCTTCAAGTTCAGCTTCCACGTCAAGTGAATCCACAACCACTACTTCTAGCACCGATTCTACCAAAACTTCTTCTTCATCTAAATCTAGTGAGACTTCAAAATCTACATCAAACGAGTCTTCAGATACTACATCCACAAGCTCTAATTCTAAATCCAGTAAAGACAGTAAGACTCCTTCCAGCACCGAACCAAGAAAAACCAGTGCAACTACATCGTCAAAATCTACTTCCAATTCAAGTACTTCCTCAAGTTTAAGTCCAACAACTAGCTCACGTTCTACGTCTGAGTTAGCCGAAGATACAACATCAGCTTCTAGCACCTCATCCAAGCCCACAACAACAGGCTCTAAGTCTACCACCAATGCACCAACTTCATCGGAGACAGACACTACCAGCTCTTCCGAGCCTAATTCATCAAGTTCTTCCAATGAGAAAACTACATCGAACACTGGGTCTACTTCTACAAGCTCTACTACATCTAGTAAAAAGTCTAGTTCTACTTCTTCTAGTCCTTCGTCATCTGCAAAATTGTCTACTCCTTCTTCTACATCAAGCGAAGAGACTACAACCTCAGCTAAGCCCAGTACATCTTCAGATCCAACTTCTACATCTAGTGAAACCATTGAAACTACTCCTACTACAAGCTCAAGTTCAAGTAATTCAGAATCGTCTACATCTAAATCAAGCCCTACTTCAGTATCTAGTTCTGCAACTTCATCAAGCTTGTCTTCCAAATCAACTACAGGATCAGCGACCACAACTTCTTCTGATAAACAGACTGATGCTTCATCCACAACCGAGCTTGCCAAAACATCCACATCTTCTTCGGAATCCACTGAAAATAGCGAGCCTACAACCACAAGTGAGTCTCCTGAGGCTTCTTCGACCTCGGCAACTCAGGATCCCGAGACTACATCTGATGAAGACAGTTCTACAGAAACTTCAGACACCGATAGTACGGATGCAGCAAAACCTTCTGCTTAGCTCAAGTTTTAAGATTAATTAGTTTAGTTTACCCATACAAAAAAATGTTGCAGTTGAACACTGAATATTTTATACCTTATACCGCCTTTAAAAAAATGTTCCAATAAATCATTTTTTAAAATAACACTTATAATTGTAAATATTCTTATAATTCGTCAATTGACTACCCTTATTATTTTGACTTTGGGGAACCTGTGGGGATGAGCAGCACTTTACTCAGTGTGTTATTGTACTTTCTGTTTTCTTTTTTTTTTTTTAAAAAAAAAAAAAAAAGTATGACTGAGAGTTCTGTGTGTAGTTCTGAGAACTTAGTGAAACCCGAATTTAGAACGTGTAACATTGTAACAAATATCTCCACGTACAAAAAGCAGTTTTTTTTTTCTTCTTGTCTTTGATTTTTATAAATTTAGATATGTTGTTTTACGACAATCCGCCGCTACAGGCGATTTCGATGGATTTTCCTGTTGTAGATAAAGTAGTCAACACAGATAACTGCTATTACTATCTCTCCTTATTGGAGAGGTTTGTCAGTGTTATTGAATCTATGGATAAAGAAGAGTTATTGCAGTACCTGGTACGTGCAGAATCAAGATATTTCAGATGGATCTTTTGTCCATTGTTCATCTCAACGAAACGTGAAGTACCACCTTTAGGTAAATTTAAACAAGATCAGAACTAATCATAAATGTCTATAAAGGTTTAATTCTCTGTCTTTTATGCAGATGTTGCTTTTTTTTGGCAAACTCATATGTTGAGTCCACTTCGATACCATGAAGATATGATTAAACACTTTGGTGGTAACAATGAGGACTGTCCTATTCCATTAAAAGACATTGTAAAATCTTTATTTGTTATAAAACTAATATATTGTAATGAAATTAATGGATTTTATTAAAAGCATGAAAGTAGATATGAGCCTACGCCAAAGGCCTTGCACCAATGGATAAAAGTGATGGGCAAGTCCGAACCTTACATTTTCGAAGGAAGCAGAACGGAATCATACCATACAAACACTAGTATTTCATGCATTGTTTGTGGTAGTCCAGCAAAGACCTCATGGTAACATCACTTTTTTTTATGTGTGTAGTTTTTGCTCAACCTTATACATTATTTAGGAAAAGCTATACTGAATGGAGAACGAATCCAGATGTTGCTATACGGTGTTACTGTTGCGATGCTGAATATACCATCAAGCATTGTGGCAAAGCTAATTTATTTCGAGACGTCAGCTACGATTTCAAAATTTCGTAAGTATAATCGAAAAACCTAAAAAAAAAAAAAAAGCTCTAACATGCTCCGTGTACAAAAGTGGGCTTTCATTTGATAAAAAAGGGCAATTTAACCCAAAAAAGAATATCAAAATAGAAAATTATCTATTGAGTAGCCATAATTTAGCCAAATTACCCTTTGATTCTGGAGGAAACCAAATCAGAAACTTTATGGCTACTAACCAAGAGCGCTTCAATCCAAACGGAAATAACACAAAAAAGAATCAGGAACAAAATGGTATTTTTTTTTTGTGAAACTTGACTTATCTCTTTGTTATACAACCTGGACACTTATATTTTTATTATCATTAGAATTAATGGGAGCTATAATGACAACGTATTTTTGCACTCCTTATCGTGGATCCATCGATATGTTAATGGCGGTAACACGCCAGCTGAAATTTGCGATAAGGGTCACTTCTCAGATTGATTGGCAATTACCCAATGGTATTATTTATGGAATCAGAGGTTATTTTCAGTTTATCCGTATTTTAAAGTTTTCGCCTGGTTTGGTGGGTGTACCTGACGTTGGTATCGGTAAGTTCATGTACTTCGTAAGAATAAATGTACTCAACAGATGCCCCCTTTTTTTGAATCCATAGACCTTGCTTGGCATACACATATGCTATATCCAGCTCGTTACCGAGATTTTACAACCAGTCATCTCAAAACAATTTTAAACCATGATGATTGCATACCACCTGAAGAACTACCCTCGTTTGAAGAAAAGTTTAATATGGCAAAGCGTTATTTTCTGAAAGAGGAGTCGGAAAACAAGGATACTAAGAGTAAAGGCTCTATTTTTAAATGGGCATTTACTAGTTCTTCAACTACAGCAAAAAAAGACTATTTAGCTTTTGGCTATCAATCCAGAGATGGAAATTTTATCATTGATGATGATATGATAGACCCGAACTTGTAAGTAAAAGCACCTCCCAGCATTTAAAAACTCAATTTGTTTTTTAGGACTAGCGTGAGTTATCATGACAGAAGTAAGCTTTTCAAGTCAAGCTTTCTGCTTTAAAATTTTTTGTACTGACATATCATTTGATATCTTAGGAGCAGTGTCAGAATTTGTTCATTTCAACAATTCAGAGGCAGATCAAGAGACCTTGTTCAAATCAGTACAACATACAAAATTGGGTTTTATAGGGTATATTAATTGAAAAAGAAAACTATGAGATTATCTAAAAAATGTCTAATATAACCCTTGATAGAACAAGCACTAGTGGAGGTACTTAGTTTTTAATGATACTTAACTTATTCTCTAATATTTAAATTCAGGCGAAAGATCTCTACGACCAATTGGACACATCCCGTAAGACTTTGATCCAGTCTAATATACTATTTGTATACTAACTTTTACTTAAAAAACAAGGGGATACCGTAAGGATAATGACAAACAAAAGGATCTGCTATTAATTATTGTATACTAAAATGAAACAATTAAAAAAGCATCGGTTGAGCAGCCATTTACCAAAGGTACTAAGCTAAGTGTTCGCAATTAAATTAAACATGTAATAACCTATCGCTCAATTTAGTGATCAATACGAGTGAGTATTTGATAAGCTTAAAAGATACAAAACCCTCACACTAGATATGTGATGTTTTAGGTGGTGTCTTACCAACACTGGCTGATCAGATCAAACGAAAATTGCCTCCTTATCTATCAGCCAAGTATAACGACAATATGGTACGTAGCAACATAGTCAGTAGTAGCAATGGCAGGGAAGGGAATGCTCCTCCACCCGCATATGGTGCAGAAAACGACATGCCACCTTCGTTTGACGAGCCACTTGCGATTCAAAAGTTTGACTGGTCCAAATTAATCATGCTATTCGCATCAATAAATAACGGAAGAAAAGTGACACGCTTCGTGTATTCAAAGGACGCCTTGCCTGGATTTGGGCAATATGATATTGAAATTTATTCCCCTATGTTAATAGGCACCGGGCAAAAGGCAACCATTCTTGGAAAAATAGATGTCGATGAGTTACATCCAAAATTAGATTTTACGAGCAATCTAACAGTCGATGCAATTCAAAATAATCAAAATCAACAGCTGCAGCAGTTGCAACTAATGCAGCAACAACAACAAATACAACAACAAATGGAACAGTTGCAAATCCAACAGATGCAACAACAACTTAATTAACAAAACTATAAATAAACATATATAATAAAGATTTTATTGAGGGTTAATCATGAGCTCAGGCTTGACCCAATGATCATAATCCTCAGAGGACAAATATTCTAAGGACAGAACAGCTTCCTTCAATGTGGTACCTTCCTTGTGAGCTTTTTTAGCACACTTGGCTGCCTTATCGTAGCCAATAACAGGGTTCAAAGATGTGACCAACATGAGAGACTATAAAACTTCACTTAATAACCGCCCCACAAATGTACAAACAAACACACACACACACTTATAAAAACTTACTCTGTTCATGATGTTTTTGATATGCTCACGGTTAGCAACAATACCAACGACACAGTTGTCCTTGAATGATCGACATACATCACTCAATAATTGGATGGATTGAAGCACATTCTTGATAATGACTGGCTTAAAGACATTCAACTACACGCATACTCATTAGTAAATACACACACGTGCTCCCAACAAAAAGTTAAAGCTTACCTCGAATTGACCAAAACTGCCAGAGATTGTGACGGTAGTATGATTACCCATAACTTGGGCACATACCATGGTCAATGCCTCACATTGAGTGGGATTGACTTTACCAGGCATAATAGAGGATCCGGGTTCGTTCTCAGGTAAACTAAGTTCACCGAGTCCACAACGAGGACCCGATCCAAGGTAACGAATATCATTACCAATCTTCATTAACGAAGTGGCAATTGTGTTAAGAGCACCCGAACATTCGACCATAGCATCATTGCTTGCAAGTGCTTCAAACTAAAATTACGCACCATCCATTATTAAATACAAAAAAGAAGGGTAAAGAAATTCAATGGTTTACCTTATTAGGTGCGGTCTCAAAAGTGTAACCAGTGGATTCTGTTACAGCTGTGGCAATCTTTACATCAAAGCCCTTTTGAGTGTTTAATCCAGTACCTACAGCGGTACCTCCTTGAGCTAAACGGGATAAGCGAGGCAAGGTTGTTTGGATACGTTCAATGGCATAAGTTAATTGTTGAACATAGCCAGAGAACTCTTGACCCAAAGTCAAAGGAGTAGCATCTTGAAGATGGGTACGTCCAATCTTGATGATATCGTCGAATTCGGTGGATTTGGCTTGCATAGCATCTCGAAGCTCGGTTAATGCGGGAATAAGATCTTCATTGATTTCAACCACAGCAGCAATATGCATGGCCGTGGGGAAACTAGATAATTGTTTCAGAAAAATAAAAAAGGGGGTCTCGCACTATCAGTGTACATGTTTACTTACGTATCATTGGAAGATTGGCTCATATTAACATGGTCATTGGGATGAACAGGCGTTTTGCTACCGAGCTTACCGCCCAAAAGCTCAATGGCTCTGTTTGAAAGAACCTAGCATAATACAATTTGTTAAGTATACAAACAACTAGGACATTTCGGTTTGAAATGACAATTACCTCATTGACATTCATACTGTTGGCCGAAAAAGAAAAGCCAAAAATTCAGTTATTTAACCCTTTACTTTATGAAACGCATAGACTTACTGTGTTTGAGTTCCAGAACCAGTTTGCCAAATAACCAAAGGGAATTGATCGTGATGCAATCCAGCCACAACCTGTTGTTCCCGTTTTAAAAAAAACCTTGTATTCCCTCCCCTTTTATCATAATTGGGCTTACCTCATCGGCAGCTTGTTGAATGGCTTCCGAAATTTTAGCGTCTAAACCGAATTCCAAGTTAACCTTGGCAGCAGCTTTCTTGAGAATACCGAAAGCCTTGATTAAAGCTGGAGGCATACGCTCACTGGTTCCACCAATCTTGAAGTTCTCAAGGGATCTTTTTTTGTTCGGGAGTAAAGGTATAAGAAAATCGCGTAACCCCCAATAATTAAAACGTCCATATCTCGATCTATTTACTACCTTTGTGTCTGTGCTCCCCAATACACACCAGCAGGTACCTTGAGATCACCAAACGTGTCACTTTCGATACGATATTCTTCGGCCATAATTAATATTTTCTTTTTTTTTTAACAAAAAAGTTTGATTTGAAAAGAAAGGGGAATCGCTGGGTAAAAAGAAAAAAAAATATTTTTTAAACAGGCAGATTATGAAAATGACTATGTACACCATTTACAGAAATTAAAAAAACGGCCTGTGTAACGACCTGATTTTGGAGTGATACAAAATCAACCATCAACCATTAACCTTATTCCAACGTTCCTTTGCTATAAATACTTGGGTTTCTTTCATTTAATAAATTATGGTCTGTTATTTTGCTTAAATTTACTTATAACCTATTGATATACTCGGCTTTCCACTTTATAGCATGGTGCTCACTTCTTTCACTAGTCAGAAGAGGTAACAACTTTACAACGGCAGACCTCTAAACCCGAATTTTATTGGTTGCTGTAATTCATTTGGATGGCTGTAAATAATTTTCAGCGACGTGGAAATTGTTTGATACAAAGTAAGTTTTTATAACATGTGGACTTGTACTAGTAAGAGTAGAAGGATTATAAGTGAATCCAAAACTCTCGGCTTCCGTTGCGTACTCAATGGTGAGTGAATTATGTGAGCTTTCTTACGTGCTTCTCTGGGAGCAGCAGCTACATAAGCACGCTAAAAAAAGTAATAATTTATTTAATACAGTCAGACAAAAGTGAGGCCCGTTAAAAAGAAACATGTAAGGCATACCACAACAAACGCATTTAAAAATTGGTCGGCATTGATTACAGCCTGATATCGACTTATACTTTCCACTCTAAACGATGGGCAAGCGAAATTTCCTGTTGTTCCTCTAATACGGGTCTCAAATCTTTCGCGCTCCTTAATTCGGATCTTCTTTTGTCTATCCTACGCTCTAGAACCCATCAGAAACGCTCAATTGGGTCTATGGCTGGATTTTGGGCAGACCAGCACTCAAACACGGCAATCTGATGGATCTCTTTCAGCCATTGTGCTTAGGATTCAGTAAGGCACGAGACCCCGTCAACCTGTAAGATACAGTCTTTAATTTGATCAATAATTGCAGAGTTTGTCATTTTTAAGTTACCAATGATTTTGAATTTGCTTGATGACACGTATACTTTTAAACAGCACCTGCATTAACAAAGAACTGGGTTCAAGGTAAATGGTATCTTTACAAATCGCTTTCACTTTACACAGTTCGCTAACCATTTATAATGTTTATCTCAAAGTTGTTCCTGCCAAATAAGAGTAGAATCCTGTACAAGTTGCATTTATGCGACTGCTCCCTGAGAAGAGATTATTTAGCACTCTTCAAATTTTCATTCTCTCTCTATTTTTTTTAAAACATGTCTAATTTAGAAGCACTAGTCGATTCCGTTCTTGTCTATGATGATTCCCGAAGCCGAGAGGATATTCTACTCGATCTAGAATACACCAACAATGTTCAGACAACGATCAACAGAATATTCGACGGCAAAGTAAGTTCCTGCCATGTCCCAATAAGCCCCGTTTTTTCTTTCTTTTTCTTATTCTTTTGACACGCATACATGTAGTTTTTGGAAGGCGTTCAACGAAAGCCGAAAGACACCATGATTATTCTTGATTCGGATGAGGAGGAAGAACATCGTTCAGAACTAAGATCACCAGAGTAAGACTCGTCATCTTTTTGCTACGCAAAAACCCTTTTTACTGATAATGGAGTAACAGGAACGATTATGATTTTTTAGACGATTCAGGGCTTGAACAGAAGGATCGAATAGATCTTGATAGTTCAGCACCGAAAGACCCTTTTGAATTTCCTGATGCCACACCACCACCACCTCCGAGAAAAAAAGTGTTTGATTTTTCAACAATATCAAAGAAGAACAACGTCTCTTCGCCGCCACAAACAAAACAAAGTAGCCCACCTCGTTTCTTGGACAACACAGAGAATGACGAATTTGATTTTCTAGACGATTCACCACCCATACCTTCACCAACCACACATATACTTGACGAAGAAGATGACTACATGTCGGAACCTTCTTCAAAAATATGCGTGTCGCCGATAAGACGTGTGTCGCTGGATTCATTAGAAGAACTATCTCCTATTCGATATACAAACCGATCCGAAACACCTCCTCCGAAAATTTCGTTAGATTCTTCTCCTATACGCGATAAACCTTCAAGAAGAGAATCTTTCTCAAACCAATCCAAATCAATTTTTAGTGACGACGAAGAAGACAGTTTCTTGGATAAGCTGTCTTTGAAGCCATCTAGTATCAGCCGTAAACGAAAGGCATCACCCTCCAATATCAACTTGATCGACTTAGACTCCGATGGTTCGCTGCCTTCCGTCAATGATTTCTTTGATCAGCTCATGTCTCAAAAGGAGGACCGAAAGGGAAAAGGAAGAGCTTATTCGCCAGCACAATCGCGCAGCGAAGCTATGTCCGAATGTTCATCTGTGAACGATGAAATGCCGGACTTATCTGCCAAAGAACAAAGGAGGTTAGATGCTGAGGAACGAAAACGCACACAAATGCAAGAAAAACTGCGAGCTGCAGAAGAGAGAAAGCAGCTGGCAGAAGAGAAAAAACGGAAGCGCGAAGAGCTATTAGAGGAAAAGAAATTGGCCAAGGAACGAAAAATATTGGAAAAGGAACGAAACGCTATTTTCGAAAAGGAAAATAGAATCAAGAGCAATAGGGTAGAAACTATTAAAGAAATGATTGTCGAAATGCATCCTGACTTTGTAGAGACGAAGGCTGGCGAGCTATTGAAGATGGTCTTGGAAAAAAAAGAGACGACCATCCGTGAAGGAAATCGAGGCCCGTACCATCTTTTATGGAAAAGAATATGTACATCAGAATGGGATGAGGATACCCTGGCTTTTATCCCTTACAAGGAACCAAAAGTTATAACAGAACCCTTTGTACTAGTCTATGTTGATATCTATGAACTATTCAAACATATACAAGCAGACACTACAGATGATTATGTGGATCATATCAAAAGTGCCACTGAGCCTGATCATCAAATATTCCTTCTAGTTGAAGGCTTACAGGCATATTATAGAAAGAAGATTAACTTGGAAAGAAGGATTTTTGACGAGCAAATCCGAAGTACAATTGATGGTGCAAGTACATCAGCTTCTCGACGCAAGATTCAGCCAGAAATAGAAAACGGACCGAGTCATAAACAAGTGGAAGAGGCCGTTAATTACTTGATCTTGAAAAAGGATATCATGTTTGTTATGACCAAGAGTGATGAGGATACTGTTAGTTGGATTGAGAGTCTAACAACGGATCTCGCTTTGGGAAGATACAAGTAAGAAAGGAAATTACGTGACCGAGAGACACACATGTGTTAAATATATAACCTTTAGGAACAAAAACTTAAATAGCACATACAAATCTCGAAAAGCATGCTCAGATCCCACAGAAAATTATTCCAAAATCTTGCAGGAAATTCAATTGTGTACACAGGCCGTTGCTACTAGCGTCATGAATGAATATCCAACTTTACAATCCTTACACAGAGCATACACACGTGAATCGAAAGTAACAGGAGAACAACTACTTGCAGATCTGGATGTGAGTTATTCTTCTTGTTTATCCCATAATCCCAACTCTAATTTTATTTTGGCAGGTTGAACGAAGTGCATTGAGTGCTCGAGACCGTAAAGTTAACAGAAGCATGTCCAAAAAGATCTACAGAATTTTCTCCACTGATGATCCAAACGAAGTGGTCAATTAAAAAGGTTTAAATGATAATAGTAACAATAATAAAATAGGTTGTCTTGGAACAGTGGGTTGACTTTATTCCAATATGTACGCTCGCGGAATAATTCAAAGTAAAGATAATGCTATGCAAGTTCGTAATCACCTTGATTTTTTGTCACTGATTGCACCGAGAACCAGTGTATTATCCCAATGATACCTGACACTTGATTAATAAAAGTTATATGTCTTTTAAATGACTTGAAAAGCTCCCTTGATTTGACAGCTGTTGAACCTGTAAGGAATTATTCATGTTTTTTAAAAAAAGATTTATTTTCCCTTTGCCTCTAGAAAGAAGTGAAACAACGGGGAACGTATCCAGTTACCGTTTGTCAGCTTGTCCAATCAAAACGGATTAAATTCGTAAAATTTAAACAAACTTAGTAATGCTTAATTCTCACACCCCCTTCTTTCTTTCTTAATAATAGAAAAATGTCTTTTTTAGGTGGTGCCAATGCCGAATGTGGACCTTCCAACCCCATGACGGGTCTTATGAAACAGTTTGGTCAAGATCGTTCTCTACAACAAGTAAGGCATTTTATACCACCCCCGCATCCTTAAATATTAAAGATAATTTTAGGATCGTTTTGGTCCCGATCAAAGAGGTGAAAGTTCAAAAGTATGAAGGGCACAAATAATAATAAAAAAAGCCAGTAAAGAATAACGTTCTAATGAGTATTTTTTTAGGCTAGTTTCCGTACTCGACAAAACGGTCCTGTTCCTATTGACAGACAGGTAGTGAACCAGAGAAAAAGAGAAAAAGAAAAAGAACTAAAAAAAAAGTGGGGTAAAATAGATGACGGATGAATTTTTCCGGGATGAAATGAACATGGACCGATCAGCCCAGCATGCTTTTGAATTTAAAGGGTTAAATAGAGAATTAGAGCTAATGCAACAGGCACCTCCTCCTTCTGCCAATTGGGCTTCAGACTTTATGCAACACCAACCACCACCTCAACAACAACAGTTTGATGAGTTTGAAAAGATTTATCAACAAACGCAGCAACCCATCATTCATGGAGCCAACTGGAACGAAGAATTTGCTGCATTTCAAGCAAGTCATCCTGGCCAAGTTTTGACCCAGCATGAACGAGACGCTTTTGATCGTGCCTTTGATGAAGCGAAACAAGCAACTCCAGTCACATGGGAAAAAGAATTCGCTGCTCAAGAAACTTCTTGGGCCACGGAATTTGAGGATCAACAACAACAACAGCCTATCACTGCCAATAACGATAATGAAGCTTTGGCAAGAACCGCTGCCATGCTATTAGATTCAGTGGATGTGGAAGCCAACCCCAAGTTCAAAAACTCACAATTCATGAGTCTGATGCGAAAATTAAGGGATAGCGAAGTAGCCATTGAAGGTGATAAAATGGTGGAAACTAAAGGAAAATGGGCCTCCGAATTCGAACAGGGAAAGGGAGGAGACTGGGCAGACCAGTTTACACAAAATGCAGGTAGCGCTCGTAGTGGTAACATGTGGTCCAGCGAATTTGCTCAGAAGGCAGAACGTGGTTGGACTGATGAATTTCATCATGAAAAAAATCAACATAAACAACCTGGTGACTGGGCATCCGAGTTCTCAAAGCAAAGCAGCAATATGAGTCCACAGGAAATGCAGCAATTGTTTGGCAAAGGCACAGAGACTGATGATTGGGTGCAGCAATACAACAAAAATATCTCGCACTTGAAGACCGCACAAGATCATGAATGGGATTCCATGCAAAAGGATTGGGAAAAGTTTAATCCCGCAGAACAAGGATTAGGTTATCGGGCATCAAACCCTGAATACAATATTTATAATTTTACCACCAATAATCCATACCTGTTAAATCCTCAAGCCATTGATGGTGCTTCTCATACCAACTTGGCTGATTCTATTCTGGCTTTGGAGGCCAAGGCTCAATTAGCTACATCCGATTCCAATGCTTGGAAAACACTCGGTCTTCGACAACAAGAAAATGAACGTGACGGTGCCGCTATTGCTGCTCTTCGTAAAGCGGTGGGTATGGACCCTTCCTTGTTAGACGGCTGGTTAGCTTTAGCTGTGAGCTACACCAACGAGAACTGTAGGGCGGATGCTTATGATGCCCTAGAACAATGGGTAGCCAATAATCCCAAGTATAAACATTTGGCCACCAATGTATCTCATATGGCTGTGGAGAACCGCCATGCCCATATCACCAATATGTTTTTGGAGGCTGCACGAAGCTCTCCTGGTCTTGAAATGGATGCCGATGTACAAGTGGGTTTAGGTGTTCTCTTCAATGTATCTGAAGAATACGAAAAGGCCATTGATTGCTTTAAAGCAGCTTTAGCCAGTAGACCTCGCGATTATTTGTTGTGGAATAAGTTGGGTGCCACCTTAGCAAACTCACGGGATTCATCAGGGGCCATCGAAGCTTATTTTAATGCATTAGAAATCAGCCCCTCGTACGTCCGTGCGCGTTATAATTTAGCCATAAGCTGTATCAATTTAGGTCAACATCGTGAGGCTGCAGAACATTTGTTGACTGCTTTAGCACTTCAACAATCCAATGACGGAAGTAACGGAGCTGGTGGATCTGTCATGATTGATGAGCAAGGAAATACAGTGAATGTACCTGGTGGTATGGGAGATAATGTCTGGAGTAGTCTGCGTATGCTCATGTTAACGTAAGTTTTTATTGTCAAATGGTAGAATGAAAAGGAAATTAAAATCTTGACTTTACATGTAGGATGAATCGTCACGATTTAGCTAGACAATGTGATCAACACAATATTGACGCCTTTCGTTCCGAATTCCAATTTTAAGCAAGCAACTGCATACCAGTCTCCCAAAGAAAGACATCATATATGGAAACCCCCTACTTTGTGGTGTATCTTTCCAAACGAATATATTTAAAAATATTAAAAAAAAAAAGTTTAATCGATCAATTTGGCAAAGGCCATGGTATTTTTGGAAAAGTAATCTGCAATGACTTCAAAGCCATCATCTTCATGATCCAATTGGTCAAAGAATAAATCATGGCTATCTGCATTCGCTTCTTGTGTTCTTCTAATCTCACTAATCATGCGATGTTGAATAGCGCACTGAGGACATTCTCTATCATTATCGCCCAAACATCTAATCATTAAAACAATAGGTTAGTTTTTTTCTCTATCTTTGAATCAGCGCTTTGATTGATATATTTTACCTTTGATGGAATGAATGTCGACATAAAAAGTGGACGGCTGGAAGATCAAGCGTCCCTTCACACATTGTACATTTCTGAACTTGAAAGATTCGAGCGCTAGTCTGTAACTCTTCAATCTCTTTTCTTCGTTTATCGGTTTCTTCGCGATAATTTGCAATCAACTCCTCGTTTAACTTTAATTCTTGACGCTCATGCTCAATTTTTTTACCAATGTAACCCTTTAACAAACCAATGGTAGCAACATTGGACCTACTCAAGGCCTGCACCACTTGAATAGGAGGTAACAAGTCTTTATCATTAATATGCTTCATCACCGAAAGTAGTTCTTGTGTAGATTTAGCCATGACTTCAGGTGTTGAAGAAAAGTAGGTTAATACCATAGGGTACAACGAAGGGTCCTTGGGTCCATAACGTCGCACGCCTTCAATGACACGATCGGTTCCACCCTTTTCCATCCAAAATCTCAAGATATCTGCATACATGCCGGTTTTTTCATACAGGTACACAATACCTTCATCAAACTGTTTCAATTGGCACAAGACAAATGCTTGATTGGTATCGTATTGTACAGTTTCATCGTGTAACAGGCTGAGTGCCTTTTGTCGGAATTCTCGCTTTCGTTTTTGTCGTTCTCGAGGATTGGTTGGCTCCTTGGTGGATTCCATATCATCCATCAGGTACAATTCCAATAAGGTGTTCCAAATCGTCTTGCGTTCTTCTTGTTCCCCTATCGAATACGTTTTTTCTCCCGTCTTGGTTTCACCCGTCTTGATAGAAGGTGAAAGTGTCGTCTCAGACGTGGGGGATGGTGTACTAGGATGACCCCATAACGTGTCAAACACCGCTTCCAAAAATGTAGTTAGGCAATCGGGTCGATCCACGAATGCTGGCATAAATTTACGAGGTGAAGGGGGTTGATAGCTAAGTCGACCTGAGGATGCGTTTCTTGTTTGGGCCATCTTACTCAAGTTTGGTGTTGTGTTGTGAAGTGTAGGTCCACTACTTCCATCCGAGGAGAAAATTGAAGCTGTCTCTGTACCGCCACCGACAAAAGGGAGGTTGGAAAGTGCTTTGTTATTGGTATCACTAGGTGTAGGTGATTTAGGCCCACCACCCAATACAGCTGTATGACTATTCACGGTAGCTAAAGGAAGCGTACCAGTACATAATTCAATCAATAGATGGGTAGTTTCGTGAGGTAAATGTGTTAATAGGGTTTTGCTGTATTTCTGTAGGTTACGATCGGCTTCATAAGGCCCCAATTTTTTGATGTATGCTAAAGCTGTATCGTATTTTTTGGTATCTTCAATCACGATATCAAGGTACATATCGTGTTCCTGAAATTTCTCTGCTAAATAGACTGCATGTTCAAAATAACCTGCTTGACGGCATACACTGATGGCTGTTTCCAAGTCGAAATTCAAGTCCGTATCCGTCTACAGAAAAGTAGGTTGGTAAGTCATGAAGAAAAAGAAATAACTTTAGAGTGGTTACCTTGATAAATTGATCAAGTCGAGACACGTCTTTGAGTTTAGTGTAACAGTTCAATAAAAGTGTTGTATGGTCTGCATTAGCTAATCCTTTGGAGTGTAATTCTTGCAAGTAATTTGTCAAATTATAAATTCGTTGGGCATCCAAAAACTAAGTTCAAAAATTTAATATAATTACATGGAATTATCTTTTTTTTTCTTCTATAATTACCTTTCGGATGACATAGGATGGTTCAAGCTGACCAATGGTTCGAATGTATTGCTCCATCGACCCATCGTAATCCCCCTTGTTGTATAAATAATCACCGTACTTTTTAAAGATCTCGGCAATACTGGCATCATCGTATTTCTGCATATGAGCCAAATTGATTGCCAACACATACAAGTTTAACTTGAACAAAATCTCTAACTTTGTCGGTGTGTCCTTTTCATCCAAATGATACAACTTTCCATCCATGCCCACGATCCAAATTGAGTTCCATTCACAAAAAATGCCTCGAATACCGCCTAAAAATGTACCTACATACGCTACAAATTTGTTGGCTGTGTCAAAAATTGCAATTTTTGTCAATTCGCTGGTCGATGTACGTTTAGGGTTGAAACTGAGGGATGCACGCGCTCCACTAGACAGGTGTGTAGATGTAGTGACAGGAGGGGATACAATGACAAGGTAACTGGATTTAAACCATGTCAAGGAGGATTTAGGAGTCTCGTAAGCAAAACAGGGACCACGTCCTGTGGGATCGTATAGATAAATAGCTTCATCTCGACCTACCACCATTTCTTGGGCATCATTCATCACAGCGCAACCAAGGCCGCAACCCTGTTCATCCAAAATTGTCTATAATATAGAGGAGAGGAAAAGATCAGATTTTTGCTCAATAGCTTAATTTTACGCAACTTTACAATGGCTGGCTTGACTGCAGTGGTGTTATAAGACATGATGCTACTTGTGGTGACAATAAATAAAATGGTAGACTTTGTCTGCTCACGAAATCCAAGACCCGTGATTGGCTCCTGGCCCTCATAAATAACCTTCTGCTTGGTCGTCTTATCCTTGGATAAATCACCGCGAATTAAGATGACTACACCGTTGGCTAACCCGATCGCTGCTTGCGACATATTTTCCAAGATGGCAAAGGTTGTAACAGGCCATGTTTTACCACCGTGTTGGATTTTGACGGTGCGAAGTAAGGTGGGTACAATGATATCATCGCTGCCTTCTGTTGGTTTCAAAGCATCCAAATCCCAAAATTTCACCACAGGAATTCCCGATACCACATCTTCCTCCTGAATGCGAAAAGAAAGTTGTCAGACTTAAACCTTTTTAGAAGGAGTAGGGGATACACTTACGCCCACTGTTACAAGAATATTCTTTTGCTTCAGTTGCTTTAAATGAGTTACTCGACCTCCATCATACGCAATAAACATTTGTGTCTTGAAAGAACGATCAACGATATATACATTGCCCTTGGAGTCCGCTAAAACAATATGTCCTCGACCTGTTGCAAATACTGAAATGTCGGTTTTCTATAATAACTGTTTAGAGATGAAACAATTCTAATGAGGGGAACCCTTTGTTTTTTTTACCTGAAATACAGCAGGTGTCTTTCCTTTTTCAATTGGATCAGTTGTTTGCTGTTTATCAAAAAAGTTGAATTGTCGCCATTGTGCTAAAGACATCTTTTTTTAAAGAAAACTTAGAATAGAGAGATAAAGGATACGTTCAAACCTATTTTTTTTTTTTTTTTTTTTTTTTTTTTTTTGGGAATTTGCACTGACTTTTAAAAAATGGCTAATTATATGCATGGTCATTTGACCCATACTTTATCTGCCATCAACAGAAGACGTTTCAAGGAAGCCTTTGGAAGACAATTTAATGAGAAAAATACCACCAATAAGATAATTGAGAAGATAACAATTAAAAAAGTGTCAGATGACATGATTTATCAAACATTTTGTATCGTTTTGCTCGCTTTGCTCGGATGACCATACATGAAATTTGGAATTTCATCCAAAATTTTGTATTGAAATTCCATAAAATGAATCAAGAGTCTAGTACTACTGTGGGAGAAATAGCTGAGCAAACAGCAAACAACTATCATACCATCTTATCCCTACCATGTCTTATGAATGATGTTGATATAATAATAATCAAAGAATAAGAATGGAATGACGAGGCTTTGGATGATAAAATATAATCTATGACACATTAATGATTTGGACTCCCTGTGTTTTCAAGATGTATTCTCGTATGTTATGCACAGTCTGACAATCATCATATAAAAATTATAAAAAAAATGTTGATGAGGTTAAAGCAGATGTAAAAAGCCATAACATATCCGTTTTTTATAACATATCAGGTATTTTTTCCCCTTATAATTTTACAGTAAATACTTAATCTGACTATTTTCTATTCAGTGAACCTGCTACGGATACCTTCCTTTGAATCTTTAGCATAGTCAGAACTGACATAACAGACCTTTTTTGTAACAAACTAGGTGGTGTTGAGCTGTACACACAGCAAAAAGCCGTGATATAAAATGCTTACACACGTTTTCGCTGAATCACTTTCAGTTGTTTGTTTTGCATACAAATTTATTTGCAGCAAACAGCTAAATAAAAAAAATAAAAAAAATCTTTTTGAATCGAACAAAAAATCCACCATAGTAACATCTCTATGATTTTCGGCCCAATTATACCATTAAATCCCTTTTCAAAGCTTCTGATCATTATGCTTCTCCAGAGGGATTCTTATGTCAACTTCCTTATCAGATCTTCACACTAGGGTTTATGAATTTCAAAATAGTAAATACAATCAGACGTGTGAGTGCTTTATCAATTCAAAAATTTGAGCCGTTATACTTGTCTAAATTGCAAGACTGAGAGTTTCTTTACGTATACGTACAATTATCATCATTTTATCTAAGCTTTTAAAAAGAACTTAATAATTACAGATGCCATGACCTATTTTTTTTATGTTAAATCCACAATTTTGTTATGAAGCAAGCTGTAAAACTTATTTGATAATGATTATAAAGATATGTTCAAAGCATAAATCGGGAATAAATTCTAGATAAAAACATGTTTTAATTAAAGGATATATATTTCTATTAGTTATTTTCTCCATATCATTTCATTTTGACTGCATGATCTATTTGGAGTAGCAATACACATAGTTGCGATAAAATGATTTTATATCAAGTCCAGACCAAATTTCGGAGGACGCTTTCCCTATTTTAGTGCTTGCTACAGGGAATACTGTAGTTGAAGATCTCCAAACAGTAAGAGTATTTGCAACTAAATAACGTGGAGTATTATCGGGAGTTCATTATTATACAATTCAAACAATGATAACTTTTTGTTTATGTACCACATTTCCCCACATCAAAAAATAATCTTGGATCTCAGCAAATATATGATCATTTTACATGGTCAAAAAAGATATACCATTTGCGATAATCGTTTTTTACTGTGTCAAAACCGTGTACATTGCTTATTTTTTTTTTTTTTTTTTTGGGATATTTGATGTCACAAAGAGAGGATGTTTCATTCGATTTCAAAAACAACATACAAGCTCTTTTATAGCGGCTATTTATTATGCCTGGAATCGGCGCTTTGGCCACTAAATCATATTGTATGTCCTATTTTTTACACTGCTTCATTGGTGATTATATAATGTTAACGTCATAAATAGCCGTGTAACTATTGAAGTGCCATCCATCCATGGGATTATGACCAAGGTTTTTCAGTAATTTCTTGTGGTTCGGATCAAAGTACAGTAGTGACCCAGCTCTGTACACTATTAAAGTGCCTCGACAACAGTACAAAGTCCGGGGCTAAGACTGAATGTTATTTTCTCTCTCACTCTCGCTTACATATGCGAGTTCATTTCTATCCGTTCTTTGAAAACCAGCATGGTGCTAAGACCCAAAGTTATAAAAATTAGTTATATACGAATATAAAAAAAAGGGGCATGACGGTTATGTGGGAAGATTTAAGTGGGAAGATTTAATGATATAAGTTACAAACTATGAGCGGAAAGTTATCATAAGTAATGCTTTTTTTTTTTCAATATTAAAAAATAAGAAGCGAATAGGAGTTTTGATAATATTCCTTATGGTAATTTATTTGGCAGTTTTTGGTACATGTAACGTCAGACTAATCCTTGTGAAGTTTAATCATACGAGTATAATAGGTCAGTTTAAATAACTTTTCAAATCAGGAATATATTATTTACTCACACGCCAAAGGAGAATATTTTCTTCCCGTGTAACTGGTTTATTTATCGCTAGGTTTGAACTGCACGAACAAGCTTCACTATGTTTTGCCGCTTATGCTTTAAAACCACCAAAACATTTCCATGACCCCATAATCTTTGCTTCAATTCACAGTTTTTTAAGCATAAAGTTTAACTCTCGGAGCATTAACCTTATAAATAAGGGCACGAGATTCAATATGGGATGTCAAATGTTTTATACCGGGGTAAAACGAGGGGACTGGGCGGAAAGTGTGAGAGTTACAAGGATAATTAACTTAAAATTTCCCACATAAAGGTTTCTTTGGCTTGAAAGAATATGATTGCGGGCGCGAAAAAAAAAGAAAAGAAAAAAAAAGGTTAAGATCTGTACGAGGATCACTTTAGCCAATAAGAGACGTGCCCACAAAATATATTTCAGTGATACATCCCCACATAAATGGCTAATACTTCATAGGCATTCCCATTTAAAGAAACTTTTACCACCTTGATTCATGGAAACCCGTAATTGTTTCTTAAATATCAAATGGTATTTTTTTTTGGTATATATAGCAGGGTGCCTTTCTAATCTTCCCTTTTTTTTATCATTATATTTTTATTTATTATCTTAACTTCTCCAACTAGTCTCACTTGTAGTATAAGATAATATAATGAAAAGTTACAAATTCGCATCGAATGTGTATGCAATTGGTGCTTTTGCTGCCGTTGCAGGCCTCATGTTTGGTTTCGACATTGGGTCAAATTCAGGTGTCATTGGAACTACCCAGTAAGTCGAACCATTTTCTTTATTTTGTTTTAGCAGATCACTAAATATAATATAGATATCAAGAATTTTTTAATAAACCAGGTTCAGTTTTACAAGGTGGAATTAACGGTGCTCTTTCTGCCGGTTGCTTTGTTGGTGCTTTACTTGCTGGTTTCCCAGCAGATAGATACTCTCGTAAATACACACTTATTGGTGCTTCGGCTTTATTTATTGTCGGATCCATTTTCCAAGCTGCCTGTAATGGTGTAGCAATGCTTTGTGTCGGTCGTGTACTTAACGGTCTTTCCGTTGGTATTACATCTATGATTGTTCCTCTTTATCAATCTGAAATCGCACCTAAAGAAATCCGTGGTCGTATTGTAGCTGTTCAACAATGGAGTATTACCTGGGGTATCATGATTGCGTAGGTTAAAAAAAACTTACATGTAATTAAAATATATACTCATAAACTTTACAGCTTTTGGGCACAATATGCCTGTCATTTCATCGCTGGTCCTCTTGCCTTTCGTATTCCATGGGCCATTCAAGGTATTCCTGCTGTCATTGTCTGTGCCGGTATGTGGATGTTCCCTTTTTCCCCCAGATGGCTTGCAGATAAGGGACGTATGGACGAAGCCTTGCAAGTTCTTGCTGATATCCATGGCAATGGCGACCCCAATCATCCCCGTGTTATCTTAGAAATGGAAGAAATCAGAGCCACTATTAAATTTGATCATGAAATTGCTTCTCATCGTTATGCCGATTTATTAAAGCCTGGTATGCTTTACCGTGTTTCTCTTGGTGTCTGTCTTCAAATTTGGCAGCAATTGACCGGTATGAACATTATTATGTTCTACGTTGTCTTATTATTCCAACAAGCTGGTATTGGTGAGGGTGAGCAAGCCACTCTTATTGCATCTGGTGTATCATATGTTGTCTTTGTTATTATGACTGTTCCTGCTATTATTTATGTTGATAAATGGGGTCGTCGACCCACTTTGATTTTTGGTGCTCTTGCCATGTCTGTTTTCCTTTGGATTGTTGGTGCTATTTTAGCTACTGGTGACTGGTCTACTAATAGTGATAACAAATGGGTCGTCGAACTTCCTTCTAAATCCTATACAAACGGTGTCGCTGCATGTGTCTATTTGTTTGTTGCATCTTTTGGTTCCACTTGGGGTCCTCTTGGCTGGATTTATCCTGCTGAAATTTATCCTCTTCGTGTCCGTGCTACCGCTGTTTCTTTGTCAACTGCATCCAACTGGCTTTTTAACTGGGCTTTAAATTTCTTTGTTCCCATGTTGATGGAAAAAATCCATTACGGTCTTTATTTCTTGTTTGCTGCCTTCAACTTCTTGGCAATGGTTCACGTGTACTTTTGCTATCCTGAAACCAAGGGCTACACTGTAAGGAATTACATATTGATTTCACATAAATTTTTATACTAACTTTTTAAAATAGCTTGAGGAAATGGATATTGTTTTCGAACATAATCCTCGCAAGAAGATTCCTCGTGAGACTATGGATTTGTGGTTGAATGAGAAGGGTCTCCGTCGTGAAAATGAACATCGCGAATATGAAAAAAATAAGGCCATTGAAGCACAAAATCTTGATAGCTATCCTTCCTCCATCCCCGAAAAGACTGGTCATGCTGATTCTGTATAAAACAGACATCCCTTCCTCTTTATTTCCCATCCTCATTGTATTTTATAATATTCTGTTAACATCTATTTGAAATAGTTTTCTAATCCACATCATCTTAATTCATTCATAAGTATATCTACTAAATTCAAAATACTGAATACTCAATAAATATTAAATATTCTTAATACATAACCTAACCTTGAATTTCGAAAAATTATTAATTAAAACATCTTAAAGTTATCATAGTTTGATTTAATGAAAGAATCATACATGTCATCCGCCGTAAGCTCCCACACAGCCATCAAACACAGTTGCACGAATAAAATGCGGAAAATAGTTAGTTTCTTTGGTAAAGCCGTTTACGTAATATGATCCGTGTGAATTTTTGAACTGAATTCTATAAGGGGATTTATTTCGGCAGGTACCGAAAGGATATTATAGAATAAACGTTATAACTTGAATCATCACAAAAGCTACGCAAAAACAGCAATGAAATTCTTCTAGATATATTTTGCTTGTTGGTTTGAAATTGATTTGAAATTAAAAGTCTTCCACGGATCATAGGGATTATGTAATTAGAAAAATGCTAGGATGTTTATTGAAGGTTGTGTTACATCAGACCAATTTCATGATCCTGGTATGTTATTGGTTTAGATTTTACTGACTAGCCCTTTATAAATTACAAATTGTAACAATGAGCATGGGAGTTGCTTTAAGTGTGCCTTACATAGCTGATATGGAGGAGCTCTTATTTATGTCTTTTTACAAACAACCGTTTCTATTTTTTACCATGACATTGTCGATCAACTATGTATGCTTTCATATGTAGTCGTTAGCATCTTTTCGGACAAATTAGAATTCAGTTTCAGATATTAGCTTACCTCTTGAAAAGGGAATTCGGAAAAAGAGTAAGTAAGGGGTCAGCCTTCTTGCATGACAAAGAGAACAAAGTAATGTTCTTTACCTATTTTTTTTAAGTGCTTCCCAGAAGAAAAACCCAGACACGTTCCATGTGGCGCGTGGTTGTGAATGTTAGGAAGATGTTTCAAGCCGTTCATCACCCCAACCACCTTTTGAAATAAATATTATGTTTTTTGTACGACTCTATTCCAAAATGCATCGCATTTATTGCAGATCAATATATCATGTAACGTGCGCTATTTTAGTGCATGATATCTCAAGTTGATTTGGTTGTATTCGTGAAAGCCTAAAACAAAAAACAAAAAATAAAGGTCATCTACAAGTAAAATTTGTAAAGAGACATACAAAGGATGATTTGAACGTGTTAAATTCTGTTTTTTTATGAAGCCGTCTCTAAATATGACCAAAGGATACCCTGGTGATTTTGCCTTCACTAAATGTTTTTTTTCTTACTTATTATATTATACAATTTATCATCAAGAACGATTGTAGATATTTTGCAGAAAAAATGTATTGTTATCTCAACACGGTTACGGGAATGTTATCATACCTTTGTCTCCTGCTGTTCCTGTTTGGCCGATTTTTTTTTGTACTTCTAACCACTGTACATAAGAGAAATGCTTCGTGATTCATTTACCGCATATTGATGTCCAATATAATTGCTTTAATTTACTTGTGCAATATAAAATTTGTAATAATCAAAAAGAAGATGGATGGGCAAATGAAGCAATGTACATAGTTATATTGGAGAGGATCAGAGCATCGGTCGATGTTGCAATTTTTGATATTGAGAACTTATGTTTCCAGGTTTTATATGCCTTGTTGGGCTTCAAGAAATTTATTTTTATTTTGTCTGTTAACTGAACCAGAACCATTGTAATAATTGGTCATAAACATTCTCCATACCTCATTACCGTGATGCTAGGCGACGAATTTAAGCGTTCTATTGATAAGGATATAATGTACAGATATGCGAAAATTCTAATGTATTTCTTTTCAAATAATTGAAATCACCAACATTCAAGAAGCACGGCCTTCTTGCCTCGGACTAGCCATAACAAAAGAGACTATACAAGTGACACCATCAGTATACAGGCTGCTTAAAAAAATTCTCTTATTTTGTGGAAGATAAATCAGTTCCTTAAAACTGTTTCTAGTAATTTAAAGGTAGTGATTAATTATAGCATAGTTAATTTTCTCTATCACGGGCTGAGCTCACCTATTACCGTTAGGTTTTTCGAAATTCATAACTTAAAAAAAGCAACTGGCGGCATAATGATAATCAGGTTACTCATCCCTTCGTTGCCGACGGGTGTTATGACAAACTGTGCTTAAGTCATCCAAGTAATGAATTACCATTCAAAACTTAGACTAGAAAAAAGAGAGAACAATCGAAGTTGACGTCTTATTTGGATATTATATTGATAAAATCGATGTTGTTTAGGTTGTTTCTTCTGAAGCTGCTATTATTCAGACTGATGTTGTTGCTGTACTTCCCCTTTACCCTGATAGTAAAAATTAAGCATAAATGTCATTACACTTAAAACTGAATGCAAAGCATCTTTTTACAGACTTTCTTAACATGTCAAATTTCCGTTGTTTAAAACTACCTTTTGATAAATAGTATGGATATTTAGCATGCTTTCCAAATCTTTTAGGCTTATAATATACACAGAATATTCATATTTTTCAAGTTTTGTGCAAGGCCGATTATGTTTTAGCCGTATATTCCATTATGAATATAATATTGCAAAGTAAAAAGGCTTTAGATCTTTCAGGCGAACCACCACTTTTAGAACTTAAGTTTTTTCAATATAAATAGAGCATACGGGGTAAATAACAATGAGCCTCACTATAAATTTTAAATGCAATATCTTTATGTTTTAAAAAATAAAATAAAAAACGTTCCTGATTTTGTGTTGGGTCGGGTCAAAAGGAATATACCTACATAAATTTTGACTGATAACCATCCGAAAATAACGCGTGAGATCATAAATATATGGATTTTCGTCGTACCATCTACGTCGTACTGCCAATGACAATAGACTGTCCAGCTGGATCGGTAGCTCGTACCACAAAGTCTCATCCGTTACGATATCCCGTATCAATTACGGGATTTAAGAGTTCGCATGATGTGCTTTATTGTAAACCTTGATTATGGTATAAATAATGACGTGACCAAAAAAATCTTTTTGAGACAAGAGGGGGGCAATAAAGTAGTAAAAGATGATAAAAGTTATCCAATAACTTCGCAAGCACTTTATTCCGAAAGGGAAGGAGTGTAAAGTTTCTAGAGTAATTTTTAACAGACAACAATGTTATCACATGTACCACGGAGATCTATTGGAAGGGAAACATAGATTAAATAAGATCTAAGATAGTAATCACAATTGTATACCCTTATTGGAGTGATATATTCTCTTATCTATTATCATGATGAGGTACCTAACCCTGTGCACAAATTATAGAAAATATAATCGCATGTCACTTAGTACAACCTTGATGATGATTCTTGTTTTGGAAGGTATCACACACCTGCTTTATCTTTTTCTTTTCATTGCGAATTAAAATTAAAATTAAACATATCTTGAGTCTCCAATGGCTTCTTATTATACTGCAGTATACATCATACGTTTTTCTCGGCTTTTGATGAACAATATGCATACTCATCATCACCCTAAACCAATACAATGAATTAGACGAGGTAAATCATTTAACCGGGATCTATACTTCATTAGGTGAGTCATTTTTTTTTTGGGAAATAAAGGGATCACTTGCATAAGGTTTTATCACCATCACGTATTCAACGTTTTTTTTTTGTTTTTTTGTTATTTGTAACTGGACGAAGAACGGGTTTAAGCCTTTTTTCGCATAATATAAAAAATGGTCTCTCTAATTGTGTCATGTGAGTCATATTTCTTATCTTTGATCGGACCTTGTTATGTAAATCCTAGGAACCAAGTTGATTTTTCTGTTTAGCTGTCTTATACAAATGAAGAAAAAGCAGATGAAATAGCAAAAATGACTAACGGTATAACAAAAAAAACGATTCGTCTATTGATTATGCAAAAAAATAAATAATGAATGCTTTAAAATTAAACGCGTCATTTATGTTATGCATAATAGTGTCTATGAAATAATTTAAATCGCTCTGTGTTCTGTTAACGGGATATCGTGATAGCCAAACATAAAAAGAACCCTTTACAAATATGGGTACCTTTCTATATGCTTATTTACACCAATTAGAATTTGTATACCCCACACTTTTTTTTTCTCTTATCTATCAAAAGCAGTCCTCCGCCTTTTGTTCGTGCAGCACTCTCTCGCTCTCTCGTAACTCCTTTTTAAACATAATTCAAATCCGGTTTCTTTTCCTTTTCTTTTTTCTAACTTTACACATCATCTTACACTATGGCTCATCAAGCACGTATCAACAGTGTGGTAGAATCCCTCACCAAAGCCCCTCGTACCGTCGATTTCCCTCAAAAGAATGGTCAAGTACAACCTATGTCTGAAATTTTCGGTCAAAACGTCTTTTCTCGTAATGAAATGGCAAAGATGTTACCCAAGCCTGTCTACAAGACTTTTGTTCAAACATTAAAGGGTAAGCATACTATGGATAGAGTCACTGCCGATGCCATTGCCCATGCTGTCAAGGTTTGGTCTATTGAACGTGGTGCCACTCATTTCACCCATTGGTTCCAACCTTTGAATGATTGTACCGCTGAGAAGCATGATGCTTTCTTGACTTTGAAGTCTAGCTTTGTAGATGGTTCCGAAGTGGTAAATATACATCCGATATATATATAAAATAGAGAAAGGGAGAGCATAGTGAACAGCTGCAACGCGCACACGAAAAAAAACATGACAGATGCTTATTTCCCGTAAAAGATTAAATCAGCTCACAATTTTCTTTTTTTTTTATTTTTAGGTTACTGCCATCGACACTTTCTCTGGTTCTCAATTATTACAATCCGAGCCCGATGCATCTTCTTTCCCTTCAGGTGGTATGCGTACAACTTTCGAAGCACGTGGTTACACTGTTTGGGACACTAAGAGGTAAGCGATTTGCAGCGACATAAAGAAACAATCATAATTCATGGTTTAACCAATCCCACTTGAATAGTCCCATGTTCATTCAAGAAGGACCCCACGGTACTTCTATTCTTTATATTCCTTCCGTCTTTATTTCATATAACGGTGAGGCCTTGGATGAAAAGTCTGTTCTTTTGAGATCTTCCGAAGTCTTGGAAAGAGTTGCATTAGAAGTCCTTAACGTCATTGAACCTAAGGATTCAGGTAAGAATGCTTTTTTTAACAGTTGAAGAGAATGGGAACTAGGATCCTAAAAACGCCATCTTTTTTTTTGTGTGTCAGATAATCGCTCCGAACTTGTTTATACCACTCTTGGTACCGAGCAAGAATATTTCTTGATTGATAGATCTCTTTATACTCTCCGTCCTGATTTAAAGATCACCGGTCGTACCTTATTAGGTGGACTTCCTCCCAGACATCAACAATTGGAAGATCATTACTTTGGTAAGATCCCCACCCGTGTCTTGTCTGCCATCAGTGAGTGTGAACTTGAATTAGCCAAATTGGGTGTTCCCATCAAGACACGTCATAATGAAGTCGCTCCTGCTCAATTTGAAGTTGCACCTATCTTCGAGGAAGCTCTTTTAGCCGTCGATCACAATTTGTTAACCATGGATGTTCTCCATCGTGTTGCTCATCGTCACAAGCTCAAGGTGCTCTTCCACGAAAAGCCCTTCCGTGGTGTCAATGGTTCCGGAAAGCATTGTAACTGGAGTTTATCTACCGATAAGGGTGATAACCTTTTGGACCCCTCTGCTTCCCCTGAAACCAACTACCGTTTCTTGATCTTTTTGGTGGCCACCTTAAAGGGTGTCCTTGATCACGGTGATCTTCTCCGTGCCGGTGTTGCTTCTGCTTCTAACGATCATCGTCTTGGTGCTCATGAAGCTCCTCCCGGTATTATCTCTGCTTTCTTGGGTTCTCAATTGACCGAAGTTTTAGATTCTATTGAGGAAAACAGACCCATCAACTATGGCTCTCATGAACTCCAACATGTCCGCGTCAAGGGTACTGTGTTAGATTTAAAGGTTGCTAACTTGCCTCCCATCTCTCGTGATTTGACCGATCGTAACCGTACTTCTCCCTTTGCCTTCACTGGTAACAAGTTTGAATTCCGTGCTGTCGGTTCCAAGCAATCTCCTTCTTTCCCTGTCACTTTGTTGAACTCTGCCGTTGCCAAGGCCTTGACTGAAATTTTGGCCGACTTGAAGGTCGCTAAGGGTAACAAGCCTGTGGCCTCTGTTGAAGACCAACTTAGTGTGATTCGCAAGTACATCAAGTTGACCAAGGCCATTCGTTTCGAGGGTGATAACTATTCTGACGAATGGGTTCAAGAAGCAGCCAAGCGTGGTTTAGCTAACATTACCAAGAGTCCTGCAGCTTTTGTTCGTTTATTGAGAAAAGAAAACACCGATATGTTGAAGGAGATGGGTGTCTTTTCCGATGCCGAGTTACAATCTCGTTATCATATCTTGGTTGAAAAGTATGCAAAGGATATCACCATTGAAGCTCAAACAATGATCACCATGGTGATTCAACAAGTGTTGCCTGCTGCTTATCAATATAGACGTGATTTAGCTGAGGCCGCCTCCTTCATGAAGAACATCGGAGTTGAAGCATCACCCGAAATTGATTTGTTGAACGAGTTGACACCTATTGTTGGTACTCTTCAAAAGGATATCACTGCTCTTAAATACCTCATGGTGGATCTCATCCAGGTCCAAGATATTGTCAAGTTGGCTAACGCTTGTTGTGACCAAGTCATTCCCAAGATGGAGGCTATTCGTGAGCTTGCCGATAAGTTGGAACGTAACGTTGCTGACAAGTTGTGGCCTTTGCCCAAGTACACTGAATTATTCTTAAACATTTAAATTGCATTCCTATTTTTTTTAAAAAAAAAATCAAAAAGTTTTCCATTTGTATCATATTAAATAAACTTTTTATTTTTATTTTTGTTCATAAACAAAAGCCCATTGTGACACAAGGGTTGTGCAAATTGATTGTTACAATACATTAAAAAGGAGGGAACTTACTTAAAAAAAGCAGAGGACCTCTCAATCAGGAACTAGAAAAAATCTCAAGTTCTCCTTTTTTTATACTCTTCTTTTTTCTTTTGTTTCTTATTTTTTATCAGATGGTTACCTTAAAAAAAATTGTATGATTTTTTCTTTTATGTTTGTTTAAATACCTACTAAAATAAGTTCCTACACTTAGAACGAGCGAATTAATCAATCGAAATGGACAAAGATGTACGTTACCTCAGCATGTCTTCAAGGCATCACGATTATTATACTCCAAGGAACAATTGCTTACTTCAATACAGCACAAGTCAATAAAGGATTGGAATCCGATGCAGTTGCCTCATATGACCTTAGCTACGAGGAAGAGTTAGCAATTGATTTAGCAGTAGGAAGATTGAAACGTATCAAATGGGAAAACATCGCTTTTATTGGATTTCAATGTTGGTTTGTGGGCATGTCATTCGACGCAGTAAGAACTATAATCTTCTTTGTATTACACAATCCTAAAAAGGCCCCCTCTCCTTAACCTGTTTTAATCTCCTAAATGTAGACAGTTTACCAAAATGCAGCAGAAGTGATCGCATTGGCAGTGATGAACTTGGCTTGTGCGATTTTCGGTGCTTTAGAAGTGGTAGATGGAAAACGATGGTTAAAAACCTTGACAGAAATCAAGACCAAGCATAGTGTGCCCATTATTACAACACCGATCCAAATTGCATTTTATTTAGAAATCGCCCTATCGATTGTGGTGGGATTATATGCCATAGTATTTGCGTATTTATCGTATGCCGTCGTGAAAGAATTTGGCTGGGTCATTTATAAAAAGATTGGTGCAGATATTGCGATACAGCGTACAGTATTATTTACACGCACTCTCTCTTGTTGTTGGACTAAATGTGATTCCCCTTTTTTTTTATTTTATTAGGCATGTACAGAACATTACAACTTTTCGTTTTAGCATTAAAAATTGATATTTTTATTGAATTCTTGGTTTCAGTATTTTATTTAATTCAATTTGCACTTAAAGATAAATTTAGTTCCTGGTTCTCATACGTATTTGTCATTATTACCATATTAATGATCCCGATGCTCTTTTTTGGACGTGCAGCTGTAAGTCGAATAATTGAAAGAGGGAAGGCCGTCATCGATTAACTTTTAGTTTTGTCTTGATAGGCCGCTAGTGAAAGTCCTGTCAAAATGGTCGTTTTTATAGCCTTTCAATTGGCAGTCGTATTTCAACTCGTTCTGATCGCTAAGGGTGCAATCAAACCAGGAGAGTACTGGTACACGTGGATTTGTTTTGGTAAAACCGAATTTTTTTTCCTTCTCCTCCCTTGCTTGAATAACTGATATTCTATCTTTTTGATATAGTTGTGCTGGGTATGATCATTGCTGTCGTAAGTTTAATTAATGAACTCTCTCACACACACATTTCACTGACCCTATTCTTTCTATAGGTAACAGCAGTGCTCGGAGGCGTCTGCATTCGAAATTTCGGAAAGGGACTAAAACCTTATATCCAAAGAGGTGCAGAAAAGAAGGAAATCCAGCAGGCCGAGATACAAAAGCAATCCTCAGGAGCTTGGATCATTGATGAAGACTAGACTTTAAATTTTATACTTATTTATCAATCTTAAAAATTGTACCATTCCCTCTCTCTTTCTCTTTCTTTTTTTTTAATGCCTCTTAAAAAGATAATTGTTATTTTATTTTTAATAGTTTTAAGGACTTCTTCTTCTTCTGGATTCACGAGGTCTGTCATCTCTGCGACTAGAATGATGATCATCACGATAATGTCTGCTACGTCTTTCATCACGAGAACGAGAACGCGATCTGTAGCGTCTGGTGGGGGGTGATCTGCTTCTCTCTCTCTGTTCATCCTATTTGATTATCGTTAGCTTTAATATATAGACCCTTTTTTTTATTGTAAGTCAACTTACAAAGCGAGATCTTCTCTTTCCGCTGCTTTCTCTTAGGTCGGACATTTCATCCGACGTCTTCTTTCGGATCGTATCCATGACGGAATCACGCTGAGCTCTTCTTTCATCTTCCTGGGATTTCTTTTTACGTAACTCTTCCTTTTTCTGCTCTATAAAGATTGCTGGAATGCCACCTACAGAGTTTTGAGCACTTAGTAATAAATTCCAAAGTTCAGTTACAAATTTTTTTGTATTGCTTTCCAGAAATCCAGTCAAGTTAATCTGCATTCTTTTTGGGTCTTGATTCTACATCCTTTTTTTATAAGAAACAAAGATATTCCCAACTTTATCAATAATAATCAAACTACCTTTTCTTCTAACAAGCTGCAAGTGTAATCAATCACGATTTCATCCTCTAAACCAAGTAGTTCGGTGATTCTATTACTTATCCAAGGTTTAATAACGTCTAAATTTACTTTTTTCATATCAACCTGGTTTTAGATATTGGGAGATATTCGGTTTTAGTCTTCTTTTTATCCATATTTTAAAGTTGACACGAGCTGGAACATACCTTTTGATCATATTCAGGTGGAAAGGACATGGATTTCAAAAGCTTCTTCTCCTTATTGCTGAATCGGCTGTCTTGATCTGCACTTGTACCCTAAATTCACACGTTAGATTACTTCAACTATGAGGGCTTTTAATTTTCCATTTTTGCTTATTTACTTTGAAAAAACCAGCATCACCCATTTTAAATGATTATTTACAATGAAAGGGAATGACTTTATAAAGAGAAAAGAAGAAGAAAAAAAGAAAAAGAAAAAAAAAAAGACCCAGCACGAAAAAAAACAAGGACGTACATTAACAAAAACGCCCAAAACCGTGACGGGGCTTTATTTAGAGCTGTCACCTTCTTTTACTTTCTCTCTTGCCTCCAAAAAGAACATCAAGTCTCTGACTTGATCTCCAAGCACTTTCAACGTGGCATCCTTTCCTTCCGCGTCCTTCTTTAATAACCCGTTATTTCTTATCAATGATTTCGTTAACTACATGGATGAAATAGTTTAGGGCGAGTTAAAGAGATAAATTGTTGTCCACCCCATGTGCTTAATGCTTACCAATTTTTCTTCATTTAAATTTTTCTGCATCGCTTCATATTTATCTTTATAAGCGGATGCTCTTTTATCAGCTTTTTCCTTTTCTTTTTTAATATCATTGATCGAAGCATCCAATAATCGCCCCTTTTCTAGCAATAACGATCCCTCACGCGTTGCCTCGTTAATTTCATTAGACGCCATCTTGATTTGGTTCGTAAGATCCGACAATTGCCTTGTCAGCCCATCCAATTGGTCCTCATAGTACATTCTCTGAGAATCCAGCTGTGATGATAGCATATACGAATAATCCACCGAGATCGAATCCAGTTTTCCTTGTTGACCCGTCTGATGTGCTGTACTATCTCTAACACTGCTTCCACCAGACCCATCAGGATGTTGATTCATGCCATGATTTGAATTTCGCTTTGATACAGCGTCTCTCTCTGAATGCAATGAATTCCCCGTGCTGTTTGGCGGCAATTCCACAATAGCACCATCGATGGTATTCTGTATTAATTTATGAACATAGCCATCCCCTACATAATCCCACACACGTTGTGTTTCTATCTCAAGCGCATATAAATGATTCGTATCCATATAGTGATCGTACGCATGCGCATCTTGATATCTTCCACAGCCCACATGCCCACAAATCATACATATCCACAAACTCTCGGTAGATACACATTCACAGCATTGGTAAACCACCTCCTCTTCTTCTTCTATCGGTAGAACAGTGCGTTTTTTAGAGTGATTCATCGTCAACACTGGCTTATGAGAGTATTGACAGATCGGGCAGCGATTTTCTCCCCATTTTTCAAGACAGTAACATTGTGATGTATGATGGCACTGAATCCCTAATAATCCTGTCACACTTTCATCCATACGCTCTAAACAGACTGGGCAGGTAGGTAGTTCAGCCATGGTATTTTTGTGAGATACATCCTGAGCGAGCGTTTCGTTCAAGGAGGGGTACATTTGTGGCGGAATAAGGATACTCTCTACTGTATTAGATTGTATATATACAACATGACTAATCTCGGGCTATATAAAAGATGTATAAATTTTTCTTGTCGTTGTTGGGGGGCGTTATACGCAGAGACATTATACCTCTGTCATATTGAACCTTCTGCCATTGAATTTCTGGTAGCAAGCGAAAGCCGATTGACGATTTTCAAATTTTAATAAGACGGTATATTTGTTGGGTGAGTAATCTCTGAGAGGGACATATGTTAAATAAATGGGAGCTTACGTGTTTACCCAAATGTTACCTTATAAATCTATAGTGGGTGATACTGGAATTGGTAGAACCCAAGAAATCCAACAGGTCCTTGTAAGACATGTAAGAAGGTACAGCCAAAATACAGAGAACAGTATCTTGATCCGAGACGATATTCAGGGATTCATCTTTGGCTATCTTTGTATCTGGTAAATCTTGTTCGGAGACAGTCTCCACATCGCGATAAAGGTGCAAAACACCATAGCCCAACTGGGTGGTTTTTTCCTCCATGCGTTTCTTTTTCTTATTGACGGAAAGACTAGTGTCCAACGCATGTAATTCGATAGGTCCAAACCGAAAATCCACCTGTCCCTCTAAACTATGATTCAAATGCGGCTTCATGGTGTCAATCGGGGTCGGTGGAATGTTCTCAACGGGTGTGGATTTCGCTGGTTGTGAGGATCTTCTTCGGAGAGTCCTGGATTTATTATTTGCATGTTTGTGATTCTCCAAGTATTTCACTCTTTCCATGTTGAGGGTAGGAAAGTCTCCAAAGAAATCGTTGGGCATGCTGACGGATTCCGGTGTATATAACACACATTTTAATTTATAATAGTACATGAAGAAAACTACACATTCTGCTTTCCACTCTCAGTTTACCAAATGTTTGAGAACTCCGCCCACTTATGTGAATTTAATTTGCCCACTTAAAAGAAATAATTCGACCAGACAAACCGACCACAAAGGTTTTTTATTCAAGCAATTAGAAATTACGTTTATCGAGTTCTGGATAAAATTCTGTAATTGTTCAACAGAAAAATTCTCACTGCCTTCAATTATTCTCGAAGAAAGTGTTTCTGCATCCGTCAACTTCCCTCTTTTGACTCGATCCTTTAGTACTTTCCAAAACATCTCAATAGGGTCGAGCTCAGGTGAATATGTCGGAATGTATACCGGTATATATTCCATTTGTGAGGCAATATGATCAACAACGTCGGGAGGGTGAATTGGAGCGTTATCCATTACAATATGAAATACTTTTATGTTTGGGAATGCATCCATGATAGCCAAGGTATCACTGATGAACTGCACAAAGTGACTAGCTGTATTTCCTTTTGGTATCACAGAAGCGGCACCCTCAGGTGCTTTTCTTTTTTCTAGCACCAACAGCTCTTCTTTTTTTAACATTTCCTGGCTCTCTCAAGCTTGCATTCACTACACCATACGCTGAAATTCCACCAATGACCGTGTGTGACACAACTCTTGCTGAAGTGATTTCTTCAATTGCCAGTTTTCCTCACGATACCTAACCCCTTGAACGACGCATATTCACATCAAATTCCACTTCGTTCAAGAACGCTCAGTTGTTCATAAAATGCAAACTTTTTTTTGCTATTCTATGACCCAGTTAGCACGAGCCTCATGATTTTTCTGACTATTTATTGCTTTAGGACGACGTATACGACCTTTAAAATAAGATTGCACTCCAATTTCATGAATTCAGCAACCCTTATCTTCTTTATCTCCAAGACTACAAAGCTTTTGATTAAATCTTCCACTGTGGTCTGAATAACCGCTGAGGGGTTCTAATCAAAGAAATTAAGCGAGTGCATTTTATGGTTTTTAATTTGTTGGCTCGGTGCTCTTTTCGATGTACTTTTCGTTTTTTTTAGTAATATATTCTTTTTAAGGTCTTTGCTGTATTGTCACTTCCACTTTCTCGCAGTTTCAGGATTAACATTAGCAATTTCAGCAGCTTCAGCGGGTTTCATCAATTTCTCATGAACGTAAAAGAAGTACCGAAGGCGATCTTCGTTCGTATAAATATTATAAGCCGTATTTATTTCCTTGTCAATTAGTACTTCTTTCATATCAGCGTCTTTTGGGTCGATTCGTTTACTTAATAACATTGCAAGACGGTAATTGTACCATTTATCCAGTCTTGCTAATACAAGCAAATCATCTGTATCCAAGTATTCGCATAGATAGCTAATCCATTGCGAGAACTATTAATATTTAGTTTCTCGTTCCTATAACTTTTGATTTGATCTGAGAAGATTCTCTTCTCGATCGGTGATATCGTAACTCAGTGGTATAGCATTATGTATCCAACTGTCATTCGTATATCATATTTAGGCCAATCATGCAATCTTTAATAGAGAAGTATGTATTCGTAATAGGAGAAGATGTATAGCAGTATACAAGCGTATGCTGATATGCAACATCAAAGGCTGTTTTAATTTCATAGTTTATTTATTTAAACAATTTGCTTAATTATTCTTAAGCGAATCGTACCCAAATACGACAAATAGAGCAATGAAAACCCTATTTATCATTCATTCTTGTCTTCTGTTTCTCCTCCAGAGACACACTCCCCGACATCATCCTCAGATCCGGCAGCAGCTTCTACGAAAACAAACCATTTTTAGTTTTTGGCCAAAAAACTGCTGTTGTGTTCTGCTTGGTTTTTTCCTCCTTTTTCTCCCCAACCAGCTGATTGACTTTGTTTATCGTCTTTCCTCTCTTTTCGTCTTCCTTCCTGTCCTTCATAATGGACACAAAATTCTGAAAAAAATTAAATTGTTAATTCAGTTTGAACCGATTTCAGCTATGTTTTAGCTCACCTTTACAGTATTAATACAATTGATTAAGTCTTTAATACCTCCAGATGTAATGGCCTTTTTGGTGATTGGGAAACAGCATTGGTCGATCTGATTCATGTTATATCCTTCACCCTCATCTTTCATACCAGCAATTACACTATATCATATACTCAAACTTATATCAAACCTCTATAAATTCCATTGTCAAAAGCACAAATTCAAACCCCATGATCATGACAAAGGGATAGGTGCAGTTGGTGTTGGTTTTTAGAAGCGAATTTAGATGAAACTTTGCCATGAGTGAAAGCTTAAGTTTGTCTTCATACAGCTTTGTGCTTTCAGCTACTTTGGAGAATTCGCCAAGTGAGTAATCGCCCTCTTTTGAGTTCAAAACTGACATTATTCTCAAATCCACCTTGGGTTTGGCCTTAGTTTTTTTAAAAATGGTAGGTACAGTGTCACCCCTAGTAAAAATATTAGTGCTGTTGCAAAACAGTTTTATAAAACAACTCACCAGTAAAGACAGACACGAGAAAGACCGAATAACTCTTCCCAGTGACAACTGCTTTGGGACACGACACTTTTCACTTTTTTCAAATTCTACCGTTTTCCAAAAAGTTCAAGAATATGAGACCAAAATTTAACTTTAAAGTCCTCTTCGGAGTATCGGGATATGTTTGAAGCATTGAAATAGTAGGGCTTGTGTACATGCATATCAAATCTACTCATGATAATAAGAAAGTCAGACACAGAAAAATATTTACAGTTGACGAAACACTTACATGAATCGCGAAACCTCCTGTTGCACACGTACGGTTTTGGATGGGGGATCGATTTTTTTAATCTTTCTCAATTTCACTGACAAGCTTGTTTCAGGCTATTGAAGTATTGATGATGTTAGCTGACTAACCGATAAAAGCATAATAACTTGGTGTAAACTTACATTCTTTAAAATACAATCAATAGAATCGTGTATTGTGCTTCTGTCTTGATTTATTTGCCTTGTGATTTTATTTGTTTTGTCTTTTAAGCTGGCTGGTATTAGATCCATTTGACTAGATGGGCTCTTATCTGTCATAGGACGGATTTATCGTTATCCAAACCATAAAGGTCATTTTCGCCTGTTTAAATCACTAAGCACAGCTTAAAACAAGCCTGGCACGCTTAAAGCACTGGCACGAGCCAATAAAAATGCGCCCCTGCTATTTACAGTGTATCAAGGATGCTATTTTTAGAATCATCACGTAAATAGAGAATAAAATAAAGGCCTTACCAATCTTTTACTGAGCTATTCTTGGACAATATGAAAGATTTAATTTGTCAAACTCGCCAACAAGTTTTTCTCCTCTTCCAAATGTTAAGACAACAACAGAGTGTTCTTTATGCAGTCAGTGAAAGCATTGCTGCCGAGAACTAAACAATTGTAAACATGTTGCTGTCAGTAATGTGCATTTGTTAAGAGAACAGCAGTTACAGTATGAATTTTTTGCTGCTGATTCCTGGAGTGGATTTGGAAGGGTTATTACTGGAAATATCTAGACCTCTGTATTTTTTTCAAACGTATTTTTTATACCACTTACAACAATTCTGGCTAAGAGCAGCAGGCCAGTATGACTAAACCTATTTACAGTGCAACTCCTGTTATTCACAGTCTGTGAGTTCCACAAACTCAAGAGCCCTGCCTAGGAGGTCGCCCTCCTATAGCAAAGACTAGCCGCAGCTGCAATATCGCAATATAACTTTTTTGATTTAACGTCTTTTGAAAAAATAGAAGTGTCATTACTAACTAACCTTTCTACGTTATCGACTACTTTCATACGATAGAAAAAACTATGTTAAGGGAAAAGAAAAGAAGGATAAAGTGTGTGAACCAGCTTTATTTGTAGGCTGATAAACAAGCTTATGTCAGGATGATTTAATTGCTTGTTTCATCATCCATAATGTTTGGGACTTTACCTAAAATAGAAACATTGGCAAAAATCCCCCAAGCAAATCAAAACTTGGTAATTGTCTATCTGCGTTCCAGCAGTAGCTAGTAATGACAGTGAAGCAGATTTTATGGAAAAGTTTTGACTTGCTTGGGGGATTTTTGCCAATGTTTCTATTTTAGGTAAAGTCCTAAACATTATGGATGATGAAACAAGCAATCAAATCATCCTGACATAAGCTTGTTTATCAGCCTACAAATAAAGCTGGTTCACACACTTTATTCTTCTTTTCTTTTCCCTTAACATAGTTTTTTCTATCGTATGAAAGTAGTCGATAACGTAGAAAGGTTAGTTAGTAATGACACTTTTATTTTTTCAAAAGACGTTAAATCAAAAAAGTTATATTGCGATATTGCAGTTGCGGCTAGTCTTTGCTATAGGAGGGCGACCTCCTAGGCAGGGCTCTTGAGTTTGTGGAACTCACATACTGTGAATAACAGGAGTGGTACTGTAAATAGGTTTAGTCATACTGGCCTGCTGCTCTTAGCCAGAATTGCTGTAAGTGGTATAAAAAAATACGTTTGAAAAAAATATCAAGTTCTAGACCGTGGATTTTGTGGACATGGGACTGATGAAATGAAAAAGATATTGTTGTTCTGTAGAGATTGACTTGTCAATGAATTCTCAAACTCGCCAACAAGTTTTTCTCCTCTTCCAAATGTTAAGACAACAACAAACTGTTCTTTATGCAGTCAGTGAAAGCATTGCTACCGAGAACTAAGCAATTGTAGACATGTTACTGTCAGTTAGGTGCATTTGCATAGAGAACAGCAATTGCAGTACGAATTTTTTGCTGCTGATTTCTGGAGTAAATTTAGAAGGGTTATTACTTCCTTGCCTTTGTTTATGACCGGAAATGTCAAAAAGCTTGAGAAAGTGGCCTCTTTAGAGTCTAAACTCATTCTAGATGCTCGTATTTTAAGAGCTGCTAAAGTCAAAGGGGTAATTTAAAGAGTCGTTTTGTTAAAGAAATTACTTAATTTGAAAGCTATAACAGGAGCTTGACCGAAGAACGCAGACGAAAAGAAAACAAAGCCAGAAGAAAGGAATCAAAACCAAGAAACGAAGGGTATGTCTTCTATAAATGTTGCCGTTTTTTTTAACAAAAAAAAAAAAGCTGACTCTCTAGTGATGGTTATAGACCCATATCATTAATACAATGCCTGATGTTTTTAAATCTTTCAAATTGTCGAAAAATAGCTCAATAAAAGAGCAGTTTTTTTATTAGTAAAGCCTTTGTTTTATGCTCTATTTACACTATTTTCATAAATTATTTGCACACTCTAGGAAAAAAATTGCTCACTTTTTTTTTCTATTTTTCCTATTTTTTTAAAAAAAATCACTCATAAACAAAACAATCGTGCGCTTGGTTTTGAAATTCGACAATTATCATCGTATGCCGAAGGACTTTGTAAGGTATACCAGGATGCGCCACGAGAGAAATCTTTGAGGGCTTGGTAGCTATCCTACGCTGTGACGAAGGTCATCGCCTGTGTGATGGTAGACTTCGTGTTTTGCTGTTGCCTTGCCAGGACCGCTCTCAAACTTCTCGTTCTATGAGTTGACGAAGATGGTAGAAAAGACACGACTAGGTTTTGAAAAGCGACAACCATCATCGTATACCGAAGGACTTTGTAAGGTATCCCAGGGTGCGTCGTGACGTATTATTTTAGGGGCTTGGTAGCTATCCTATGCTGCGATAAAGGTCATTGCCTGTGTGATAGTAGACTTTGTGTTTTGCAGTTGCCTTGCCAGGGCCGTTCCAATAAGCGCATTGCTTTTCTACATATCTCATCATTTAGATTGGATTGATGCATGTACAAAGCTAAGTATTAAATTCTACTGTAGGAGTTTGCGAATAATGTATATTCGACACTAGAACTATAATATTGATACGCCACTTTATTAGCTCAAATTGTATGTAACTATGTAGATAGTAATTAATTCGCTGATCACGGATACCAAACTTGTTATATATGGCGTTCATACACAGCTCTCCATCCTGGGACACTAAAATCATCTTGTCTTGTAATGCAACTCAGTGTACACAAATACCAAGGACATAGTTACCTTTTTTTCACAATAATCTTCTTCCTGGCTTGAGTACAAACTATATTTATTGGCACTCTTACCACACTTAGAAGCATCCCCAGCGGACCGGTTAATTTTTTTAAAAATTAAATTTAAACGGTTTAATCTCCATGAAAACATTAACGATTTTTACACATTTATTGTAATAAAGTATAACTCCCATATTCTTATGCTTTTTTACTATTATATACTATATTATTAATAGAAAAAAAAAGAAGCTTAGTCATGCTCAGGCGAATCAAAGGGACCATAGCTAGCCATGCCCTTACAATGGTCTTTTTCCGTCAATCTGACAATGCTTGGGTTCACAAGTTGAGAAAGCAAAGGAGGAGGGGAGAAAGAGTATCTTGCTTGCTTTAAATTCTCTTTTTGAGTGTTAAGGATATCATAGATATAATAATAAACTTAATTGTCACATCGCATTAAGGATGGATAATAAATATAAAAGTTAATCATGAATCACACATTACCCCGCTTGTTCTCATCCTACCGTTGGAGTCTGTACACAGGGCACATCCCTGTGGCGAGTAAATATTTATTCTGCAAGAGCAATACAATCGAATGGGTCTGGACATAGAATATTAATAGATCCTGAGCACAAATATTACTCTTGTCATTTGATGTTATAACTGTTGATCCCTCTGACTAATATTTATATACTCAGTATGGAAGGGCTAAATTTAGAGACATGTTGATTATTTACTATCACCAGATTATTACATCATGATCCAATAAGACGCTTAATATTCTCCCTAGAACTATCCGAGTTCTTTATAGTTTTTTCTCATAGACCATGAATACATTTTTATACGTTTTTAATTATATTTTTTCGTCCATAATAAAGTGGTATCCAGGTTCTAACAGTATCACTTTTGGTTATTTTTTAATTTTGTTCTCCATGCAAAACAGTGAGATGTATGAAGATTTTGAATTGCTTTCAGTGTGTTTTCGAGCTGACACTACAATAGAAGAAAGCTAAGTAAAGGCCAACTAATTTTTGATACAAGTTGACATTTGCATACCTTGAAGTTCCAATAAAATCGAATTGTCTGCTTAAGGAATTCCTCCTTGTCCTTAAAATCAGGTTTTATCTCCAAAACATCTTCTCTCCAAAGATGAAAGATATTTTTTTTTGAAGGACAAAGACCAGAGCTTTACCTTGTCCTCTGCAAATAGAAAAAGGGGAAGAGTTAAATGAATATGACGTTTTTCTAGCTCCACATAATACTATGAGTTTACCTGCAGCATGAACAAAGAAAATTTTTACCGTCTGAAAGATATCAAGTGAGGCATACTTCAGTTCGTCCGCTACTGTCTTGAGCATCGAAAGAACGGCGAACATGCCTTTGTGGTGATCGAAATTTACTTTAGTCATGTCGGTGTTTTTAAACACACCAGAGACTTCTGCAACGCAGACTTCAATATCGTGGAAATCTTGCAGCCTGATGACTCCGTCAGCATTGTAACAGAATCTACCGTCTTTGAACTGCCCCTTTTGCTTTAATTGTCTAGTCATTGATAACAGATGCTCTTCACCAGGAAAAAAACCAACATCCAGCCAGGCGTATTTTTCTTCACTGATGGAATAACTAACAACTTTTAAAAATGGCTCGACAAGGAAGTCGTTGAATACTGCTTCACTGTGTGTCAATTTTACTTTTCTTTTGTACAAAGCGAGACTACAATAAGAAAAAGGAGCAATGCCGTCAGTAAATTTCTTTAACTTTTTCCGAAAAAAAAAAACTTACGCAGCAGCAAAGAGTTCTTCAAGGAAATCCACTTGCTGTGATAGTGATGCATTTTCATCTGACACAGTGGGGATATTCCTGACATTTGATCTAAAGGCGGGTATGGTTTTCTGCAAGAAAAATTAAATTGTGTATTCTAAGCATAATATTTACACAAAAAAATACGTACACTTTCTAATACGAAGTCAATGTATGAACATATTTGTCCGTCGAAAGCATAGACCTCTTCATCTCTTGACTTTTTCTTTTTGTACCTGTTGTAAATATCCCTGGGGAAAGAAGGACGCGGTGACACCTCTTTTCCGCAGCAAATGATATTGTGCTTTGCAGGACTATGAACGATTAGGATTTAGAAACGTGGCTCACATAATTTCAGTTGTAAATACTGTTACCTATACCTGTGAATGGAAGCATCATTCTTTGCCAATAGCAAATACTCCTTCCAGTCTAACCAGAAGAAAACCTTCGAACAATAATGCTCATATGGCATACTCTTTTAACCGAGCTTGTTCAAATATGGAAATGTTTAGACCTCCATATTTTTTTCAAACGTATTTTTTTTATACCACTTACCGCAAGTCTGGCCAAGACCAGAAGGCCAGTATAAATAAAACTATTAACAGTGCAATCACAGCCATTCAAAGCCTCTGAGTTTCCAAAAACTCAAGAACCCTGCTATAGGAGGTCACCCCTCCTATAGCAAAGACTAGCCGCAGCCGCAATATCACAATATATCTTTTTTTTATTTTAGCTTCTTTTCAAAGAAACAAGAGTTACTACTAAACTAACCTTTTTACGTGATCGGTTAATTTTATACGATAAAGAAGTATGTTAAGGGAAAAGAAAAAGGAGAAGAATAAAGTGTGGGAACCAGCTTTATTTGTAGGCTGATAAACAAGCTTATGTCAGGATGATTTCATTTATCTATTTTATCATCCATAATGTTTGAGCCTTTACTTAAAATAGAAACACTTGCAAAAACCTCCCAAGCAAGTCAGAGCTTGGTAATTGTCTATCTGCGTTCCAGTAGTAGCTTGTAATGACAGTGAAGCATATTTTATGGAAAACAGAAATCGATCATCCCATGAAGTTTAGATGATATGGCATGTCAATCGACGTGTAGACCATCGCGTGATTCTAAAAAATACGTTTATTTGAAAAAAATACGTTTGAAAAAAATACGGAGTTCTAGACATTTCCTTCAAATATCCAAGCAGGGTTTACCAACATCCGTGTTTTCCAGTCCGTACCAATACTTTCAAAATAACTTTCTACTAAAGCTCTATCGTCTTGGTCATATACATACATGATGTCACGGAAACGACGCATGAAGTCTTTTTGCATTCCATGAGACTTGTTAATTTGATCATGTCCATTATATGAAATCCATCCTTCAAATCACGGGAGTCGACAGAATTCTTATTGGTATTTATTGGTGAAGAAGTGATATCGCTGTTAATGGGTGGTATTTGTATGATTGGGATATTAGAAGTATCAGAAACTAAATTATGTACTCTTTCTAAAGCTGTAAACAGATATTTGCATTTGATATAAACATTAAAGGGTATATCATGGAAATCACCTAAGGTCAGACCCTCATTGTAGCACTCCAAAGGATATCCAGGAACAGTTATCTTCACAACTTTAACAATAAGTGCACTGTTGGTATGAAGTGCTTCATGGGTATTATTTGTAGGAGGGGTATCATCATTATGCATATATAGCCGTAACCAACAGAGGACGAGGCAGGTTTGTCTAGATAAATTGCAATAACAGAACCGGCTGTTGCGTTTACAGATACTTTCTGATGAACTGTGGGTATATCTTTGTGTCTGGTATAAATTTCGTATGACACCCAAGCGTCCAAAGCTGCATAATTAAGTTGCTCTGAAAGAATTGGGGCTTCCCAATTACCACAACGAGCAAAATTTTCCTTGGGTAACTGCACCTTCAGAACAAACCCACATAATCGGCCAAAGATATATTTCTTCTTTCGATGAGATTCTTATCTTTTTAAAAGGTACCAAGTTCCAGTTGAGACCAAAATAGCAGAATCTTGTTAGATCACCGCTGACGTTTTTTCCGATTTTGGCTATTTTGGTATCAGTGATAAAAGGCACACAGAAAAAAGGAAAAAATATATTTTAAAGCCAGTTACACTATTTCGCGCATATTAGAGACTTTAGGGGATTAATTTTCACTGTACTAATAAGTAAATTTCATGATTTTGAAATCCGATGTTGCACAAGATAGTGTAAGTTTTCATCAATTTTTACACTATTAGTGAAAACGCTTTCACTAATCTGTCTTTGAAATAAGCCAATTGTAACTGTTAATATTACATTATTTTAGCACCGATTTTTGCATTATTATGAGTCTATGATTTCATGATTTTAGTTGTCTTTTCTTACTTTTATCATTTAATAAACATAAAACATGTCCCAACAAAGCACAGAACCTAACAATTCCGGCTACAGCAGTAGCAACAGTAACAAAGACAACAATATAAACAGCAATAATGATAGCAACAATGACAGCAACATCAATTTTATTCAAGACGGTAAATTGACTGGGTCGAAGTCTACTGAGAAACGTGGTCAATGGTCAGAAAGTAGAAAATTGGCAGCCGTTGAGGCCAGCATATCTCATCGTCCTTTTGACAAAAAAAAAAACAATGTAACAGTAGCATGGGATTTAGTTCTCCAAGAAGTCAACAAAGTAGACCCTCATTTGAGGTCTCTTGGTTTGACTTCATTAAGAAACTATTTGAAGAAAGCAAGAAAAGAAATAATAGAAAAGAAAAATGCGGATCGACTTGCCAGTGGTACAAATGATTCTGAAACGACTCTCGAGAATCGACTGAGCTCAATGGATGATGAGGTAATTAATTTAAAAATTTGATATACTACAAGGTTTTAATGATTTCCATCGATTAAACTTAAGATGACTGAAGTCGAGACGAACAAGGATGAAGAAGATGCTCAGGCCAGCTCTGCCCGCATAAAAAAGAGAGAAGCCCAGGCAGAGTTATGCTCTCAATCGTTAAAAGGAGTGAACAAAAAAATAAAGGCAACTCAACGTGAGATTAAAGAAAAGCACCCACAGATATCTCAGCAGCCAGAGGCAAGAGAGGAGATGTATGTGATCGAAGACGATAACAACAAGATGGAACGTCCCACACAACAAAAACATTTTGATAGAAAGCGTGCAGTAGAGGAAGCACGAAAGAATGAGTATGCTTTTGCTTTGGCTGAATCGGAAAAGCAGATACAATACCAGCGTGCTTTCTTGAGCGATGTTAAAAGTTTGATCAACAAAGGCAAAGAGGAGACAATTGCGGCTGTAGAGGCAAGCCAAAAGAAATTTGCAGATGACATCAAGATAAATCAAAAGATCTTTGAAGATAACTTGTTGGCATCTGTAAATAAAGCAATATCGTCTCAAGCCAACGTTCAGCAATACCCTCCGCAGGTTGTCTATCCTTACCCCCCAAAACCACCTCAACAAATACCTCAAAAAATGTATCAATTTAAACAAAACGACTCAAAATAAATTTATTAAATATTAGTTATACTGTCGATATATTGTTGTAACGTAGGAGGTGATAGTCCAAAGTAGAAGCTGGTTTGATTTCCATTATTAATACAGGTATGTATATTTTTCAAAAGGGTTGAAACAACATAGAACATTCCAACGCGACTTAGAAACACCTTTTGTCCTGGTCTATATCTGACGAAAGCAAACAGAGTTGCGACATGCCCAAACTCCCACTCCACACATTCCCTGACTGAGGACATCATTTCGTTTGTTGTACGTTGATTATCTGTTAGAGCCAAACCAGTCAAAAAAGGTCTAATAAGGCAAGATGATGGCCGATATGCCGGATCACCATACAGAGCGTAGAATTTATCGCCAATATCTTCACAGTCCAAGATTTCATCCAATTCGCTAATGATATCTGAGCTATCCAACATGTTCATGTCATGGATCGCCCCAGCAAATGGTCCACACAAGCTAACAGTGATACCGTCAGGAGTTACAACTGCTTGGTATTTCAACCCGTGCCCTCTCACATGACCGTTGTATACACTACCTTGATTTTCACCAGGTCTACACACAGCATTCAAAGTTCCATCTATAAATCCAACGACCTCAGTATAAGGCGAGCCTTTCTGGATGATAGCTTCGCTGAATCGTCTCAAGTTGTAAGGTCGCAAATGATTTCTTGTAAGACGTATACCTTCGTTGTACTTCGAGTACAATAATACAATCATTTCATTGAATATCGTACAAATAGTCGAGTAGCTGATACCAAAAAGGAGTTCAAGATCAATCAATCGAGACGGATAGGCAAGTCTACGAAGCATGATAGCAAATGCCTCGATGGTATCCCAATAAAATTGTTGGGATGTATTTGCACGACAGGTAATCCTCTCAGTAAGATGCATGCTGATCACTACAGATTGTATTTGCTGATACGTAAATCTAAATAGATGGATACTCATCTCGTCAGTGAGGGACTGGATATCTAGACGTTGACCATCATTGTACATTGTGGATGGCATATCTTCCTCGAAACCGTCCTCGAAATCGTCCTCATATTCGTCCTCATATTCGTCTTCGAATTCTTCTAGAGTCTGTTCCTCTACTTCACGTAACCGGTTGTAGGCACTGGTTAAATTATTTCTCCACATGTTAATGATATATTCAGACATTTTTATGTATTGTTTTAAAGATTATTTGAGAAGAAAAAAAGAGTAATGCCATGAGTTCATGTTATCATTATATTTAAGTCGCAGATTCATAAATGTCTGACGTTATTGGATTATATGTTACGCTTTATTAGGAAAGTGCAAATCTACGATGACATCAATATTTATTACCAAAAAAAAAAAGTGTAAAAATTAGTGAAAATCTAGTCCCCTAAAGTCTCTATTTATTGGCTCCTTACACTATTTCGAGCAATGTTATTGGCTCCTTACACTATTCCTAGCACTTTTATTGGCTAGATTTAGCCCGCCTATAAGTGTAAACCAGTATATGTGTTTTACAGCTTACTTTCAGCTTCTCCTTTAGACTTTACCTTAATATTTCTGCGTAAGATTAAGATCAAACGAGCTCAAAGGCGAAAGTGTGACGATAGAATTGTCAAAATAAGTATAAATTGTTTAATATACATTTATTCGTAATTGTTACATTGTTTTTGATTGTATATCCTTGTTCCCAGGTCTACAGAACATCCAAATCACAGATCTTACGTTGAGGCTACGTGCACTTTGGCTGCCCTTAAGGAAAATTTGGCTGTCCCTAAGAAAAGCGAATTGTTAATGGGTTTTCATTGCCATGGGAATGAACGCCAAATGTATTGGGTCTACTTAGAGGGTCTTCTTTATGGGCTGAATATATCATCCCCTCGTGCATATAAAATAAAAAAGAGGATATACCACCACTGTTTTATTACACCTGTATTAAAGATTAAATAAAGACTATATTTATTATACGCAACCGCAAACGTAAAGTAAACTTTGTTTCGATATGATGCTTATTTTTTTTTTAAAGTGACGCTCTTCGAAGAATATCCACTATATTTATAGCAGTAGCTACCGCCTCAGGTCGCTTTCCAAACATGCCGTACCATTGAAATAACTTTGGTGATAGAGCAGAAAAAAAACTCGCTTCTGGAAAAGAATAAAAGCTCACCATAAAAGGGTACACAAAGTAATCTGCCCAAGTCACTTCTTCTCCACATAAAAAGGGTCCCTCCTCTACCATGCTTTCTACCGCCTTCATAATGCGTCCACACCCTTTCAGTTTCTTTTCCAACAACACCGTAATTTCGCCTTCCGTCTTACCAAGCCTCTCCAAATACAACCTCTGCTTGATATAATCAACCAATATCTGTCTAAAGAGATAATCCGAAGCCACACTGATAAATTGTGTCACTTTTAACTTGATTTCAAAATTAACCGGCGTCAACTCAGAATTGAACTTGCTGTCAATGTAATCTCGAATCGCCGTCGTTTCATAGATCGCCTTTTCACCATGAATCAGCAAAGGAATCCGACCAAATGGATTGTATTGGTACACATACTTTGAATGAGGTAATAGCAACTCTACCTCGTAATCAATCTTTAAGTGGAACAGTGCCATTTGCATCGCCCGAAAAAATGGACTGTATCTACCCCCAGCTAGCGTCACTTTCTGAGTACTCATTGTTTATAATTTAAAAATAACTGTAGTAAAAGAAAGAAGGGAATGGGGGGGGGGAGGTTTGATATATATATGTATATCCAAATTCTCATGAATTCCCGTTGTAGTACCCCTTTTTTTTAAAAAAAGAAGAAAAAACAGAGTCATCCTTTACGTGATATGTCGTATTTGATTTCGACTTTTTCATCTTATAGTCATAAATGACAATAGACGACTTTTCTGGCTGAGTAATACCTTGTTATAAATATACTTTTTAATCACGCTTGTCTTAAAACTAACTTTTAAAAGCATGTTGCTGTTTTGTTTGTCGTACATCTTATGGACAAAATAAACTTATTAGTTAATAAATGATGAATTGTCAATGAGAAGGCAGAATCTTTCTTTTTGGATCACAAATTGAGTTTTTCTCATGATGCTTAAAAAAAAAATTGCGCTGCAAATATAATCCTTTGTTTTCAAAAACATAAAAGTTAATTTTTAAGTCTTTTAGTCTCATTTGTAAATTCGTGAAACATTGAACAAACTTCAATTATGCTAAGGAAAATATGTGAAGCTTAAGTTGGAACATTTTCTGCCTCCCCTCCCCCCCCCCCCTCTCATCACATGAAAAAAAAAATGACATCCATTCATTATTCATTCAATTTAACAGGGTACATGGGAATATTTCTTTTTTTACTGTTTATATACGGAAAGTTTTAAGACTGGAAACTTTAAATATGTTGTGTCATTTCCCTTTAGAGAAAAAAGAATTCATGCAACCTGTGAATTCGTATTGTGAGGTTATATGACTAATTGTTCTCACAGCTTATGAATAATCCAATTTCCATCGTTGACTATAAATACTCATTTATTCATACAAAAAAAAAATAACAAATAATTCTATTTAACAATGCCTCCTACTGCTCAATTACAAAACTCAACTCAACCTGATATCTCTTATTTGCCTAATCGTAAGAATTATGAAGACCGGGTTGCCTGTCGTTTAGCTCAAGAAGACCTCAAAAAGGACCTCCCTGCATTCCCTGCCCAATTGTTCGGACCCAAAGTCTGGAAAGGGTCTGACTACGAAGGAAAGGAAACAGAATGGATTTACCAGCTCACTGAAAAAGAACTTTTAGAGATTGATGAAGCCACCGAATGCTTTGACGCTACGGGAAAACCCTTGGGCGAAATCTCCAAGGAGACCTTTCCTTTGCCCACTTTTGGCGCAAAGATCAAGAAACTGATTGAAGACGATGTACTCGATGGTCGCGGATTTATCGTAGTTCGTGGTATCAACCCTGATAAGTATACCGTTCATCAAAACATGATTGCCTATACTGGAATTTGTGCTCACGTCGGTAAGCGTGGTAAACAAGGTCAGCATGTCATTAGTAAGTTAAACCTTTCTCCTCCCTCACTTAAGTCTGGTAAAAAAAAAAAAAAAAAAAACTCATCTGTATAAACTTTTTCTTCTCTAGGTCATATCCGAGATATTTTAACAAATAATAAGAACCCTGTTGATTTCCCTATCCAAAACGCTTCATACACGAATGATATTCAAGTTTACCATACGGATGCTGGTGATATCGTTTCTCTTTATGCTATCAATGCTGGTGAGACTGGCGGAAAGTCCCGTATTGCTTCTAACTGGACCGTCTACAACGAGCTTGCCAAAACTAGACCTGATTTAATTCATGTCTTGTCCAAGGACTGGCCTCACCAAATGTAATTCTCAACTGATTTAGTGTTTATATGAATAATCTTACAAACCCTTTTTTTTTTTTTAAAAAAAACAGTAATGATAGTAAAGACTGTCATGTCTTGCATCGTCCTCTTCTTTACTACCTCGATGAAAAGATTATTTTCCAATACGCTCGTTTCTTCTTCACCGGTTTTGGAGACCACCCCAGACGTGAAGATATCCCTCCCATTAGTGAAGCTCAAGCTGAAGCATTGGATGCTCTTCATTTCACTGCTGAAAAATTCAATCTTGGGTTACAGTTCCAGAAAGGCGATATGCAATTCATCAACAACTTATCCATCTTTCATGCTCGTGATAGTTACACCGACAGCGAAAAAAACGTACGCCATCTTCTACGTCATTGGATTCATCCTGAAAACGCTTGGGAACTTCCTTGTCAACTGCAACCTACTTGGGATAATCTTTTCTTTAACGAGCGAGAAGAGGTTTTTCCTGAAGGTCCTGCATTTCGACTCTTTTAAAAAAAGTTTTTTTTTGTCCGGTAGGTTTATACACATGCTCTCTTTATTTTTTTTTCATTTAATTCTCATTGTTTAAATCAATCAATTAAATTTTTGTTTTTGGGAGCATGTTCAATAAAAATACGGCCTTATCTGTAAGGAACTATATAACCTATTGTTAAATTTTTAAGCAACAAACTATAATATACCTAGAGATTTCAGATTTCATCGCCAGTATTATTTTTTTGTATTAAATTTCTTTTATTTGATGAAATGATTTCTTTTTTTTAAATAAGTCTAGTGTGGTTATTTGTAAATAAATGTATTATTTATATATAAAAGAGCGTACAATGCTACCCTTCTTAGGCTGTCGTTTGAGGCAGGCTGTTTCGTCGATTTTTCTCCTTCTTGAGGACAATACCGTGTTCATTATCTCCTGCTATAGTAGGGGGGTCGGACAGGGTAACACCTAATACGGAGGACAATGGATATAAACTGGTCGTCAAATGAGAATTCATCTTCACATCTTTATCCGAAATCGCATTCAACTTCTCCAGCGTTTGCTGTTCCCATGCCGCGGCTTCAGATCGTGCCATCTTTCCATGAAACAAAAACGCCAATATCGCCATCACACCAGCTATAATAGCCTGGAATATAAGTGCGTTCGTCATATGATTTGCTGGGACTGAGGTATCAGCACTACGCGTTGCATCCATTACCAACACAAATATAAACCCAAATAGCTGTGCTCCTTGCCATAAGATGGAGTTGGTAGTCGCTTCGGCTACGGGGTAGGATGCTAAGTCAATCATATAAAAAAATAAAAAAAATAAAAAACGTCGAATGAATTAACTGTGTCATAAAGTAGTATTGTTCTTATAAATGATTTACTTTCTGCACCAAGTTCGATTACCACAGGAACTAGGAACGATAAAAAGAACTGGTTCATAGTCAAGACAAACAAAACAGATGCGTATGAATCTTTACGAACTATATTTTTTTTTTTTGTTTGACAAATATTAGTGTTTTGTACAATTAAACTATCAGATAAACCACTGACCCATAAATATGAAAGCAATGTCCGAGATAACCACCATTGGCGCAATGAGCTTAAGAAAAAGCTTGTGCTGTTTTGTATAATCCAACACTGGCCCGGAAATAGCTAAAGTTCAATTAAAAAAAAGGAAGAAAGGGGGGGGGGTCAATAATTTTTTTTTTTTACAACAAGAAATCTACGTTTTAATTTGTTTATCCTTACAGCAACCCAATGTACCAGCAAAAAAGGCAATAGCATTTAACTGTCCCGCTTCAGCATTGGAGTATCCATGAGGCCCAACAATCTGAGCAAACAAAGTACAAAAGGCAATACTTAAACCAACGTTAAATCCTTGAATTAAAAACAGAATCCAAAAGTTCAGGTTTTTAAATAGCAATCTTAAACCATCAAAAAATGAGGGTCGATCCATTTCTTGAATTCGCATAGGAGGACTAGGAGGCTTTTCAGGCATGAATAGTAATGGCAAGAATACTATCAATGCAAAGCCAGACACCAAATTCAACTATGCAAAAAAAAAAAAAAAAATATAAGTATTTTTCTTTTTTCCCTCCCTGCCTCCTTTGCAACTTTACCACCATGGGGATGTAAGTTGCATCCAACGTAATGGCTGGAATTACAAACATCACTAGAATGGCACCATAATTTGAGGCTAATACACTTTTGGATTAGTCTCTTATCGTAGTGTTGGGGGGGGGGAAGCTACGTTTTTAAGAATGTCCCACTGTTTTTATTTACCTACAAACATGCCAGCTGTTGCACGTAAATTTTCAGTAAACCAAGTAGATGTAAACTAAAAAATAAAATAAAGAAAACATTGCGTAAGTAAAGTATTTATATTTTAAATGTAAATGAATGTTTTTTTTTACCATTGTCATGACATTCAAAGCCATGGGTGCAGATGCTCCACCGATAATTTGTCCCACCATAGCTAGAGCATACGACGGTGGATTTGTTTTGGCAGATATACTACGGATAGCACAACCTAGTGCACAGAGAAATCCAGATGCCATGATCTGTAGAAATTAATTAAGTTTTAAGTTTTGTTAAACATCAGAACACTATTTTTACATATTTACTTACAGATCGCTTCACACCTAGCTTTTCAAAGATAAAGCCAGTGAAGAAGCTCATGATGACGTATATGATGCATTGAATGTTAGCTAACCAATTTACAGCTGAAAGGGAAACACTGAAATATTCGCTAGTAATGCCTGGAACCACACTGAAGGTAAACTGAAAGACCGAGACAGCTGTTCTCAGTAATACCAACAAAAACAACGCAATCCATGCTTGAGGATAAGTCCTCAGCTCAAACTGAAGTGGCTTTGTTTGAGGAATTTCAATCACTGTCTTGCTAGTGACCGAGGCTCCATCACTAGGATCATTCTGTTGTGTCTCGTCTGATGGCTTCAAGGCAGAACTGTATGGTTTGATCTGATCGGACGGATATTTTTCTTTACGAGTTGTTTCTTTAGTGAGCACTTGCATTTATTATCATGCTTTTTTTTTCTTGTTCAAAAGTTTCAAGAAGTATATATATATTGAAAGAGAAAAAAAAAGTAATTAAGAAAATAATAACTTTATTATTTATTCATAAAGAATTGATATCATTAGCTGTAATCAAAATATTACACTCTATAGTATAAAAAAGCTTCTTTTGGCTATATGTGGGCATTTCCTTCTTCTCTTTGTAGGGAATTTAAATCATAATTAAACTAACGTGGTAGGAATATTATTCGAATTGCCGTGTTTATATTTTATTTCTGCTGTAATTCCATAAATCATGCAGTGTTTTTGGTGCAGTGAGACCTCCGCCCCCCTCCGTAAACTGTAATATATTTACGAGTCTCCCGCTCAATCCATATTTCTGGTAACGTTTTTTTATAATGCTAATCAACAAATAAGTGTTTACAATCACAACAAAGACTTTTATGCTGAAAAAAAAAAGCTCATAATTACTAATTGTCATGTAAAACGCTTTATTTAATCGTGATGGAAGATAACACTCTCCCCTTGTCGATAGCTGCTATCACAAATATTCATTAGCATTTACCTGAACTGGAGAAAAAGCTCTGAGATTTTTTTTTTTAAAACAGGAATCGTTTGCAATTCTCGTGTATAATTATCGTCCAAAGATAATAATAAAAGGCAACTCTAAAATTGTCTTTTGTTACGAGGCATATTTGATATCAATTTTTGCCAACTAATATATCTTATAAACAATGATTGCATTGCCATCCAGCAGACATTTTCTTCCTACTGCATCACCATGTATGTCTTCCGAAAGTTTTTTTTTTCCCTTCTTCAACCCTTTTTCCTTCAATTATTCAAATCTTCATTCCGTCGTGTATACAAGTTACACGAATTGAATAACAAAAGACTTCTTTTTATGAAACGAAACATTATTATGCGTAGAATGAACGACTTATAATACTAAGAGCAATCAAAATATGCCACTACAAAAAATTACTTATGTCTCGATAAGGTTATCAGAAATCGGAAAGCCTTTCTTTACTGAAGGGTTCTGTTAGCCACATAGATGGTTGTAATGATCCATTCACTGCGATTTTTTGTTTTTAAATTCCCGAAATGCTCTTCCCCTACACGAGAATACAATAAATCATGCAGAAGGGCAGATTTCACTTTTTTTTCAATCGTTGTCATTTCGTGAAATAGGAAAAATAATAAAAAGGCACAAGAAGTATTCTTCGAAAAAAAAAGTGCTTATAGTGCTTGTATTTAAGGGCTACTTTTTCATCATACAGTCAATACAACTTTGTGCCTGATAAAATTAACAGTCCTTATTTTTTGTAACAAACAAAGAGTTTAAAGGGGAATATCCTCATTTTTTCCTTCTCTCTCTCTCTCTTTTTGTTTTCCTTTTAAATAAAAATCGGTGATAGCTTCCTTGTTCCCCGTCAAACGAACCCTATCAAGTCCCTGTATTTAATCTATAACCGACTTGAATGTTTGGTATCTATCCGTGTCATTATCCCCTCCACACTATCCTACGTTAGAACACACAGTAGTAACAACCTTTAGTATTTTGAAAAAAAGAAAGAAAGAGAAAATACTCAACAGGATGTAATCATCAACAGGTATTTGTGTTCAGGATTGGACATGCACGTGTTGTACAAAATCTTGAGGTTAAAACACATGAACACGCTCGTTTTTTAGAACCAAGATGATACTCCCATGGCTATGTGGAACCTACTTTCAGTTTCGTAGTGTTTGAAACAATCAAGGTGGGAAGATACCTATGTTCTGCATAAAAACAACATATGGTAGACATGGCAACAGAGCATATCTCGTCTACAAAACACGGAATACGAACTTTCTTACTGTAGCTGTTCCTTATGACGTATAATTTAAGATTTTCACTCTCTATACAACCTAAACAGCTACATCTACGGAATCAGTAGAATTACCCTATCATCTACCCTGAAAAAGAAAAAGAAAAAGTCGAAAGATATCATCAAAGGAAAAAAAAAAAAAAAGATGATGATAAGCATAAACTTTCAAAACGTTACTTCTGCCATGTTAAAACCAAGACATAGCCATTAAAATTGTGATTGTCGAATATTTAATTGATTACACCTGATTTAAGCTTAATTGACCATTCGCTATGAGCGTCTGGGATCAGCTTTATATCGATGGACAAGATACAGGGGGGTAAATTCATTGGCGATAGTGACTACCTTGGTGCCCATCACTGCTTATTGAATATCTATGGTATCGATGAACCTAAAAAAAAAAAAAAAAGATGACTTAGCGTTATTTTTGCTTTGTTTGTGAAACTGGCTTTTGCATTTTGTATTTTTACAAAGTATAAATAAAGTATTCTGAAACATGTATGGAAGGTTGGGGGTTTTTCAAATGCCAAAAGTTCAAAGTAAAGAGTTAAGACCGATACAGTGAACAAAAAATAAAAAAGAAAGAAAAAAGAAAAATAAATCTTAATTTAGGTTGAGTATTTGGGAATACAAGGAAAAAAATTTAACATGTTGTGCAGACATCAATTATTATAGTGCAATCGACACGCGAGATGGAGAAGTAGTGGGTTGAACAGAAATAGATCACACAGGAAAGAAAGGTATTTCATTGGTCGAGGAAATAGTTCTTTTTTCTTTGGAGTTCAAGAGATAGTTACAATATAAAATAAAAATGACGATTACATTATTGTTGAAAAAAGTAAAAATATTTCTGTATTACATGATCTCGATTTTTTTTTTTTTTTTTATATATATATATTTATTTATATTCATTTTCCCTCTTTCTTATTTTTTTTTCTCCTTCTGTAATAGAAGATATTATACCCCCAATGAATCATTATCAGCCATTATATTACAACAGTAGTAATAGTAGACTACCGCTCACACCCAGTAGTATCTCACCGCCTTCTTTGGGTTCAAGGGAATGCTCGTTAAACGAAATGCCTGAACAATCACACTCGGAATCATCTGAATCACTACATGAGTTTCCACAAGAAATAACTTGGCTGTTTTTTCGAAATAATAAATGGGTTCCCTTTCAGTCAAATAATCACCAAAAGATAGAACAGGCATTTACATTGGGAGGTATATATCACACATAATTTATTAATGTAAGAGAGTGGGTGTGGATTTTCTTAAAAAATAAAAATAAAATAATACTTATAACCTGGGAGAGAAGAATTAAAAAAAAAAAAAAATCATCAAAAAGATTAATCACTAATAAGCTTTTTTATTTTATGCCTGTAGGAATTTATGTGGATATTAAAGGTACATCATAAATAAATAAACAAGAGATAAATAAACTAATCGTGTGTTAGATCTTAATTTTCCACATCTGAAAAGTATACGCGTTTTCCCTACAAGAATGTATCTATCTTACCTTGGTATGAAGTATAGACTAAGCTGTGTTATACAAGGATGATCATGCTTCCCTTACCCAAATTATGCATATTAGAACCAATCTTATTTATGTAACTAACAAAGGAAAAAAAAACAACCATTTTATTCACACACTTGTATAATATCTCTCAATAAAAAAATAAAAAATAAAAATAATGACATTTTATTCTACAGGCTGACACATTAAACCAGTAAATGCTGACATGATTGCACGTTGGTGTGCAAACTTTGGTGCATATCCTCCTGCCCTGGTTTGTTTATTGTTGTGAAGATACTCAGTAGCCCTAAAACCTATCGTGAGTACACATTTTTTTTTTTTTAAAAAAAAAAGGGAAAATATTTCACTTACGGGTCAATATAGTTGTCTCTCACCGTATATCCAGTTGTATATTGGTATTGTAATGATAATGGATCAAAATTCCTTGCCTCAGTTTCTCTCATTTCAGCATCGGTATCCATGGCAGTCGTGATCCATGAGGGCATAGATAATCGGTTGCTACCATTCGTATCTGGTTGCTGCTGACGAAGAGCAGACGATCTTTTAAGGGCAGTTGCTTGTCTCGTCTGAATTACTGCTTGTGCTGACTTGTTGGTGGTGGCCAATTCGGATATAATGTCAGATTTCTCAATCTCCTTGATCTTTCGCTCTTCTTCCAACTGTTGTAAATACTCTTCCCGCTTTTGTTCCTTTTCTTGTTTCTCCATCTCATCCTGGAAGCTTCTAAATCTTTGCTCGTTGGCATTCTTTGCTTGATTCGCTGCGATACTATCTTTATTTTCCATTTCATATGCAGCAATTTTGGCTTCTGTTTCCGCCACATCCACTTCATTCATTAAATTAAAAGCTAACACATTTCACAGTTAGCTTCCCTGACCTTTGTGCAAAAAAAAAAAAAAGGAATCTTACTTATATCCTCCACCATTTCTAAGTAATCATTATATGCCCGTAAACTCGGGAAATCCTCTCCTCTTTTATTGAATCTACACAGATTTAAATTAGTCGAGCTGCTTTAAAAAAAAAAAGGTTTCTGTTCAACCCACTCACACTCTAGCCGCTCTTTTACGAATACGCACTTCTTTTTCCACAGCAAGATCTTCGAAAATTTGTGACATGAATTGGTTCTTTCTCAGGACTTGTTGACAAATGGGACATGGTGCAGGACCAGCACTAAACAAGCGATCGATACAAGACTCGCACCTTTTTTTTTTTTTTAAAAAAAAAAAAGAAAGGAATATAAAAATCAACAAACAGGGTTTAAAACTATTGTACAGAAAAGACATACATTTTATGAAAGCATGGAGAAACCAAGAGTTTAAGATTGGGTGTAAGATATTTGTCACTCTTACAGACAGGACACTGAGCATCTTCTTCCTATTCAAAGACTTTTTTTTAGCACAGAAATACAATAAAGAGGTGTATTTATTGACATTCTTACTTGAAATGATACAACAGAAGAACCTGTCTTTCCAATCATTAAAGTCTGATTTCTCAATGTACTCGTCATAGTGTGTTATGCTGCGAAGAAAGAAAAAATAAAAATAATTCCCCAGATATTTTTTGACGCTTTAAAACCTTACGTGACCGTGATATCAAAAAAAAAAGAGACCAAACACAACAACGGGATTTTTTTTTTTACTTTTTCTATTGCTCTTTTATTAACGTCATTTATTTTTGCACACATGTCTATGCTCAACAACTTAAAAAAGACACAGAAGAATTCCATCTTTATTGATGACGATGATGACATGGACATTGACAACATGGATTTCCCCCTTCCCTCCGACGGTCCTTCATCATCATCATCTTCTGGACCCAGCTTAGGTGGCATGGGAGGAATGGGAGGAATGGGAGGTATGCCTGATATGGCACAAATGCAGAAAATGATGCAGAGTATGGGTATGGGTGATATGGCTGGTATGGGCGGTATGGGTGGTTTGGGTGGTGCTCAGCGTCCCAGCGCTCCTGCTTCTGGCAAAGACTCAGGCTTTGTCGCGGTAGCCACTGGTCCTGGAGGAAACGTCCGTAAAATGAACCCCGAAGAATACAAAGAGTAATATTCAAATACATGATGAATGGAGACGTATAAACTAACATATTTTGTATAGTTGGGTTTGTGTATATCCCTGTTATATCGATGCTGACAAGTCATTGGAAGAAGGACGTAAGATTTCCAAAGAAAAGTCAGTGAAATCACCTCATGCCTATCATATGGCTATTGCTTGTCAAAAGTTAGGATTATCTGCAGTTTACGAGGTAAAAAAGATATGGGGACTACGTATAAATTCGAGTGTACTGATATGGATTATGCTTTTTTTAAAGAATAAGTGTCATCCTCGTGATTGGGCTAATGTTGGACGTGTGAAGGTTCAATTAAAAAACAGAGCCAATTTTTATGTCCATGAAGATATCACTAGCCGTAAGCAATTATTTATTGCTATTGCACAGCTTTTACCTCAAGTACAAAAAGAAGGGGATGTACCCAAGTCTATTGTGACACCTTTAACCACATTGACCGAAATTGAGGCACTTGCAGATGAACAACGTAGAGCACAAGGCCTTCCTACTTTATCGGAAATGCAAGGTCAACAACAAGCTATTCAACCTCCTGCACCAGCACCTGCTAAAGCTAAAAAGCAAAAGGTCAAGTATGTTCGTGCCTAATTTTTTATTTTTTTTTTTATTTTGGTTTTCCCCAAATTTTTGTTCCATGCGCGAAAGCGCGTTTTTTTAAACTCTTTTTTCGGAGGGAAAGAGAAACTGTACACAATAAAATATAATTCAAATGCAGCAATAAAGACCCTAGTTGGCACCTTTTTTTTTTTTTTTATCTTTTTTTTTTTTTGCAGTTGACTCAATGATCAAATTATCTCCAGCTGGAAGAAGGTAGTCAATGCACGAACTCGAGTCTCTTACCGAAATTAATGGCCCATTAGATTAGCCACTATTATTGTTTCTGCTCCATTTGTTGTAGTCACTTCTTGGATTCTTTATAAGCGAGGTATCTGTCAGGATTCTTACCTTTATTTTTATTAAACAAACACGAATTTAACCTGAAAATACAATAGTTGTCTTGGGAGAGAAACCTAGAGTGTCTGATGGAAGTGCAGTTCGTCCCATGGGTGTCAAAGAACGTGACGAAAGAGATAACAAGATTTTATAAGTAAAAAATAAATAAACAAGAAATTTATTTATTGGGCGTATTGTTCTTCATAAAATTCTATATCGACTGTAAAATCTTCCCTCGTTTCAGTACATGAGTCGTCTTTGCAAGCAATATCAAGGTCACTCTTTTTAAAATGAACGTTATCATGGTTCTTAATATGGACAAATACAGGATTTAGCCACATACTAAACAATTCCTTGTTTTTATCCTACCACCCTAAAATAAATCAGCGATCAAAAATTGAAAAATATCGCAAACAAATTAGAGCGGAAATAACGATCTTTTTTTTAAAAATATCGCGATTGGCGATATCGATAAATTTTTCCAAAATATCGCGATTGGCAATATCGATCAAATTTTCCAAAATATCGCGATTGGCGATATCGATCAAACTTTCTAAAATATCGTTATTGGCAATATCGATCAAACTTTCCAAAATATCGCGATTGACGATATCGATCCATAAATCAAAAAAACAAAAAAATATCGTTGGATGGGGTAAAAAAAATGGGGTAATCGATAATCGATATAATATTACTTTTACACCCCTGCTAAATCAGGATACAGGCTTAAAATTGATACGTTTGTATATATTGGAAAAAAAAAAATTTTATTTATAAAAAAAAACTAAATAACGTCGAATCTGATCATGATAGACCTCTTCAAATATAGAAAATGACCAGTAAAATATGACCAGAGACAGACATAATGAGAGGAACTACGATAATGACCATACGAAGACCTCGGAAGAGCAGCAGTATTCACTTACCTGCATAAAGATGGTTTACGTTAATAAGAGAATAAATTATCAAGTTTAGCAATGTGTACCTTTACAAAACCGTGGGATGTACGAGCCTCAAATAAACAGCGATAGTAGCTAGCTTTAGGAATTTGGGTTAACTAATAATGAACACATAAACCAAAGTCGAGATATTTACCTTTTCACAAGCGGTGAAAGTAGAGATGGCTTCAGCTATACAAATGTGTTAATACATATAAAAAGAGTAAGTAAATTTACTTTTAAAGCAAAGAGTCTTGGTTTAATCCGTTTGGAGAGTGTCAGCACGTTTAATGTTTAGTCACATAACTATATCTTCATTTGTAAACAAATGGTTATGATAAATCATATATTCACAAACTATACACATATACAAACCTTAAGTTTAGTTTTTATTTGAAAGAAATAGAAAGAAAAAGAAAAAAATAATAAAAAAATCAGAGTTTAAATAAGAAAAAAAAAAATTCAGGCTCAATTCTATTTTTGGAAAGCCCTTGAGGGTCGACTATTGGTCCCAGATGCTATTTCATCAGCCTTTCTTTTACCTTTTGGACGGGTAGTACTTGGGGTGGAGAGGGCAGGTGCAGAGGTGGGAGGAGGAGAGTCAGAGGTGGGAGGAGGAGAGTCAGAGGTGGGAGGAGAGTCAGAGGTGGGAGGAGGCGAGTCAGAGAGAGGAGGCATCTCAGAGGGAGGAAGAGAGGTCAAAACAGGATTTTGTACCGAAGCGGAAGAAGACGATGGTACAAGAGGTCTGTTATCAGGGATCGAAAATAAATTTTCAAACAGGCCCATATCCAAGTCTTCGTACCTCTCTTCAGTACCCGAATTGACACCAAGGTTTTCCAGGCCAGTCAAAAATGAACCCGAGGTATCATGAGCAATGTCATCTGGCTAGAGTTGAGGTTTATGTTAATGTTAAAAATTCTTAATTTGATATCTAAACTTTACTTACTCTTGCTGAGTTCCTCAACATTATCTGGATCATATTTTTGGATATCCAGTTTTTATCTGCGAGGTGCATGGGTAGCATAGGATTCTCGGCGTCAATGACAGAGATAAGGTCTCCAGGATATGCCTCAACGGGTGTACCAACGTTCAAGCCAGAGCGCTTGTTCCAAAAGTATACAATTCTTTCGAACATATACAATACTTCATTCTGCTCGTTTGCAGGAATCCCCCTCCAAATGACACCATTCTTTCCAAATCGTTCTTGGTACAATGCTTTCAAGAAATGTTGGCAAATGGTGAAGACATTGTTGTAAGCTGCTGTCGCCCTTTCTTTAGCTTGATCCTCAGTATAGGTACCTACCAAAGATCTCCAGTACGCAGCAACCTTGTCTATAACGGTTTTCTTTGTATAAGTACATACGGTGATGGATCTTACACCGAGAGAATTGCAAGAGGTGTGAATACCATTGGGTATAACTTGCTCCTTGTAATAGGCGACAGCCTTGACCACGAATTCGTACATTTGTTGAGCAGCGGAATTTCTTGCTGAAAAGATAGGGCAATTATTAACTTAATTCGTCTTACAAAGTAAAATAAAATAAAAACGTACCAGTGATATATCCAGATCGAGAAGTAATTGCAGAAGTACCATTGGATTTGACCACTTTCTTAACCTTGCTGCAGCATTCACAGTGTTGACCAACTGGCAGGTAGATATATTCTTTCATTGTGGCAGGCATTGCATCAAGCTTTCTTTGCATATCGTAAATGACATTAACGAGTTTTTCAATGACTTCGTCTCGAGAATTTGAGTTTTGGGTACCGTTCATTGTGATAAATAGAGTGAAAAATCGATGTAAATGAGAAAATAGGTGTAAGTATTGGATCTTATATAGATGTTTTAAAGATACATTTTTTTTTCATTGTCATTTACCTTGATGTAAGTGGTTCAACTTATTTGCACCAATCACGGTACAGAATTAAAAAAAATTTCGCTTAATAACCTCGTTACACGAAAATCTAACAATAGATCAAGCTTGAAGTCCCAAACAACGATTTCTAGTGGTTTTGAAAGGTATCCATAGTCTACACAGAATTACCATATCCTCTCTATTAATAATTATAAGATAAATTCACGAGTAATTCCAATTGGTTCTAAGAACGGTCAGTGACTATTAATAAGCTGTAAATAAGATGTAGCAACATGTATAAAACTACGCGCAAAAATCGGTTCCCGACTTACCAAAAACAAAATTCTTAAAAACTTTTCAAAATGGTTTACCCCAAAATTCAAAAACCCAAGAACCTTAGAGCTTCTCGAAACGGCGCTAACCAACGTCTTTTAAGAGGCACATATGAACCCTTGGCCGTTACTGCTGCCTCCATTATACCTGGCCCAACTGACACTTCTGTTTTTGCTGTATCCTCTTCAGTATCTACTGGCTTCCCAACTGCTATAATAACCAACCGTACACCTTTTGACTATGACGAAGAAATGGATTTTTACGATGATGTTGATATGGCTGACCTCGATAACCAAATCGCTCTTCCCTTAATTGGACAAATGTCCATACAAGACGTAGATGCTGAAGATGAATCCTCTGATGATGGTTTTGTTGTAGACGGTGAAGTAGACGAGGATTTGTATGAATCCACGGACGAAGAGAACTTCGAAGGTAACTAAGGATGCTCGAGTTGTTGACATCATGACAACTTACCGGATGTATTATTTTCACTTTTAGAACCATTGTCACTTGATCATAATGTAACAATACAGGACAACATCAAGGATATCATTGTCCCCATTAACGTATTTAGCACCAGCGAGCTGAGTAGTATTATGTTCAACTATCTTACATTTAGTAGAAACATGACCATAGAAGCTGTGCGCGTTATGAAGAAATTTTTTGAGAACACTTTGAACCAAAACAACAGTATGTTAATGATTTGTATTTACAAAGTATCATTATTTACTAATTTAGTTTACCTTTTAGGCCTTGATAAAAAGAAAAAAGTACTCGCATTGAAGGAGTGTCGTTCGTTGATCAAGAAGAAACTTCCACTTTCTTTCAGTCAAAGCCATGAAATCTGTTCCCGAAAGGGGTGTTATCTCTTTGATCCTGTCGATGATGCCGATAAAACCGCTTGTCCTCACTGTAACGCTGTTAGACATAAAGAATCTGTGGTAAAAATGATTGATATTGGTGAACATTTAAGTCGTATGCTAGCTTGTGACGAGTTTCGTGATGAAGTCGAAAAATACCGAAACGTAATCGATTCCATGACAGACGATGATCCATATACCGATTTTTTTTCTGGAGCCGCGTATAAAGAAATGAAATCTAAAGGTCTCTTCACTGGTCAGCACGATTTAGCCATCGTTCTATGTGTTGATGGGTTCACTTCGAAGGTATCAAGAAAAAGTATGGTGATGGTACACGTTATAATTGCTAGCATTGATCCGTCTATCAGGTAAATTTTGGCTCTATATACAATACATCCAATCTTTTTACGTCGTAATAACACCATTTGCAGATACACCGATGAATATACTTTTCAAGTTGCAATTCTTTTTGGTGACACTAAGAAAGACTTTGACTCGTATCTGCGTCCAATTATTGAAAGCCTTGATCGTTTGAGTCGTGAACCTGTTGTTGTTCGCAAGAATGGTGTTCATGTCACGTCGGCTAGAATTTTCAATTTGGGTGTCATTGCAGATGGTATAGAGATCAACCAGCGGTTGTTGATGTTTAGTGGTCATACCAACTGGTGGGGATGTAGATTTTGTATTGGTAAGTCGTCAGTTACTAAGCTATGACCGTGGACACTAACAAAATGACCCTTCTAAATTTAGTTAAAGGCGGTCACCCAGTTGACGGAGGAAAAGGTGGTATGTACTTCTTTGGCAGAGACTCGGCTATCAGAACCAAAGCTTCTTTATTACTTGAGAAAGACGCAGTAAGTATTAACTTGTGTAGCCTTTTTTACATATTTTAATTGATTTACCTTTATTAGCCTTCTTGTCCCAACCACAACTATGGTATTAAAAGTGCTTCTCCCTTTGGTCAGTTGAGTACCTTCCTCTCCATCGACTTTTTCATGTGTGACGAGCTACATATGTTTTCGAATGTCAGCAAGCTTTGCTTCGACATGCTTTCACCAAAGCTCAACACTCGGTTCAAGTTTGATGGTAACGAAGACACGTACCCGTTTGCTCTCGAGACTGCTGATTTTACTCGCATCAAAACCGCCATGGATGACTCCCTTCGTGCAATTCCTGCGGATTTCAGTGGTTCGTTTGCTGGTGTCAATCTGGATAATGTTAGATCTATTTATCGTTCGGTGGACTGGATCGCCTGGTTGGTGCATGTGATTCCTACGATTGTTGCCCCACTCTTTCACGCCAGAGAAGCAACCACAGGATTTATTGCCCTGTCTCGTGGTATTCAATTGAGTTTGCAATGGTCGATATCCGAATCTGAAGTGAAGGAAATTGAAAGGTAAATATTCATTGTTGAGTTGTAATTTATGTAGTGATATTTACTTGAACATTATATTTGCTTATGATAGATGCTTTAAGACTTGGTTTGATTACCTCGATACCTGTCTTGATAGCAGCTCTATCTCCAGAACCGTATTCAGATCGAACATGCACCAACTGAACCATATACCATACATGATAAAACGAATGGGGTTAGTTATCGATTGTCATCATAGTTATTAGACTTCCCTTTTGTACTAATTTTTCATTTCTCTGGTAGACCGTTAAGGTGTTATTCTGCAAGATCATTGGAAAGGTCTATTGGCATATACAAGAAGCGAATCCGTTCATCTTTGAATCCTGGTGTCAACGCCGGTAATGTCATGGAAACTCGTGAAATGTTCTCTTTTTTGCAATCCGATGGTATAATCGATAGTTCCGCCTATGATTTGAAGAAGGATAAAGTCAACAACTTCTTGCCCCACCCGTCCAACGATCCATTGTTGCCTCAGCTGTGGTCACCCTTTCACTGGCGGGTAAATACTGTAAAGCTGGGCCAGGTTGTAAAGCAAGCAAAAGAAAAGCACAATCATACCATTGGCGGCTACCTGGCAAGAGACTGGCTTAAAGCACTCTCTCAATTTTTGATTCGTCTGACTGGTAATACTTCGGCTGTTATAACTTCGTTCCATCAGCACCAATTTGTCAACATTTCTCAAAAACTCTGGACAAACAATCAAATATACATATCTGATTTGTGCAAATCGAAGAACGCAGCAAGTTCGCGTGGTGGTGAGTTTGTTATGTTTACTGCAATTCATAAAAATCGGTAAGTTGATGTTTGCAAATCAAAATTATTGTGTACTGACTTATTGTAATTAGGATGTTCCGGCCTGTCGAAAACTGGTACGTTTGTAAAGTCTTGTTCTTTTTTGACTTTACATATCAAGAAGGTGCTCCGGGCTCGAACTTCGTTTTTGGTGAACTTATGAAGAATCATGACGTCTCACCATACTCAAAGGCTATCCCGCGCGTGAAACCTTACGATGAGGCTGAGCAAAAAAAATTTGTGGTCTTTGATGCCGAGGATCTTTTGTCTGCTGTCGGATTGGTGAATGCGGTTGACGGCTCCAATAACAAATATGTTATAAAGACTGGTGACGCTTTTAAAGTCGATATGAGTAGTACTGCCGGAAGTGTTGGAAACATTGTTTTCCGCTGAGAATAAAATACAAAATCATTAAAACCCACAGTCACATGTCCCGTTTTCTCATTTTACTTACGTAATCTGAAGTTGTCTTTTTCTTACCCTGGCTATCATCCCCATAAACATTTTTTTTCTTTAAAAAATTACGTTTATCTATTAACATGGTATTGCTACATCTATTTATTTATGTATAAGTTGTTTTTATAGAGATTTAAAAATTTGGCTTTGCGATCAGCGATCAAAAAATCAAAAATATCGGAGATATCGATATTTTCGATTTTTTGAGCGATATCGCCAATATCGATCAAAAAAAACATTTTGATCGCTGATTTATTTTAGGGTGTACATTAGGCAAACAATTAGAGGTTTCTTTAAGGATACTTTTTGGTAGGCTACATTCACTTACATTTAAAAACCTAATTTTGAAATCAAAGTTGAAGGGGAAAATAGCCACCGTGTTACAAATGATATCATAGGAAGTACGATTCATTTCCATCTGCAAAACTGGTTAGAATTGCATTCATTAATGATGAATTTGTAAAAAAAATGTTTTTTTTTTTGAGTGGGACTTACGTCTACGGAATCTTCGCTATAAATGCATGTATCAGCACAGTTCAAGATCTCGAGTCTAAAATCTCTTGAATGTTTCATGCTCTCAGGAATATTATGCATCTTAATTCGTTTCATGGTGATGGACATACCCTTATTCTCTTCGTAAAGACTCCTATTTCTCAGCATAAAATTATAATAATCTACATATCGCCTTTGACTGGGAACAGTAACACCATTTGAATCCGTTGTTCTTTGATCATCATATATCTTTAAGGCTGTTTCTGCATCATTTGCTATATTCAATCGTAGTAAAAGAGCTGCAATCACCGTCCCGGTTCTACCTTTACCGGCTTTGCAATGAATGGCCACCACATTTTTGTCATTTCTATCTAAAAATGAGGCTGCATCCTCACACACATTGACCAATGTAGTAAAAGGAGGCGCTTGATGATCTAGAAAAGGATAGTTGGAAACCTTTTCAAATCTTGCCGAATCATATTTCTTTTCACTTCGTCTAGAATTAAAATCAGCTTGTTACACGCATACAATTTGTTTTTTTACAACTCACAAATTATAAACCTTGTAGTGGCCATGGTGCCTGATATCAAAAAACCTAAAAGGGAAAGTGAATATTTTAGTTTGATCGCCCTCCCCCCACTTTGATGAAACTGTACTTTTTAACTTGGTCGTACGGGTTTCTATAGATACCCTCTAAACCTTTTGCAGGATATGACATTGCAATAATATTGTCAGTAATGTCTGAATGATAATAATAATAAAAAAAAAAAAAAAAAAAGGTCATTAAGGTTCAAGATTCAGTCATTAAAAGGAATGTAACTTACAAGTCAAGTCGAGATTAAAGTCATTGTCAATGTATCGTTTTCTGTTTTCTGAAACTAGGGAGCGCAAATAATTCATATATATGTGATAAAGAAGGGAATAATGACACAGCCCGCATTATTGATTTTCTTACTATCATTTTTATATTCCCTTCTTTGTTACACGTGCCCTTTTTTTTTTTGATTCAAACATCTTGCATAGTAAATTAAGAAAAACATTTGTCTATACTTAAATTTCATTGTTTAGTTTATATAACCTCTTGATTATTTTTTTTTATTGTTGATGGTAACAAGACAATTTCATGCCTGCACGTGCAACTGCAAACACAATAAACCCACACTCATTATGATTGCTTATCCCTTTTTCACTGAAGTCGCTCATATATACACACTCACACACATGATGACCATTGTCAAATCATGTCTTTTATGTGTAACCGACAGAATCCACATGGGTATTGACATCATACCTTATAAACAATTTTCGATCCATTTCGCATCTATGTAACACTAGCAGTTTCCTTTGATAGTCAAAAGTCGCCGTTCAAGCATACGAATTTAAAAGTTTTTTTTTTTTTTACAACTCACCGCCTTTCATTTTTTCTGTGGGCCCCCCTCTTCCTTTCATTGCCGTTACTTTTGACATTGCAGCAGCATGTGGCAGTATTTTTTATCCCCCTCTTTTTTAAAGATGTGGGTTCTAGCTGTAGGTAATTAAAAATAAGTGTTAGGCGTAATTGAAGATGAAAGGATTCAAAATAATATGAATGAATTGAATTAAAGTCCCGTTCCCACCTGTGGGTGGGGGCCAAACAATGCGGGCTCGACAAAAATTTACTAACCCTTGCCCTCTTTTTTTTTTCTTTCTTTTTTTTTTATTTGCAATGAGTTACGGTAGACCACCCAATGTTGAGTCTTCACCCGGAAAAGCTCCTTTATTAGGAAGTTTCCCTTTAGATCATGATGGTACTTGAGACTTTTTGAATTTGTCTTTTTAACATGTCAAAACTAACACGGGAAAGGGAAAATTATTTTAGGTGAGTGCAAGATCTCGATGAAGGAATATGTAAAGTGTTTAAAAGCCAACAAGAACAACAATGGTCTTTGTAGAGAGTTTTCAAAAGCTTATCTTCAATGTCGTATGGACAAGTAAAGTATATATATACACCCACACACACATATACCGAGCCCCCTCCCCCCTTTTTTTTTTGTTTTTTGTTTATTTAATTATTTATTAGTGGTTTGATGGATCCCGAGGATATGAGTAACCTTGGATTCGCCGACTTGGATAAGAAGGAAAAAAGCGACTAGAGAGGTTTAATCATATTTTGCATTTTTCACCTCATAATCCATATATAAGGCATAAGCAGATCCTATAGGCTAAATAATAATAATAAGAAAAAAAAGAAAAGGTTAAATACATACATAAAATAAAAAAGGCTTTCTTTCTTTTCTTTTACCTGTCCGATGACAGCCAGGATATAATCCAAAACTAAATTGTTTGTAGGACTCACACCTCGAGTGACCGCACGAAGCACTTCGGCAATGACATCTGTCACAATCATATAATAGCCTTTACGTAATCCATGCATCAATGATTGGGCACATTCTGTACCTGTCTGAGGTGTATTAGCACCTTCAATCACTTTGGTGATCTCTGGTTTAGTCAAATTTTCCGTATCAAAACCAGGACTCTCAATGCCACCGGGGAAAAAAATATGGACACCAATGTCATATCGTTTCAACTCATTACGCAGTGTATCTGCTAATCCTTTCACAGCATATTTCGTAGGTGCATACGTTGACCATCCTGCAAAACTCAGCATACCCAACATGGATGAAACAAACACAATTTTACCTCCCTTGATATTCGAATCTCGCATGCGTTGTGCACCTTGCTAATGGATCCCTTCATTAGTTGCTCTCTTCTCTCTCTCTTTTTTTTTTTTATCAGGCATCTATCGAGGTTACTTACGTGTGCAACATAGACTTGTCCAAGATAATTAAGTGTGGTTAGTTTTTCAAAGTCATCCATGGTATGGTCGAGGAAAAATTTAGGATAAGAGGCTCCAGCACAAGCACACACAAAATCGGGGTTACGTCCCATCTTGACATTGGCTTCATCAAAGGCACGCACTACATCTTTTTGATCTGTCACGTTGGCACTGACATAAATCACTTTTTGACTCTCATTAACAGCATGGGTCTTTATATGTATATATATAGTCAGTAACAGTGCGCAGACTTAGACTTTTTTTTTTTGGGTACCTTAATTTCTGTCACTGCAGCTTCCAATTCAGCCACTCGTCTAGCAACAATACAAATATCGGCTCCCGCTTTAGCAAGTTCGATGGCCAAAGACTTTCCAAGACCTGTACTTCCACCTGTAATAAAACAATGTTTTCCAGCAGGTTTGAAAGGCACACGTGTAAAACTACTGTATACGTAATCACCCACCAGGGCAAGTAATGTCGCTGCTCCCAGACCTATGACTACAGAAGCCCATGTTGGAAGACTCATTATTAAAAAGAAGGATGAACAATAAAGTGAAAAAAAAAAAAAGGGACAAGCGTAAAATTGTTTCTCGGTAGTTGAATTATTTAATTCGTTTCCCCGGGTTACCTACCTACAACGAGAGTGGTAAAACCATCACTAGGATGTCTTAATAAAGCACGCGAGGTTGCTTCATAGTTTAGACACTCTTTATGAAAAGACAATGTCCCCCATTTTTTTTTTAAAACAATCCCTGTACAAGATCAGACTTTTCTACGATGGTATCACGCTTTCCAATGGTATCTTGAAGCCTGTTTTTTTAAAAAAAAGAAAAGAAGCCTTGTGAACTTTTATGTCTAACAAAAGCAAATCGTGTTGAGATACATTTATATGCGTGTCTGGTTTTCAAGCGATATCACAGCGTGGTTTCAGTTAACAGACCCTTTCAAAGACGATATAAAAAACCAAGTCACCCACAGCCCTTTTATTTTTATTTTTATTTTTTATCTCTCTCTCTTTTTTCTCTTCTCATGGTGCAAAGCTTAAATATTTCAGGCATCGTCAATGCGTTTCGTATATTATGGAATCCCAGTTTAGCTATGCCTCACATTATTGTGCATGGTAAAAAAAATAAAAAATAAAATAAAGTAGAATATTTTTTCCTCACTGACGAAATGCACTAGATATTCGTGGTATCAATTATGCTCAGTTAAAACAAGTAGGCGGTATCAAGGCTATCGGGTTTGACAAAGATAATTGTCTGACTGCACCTTACGCTTCCACCATTTATCCCCCTTTCAAGGTAAAAAGCAGCGCTACGCTACACGCAAGAAATCATCCCCCCCTCCCAATTTATAAAATATATATATATATATAACAGGATACGTGGCAAGAGTGCAAAAAGACGTTTGGTACAGAAAATGTGATTATCGTATCCAACTCTGCTGGTACGCTTGACGACAAGGATCATATGGAAGCTCAAAAGTTGGAAAACTCCCTGGGAGTGTCCGTGCTAAGACACGCAGAAAAGAAACCGGCGGGAGGTGAATTTTTAGCCAAACACATGTATCCTGTCCTCCCGCAACAAATGGCCTTTGTCGGTGATCGAGTGTTCACCGACGTCATCTTTGGTAATCGCAATGGAAATTTAACGATTTGGACAGATACCGTGGTAACAGAGAAAGGAGATAATAAGGCTGCTTTGGTGTTAAGAAGGATCGAGCATCATTTAATCCGGTTCTTGCAAAAGTGTAACGTGCAACCGCCACCCCATCCTTACATGAACAAATAACAGAAAGAAAGAAAAAAAAAAAAGTATTTTCTGAAGAAAATGATATGGGTTTTAGTGATTTGAAAAAAAAAAAAAAAAAAAAAAACTATTTACTAAAGAACATGATATAATTTTGGTGAAAAGAAAAGTGAGAGACAGTGAGCGATTTATCGATAAATAGATGAATCGGGTAATATCAATGTACGTGAGATCATGTCAATTTTTCGCATTTCTGTACGTGCTTGCTTGGGTGATAAGATGGCATATTGCTCCTTCATGCTAACAATCATTAGTTGTGCTGTGATATCCTTCAGTAACTCCACTGCCTCTTTATCCGCGTATAAGGTTTTTGTGTCCACAAAAGGGTCTGTAATCCAATGATCCCAAATAGCTTCGAGTTCCTGCTGTCCCATCTATTTTATGTAGAGCGCATTTTTTTTTTATTAGTCCGGGTTGCAATTTTAATCTCTATGAAAGCATATTTTTTATAATCTAACCTTGGATTGAAGCATATTCATCATTTCCTCTTTATCTGTTTGCATCATATATTCCCTTGTCATATTATATCTATGCGCTTGGCTTGAAAAGGTCCTTCTCAGTTTGGTTCTGAAATTGCCGATATTTCCTTGAAAGGAAGTAACCATGCGGTTATCAGGTTGGATGCTGAGGTTGCTATAGACCGTCTTCGCCACCACCACACCTTCCTCATTCGTCAAGAATCTGCTATTGACAAAGACACGACGTTGACGTCTCCAGTACTCGCGCTCCTTTTCTTTAGCGTCCATTTTAATATAGACGGGTAATTTGCTGGAGAGAGGTAAAGGCACGGTTGTCTCCCCCTCAGAGTCATCCACCGTTTTCCTCTTTCTTTTGATGCTGGGTTTTGATTTTTTAATGCTGGGTGTAGGTGTAGGTGTGGGTGTGGGTGTGGGTGATAACGAAGAGGATGAGATAGAGGGAGAAGGTGAGCAGGTGGTGGTGTAGCGTGTAGCTGTGGGTGAAGGTGTTAAAGTCAATGTATCACTGACATATTTAGGTGTCTGTATTTTCAAATGGCGGGTGCGTTTCGATGGTACAGGCGGTGTAACGCGAGCCAGATAAAAAGTGGAGGTCTGGATCGACTTGTAATCACTGCCAAACGAGTGACTCATCACCGCATCCTCTTCCATTAGAAATCGATGACGTTCTTCTTCACTACCACGTACAAAGGATAAAGGTGTTTGTAATTCATCCATATAGATTTCTGGATGCTTTTTTGGCGAAAATTCTTCCTTCTTTATCGCTTTGACGGGTTCTGTATGGTTAGAAGAACTTGGTTTAGAAAAAATTACATATGGAATAAAAAAAATTAAAATATAAACTTACTCGTCACTGGCTGCTTTTTTTCACGTTCTTTTTCTACATGCAAAAAAAAAAAAAAAAAATCTCCCACTTAGTCCTTAATTTTTTTTTTTTAAACCTTTATTTATTTTTCTCTACCTGGCGAAACCTGTGGCGTCGGTATTCGAACTCCGTTTTTATCTCTGTTACGCAATCGTGTGGAGATAGGTGCTCTTGGTTTAGGCATAATTTATGATGGATGTTTATATGTATTTAAAAAAAAAAATGTAAAGGGAAAATAAAAGGGGGTGAAGAAGAATTAAAAATTACCCAATATTTATAGTTGTAATTCAAAGTCACGATCTCATTACTGGGCTTTTTTCAATAAGCGACCTTTATCTAAGGACAATCAAACACTTGAATAAAACAATCAATTGTTTCGAATGCAATATACAACGTGTGGATATATAGTTTTGGGAGGTGTTTCTTTCTGTTATGTGTGTGACGCAGTGAGTCTAACTCACCCCCATTCCTTCCCGAATCCTTCTTCTTTTGCAAGGTTTAAATACAGCTTAGTTTATTTAGCTACATTCTAGATAGAACTATGAAATAAAGTAACCTTTTTTCTACCAAGAGATATCATGTCATTTATATTCAATTTAATCAATTAATCAACACTTGCTTAGATATTTATATATATATATATATATATATATCAAAACTCTGCCCACCCCCCATGAAGTGATGGCGCAGTGTTTCCTTTTCAACTGGATATTTATCACGAGAGCTAAATTTTTATTTTTTCAACTCTTTTCGCGGGTCTAAACAAAAAAATGATTTAAATCCGTCTGTATTTTAGGATGTGTATAATTTCCTGTTTTTTTTTACAAAGTTATTTGATCTTATAAAAAAACTAGGATAGAGCTCTCACCCATCACCCAAACAAGAGAGAAAAAAAAATGTATTCTTTATAAGGTCACTTCCGCTGGGGAAGGGACGAGTACTGTATCAAAGGGCTTAGCAGAATAAATAAAATAGAACTTTTTTTTTTGTAGAGATAAATGTGAAATTCTATTCAATATAATTCTTTGTGTAATTTTTCGCTTTATTTGTTGGTTTCAACGGATGCACCTTTTACAAAAAAACGCCCCTTTCTATTTGCTTATGTACGCTACAAAGTAATGTCGTTGGAAACTAAAAGTAATCATAATACTAGAAATCATTTGTAGTTATAATTAAATCATGCAAACATTACTGAATACGATGTTCGTGCTTTTGACGTAGAAGTAAGATGCATCCTTAAGATTTTTTTTTTTTTTTTTTTTTTTTTTTTTTTACCGATGGATGAAGGACAACTTGTAAATATTTGTTCAGGCAGATAAACCTTGTTAAAGATAACTAAAATACCACGTTGTTGAATTCAAATAAACTTGGATAATTGTTTTTTTTTTTTTACAGGTTTCATCATTTTGAAAAACTAATTTGTGTTGTACAAATGCTCAGTCTGTTTGATAAAAAAAAAAATCTAAGGACAAAGAATCTTTTATCAAGGAGAAAAGTCTCATCTATGAGTCGAGGACTTCAATTATTTAGAATCTAAACAATTGACAAAAATCCCTCTAATGCCTATTTTTTTTTAAGAAAAAAAAAAAAATGGAAATATGCTTTATTGATGGATAAATCCGGTTTTCTATTTTATTTTTTATTTCTCTCTCTATAAAATAAAGCTTACAGTGAAAGAGGAGGTAGTTTAATACAACCACACGAGATCGAATTTCATGAAAATTTAAATATAAAAAGATTAATATATGTACATATATATACATCTTTAAAAACTAATCTGGACCTATTGCCATAGATTATGCAAATAAAAAGATCCTTCAACACATGAACGAAAAAAAAAAAAAAAAAGTCTGGTTCCCTAGTTCTTTTTTGGAAATGTATGTTGTACTTTCTTTTTTAATATAGTCGCTCTACTGTTCTTTAGACATTTTATATTGTACCAGAAGCTGATCCTCATAAATGTAGCATACCACAAACACTATAAAACATACTCTAAACTAAGTATCTACACGGTCTGACTGGCGCTGACTTTTAATGCAATATTTCACATGAATTATATTTGTTGTAGTAAACTTTACTACATGGCTAACAATCACAAAAAAAAGGGGGGTGTGGAGGGATGAAACGTTGCGTGGCAACAAATACTGTATCCATGGCATAGACTTCAAAAAAAAATCAAAAATCCCGGCTAATCTTCACAGTGTCATAGAAATTCTCTACATTATCGGTAACTAATCAAGTACCAGAGAAAAGGACTTTGAACAAGACAAGATGAAATCTTGAATCCAATCATTTTAAAAACACGTCATGTCACTTATTGAAATCCCTGTTGTAGTGCGATTTTTTTTTTATAAACATCAAAGTTGTGTGACTCTTCATTTAAAATCTCTCTCACTCTCCAGCTCTTTTTTTTTTTTTTTTTTTTTTTTTTTGGTCGCTCATTAGGCTTCTCCTTTTTTTTTCATTAGCAGGAAAAAAAAAAAAAAAAAAAAAGCAAATTAATGTCTACCATGAGCAACAGTGGCACGAATACCGAAGAGCCCGACATGCAAGACACTTCGTTTTTCACCGAGTTAGCAGCTGCCATTACGGGTGCGAAACAAACTGCCAACCAAGAGTTTGGTCGTTTCTGGGAAAAATTCGTTTCCACAAAAGATGGCAAGTCATCCAACACAGTAGGGACTACTACCCGATTAACCCCTTCTGACCTATCTCACATGAAGGCACGTAAAAACATTCAGGGAAGAATTATACCAGATAACAAGTTTTCAGTCGAAAACTCCCACCACCAACACCAGTACCGGAAAAGACCTGCCCCAGAATCACCTTTACGCACCTCTGCCAATAAAATCTCGAAAATGGATTTGTTATCCCCTTTTTCCTCGTATTCTCCTCCATCCACTCCCGTACACCGTCAACCAGTAACCAGAGTTGGATCATCACAGTCTGTCCATACATCTCCCCATCTCACAGCCTATGATCTGACACCACCACTACCTCCACCTCCACCACCACCACAGCCAGCAGCAGCGAAAGTCATCTCATCGCCCATAAGAAACCCTGTAGCACAATCTTCCCCCATTGCCGAACGGACACCTATCAACTTTTCCCGAACACCACTTGCAATACGACCCATTCGATCGCCTTCCGTTCGAAGATCCATTGCTTCTTCCACGCCCTCCTCTATTAGAGGTTCTCCCGAAAGACCCGATATTGTCACTGGATCCAGTAAATCCGTGAAAAGGCTAGCATGTGAGCTTGAAGAAGCGCTCTCACCTAGATTTACTCCGATATCGTACAGTCCCTTACGAAAAGATACCACCGGTAGCAACAGCAACAGCATTTCTACTCCTGCTGCTACTTCAGTCGCTGCTACTGCTACTGATGTTACTGTCAGCCCTACGAAAAGTATTAGAAAAGCGGTGGTGGATGAGGATCCGTTTGATTCAAAGCCGTTGACGGGATTGAGGAGAACGGTACAGCGATGGACGACGGAGGAGGAAGAGGAACGTATTCATCAATTGAAAAACCGAATTCATTCGATGCAATCTCAGGTAAAAAAAAAAAAAAAAAAAAAAAATCAACAATGGGTATTTCAATAAGAGAAGAAGAAGAAAGACTTAGTTTGTACATATGTAGATTAATGAGGAAATAGCACTACCTTCGATGCCTTCGCATAAAATCCAGCGGGAAAGTAAGGTACGGTCCCCTTCACCACCGCCACCACGACAAAAAGAAAGATTTCGTGTGCCCGTAGCACCTCCAGCACCTGTGCATCCATTGCCTAGGACACCCTCTTCTGTACCAATGAAAGATACGACACAGATGTCTGACGAGGTAAAATGATCCATCTGTTTTATAAAAGTCTGATTTCTCACCCGCATTTTTAATTAGAAACCTTCTCCGACGGAAAAGCATAAATTAAAAATGCGACAATTGATTCAAGCTATTCCATTTTATCAATTGAGAAAAGCGGACAAAATCATGTAAGGGGCCTTCCTTTTTATTTAGTAAAAAAAAAAAAAAAAAAAAAAAAAAACGTATCACGATGGAATTTAACGCTTATTTATCCTACAAGTGGAGCAGACGGTGTAGAAAGACCTAATCCATTTTGGACGGAAATTTATGGAAAGCGAAGCCGTTAAAAAGAAAGTGGATGATGGAGAAAAGATTTTTTTTTTATTGTTAATTAATATACACTGTAATAAAAAAAAAAAAAGAGAAAGAAAAAGATTTCTCTTTTTTTTTTAAAATTTTTTTTTTGTTGTTGTTGTTGTTGTTTCTAATGGTGTGTTGAATTTTTTTTTTTTTTATTATTCTTCTTGCTTGAAAATACCGTTTTTACCTAATCTTTCAATTTCAGCCACAATGGCAGCAAAGTTCGGTGAGATCAAATTGGAGATTTCCTTCTTTCCCTTGGCGGGTTTCAAAAAGCCGTTCTTGTTGATATCCACAGGCGCACTGTTATATCCTGCAGCCACCTTCCAAGGCATGGGCGTTGCGGTAGAAGGGTTCCAGACCAGAGCTAATTTATCCCCACCGTATTGGTTATGAAACACCATCAATGTATGGCCATACACTTTCTCCACATCACGAATGAAATCCGTCATTGGGTCCAACTGCGCATACGCTTTATCCCCTAACTCGGCCACGCGACCATAATCCGCACTCTTCAAATATTTCGCTTCTGGGTGCATATTCTGGTAATAACGCGTACATCTCTCTGTATCCAATTGTAAAATCACACTGTAATCGTTCATGGGTGTCACAAACACGCGCTTGATATCTTGACTTGCTTCCGCTGTTTGGATCACTTGCACGGACGCACGCGCAAGAGCACCGATACGTGCTGCAATCGCACGATTGGGCTTCTTACCCGTCCAGCGATGACCGCTGTGATCCTTGGCTGTGGCAATTGTCATGGCACCCACTGTCATTTGAGGGTTGGTACGACGATGTTGTAAGAACTCTGTCATGATCTCTTCACGATCCTTGGTGGTCATTTCTCCTTCGATATCCACCATCAAGGGGGTGTTTTGCCAATCCCAGGTAGCCAACAAAGTCAAGACACGCGTAGAGGCGGTTAATGTATTGACGGGAGCCACCCAAGGTTGAGGAGCCAAAAAGACATGAGCCACCAACAGTTCGATCATCTCTTCGGATACTTGATGTGAGAGTAAATGAGCACCGAACCAACGTTTGATCAAACGTACGGTAGAAGAATAGGCAGTGAATCGAGCACACATGGCTTGCACGTAGAACGTATGCGTTTGCTTGTATCGCAACCCGTACATAAACTTGGAAAGCGCCTCCTTGGCCATCTCCTTGTTTAATTTCGTGCTGCTAGAGGATTCCACAATCTTGGATAGAAGTGTAGATTCTTGCTCAAGACAGATGTGACAACGGAAGACGTAACCATAGTAGTAGACATCCAAGTAGCCACGAATGGCAAGCGGGTTCTTTTCGTTCACATCGTCCACGACGACGGAATCGACATGGAAACGCGATTTGAGCTCTTGAGACATCTTCAAATAGAAGGCGTGCTTCACTTTTTGAAGAACAGCGAGATCATCGGGGAACTTGGCAGAGCGTTCGATATGGATAACGACATCGATGGCCTCAAAGTAACGGGTGGTGGTAGGGTAGGCGATCATGTTGTTGAAATCGACGGGATGGGGCAATGTGACAGCGGTATAACATAAACTGGAAGAGGCAGGATAGACGTTATTGATCAATAAGGGTAAAGCATCATCAATGGTACGCAATTGCTTGGAAAATTGACCAAAGGCAGTCATCACGGGGTGAAATCCATTGGCCTTTAATTCGGGGCTAAACAAATTTTCAGGCACGCTTTTGGCGAAATTCAAATAACTGTACAATTGACCGGCCCAGTAGACAAATTCGCTTGACTCGAGCTCCAAATGCAATGAAAGTAAGTAGAGCACGATCTTTTGGACAATCAAACTACGGTTCTCGTAACCTTGGGTTTGCCAGACAACACTCTCTACAATGGAACCGTCCTTGAAACGACGTAATTCAGACTTGTTACCCCAGAATTCGCGGAATTCAGCAACAGCGGCTTCATCTTGTGATTGAGGTCCCATATCAACTAAACGAGGGGCATTATCCGAGTTCAATAAGAGACCCACGGTAATGACAACCTCCTTTTCAAAATCTTGTACAGCTTCGGTTACGGCCCAATGGGTAGTAGGATTGGTGTATTGGATGGCTACCAAATCGACACGGTTACTCAAACCACGCTTCAAAACCGCACTCATGTGTTGAACAAAATAAGGTAAATAACTGTAATAATCCGCTTTGATGGCTTCTGAATAAGAAGCGATCTCTGTCTTGGGGAAAGGAATACGCACGACATTATCGAATTTGGACTTGACATCATTGACGTTCTTGAGGAATAGAGATTCGAACTGATCGGTGGTATCGTTAAAGTAGGTCATAGCCAATTTGGCTTCATGCTGTAATTGGTCTAAACCCGAGACGGTCATATTGGCCGCTAAATTCAATGTACCTGAAGGGTCGACGATGGCTACTTCATAATGGTTCAAGAACTCGTCCTTGGAGAATTCGGATTTTTGATGCTCGCCCAAAAAGATGGGTGTTGTCTTGAAATCATGAGTGGAGAGGAAATCCAATGTACCTCTCAATAATTGATACGAACTATGACTGGCCGATAATTTCTTACCGGTTCCATCCTTGTTTCCTTGCATCAAATAGGCCATGACCATGGCAAAGAGGAAAGGTGTGAAGCCAGTGTTGGTGGTGGCTAATCCACGTTGATAGATCCATGTTCTGGCCAAAAGAATGGCATTTTTGAAATCAGGGCTGTTCTTACTATGTTGATAAAGGAACGCCAAGTTACCGGTATAGGAGGTGTCCATCAAGAGAGAGGCGTTGTAATGTGGGGTGGCTTTGGCGGGTTTCACACAACTCTTACCGGGTGCAAGACGATGGATAGGGAATACATCGGCACTGACACTGGGTAGAATACGAATCACACACTTGGTCTTTGAGAAATCCACATCTGACTTGTCTATTTAATCTATCGTGTTAATACGCTATTTTTCTAAATAAATAAAAACACTCAATGTATTTTACCTCCAGCGGGCTTGACTAACAAGATGGGTCGACGAAGATCCCCGTTCAAGGTGCTGTATTCGATATTGAACTTTTTGTCGGAAGATTGAATGGCGTGAGCCAAGACGGCCAAATAACAAGCACGTTTATGATGATAACGATAATTAGCGTAATCCTTTTCTTGAAAGATGGAGTTGGGCATTTCAACAGCGATATCTACATTAAAGGGTGTCTTTGTCTTTGCCACTGTCTTTAATCCATAGCCACCCACGATATGCACAGAGGTGGGTTTTTCGAATGTGAATGAGTGTAAAGCGTCTTCTGCAGGTTGAGGATCGGGAAATGGTGTGACGATCTTGTTTTTCGACTTCATGTTTTTAGCAAATTCGGTCAACTAGATTTTATATATATATATAAAAAAAAAAGGTTTAAGTTTATCCCTCTTATCCACACATTCATTGAAGCTGTACCTTCATCTGTTTTCCCTTGGGAATAGTATCGAAAATGGCCTTTAAATTGTGAAGCGCCTTTTCCAACGTTTTGTGCTTTTCATAATTCATGGTGACTTCTGATAATAATTCATCGATCTGAACAAAAAAAGATGTAAGTTTTATACTCGACTATCAACCGCACCGACCACTCCCCTTTCTATTTTATTTTTATTTTTTTACCTCTAATTTGAAAATGTTGGATTTGAAGAGTTCAGCGGTTTCCTTTAAACCTTCCAGCTCGCCTGAAATAATATCATCCTCGGTTGCTTTGGTGGTTTTAATGGCAGTACTTTCTGTCTTGTGCTCAGGTTCGCTGTCGTCATCAGAACCAGATTCCCATGCTGCAGTTCCTTCCTCCTCAGAGAAACCTGTGTTTCCTGCCATGAGATCGTCTCCATCGTCGCTCATATCTACATCCTTTGTCTTCGATTGGCGATCCTTCTTAGCTTGCTAATGGTATCCCATGTCAGTATTTATGTCTTTGTAATTTTTTTTTGGGGCCCGTTAGTATGTTACCTTGCTATTGGGCTCGTCATGGTTGGCAGACTTCTTGTACTTTCTCTTTGCAGCAAGCACCATTTTGTATGTTTTTATCAAGATTGAAAGGAGGAAAAAAAATAACTTTTTTTTTTTGACAAGTTCGGGTGTTCGTAGAGAGCGGAATTTAAAAAGAAGAAGAGAGAGAGAGGGGGGCTTAGATAGTCCAAGCTGTCAAAAAAAATGTTTGTGACTATGAATCGTTTGAAAGGCTTATTCCGTGTGGGGAATGCTAGAGTGGACAGGGAAAGAAAAAAAAAACGTGACGGCTTTTTGATAGAGGCGCCAGTGGGGCCCAGTCGGGGGAGGGAGGAGTGGCGGAAAGAGGGTTTCTAAAAACTTTCGTTCAATAATTATTTTTTTTTTCTTTTTAAACCAAACTTCACCTTTTTTTTTAAAAAAAAATAATTTAAAAAAATGCTTGTGCTCTACGAGACTGCTGCTGGTTACGCTTTATTCAAGCTTGTTGACGATGGCAAGATGGAGAAGCCTGAGGAGATTTACAAGGATTTCGAAACCTCTGAAAAAGCCAATCAAGCGTACGTACTTAATCAAAAAAATTTGACAAGATCAAAAAAAAAAAAAAAGTTTTTTTTTTATTTTTTTGTGTACAAGCTGTCATGTTGACATTAGATCGATCGACTAACGCACACACGTCTTTTATTCTAGTATTAAGTTGAAGGCTTTCAAGAAGTTCGAGAACACCACTGACGCTTTGTCTGCCGTCACTGGTATTGTTGAGGGAAAGATGCCCAAGAACTTGAAAAAGTTCTTGGAAACAGAGATTTCCGAAAAGGAAATGAAGAAGGAGAAGTTGGTTATCAGTGACCCTAAGCTTGGTACGTTGAAAGGAAGAGGATGACAAATAGAGAGAAAGCGAGAGTAAAAAGAGTAATAGCTAACGTAAAATTACATATATATATAGGTTCTTCCATCAACAAGAAGTTGGGTATTAACGTCTTATCTGACTCTACCGTGCAAGATCTTTACAGAGGTATTCGTCAACAATTCGAGTCTCTTGTCAGCGGTCTTTCTCAATCCGATTTATCTGCCATGTCTCTCGGTCTTTCTCACTCTCTCTCCCGTTATAAGCTCAAGTTCTCTCCCGATAAGGTTGATACCATGATTGTCCAAGCCATTGCTCTTTTGGATGATCTTGATAAGGAACTTAACACTTATGCTATGCGTGTTAAGGAATGGTATGGTTGGCATTTCCCCGAAATGACCAAGATTATTGTTGATAATCTTGCTTATGCCAAGGTAGTTAAAGCCATGGGATTCCGTACCAACTGTGCCACCACTGATTTCTCCGATATTCTTCCTGAGGAACTCGAGACTGAAGTCAAGGAGGCAGCTGAGATCTCCATGGGTACTGAGATTTCCGATGAAGATATTGACAACATTTTTGCTCTCTGTGATCAAGTGATCAACATTACCGAATACAGAACACAATTGTATGAATACTTGAAGAACCGTATGAATGCCATTGCTCCCAACTTGACCTCTCTTGTTGGTGAATTAGTGGGTGCTCGTTTGATCTCTCACGCCGGTTCTCTCATGAACCTCTCCAAGCAACCTGCTTCTACCATCCAAATTCTCGGTGCTGAAAAGGCTCTTTTCCGTGCTCTTAAGACCAAGCATAACACTCCCAAGTATGGTTTAATCTACCACGCTTCTTTAGTTGGTCAAGCTGGTCCCAAGAACAAGGCTAAGGTTGCTCGTATGCTCGCTGCCAAGGCTGCTTTATCTCTTAGAATGGATGCCCTTGGTGACTCTGAGTCTAACGAGGTTGGTGTTGATGGTCGTTTAAAGATTGAGTCTCGTATTCATATGCTTGAAGGTCGTGTTGCTGCCAAGGCAAACAAGGATGCTTCTATCCAAAACCAATCCAAGTTCAAGTTCAACAAGTCTCAGCAATATAGCGAAACTGCTGATGTTGTCATGACAGAGGCTGCTCCTGCTCCCAAGCGTAAGATTGAAGAAGTCGAGCCTGAGGTCAAGGAAGAAGAGGTCGAAGTCAAGAAGGCCAAGAAGGAGAAGAAGGAAAAGAAGGATAAGAAGGAGAAAAAGGATAAGAAGGAGAAGAAGGAGAAGAAGGAGAAGAAGAACAAGGATTAATAGAAAAAAAAAATCATAAATACATATCAAAAAAGATCATAAAAAAAAAAAGAAGTACATCATTTTTTTTTTTTTAAAAAACTGTTTATTATTCATCTATACGCTTTGTAATTTTTTTTTTTTTCTTTTTTCTCTCTCCTCCCCACAATAACTCATTTTTATACATTCCAACCACCCACAATCACACACTAGCTCCCCTTGTATGTACAGCACAAGTCTACTATAAAAAAAAAATTCAAAAACATAAAACTTTTCTCGTCATTTTTTAATCGTTTCTCTCATCACTTAATTAAAATAAATACTCTCAAACACACATATCATTGTCCCTTTTGAAAATTCTTGTGTAGCTTGAACTTGATCGTGGCCTGTCATCTTAATGCTAGATACACTCAGTATTAAAAGTCACGTGTATGATGTATATGTTGATGTCTCTGTTGGTTATTTACATTTACAGAATGATTTCTGTAAAAAAAAAAAAAAAAAAAAAAAAAAAAAATGTCAATATTAGCCAGAATTTCCATATAGTCTTAGAAGAACGATGGTTAGGAATATTTACACATAGCCAGATATCTAGTTAAATGTTCACAGTAGTTGGTTAAACCTTTTAAAAAAGATATATCATAATAAAACTGTGTTTCATCAACAAACTACGTGTGTTGATTGTACGACTATACAGTATTACCCTTTTAAATTAAGAAATAACAAGGCTGGTGCGGGTAATTTACGATCAATGGAAAGAAAATAGCTAAATCTTGAGTGAACCCTATATCGTATGGATGGTGCCAATTGGAGAGCTTAGAAAGGGGATGTTTGATGCAACAGAAAAGCCATGTCTATCACGCGCACAGTACATACGCGTGACATTGATTAATTTCATCATTTTATGATATAACAGTGAAATTGCAAGTAGCATACGGGTTTATCTAATCTAATAGTATTATATCGTTTGGTAACAAACGGATCCTAAACGGTGCTAGTGTCCACTATCTACCCAAGCCCGATTGTTTATTATCTGAACAATGGAAGTGTCAATCCTTTTTGTTGCTTACAATAATAGCGTAGCATCAATTTATTGCTTTCTCATTGTCACGATTTATCTCTGTCAAAGCGAGATATACCCATGAAAGCAAATGATCATAAACCCACCAAGCTATCATCGATCCTCGGTTCATTTCTACATGCGTTGTTTCAACATTTAAGCCCCCAAAAAATAAAATAAAAACTTTAATTTTTTTTTAAAACAAAAAAGATATATACGCCTCAAAGCGTTGAAGTTTAATTTTACCCTTTTTTGATTTGCGATACGCTAGATCTTCGGATTGCCGGAAAGAAAACGCAGTAGAAGGCAATTCCATCATGTATGCATTAGCGTCTTTATATAAACATACATCACCTGAATTGTCATCTACGGAAAGGATATCCAATTAGATCTATAGACCTAATGTGTGATGGTTGCAACACACACACACACACACACACACACACACACATCTAAGAGCTGTCAAAAGAAGGAAACAGACATTTTTAAGAGCAGTTGAAATGAAGGCCAATCTTGGTCTAAAGCGTAATTGTTGAAAGTGAACAGTCCCCCTTTGGGCAAAAATCATCCGACCAAAACGTCATTTCATCATAATTATTATTTTTAGCATAATTATTATATTTGTATGTCTTTTTTTTTTTTTATCAATTGCTATGATTTGCGTTAAGACAAACGAGAAAGAAATACTATATCCGGCCTTGACTTGTGTACGACGTTATTTTTTTTTTAGAGTATGACAAAGTGTACGACATTAATTTCTTGACCAAAAGCGGGTAATGGACAAAATGACGATGTGTATAAAGGCTGAGAAAGAAAAAAAAAAAAAATAGAAAAACCCCATCAATCAAAAAAAAAAAAAAAAGCAACCTTTTCTCTTTCTATCTCCTTTTTTTTCTTTTTAATTCTTTTTTATTGTTTTAATTATATTAAAACCATGTCGGCCACACCTGGACCTACCAGTCTAGCGACATCCATTATTTCAGCTACGTTATCTTCGATTATATCCACACCCACCTCCAACATTATATCCAATGCCATTAGCGCTACCTCACGTACACCCACCTCCATGACATTCTACAGCTCCTCCGCATCCCCATCGCCCACCACCACCTCGAAAGGCGGTGGGTTTGGTTTTACAGACGATACATTAACGAAAATGGGAGCAGATGCAAAAAATACGTCAGATATCACATCGCAATTTGTCATTTGCTTCGTAGCCGGCATCGTTTGCTTTTTGGCCTTTTGTATATTTAGAACAAGGCATGACATTTTTCTCTTTTTATTAAAAAAAAAAAAAAGCAACGTTTTTCTTATACCAAATTTCTGATCTCCCTCATTACTATAGATTCCCAGTTTTATTCTCACCTCGCTTAAACATGAAACGGTAAGAACAGGGAAAGATAGATAAAATTGTCTTTCTTACTCACATAATTAAAAAAAAAAAAAAGACATAAGCCGCCAGAGTTACCCACCAGTCTTTTCGGCTGGATCCTCCCATTAATAAGAATCGGTGATGAAGAAATGCTAGAAAATGTCGGTTTGGATGCGCTTTTGGTAAAAATTTTGAAGCTCCCCCCAAAGCTTTATCATGTGTCACACTTTAACACATTTTCTCCCGTAGATGTTAAAATTCATCGTTATGGGTATCCAGATCTTCAGTATATTAACGCTCCTGGGTATCATTGTTTTTGTGCCTATCACCATGACAGCTGACTACTCACATTTGACCAAACTCACCACCGTCAGCCGAATTTCGATGGAAGTGATTGAAGACGGAGACTCGAAACTAATTGCTTATTTGATATTTGCTTACATTTTTACGTTTATCACCTTTGTCTTTTTAAAACGAAGCTATCATGAGTACATTTACTTGCGGGCGAAATTCCTGTTGAAACAATCCAAAATGATGGTGTCTCGGTCTGTGGTAGTAACAGGTATTCCGCAACACCTTCGATCCGACCAAGCTTTATCCGAATATTACGAGAACTTGGGGATTGGTGCTGTCGAGAGTTGTTACGTGGTACGAGAGGTGCACAGATTAAACACCCTGATCAAGAAGCGAGCGAATGCCCTTATCTGTCTAGAAGACGCTTATGCGAGTTACTGGGGAAACCCTTGTCGATTACCTGGCTATGATCCTGATCGCATCCTGGACGATGTCGAAATGTATAAAAAAGTCCTGGATCTGGCCGAAAAGCGACCTGATAGCAGTTCCGATGAAGAAGAAGAGTTGCAAGAGCTCGATGGTGCACAAAGATCGAAAAAGAAAAAACCCGGAAATACCACCTTCTTTAAAGGTTTGGTGGAACCCAAGTTCGGATTGAAAAAGAAGACGTCCAAAAGACCTACCGTGAGGGTCGGTGGTCTCTTTGGCTTATTTGGTAAAAAAGTAGACGCCATTGAATATTATACCAAATTGTTTGATGATCTCGATAAAACCGTTAATGATCGAAGAAAATCACCCAACTTTGAAATGGCCAATGTTGGTTTTGTTACATTTGAACGCATGAGCAGTGCTGTAAATATCAACTTGCCCACATACATGTAAACTACTCTTTGCTAACTTTTTTTTGTTTTTGTTTTTTGCAAACTAGGTGGTTGCTTCTCAAATTGCCATCAATCCTGAACCCTTCAACTGCCGTACCATTATGGCTTGGGAGCCCAGAGATATCTTGTGGGAAAGTATTGGCATTCGTGGTCGTGAACGTGTGATTCGAGAGATCGTAATTTGGACTATCACAGTGGCATTATGTCTGGGCTGGGCTTTTCCCGTCACAGCCATCTCTTCTTTACTCAGTGCACAATCATTGGGCAAAATTGATCCTTCCATCACACAGAAAATCGAGGATAGTTATGTCGCAAGTTTGATTTTCAATTCCTTTGTACCTACCATCATTCTCAATATCTTTACTTCTATCTTACCCTTCATTTTCGATGGTAAGATACCCTTTTTTTACTTATCGAATCAAACACATGTTATACTCATTTTTTTTATCCCCTAGCTCTCGGTTACTATCAAGGCCTAAGATCACGTAGTGCTGTTGCAGAATCCACACTTAGCAAGTAAAGTCCCCTCACTCACACACACACCATTTTTCATCTCAGTGTCCAAAGTTACTGATCATTGCTTTTTTTTTTTTTGCGGAAACGTAGGTATTATTTCTTCTTGATTTTCTTGACCTTGATTTTATACTCTGTTATTGGTGCTACATTTGAAGTCATCTGGGTCAGTTTTACACACGACATTCAGAATATCCCTGAATTTATTGCCGATGTACTTCCAACCGTAAGTATTTCTCCCCGCCCAGTAGGCGTTGCTGGATCTGGGCTAACCTTCTTCAATATTCGTAGCTTGCTCCTTTCTTTATCAATTATACCATGTTACAAACATTTTTAATGTAAGTTACCCTCTACCCTAAAACATGCGTTTGTATTCACCTCTATGTAGTATGCCATTGAATTTGCTGTTGTTGGGTTCGATTATTATTCGTGGATTCTATCACATGTTTCTCTGCAAAACACCGCGAGAGCATGCGGAAAATCGCGCACCTTGGGCTTTTAACTACGGTATCGGTTATCCTGCACCCTTATTGATTTTTGCTATTGTTTTTGAATATTCGCTTATTTGTCCCTTGATCTTGTTATTTGGTACAGTTTACTTTTGTATCACCTATGTAGTCTACAAATATCAGTTTTTATATGGTAAAAAGACAAATCTCTCCCATCCTATAGTACCAATCCAAACTAAAACCCGCCCCCCCAAAAAAAAAGTTTACTTTAGACCATATGAAGCAGCCGGAAAATTATGGACAATGGTGATCCCACGTATTATTTTCACATTGGTTTTGTTCCAATTGACCATGATGGGTATTTTCCTTTTGGGAAAAAGCTATGTCCTGGGCGGTCTTTGCGTGCCCTTGATTGTGATTACCTTTGTCTTTTACGTCTTGCTTGAAAAGGCCTACAAGGAAAATGGCGAGAATTTACCGATGCAACTTTTACGTGATAATATCGAGAAATTGCCCAATGGATCGGATATCGAGGACGAGGAAGGGTCTTCGTGCGACGATGACGACGAAGAAGAGGAAAAGGTACCTACACCTGAAGAAGAAGCCAAAGCCAAAGAAATGAAAATGATTGCTCGAAACCGATGGAAAAAAGCCGCCTTATCCGCTGTCAATTTGAAAGCGGAAACTCCAGCTGAAGATAAATCCATCATCATTCGACCGCGTCATCGTAAACTCGTGTTGGATGAGGATGATTATGAGGCCACACCTGATCGCTTAACAGATTATCGTCAACCGCCCATGCAACTGAATCCTGGTATCTTGGACGCAGGACTTAAAAAATACGGTAATCCATTGCTGGTAGGTGTTTTACCCCAACTTTGGTTACCTGTCAAATTACCCGTGGCGGGAGAAGATAATAAGGGTCGTCGTCGTCGGTCCGATCTCTTACATAACAGAGTCTCGGGTGGCGGTGGAAATCTGGCTCAACATTTGGCTGAAATCTTGCGTAAAGTTGAATCTGAAAACAAGAGCGAATCAGATCTGCAAAAGTCTTCCAATACATTGGCCACCAACACCACCACGCCTGTCAACGATGGTGCTCAGGATGCTCTAATTGAAGACTCCAAGAGAAAAGCACGGAAAGATGCCGCCCATATTGTTGCTGGTAAACCCAAGACCAAAGTAGGCGTTTTACGTGGTTTATTTCAACGTGGTGCACTCAAACAAAGTAACCTTGCTGCTGTAAATGCCACTTCTACCCCCGATCTGAGCTTGAAAGGCTCCCCTGCTGCAGACGACGCTACGATGGATTCCGTTGAGAAGGGTCAACATAGTGCTGGTGGAACAAGCGCAAGTACAAGATCTACTTCTTCTAAAGAGGTGCATCAAGTATACTATCATCATCCTGAGCGTAGAAAATCACATACGTCCGAAATGCAATTCCCTATGCCTCGTCGACCTGAATATAAACAATCGGGTCTGAGTGCTCCAGCTCTTGTACCGGATATGGGGGATAATGAAGCGATGGCAAGTACCATTGTTCGACCGGACACACAAAATAGTAGACATAGTAGTGCGCCTCTGATTAGCAAAAAAGAAAAATAATCGCTCATCTTGTATAAAAAAAAAAAAAATTATTAATCCCCCATTGTTTGTAAATAATTACTGCTCTAAACGGTTGTACCACCTTTCTGAATATTTTTTACTTTTTTTTTTGTGAGTTGGTGTTCTTTGAATTACACTTTTATTAAACTGTTGAAGCAAAATATGCCAACTTTAAATTGTGGCTCAGAGTTTGCGATTCAACGCACTTTTACAAGATAGACTCACAAAAAAAAAAAACCATTTCTATATATGGAAAACAAGCCAAACAAACAACAGAAGGCTTAATTAAGGAACTCTACTTTAGGAAAAGCCGGTTAATTTTTTATTTTTTTTTTACCTTAAAAAAAAATTGTGCCTTGATATTTGCTTTTCCCACCCCTTTTTTCTTTCTTTTTGAAATAAAATAAAAAAAAAACAAAAAAAACTTGTACTGACCGAGAAATGAATAGTTACAGTAGAAATAAAAGTACTTATTCTGCAGGTTTAGTATCTGGCAACATTTCCTCCAGTGAAACTCCTGTCACTGGAGGACAAAGAAAATTACGTGATTCTCAATTTACCTTATCTTCCGCTGAGAATAACAGCAATCTTAGTTTTCCTGGTAAAATATAAATACTAATTTTTCCGCACTTGGGGGTCATCTTCTTAATTTTATTTAACAAACATACACTTTCCCATTTTTAATTTTATGAAGCGTCTCGGAAATCACAAACATATCAAGGTAGGACCGTCATCCAGGACGAATCCGACGAGGACGACGACGATGAGGATAGCGACTGGGATTTAGAACCCGAACTTGAAATTGCCAAAGTCCAGCAAGCCTCATTACTGCATCGACGTATCCCTTCACTTCGAAAGCAACCGCAGGTGGTGCCTGTTGTCAGTCATAGCGCACCCAGTAAACCCAAAGGATCGTCACCGTATTATTGCGAAGAAGTCGGACCTCAACTCGATTTAGGTTATCAATGGCCTCAGGATGTATACCAGAAATCACGAGGCTTTCGAAAGGTATCACCCCGAGATAATCTATCGAGACAACGCGATATTGATCGCCGTTTACTGACAAACCGACACAAGGTAAGCGACCATAATTTTTTTTTTTTTTTCGGGAAGACGGTTGTTAACGTCCAAAAAGTCCAAGAGTCGGTTGCTTTCAATGACGGTAAATCTAAAGGAAACATTCAACACGAATAATCCTAAATTCAATTATGACCAAGAAAAGATCCCTAAACGAATCTTGACAAAGCCAAGTAAACCGTTTCGAAATGAAGGCAATGATAATGAGAATTTCGATTATATCCTTAAAGTGAATGAAGTCCTTGGCCATGATCCCAATTTCAAGTACGATAACAACAAAACTATTTTGTTAGTCACCACACTTTACCGATGATACTCATTGTTTTTTTGTAGGTATAGAGTCATTGATATTTTGGGTCAAGGCACCTTTGGTCAAGTGGTGAAATGTGAACGTATCTCAACAGGCGAATTATTTTCTGTTAAAGTCATCAAGAACAAGAGTGCTTACAAGACCCAAAGTTGTATGGAAATCGAGATTTTAAAAAAGGTAAAAGGGTATTTTCATCCTATTGAAAGAGAAAGAGAGAAAGCTCATTTCCACCCATTTTTTTTTTCTGTGTAGTTGAATACACAGTTAGATCCAGAAGATAAACACCATATATTACGCTTACACCATATCTTTTCTCATAAGAATCACTTGTGTTTGGTATTTGAGTTGCTTTCCTACAATCTATACGATCTCATTGGTCATAATCGATATAAGGGGTTTGCTCCCGAGAAAGTCAGAGCGTTTGCTGTGCAAATCCTCGATACCCTCTCTCTTTTAAAAGAGGCCAAAATCATCCATTGTGATCTCAAGCCTGAAAATATCCTACTCGAAAAGTAACCGAAAAAAGAAAAGATCTTTTTAACTTAGAATACTCATTTTTTTCTTTCATTTAGTGAAAAATCGCTGACGATCAAGGTCATTGATTTCGGTTCGTCTTGTCACGAGGCTAATCGAATTTACACCTACATCCAATCTAGATTCTATCGGTCTCCCGAAGTGATTCTGGGTATGCGGTATACGGGTGCCATTGATATGTGGTCCTTTGGTTGCATTGTGGCCGAATTATTCCTAGGCCTGCCTTTATTTCCTGGAAGCTCTGAATACAACCAACTCTTCCGTATCGTCGAAATGCTGGGCACACCTTCCAAGGACATGTTGAGTAAAGGAAGAAACACAAACAAGTTTTTCAATAAGAACAGTACGGGCTTTGACTCGTTTGAGTATGAATTAAAGAGTCGCGAACAGTATAGTCACGAGAATAGTAAAAATGAGCTGCCTCGAAAAAAGTATTTCCCACAGACACAACTCAAGGATATCATCCTCATGTACAATAATGGAAAACCCCAGTTGTCCAAAGAAGAAACCGAAAAGAGACGTTCTTCTGGCTCGGTGAACTATTTGCGAGAAGAAGAAGAAAGACAGAAAGGTACGTAGCTTGCATCCAAAAAAATAAAAATAAAAACGAAAATGCTCATGCTACTTTTGGATTAGAAATGGAAGCTAGGTTATGTATTCTTGATTTTCTATATGGTGTGCTCGAATTAAATCCCTTGAAACGATGGACACCTCAACAAGCACTTCAACATCCATTTATCACACAGAAACCATTTACAGGTCCATTTAAACCCGATGGCCAAATCAAATTTACTACCTCCATTAGCAGTGCATCCACATTAGCTAATTTCAATCCAAGTAAAGAAATATCCTCCTTATAAGAAAAAAAAAAGATCTAACAGTTCATATCCTTATTTGTTTGTTGTAGATGAAAAGCCCGTGCATAGTGGAACTCGTAGAAGAGCTGAATCGATGAATAAACCTGTGGCTCCCGAACAACTCCAATTGATCGCCAAAAAAATCCAATCTCCTATTACCAAATACCCCAAGGAACACGATGGTTCTGACAATGTCCATCCTAAGCAGGCACCACCATCGGATGCCTACCGACAAAGAAATACCCGGTCACAAGGAGATTACATTGGTTTATTGCCGCCTGAGATCCCTGTGGAAAAAAAGAAAGTGCTTCTGGATGACAGAAAGGTCAAGATTTCGCCTCAAATTAAAGTCAGGACAGGGTCGCATGAATCCATGCGTGTGCCTCCCAATGACGGACAAACGGTACGTGGTGTGGATGGCAAGTCGAAATTCGGTAATGTCAGAAAGTCGCATGCAGGCGAAGCGGCGGGTGGGCTTCTCATGATGCGACAAAAGGATAATGATGATATGGCGAAGCAACAAGTTGTACAGAATGGTAAAAGGTCGATGGCAGGTGCATTTAAACGACGTTCACTTAAATAAACAGTTTTTTTATTTGTCTCTTTTTTTTTTTCTATTATTAACGCCAAGAGTCTAAATCCTCAGGATTTACAAACACTTTTTCTCCGTTTTCTCGAATCGTTTCTAATTTCGTATCCCTGGGTAACGCCTTCCGCATATCTATTTTCATTGTTTTAAAATTGATTTTTTGTACGTTATACTAATTGACGTACCATAAGCATTTTCATTCACTTGTCCTGCATAATAATTTCGCACGGTTCGATAAACTGAATATCCAAACTTGCGATACATATCAATGGCTACCGTATTGGAAACACGTACATAAAGATCCACAAACCATCCATTGTATGTCTTTTGAGAGACCTCTTCAAGTAAATTCATCATACCATCCGCAAGTCCCAATCGACGATATTCAGGAGCCACTGTGATTGCAGTGACGTGACCATGCCAATTCTTACCCGTACCTTCCGTCTTACCCATCACTAGCGATGCCCCCCCAAAAAAAAAAAAGGATGTTTAACGATGACAACTTTTTTTTGTTATATACATCTTTAAAGTTTACCGTAACCCATCAGACGGTCATGAGGAGAGACTTGCACACTGAATAAATCGGGCCAACGTGCAAGATATTGAAGGTAAAATGAGATATTGTACTAGAGAAAAAAAGAAAAGAAAAACGAGTTGAGAATGGACCTTCCTCCCAAACATGGGATATGTCAGCACGTCTTTACTGTTTCGGTCAAAGGATCGAGATTGCTAAACAGAACAAAGTTAAGTAAAGAGATAATGTGGAAGAGCAAGCATATTACATGTTGTTGAATTCAAACAAATCAGTGGCCTTAAAACGTCTTAATAAACTCATGCTGTGTTAAAGTCAATACAATGTAAAAAAAAAAAAAGACTCAGATTCTACACTAAAAAAAAAGAAAAGGGTGTGTCTATAGGAAAACTGTAGTGTATTCAGTCACCTACACTACTTTATTTTGAACAAAAGGAAAGCAGGTCACGGCAACAACGAAACATCAGCCGATGAAAACAACATAAACAGAAGGGGTTATTCCTTCCCCCCCCCCCCCTTTACCCATCTTCTACGCCGTCGAGATTTCCTAAAGTGACAAATAAATATCAATTGATCACATTTTGTATTGTAAAAAAAAAAAAAAAAAGTGTAAATAGAACCTGTGATGGGCTTTTTTTTTTTTTTTTTGGTATTTTTATAGTTTGGGTAACGAATACGTTACGGAATTCATAAATAAACAAAGCTTCCGTAATTCATGCCAGATGATGAGAAATGGGTAATTCTCAAAATGCATTTAGCATAAACAAATAAATAAATAGGGACGTGGCTTTTTTTTTTTTTTTTTTTTTTCAACACCAGAAAAAAAATCCTGCGTACAGAAAGAAAGAAAAAAAAAATATAGTCTTTGACATTACTGAATTAACATGGCACTTTGCAAGATTTGTGAAAAGGAACAATCCAAGTACAAATGTCCTAAATGTAGAGCTCCCTAGTAAATGTAGATTCATGTCATGCTCTATTTAATTTTATGCTAATGTAGAAAAAAAAAAATTTAATTTATTTTGTATAAAAGCTGCTCCTTGGTCTGTTTTAAGAAACATAAGGGTAAGGCTTGCTTAATTTTTTACCGGTTTGTGAGCTCATTGATTGATTATTTTTAGAAACCCCGTGTGAGTTTTCGGAGCCAACAAACAAGACACAGGGTAACGACAACAACAACAAAGAAAAGTGTAATGTTTAATATTGACTAATAAAACAAGTCTAGTACCTGTTCGAAAGGAGATTACGCCCATCGGAGCACCTGACGAGGAAGACCCCAGTAGGCTGACGCCGCAAGATTTAGAGAAACTTGCATATTCCAAGGAGATTCACCAACTATTAGAGCATCCGGAAATCAGGGAAATTATAAGACAAATTGATTGCTCCAAGACACCAGTGGTCGATTTAGATTTCATGCGATCCAACGACCCCGTCTTTGATGATTTTACAAAGAAATTAGTCGAAATTACTTTTAAAGAAAAGCTGGATGCAGTCCAGAAAAAGGGCACCTGATCATTGCATAAATTGTTCTCACACACCTCTTACGCCGAATAAAAATATATATATAAATACCTTCCTCTCTCTATTCTTTTTTCTTTATCTCTCTATATTCTTCTTCATTATCATTTTTTCTGGCTCTCCGGGATCAAACCTCCTTTCTTTTCGCAAATTATCATATGGGGAGCAATTGAGTGTACCTCCCAGCTGGTGTCCCCCGGAAACTTCTTTCTCTTGTCATCATTGGCAGAGAAAGAAGGCTAAATCACTCTCTCTCTTTACCGCCCTCTTTTTTTTTTTTCCTATCACTGTATCTGCTCTCTTCTATTTACGTGATTATGTCTCTCCTCTTTCTGCCCTCTTCTTCGCTCTGTCGTTAGTCGCTCATCGTGTTTAATCTTAAACATCTGCTCATTGTTCAAATACATCATTTTCTCATGTGTGTTTACAGATGTCCTCTGTCTGTTTCACCCTTGTGTTGCTCTTTGCTGTCTACTTTTTTCTCGTGAAGGCACCCTCCTAAAAAAAAAATCTTTCAAAAAGCCTCGCAAAAAAAACTTCAAAATTCAAAAAAAACCCTATATTCCAACAAGCAAATAACTCCTATAAAAAAAAACCCCCTCCATCGGCAAAAAAAAAAATTCGAAAAATCCCAATTATATACCGCTCCCTGTAGCGTCACTGCTCCTCTTCTTCGCTGCCTTTCTTCTACTGAAGTATTGCTCGCTCTGTCCCCCCCCTTCCCAGCATGCCTTGTTTCTACTGAAACATTGTTCTCGCCTCCGTCTCTAAGGAAACGTTTTCTCTTTGTTTCGTGGAAACAATGTCTTTGTCTGTTTGTTTCTAATGGAATCATTCCACTCGTCACCAGTATTCATGGAATCAAGGTCATTGTCTTTAAGTTTCTAATGGAAGCATCCAATGACCTAGTATTTTGTGGAAAAACTGTTCAGGCCCGTTTGTTTCTAATGGAAGCAATGTTCTCGCTCCCCCGTTTCCAAGAAAACGTTTTGTCTTTGTTTCTACTGAAGCAATGGACTTCTTGCCTTTATTACAAAAAAAAAAATAAGAAAAGAAACTATTCTGGATCTTGGTCCTACCCTTTTTTTTCTCTATCAAATAAAGACATCTTTATAAAAACACTCTCTATCGTTTATTTATTTATTTATTTTAATGAGTACATTTTTAGTTCTTAGGGCAAGGGTGAAATATAAAACACTTGATGCAGTTCGATCAATAGGGGACATCGCCGATAAATAGTTGATTCTTATTCAAGTAAAAACAAGTTTATTTTTTTTACTCATGTGTGCCAAGCGTTCACTCCAAATGGGTTAGCATGTCAATATAATATAAATAAGATTAGTATACATCATATGTCCGTGAACCAGTAAACTTGTGCTAACTTTATTAAAACAATAAACTTAAAAAAAATATTTCTGTCATAGAATGGTGTACCAAAATCAGGTTAATCATCGGGAATTGCATTTTGAAATAAACCATACCATTTTTTTTTTTTTACATGCTGTCACTCCGTTTTATTTTTATAAAAAAAAAGCTAAAAGTGATCAAGATACCCAGGATTATCTTTTTTTAATACGCAGCGCTCAAAACTTGGACACTAAACATTGCATGAATTGGTGTGACACGGATATATTCGAATTCTTTTTTTTTTTTTTATAAAAAAAAAAAAGAAAACGTTATCCGTGGCTTCTCTATCCCTAATCTCAATAATTGCTATTTGTAAAATGCTTATTGTTTTGTTAAAATAAAAAGAATGAACAATCTAAGGGAGATGGCGTGGCCTTTTTATAAAAAATCCTCCCATCTTGTTAACGAAACTGCAGTAACAACATTATACAAAAACATGTGTAGTATATCTATGCTCAACTCTATGAGAATGATATAACCTTTATAACAATGTGTAAAAAGGTCTTCCCCTTGCATACAATCCTTTTCCAAAACCGGGGGGGTTTTTTTTTTAAAAAATAAAAATATATAAAAATAAAAAAAGTAATGGGGGACTTGTCGTGATCTTGGCCCTACGAGACTTTAAAAAAAAAAAGTTACTTAATATACAGGATTGAGGATGATTCATCATTTTGTCATCATCTTTTGTTCGCTCCGACTAAAGCACCGAGAGATGATCCCTCTTCTTTTAAAGCTCATTTTGGTGTAACGGGAAATTTAAAGCAAAAAACTTTTCTGTCCAAGTAAAAATAGGTCTGTTCTCTTTTGGAGGTCGTACACAAATGACTATAGATGATTTTCCGTCACACCCAAAATTTAATTTAACCGACAAGCAAGAAAAAAAAAAAAAAAAAAAAATACGGGCCGATGATGAGAGGAGGATAAAATTAAGGCGGTGGGGGGGGGGATTGAATTTAATATGATTTACAAAAAATTAGAGTATTATACAGGAAGTTGAAATAAAAGGAAATACAATAAATAAAGTTTTTTTCTTTTTTTTTTTTTTTTTTTTTTTTTTTGTAAGAGGTTATTAAAAAAGAAGAAACTAGAAGAGGGGGTGTAGGTGTGTGTATAAAAAATTAGGGGAGGGGAGGGGGACGATTTACTTGTTGACTTCTTTACTAAATTGACAAGAGACAGTAGGAGTCGTACCAGAGGCTACTTCTGCATCTACATCCAACAATTCTTCATCTGTATTTTCCTTATCCTTCTTTTTAAGAACAAGTTCAATCTCACGAATAATGTCGTTATCGTAAGGATCATATTGTTGTATATAATACTTGGCAGCGATACGAGGAAGGAAACAAGCAACAATCGTCAAGATAAGTATTAACCAGTAAAAGCCGGTACCGAATAAACGTAACTGACCTGCAAAGATAAACGTATTGAATTGAGAATAGACAACGACAAATGCATAGTAAACAAAGATCGATATAAACACGATGAAGGCTAGAATCCAGGTACAGTTATACAATGAAATCACCACAAAGAAATTAGCTACACAGACAGAGATACTGGATACAATGGTACCAATTTCATATAGCCCATTGGCGTCATATCCGCTCGGATCAATGGCACCACCCACAAGGAGCATATAAGGGAAAAAGAAGCAAACTGCCGATTGAAAGATCGAGTCGACGATCGTGAGATAGAATCTCCATACCTTGAATTTATCGTTACGAAGACCCATACGGTAAAGTTGAGGATACTTGAGTGAGATTTTAGCGTTGAGATCTTGGTCCCAGATACCCAAAAAGATAATGGGAAGAGATGTAAAGACAACATTGTACAATGTAACCAAGGCATAGTCAAATACCATGGAACCGTTAAATTGACAAAAGATTTGATACCAGAACAAGACAAAAGTCCAAACGATATTCTTAAAGAAGAAACCCATGATCATTTCAGCCGTACGAAGATAAGACCAACGACCATGCACCAATAAGAGTTTTTTCAAGAATCTGAATTGAGCAATAGCGTAATCGGAAGCCATCACAGCTTGTCGACCTTCGACACCCGAGATACCAACACCTACATTGGCTTCCTGAATCATAGAAACATCGTTCGCACCATCACCGATCGCCAACGTCATGACTTTTAAACCCTTCTTGACAAGGTTGACCACTTGCGCCTTTTGTTTGGGACTGACTCGACAGCAAATGACGCTGGAGCAACGCATACCAATGTCCAGGACTTTATCTTTGGTAGCGGCTTCCAGAGCGTACTTGAGAGTGGTACCGTCAATGACAAGCGCATATTTCTTTTCGGCTAGAGGGTCCAACGTCTCTTCCTTCTTCAATCTTTCCAAGGTATCCGTCAAGATTTGGGCGGTATCAATACGATTCGCAGCGGAGAGGATGAGTAATTCCATATCGGTTGTCAGTAGATTACAAGAGAAACCGATATTGATAGCAGTCTCTGTTTTATCACCGGTGAGAACCCATAACTTGATACCGGATTTTGCTAGTTCTGCAATGGTTTCGGGTACTCCTTCTTGAAGACGATCTTCAATAGCGGTACCACCCATTAATAACATGTTGGCTTCGATTTCTTCACTCACAGCATCAACACGTTCTTCACGTTGATGAATGCTAGCTGCTGCTTCTTGAAATCTCTTATTCCATGGTTTATACTCTTCAGGAGAGATAAAACGGTAAGAAAGACAGAGTGTACGAAGACCTTTTTTTTTTTATAAAAAAAAAAAAATGAGTTACATGTTGCTACGAGATAGATAGGGCTTTTTTTTTTACCTTCGTTTGCAAACTGTTCCAGATGTTTACTAGTAGAATCTCTTAATTCTTGTTGATCCTTTTCCAATTGATGTTGGTTACCGAATTCAGTACACAAACGTTCATAGATGACGGAATCTGCACCTTTGCAAAGCAAGACGATACGATCGCTGTCTTCGGGCTTGATGATGACACTCATTCTTTTTCGGGTGGAATTAAATTCGAGGACGTTGAGGAGGATGAAGCATTTTTCTTGGCCCTTGACCTCAATGTAGAGTTTGTTGGCATCACGACGAAGGAAAGTGAATCCCATGTCTCTGGCGGTAGCAACGAGGGCGGCTTCATCGGGAGACTGAGCCTTGTATTCGATCAGATCAGGTCTTTCAGGATCAGGTCTTTCGGCGATCACGGTATGACAAAGAGCCAAGGATTGATAGAAATGGGTGATGGCGGTTGCTTGTTGTGAGGTTTCGTCCTCAAGATGATCGAATAATTTGGGATCGACAAAGGTAGGCGATGGCCCAATATGTGTATTGGGAAAGAGACTGGCTTGTTTTTCAAACATATCCTTGCGAAGTTGTTCCATTTGTGAGGTATCGGGTGAGGTGAAATCAAGATCATCCATGGTGATATCGTTATGATCGTTCGGGGAAAAGTTGTGGTGACTTTGTTGTCTTTTCATAGCACCCATCGTCGCTTCTGTAGTAGCAATACCGTACGAGATACCATTGATGGTACATTTACGATATTCCATGACGTTTTGAGTAAGTGTGCCTGTTTTATCGGAAAAGATGTATTCAATTTGTCCGAGATCGTCAGAAATATTCCATGTTTTGGGAATACAAGGTGTGTCCGTCTCTGCATAATAAATATCGAGATCTGCAAAAATAAAATAAGCCTTATAAAAATAAATGAGTTATATATATATATATATATATATAAAAGAGAGAGAGAGAGAGATGATATCATCACTTTTTGTATTACTTACAGCTACAGTCTTTACGATTTCCACAGAGATGTATAAAGAAATGGGCACAATGTTTTGGTATAAAATGAGTGTAACCCTAGAAATTCAAAGAGAGTTGATTAGTTAAAATTGGAAAATCCCCGCCGTTGCGGGCTAGAAAAAAAAAAAAAAAGAAAAGTTTACCAGAATGTAAGAAAGCCAGACCAAGTAGCATTTGAGCCTTCGATACCAAAATCAAAGTAACGAGAGGAACCACTTCCATTGAATTGAGCACTATCAATTATGGAACTGACGATACAAAGAATAGCTAAAATGACAAAATTGGCAATGACCTAAAATAGAAAAAAAAAAAAAAAGTTAGAATGATTAAAAAAAAAAGGGTAAGAGGTAAAGGGATTGAATGATTTTTTTTTTTTTTTACGTGAGGGTTCGTTGCTTTGGCCATTTTACTTCTCTTGGAAGGTGTACGACCTGTATTCAACATAATTTTGGTATCACTTCCTGTATAGACAACGATCCCGATAGCCCATTTTGTGTTTCTGAGAACACAACCACGTAACAAGATATTGTTGTAGGTGACAGCATCTGCTTTTTCATGCGAGACACCGGAACGCACGGTTTCATTCTCATTGGCGTCGATCTGCCAACGCAAGACGGCATTGTACTGGTAAATATTGACATGAGGGGGTTCACTTTCAATATAGAAACGAGCTCTTTCACAATCATGTTCACTACGCAGACCAGCTGTTCCTGGCAAACCTTGACGTTGTTTTAAATTCGTTTCACCATCTAAATTTTGTGTTTCTACATAACATACATTGTCCGTCTCTGAGGTGGATAAGATGACAATATCGGCAGGGATATCCTGATCGTTTTCAAGCAAGACATAATCACCCACGTTTAATGATTTCCATTTCGTGTTGGCCCAATGCACTGGACAGTTCTCGGAGGGGGGGTCACCAGGGAACGCATCGGCACAGTTGTCCGTGGGTTTTGTGGTGGTTTGTCGCAGCATGGAATTTCTATAGGATCCGTTTTGTGCTGGTTCTTCTTCAGAGCGTACGGCTGCTGAATCTCTGGTGGAAATACGGTAGAGGACAGAATGAGGAATAGCGCCGGGACGATAAGGTCTTTTATCATTGTCAATAGGGGAAGGTTGACGATTGAACATGTTGGACATATTGGAACGAATGGTATCTGATCTTTTTCGAACGGTTGTCATGAGTGTTTTTGGTGGTGGTGTTGGTGGTGGTGGAGGGGTCAAGAATTCGTTGGAGGGACCACCCGCAGACAATTCGGTTAAAGGACGCTTATCTTCTGAGTTTTTGACGTTTCCGATGGGAGATGCTACTGGGTGTGTGGAGGAAGATGATTTTGCATTTCGGTAACTATGTGCATATTTGTTTTCTGAACCTGACAGTACAGAAAAGAAGCCAAAGATGACATGCAGATAATACCAAGTTCCTCTTGTGACAGGTGGAATATTGACGTTGTCCCAGTTTGTTAATTTCAAGACTTTGGAGTTGTTGACCTTGTCATCACTTTGGTTTCTTTTGAGATCTTCGAAACCATCCTTGATGGCGGTGATGACGAGAATACAAATGAGGGGTAAAGCGGAAACGGCAGGTTCCGTGACGCCGAACAATGGAATACACTGCAAGACGACGAGGAATAAAAAGTATAAATTGGCGACATTTCTAAACTGTTCAAACAAGTTTTTGGGGACAAAAGAGATGGGAGTGTATTTTGCTGTTCGAACTCGATTACTTGTGTAATGTTGCTGTATCAATTTACCATGATCGTCGTATTCGGACGATGGTAACTTCATATTGACGTAAATATTTCGACGAAGTTGCATATAGGATGAAGTCGAATCCATGCGTCGCAAGTCATCTTGTTCTTCTACTCCATCATCCTCATCATTGCTGCGCTTCTTTTTTCTCTTTAAAAAAATATTGGTTCGAGGTGATATTTTCATAATCTTTTTTTTTTTTTCTTTAATATAGTTGAGGAGTGAGGATTGAAAGCTCTTTATGTGTCTATTACCTAGAAAATTGGCATTCACACACACACACACACACGCAAGATATATATATATGTATATATATAAAGAACAAAAAAAAAAAAAAGAGAGAGAGAGAGAGAAAAGAGAAAGAAGGGTTTCCAGGTAACTCTATTTTACTGTCCTTGAATATATAATTATTTTTTTTTAGTACCACGTGGGATTAGAAAAAAAGCGTTTTTGCGGGTGTATTATGATCCCTTTTTTCGGATAAACACACTCCATGGTACAAAATGATTTATTATAGTTAATGTACACGGATTCGAACCTTTCCCTCATCTCTTCCACCACTACACACATATACACATACTCTCTTTAGTTGTTGTCAACTTTTATCATCTTCCCTTCTCCCCTCATTTACCTTTTCTTCTTCTTCTTTTTTCTCTCTCTCTCTCGGTAGATCTCTTCCCGCTCTAGTCCGGTTCTCACCCAATGATCAGGTAGGTGATGTTTTACTTCAGCTTCAAAATATATATATATATATATATAGGATGTAATTTTTTTTCAACTACCGTCCATGTGTGTACACAAATGCTTTTTGTTCTTTAACAAAAAAGTTACACTGAGCATAGTCTTTTTTGACTTGGCAATGACGAACAAAGAGGAAAAGAAGGGTCACATTTCGTCTATGTGGCTGAACAAAAAAAAACAAAAAAAGGGGGGAGCTGATAAAAATATGTGGTCACTTCATTATTTTTTTGACAGTCGATGACGCGGTAGTGATAAAGAAAAAAAAAGAAAATGATGGTGGAAATAGTATAGGGTGCCGCAATATGATTGGATATTAGAAAAGCGCAATGATCTCTTGTTGTCATGCAATAAGAGGTAGTAATGTGTTATTTCTAATATATTCTCCTCATTCAATGTAAGACAAAATGTACAATGCCAAAAAAAAAAAAAAAAAAAAAAAAAAAAAATCAGGAACCTTTTTATTTAGCATTTGATGACGATTGATGGTACAAAAAGTCAATTCTCCCCACTCAACACTTAAAACATATCCCACCGCACACACACAAAATGTATACAACAAAAAAACAGGGTAGTTTATTCTTGCACCACAAAAAAAAAAAAAAAAAAAAAATTAGCGGGAGGTGGCAGCAGCCTTAGGGGCGAAACCCTTGGCACCTTGCTTGCTAACCTTAGCTTGACCCTATCCACAAAATAAATAAATAAAAACGTCAGTTTTACCACAACTATAAGCAAAAAAAAAAAAACTATATAGATACTTACAGCAGGAGCAGCAGCCTTCTTGGCAGCAGCAGCGGCCTTCTTGGCGTCCTTGGACTTGGAGATGGCGGCTTGACGAGCGGCAGCACGAGCATCGGGCTTTTGGTTACGCTTGGCACGAATGGCATCCCAAGAGGCACCCACAACAGCACGTTCATGCTTGACGGTACGACGAGAACGCTTCTTGGCGGCTTCTTCGGTCATACCCTTCTTATTCAAACGACGGTAGATGACGGTCCACTTGATCTTACGGGGGTTCAAACGTTGAATGAAGTAAGAAGCAGCCTTACCGCTGATGAAACGGAAGTGCTATACATGGTAGATCGTCTGATTAGTACTGCGTTTCTTTTTTTCTACTGCTACTATATATTAAAAAAAAAAGGTTGCACGTCTTACTCTACAGATAAAAAAAAGGGTCAATGCTTTTAATCTCACTACAGAAAATGGTATATATTTACCTAGAATCAATACGGACGTAGGTCTTTCCCTTGGAAGGGTAGATCTTGTGACCAGAGAAGGAGCAAATCTCAAGCCTAATGTACAATTAAAAAAGAATGGGAGTACCATGGAAAGTCAGTTTTTTTTTCTTCGTTCCATAATCGATGTTGGTGTCTCTCTCTCTCTCTCTCTCTCTCTCTCTTTCTCTCTCTCTTTTTCTCTTTTTTTTTTTTTTTTTTTTTTTTTTTCTGCTATTTTCGTTTCTCTGTTTGAATGGATCCATTCATCGGATACTTTACTTCATTGTTTAAAAAAAAAATGGGTGCTTATGGGAGCTGAAAGAGGAGGTTGTAATCATCTGCGTTTGGATGGATTGCTTGTACAGTCTGAGAGCTGGGTGTATCTGTGTTGTGTGGGGGGTGCTGGGCGGGGTGGGGGACCGTTCGTCTGCCCCCAACACACACACACACACACACACACACAACAAACACACTCGGCACTCTATTTTCTTGGTGTCCTGTCCGGTCCGGACCTACATGAGTTTAAAATTACAAGTTTTCATGCAATTGGGGGTCATTTTTTAACTGTGAAACGTTTAAAAATCTGGTCAGGCGAGATACAGGGCCCGATTGACGTAATTGCTGAACAATGCGCGGGTTGTTATTGCGTTGGTCTATGCGTTATATATAAAAAAAAAAAAGAGAGAGAAGGGGGGGAGGTGGCCACATGATTCATGTTTTTGTAGCACGATCTCTTTTTTCTAATGGGAGAGTGTACAGTTTTTCCGCCGTCAATTGGTCACTTTTTTGAGCCTCAATTGATCACCTTTTTTTTTTTTTTTTTTTTTTCAACAATCTCTTCAGACGCGTTTTCGGAAATGTCTAGAACTCCGTATTTTTTTCAAACGTATTTTTTAGAATCACGCGATGGTCTACACGTCGATTGACATGCCATATCATCTAAACTTCATGGGATGATCGATTTCTGTTTTCCATAAAATCTGCTTCACTGTCATTACAAGCTACTATTGGAACGCAGATAGACAATTACCAAGCTCTGATTTGCTTGGGAGGTTTTTGCAAGTGTTTCTATTTTAAGTAAAGGCTCAAACATTATGGATGATAAAATAGACAAAATGAAATCATCTTGACATAAGCTTGTTTATCAGCCTACAAATAAAGCTGGTTCACACACTTTATTCTTCTTCTTTTCTTTTCCCTTAACATACTTCTTTTATTGTATGAAAGTTACCGATCACGTAAAAAGGTTTGTTTAGTAATGACTCTTGTTTCTTTGAAAAGACACTAAATTGAAAAAGATGTATTACGATATTACGGCTGCGGCTAGTCTTTGCTATAGGAGGGCTACCTTCTAGGGCAGAGAGTTCTTGAGTTTTTTTTTTTTTTGGAACTCATGAACTGTGAATGGCTGGGATTACACTGTAAATAGATGTAATCATACTGGTCTGCTGGTCTTCTGGCCAGAATTCCTATAAGTGGTTTAAAAAAAAATACATTTGAAAAAAATACGGAGGTCAAGACATTTCTCGCGTTTTCACTGAAAGGGCATTTCACTTTTTCTCCCATGTCTAAAGTAATATCGCTTATCTATAAGTGCCATATCTGTCATACCTCGTCTGTTGATGCGCCCCGATTGAGACGGCATTTAGTATATTGAATGGTCAATCAAGTACAACACGCTATGTCGATGGGATGGGATATACCATTGTGGACAGTCAAGAATGCGTTGTAATAGGATCAGCAAGTGGTCCAGTAAAAGAAAGAAGAGGATGACTCACTGAAACAGCTACACACCTGCATTTGTGTATTACATTCAGTTATTAGCTGTTAACCAGATGCTTCCATTAATACGATGAAGAAAGTACTAGCTTTTGGGATCAATATCGTCAAGACAACCATTATCTTATCAACATTAAATATAAGCGAAGCTGGTGATGGCTACGTTTTTAAAGAGCTTGAAAGCTGTCAACTACCAATTAATTATGAAGATCGACAGAAATATTTACGTCTCTTTAATTTCATTGCAAATTTTATTCTGTTACTGAAAGATCAATAAATCAAGTTTTTCAACAACTGAAAAATGAGCATTATGGTACTATTCCAATTGATAAATCTTTCACAATCAGATCTAAATTTAAAAATTGATATTACTTCACCGGCATTTTGTCTAAATCGTGTCAAACAATTTACCATCGAATACCTATACCATGTAAAGTATCAATTTTCTTATCACATGTATAGAACCAAATAAAGCAATCTCTTCATCGTTTCATATAAATGCGCGCTCGATCTTCTTCAAAATTACATCTATTTTGATTGTCCTAACTTCTTCACAACTTTACCTTGAATCATATAGCTGTTAATGATAAAATATATGATTGTGTGCCTTTCCTTTGCATCTTTGTTATATTATGATGGTGTTTCTATTTCGTCTGTTCTATACACATTGCTGTTATAAATAAAAGAAAAGATAAAGAGTGTCCCCCGACACACAAATTCAAACCTTAATTCTCACATGAAGGGGCATACATAGATTGAGTGCACACACACACACACACACACACACTTATGGCTTCCTATATCTAAGGCCAATATGTCTCCTTAATTACTTTTATAAAGTCCAATGTGTTTATTCCTTTATTACTTCTTCTATATGAATACTAAGCTTGAAAGATATTAGATGTCCAACGATGTTCTTTTAGGTTCAGTTGTAAGAATAAGAAATCGAATTACTTGCTGTCAGGCGAATATGTAGATAGAGACAAGCTAAATCATTAGAAACTATTCTTCTCTTATTCTGCTGAAAGATAAAATACCCAGAGAACTTCTTTTTGCTACGAGTTGATCATCAGTGTTCAAACGTTTTACATGAGTTTATAAATGTCTATAACTGCCGTTCCTTTGTTCTTCTACAACCGCCAGAGTTTACCATTCCAATATGCCAATTGAAAAATTATTTTACAGACAAGAAAACATATGCACCTTATACATTCTTTTGAGGAGCGAAATTTATTGATTCACCCGTCAACAACAATGGTTGCGTAGTTTATGATAATCAATAAGCAGAGCTATGATGTTTGAACATCCGAGACGTCCTACCGAAACAAGTATGTTAGTCGTTAAGTTCAAGTACACCAATACGCAATCTTAGGGCCAAGAAAACAAAACATTCCCTTGGTCCATGAAAGAGTAAGGAGTTAAGACAATTAATTTATTTAAGTGACTATTTGGAGGTTCAAAAAAGTTGATCAAGTGGGTTTTTGAAAAAGGTGATCGAATTGGAGGCTCAAAAAAGTGACCAATGGATTTTCAGAATATTGACCAATTGGGAAACTCACAAAAGTGTATTTTGAATTGTCCAAAAGTAGAAAGAGCATTCTTTGTATCACGGATAAGAGTAATGAGACCCGGTTGATCCATTTCTATTATTGTTTTCCTTTTTTTTTTTATTTTCTCACCCTATTTTTTCTTTTTTTCTTTAAAAAAGAGATGTCGAAAGATATACATGAAAAGAATGAAGAGAGTAAAGGGTACTATGATGAACCACCGGAACCCAAAGTAGGCGAACCCATGCTTTCAAAGTCGGCACCATCCAATACCTGGATGGAAGAAGGACGACAACAAAGACGTTTATCTCAAAGCGAAATCAAGAATGTCTCGAATAATATTGATTCCATGATTCGTCAGTTTCAAAAGACCCCCAATGAACATCCACAGCAACAGCAACAGCAACAACAACAACAGGGAAGAAGAGGGGAACCACGTCGACAACAACAACATCGAGGTCAACCAACAAACTTCTATCCACCGGGAGAAGGATTGTCACATCATGTTCGGGTGGATCAACTGACAGTGCATGACATCCATGCGATCATAGAAGAGAATCAATCGCTTTTACAAGAATTAGATAATATGAGCCATCAATTTGGGATGGAAAAGATGGATTTACAAAGAAGATTACGCCATATGACGGCCAGAGTACAATATCTGGAGGAATTAACTCATCCTTCAGATAATCATCATGAACCTTATCCCATGCGAAGACCTTACAGACCACCCCAATATCATCCACAAGGAGGAGGCATCAGATCCAACAGTAACGGCAGTAGAAAGGGAGAGGATGAAAATACTGGCTTTGGACTGGAAAAAGAAGATTATCATCTTGACGAACCCGAACATCCACAACGAAGAAGACCTTTTCCTCCAGGTTATTATCCATCACCCATGAGAAGTCAACCACCACCACCACTAATATCACAACAACAACAACAACAGCAACAACAACAACAACAACAGGAAAATCGATACATGGCCTATCCAAACATGTTTCCTCCGGGAGGTCAACGATTTGAAGATGAAATGATGGGAGCTCATTATTATAATAATATGAGACGATTTTATCAAGATACGCAACATTCGGATGATGAAGATGATATGGAAGATGAATTTTATGCTTGTCATTCAGGTAAATATGGACCCCATCCACCACCACCACCTCCTCCACCTCCTCCGCCACCACCTCCACCACCACCACCACCTATACCACCACCCCCTGGATCCATGATGGGAGGACCACCACCGTTTATGGGAGGACCACCCATGATGGGAGTACCCCCTCCTCCTCCACCGCCTCCGCCTCCACCACCGATGGGATATGGGCCTTCACGACAAGGATGGATGATGGATCCCTATGGAGATCGTAACATGTATGGTGGAAGATCCAAACGGTACAGTTCCAGTCAACCACAATCCGAAGATGAAGGAGATGATATCATGATGTTTCGACAATTTGCACAAGAAGAAGAGCAAGATATGCAACGTATGATGCATCAAATGTCAATGGTGGGTATCTATCCTCCATTACGACGTGTATCAAGTCGACGTAGTGCACCTGGGAGTGGAAGATCATCCTTTATTAATGGGAGCCGATAAAAAAAAAAAGAAAAAAAAAAAAATCATTTTGTGTGTTTTTCAAAAATCTAATAAAAGTTGAGGAAGAATTCTTTCTAAATGTTCAACGTCAATGGTATCACCCGAGTTTAGAATTTCTTGTTCTTTAGCGGATCGATGGACGGCCTCTAAATACGTGCCGTCATTAAAAAAAGTGATAAAAAAAAAAAAGAAAAAGTTTTTACCAGTGACGAAAAGACGAAGGAATTCACACGAGAGTTGAAGCGCGTCTTTATTAACTACGCTTTTTTTTTTTTTATCTGTGAGATGAAAGAGTTTTTTTTTTTTTATTTTATTTATGTAACTGACATGCTTACTTTTTGTGGTGTTATGTTTCCAAGATTCTTTAAACACTTTTTGAACCGTAGCCTATCACACTGGTGTTAGGGTTTTTTTTTATTGCAGTAAAAGGTGGTTTTTAAGAGAGATCATTTACAGGTTGAATTGGGTTTTCTTTATTCATGTTTTTTTTTAGAAAATGTGTAAAAGAGAAAGAGAAAAAGAGAAAAAGACGGAAGTTGAAAAAAAAAAAAGTAAAATTTACAATGGAGGTGGGTGTTGAGGTGGAGAAGATAAACCAAATAAAGAAGAGACTCTTCGGGAAGCCAATTCAGTTTTTCTTTGAAAGCTACTGCTGGTAGAAGAACTGACGGAGGAACGACCTGTAAAGTAACTTGTGCTGGTACTGTTACTGGTGGTGGGGATGGCCTGAGGTAAAACACAGCTATGAGGAGAGGCGATGGGAGGATCCAGCGTGGTGGTAGAGGAAGATTGACTTAGGTTGAGTGGAGGAATAGTAATGGATCGTATGGAAGAATTGGAGGTGGATCTACGCGTCTTTTTTTTTTTTTTTGGAGGGGTTAGTTTGAATTACAAGGATTTATATTTTAGAGATGTATACCTGTTGCTGATAATGATGTCTTTCATTAGGCGAGGAAGGAGGTGGAAGAGAACGAAATACGCGTGGTAAACGTCTATTCAATGTGTGTGTGTGTGTGTGGGGGGGATTAGTGAGTATGAAGAGATAAGCCTAATTCATTTTTACCCGTCATCTGCTGCAGTAATGTCATCCAAGGGTAAATTATTCTCTTTTCTGTATCGGATTAATTCATTCTTGTATTTTATGCATTGTTGTTGTTTCTGAATGTCTATTATGGGAGTCAACATAAATAATAATAATAATAATAATAATAATAATATAAAAAAAAAGGGGATTTAACAAACATTCTCGTTCCATCTCTATTGCTCTTCCTTTTAAATGATTGACTTCAGCTTTTAATAAATCTACTAGACTGGAGACAGGTTGAATGATATCTCCACCCGACCATTTTTTAGCACTAAAAAAAAAAAGCTTAAAATATGTAATATACGCATGAAAAGGCTATATTTTACTGTAGGGACGGAGAAGATCCGATACCAGTGATAGCGGGACTGACGGGTAATGAATGATAGTCCACTGAGTGACGAGAGGAAGAAGGAGACATGGGTTGTTGTTGTTGGGAAAGTAAATCTAATTGTTTCTGTAATCGATTGACCATGTACTCTTGTTCTTGTTCCAAGGCATTTTCCAAATCAATCTTTTCCTTCTGCATCTAATAAAGAATAATAAGTAAAAATAGAAAGAGTATCTTTTTTCTCTCTCTCTTTTTACTTGGGCTAATTTCTTTTGTAACATATTTGTCAAGTATTCTTCTTCCTGTTCAACCTGAACTAATAATTCACTCTTTTCCTTTTTTAATCCTGTAATGTGTTTTAGCAGTTTATTGGAAATATATTCTTCTTCCTGTTCGGACAATGCAGACTATCCCACAGATGAAATTACCCTTCCGGTTAGTGTATACATTTACTTATAATAAAAGAGAAAAAAACGTACCATCTGAACTGCCTTTTGGCGCAAGGATTGATTATCGTTTCGTAAAAGATGTATTTGTGCTTGTTCCTTTTCTAAATCAGATTCTAATTTCTTGATGTGTACAGCGCTCATTGAATATTTTGCATGGAGTTTCTCCGTCTCATGTCGAAGCGTCTCCATACTATAGGTGCAGATATGAGTGCAATGCTTTTTATTTATTTATATGAAACCATAATTTTTACCTTGTGGGATCTTGCATAAGTTTTTGGATATGTCTGTTATCCTTTATTAAAAAAAGAGAGTGAGACAAGGGAAATAAGCATGATGTTTAAAGAAAGTTAAATAGACATACAAGTGTTGACATTTTCTCTAAAGTACACGTGGTCTCCTCTGCTGTTTCCATATTATAAAAGAGAGTTTCTATTAATATACTGGTGAAGAAAAAAAAAAAAGTTGCTTCCTCAGGGGATTCTGAATAGAACGATGATGTTTTGTATATAAAAGTTTAAGCAGGGTGAGACGCAATACGGGGTGTACACCAAAAAAGCAAAGCAAAGCAAAGCAAAAAAAAAAAAAAAAATGATGAGAAAGAAGAAGACAGGAAAGAGAGAAGGGAAAGCCAAAATAAAAATAATAAAATAAAAAAAAGCCCGTCACTTACATGATATAAACAAACATGGCATGAAAAACAGAAAGAAAAAAAGCTTGTTTGTTGTACTTAGGGGGGTTGAAAAAGAAAAACGAAAGCCAAAATTAGATTTTTTTTCTTTGAAAATGAACGTGCTTAAATTTTGCTTCTGACTTTTTTTTTCTTCTTCTTTTCTTCTTCTTTTAATAAACATAAAAAAATGGATAATTGCCCAAGCTGCTCAAGAAAAGTGTATGTGATTGAAAAGATTGAAGCCAATGGTCGTGTCTATCATAAAAACTGTTTCAAGGTGAATTTTAAAAGATAAAAAAGAAAAAGAAAAAGAAACTAATTCCTTTATCACTTTAATGTCTAAGTGTGTAGAAGAAGGATGTCGTTTAACGCTTGCAAACTTTCATTTTCATAATGAAGAGCTCTTTTGTCCCAAACATGTTCCAAAGCTTCAAGCAGTTGTGGTTCAAAGTAAATAAAAACATGCTAATTTAAGTGTCCTTCTTCTTATTAACTCCTATAATTAGCAAAGAATCAGCCTGAACATATGGGTCGTCTTTAAAAAAAGTTTTTGTCTTTTAATAATATCTCCAAGAACGCTACTATATCTTTTTTTTTTTATTATTTATATATATATCATCTCTTTACCGCCAATTTATACGCTTATATTAAAACTACCTTTTCTCATCCATACACATTTTTTATTTTTATATATATACAAGAAGGGGATGGATATAACAACAAGCTTGTTTAAGAAAAAAAAAAAAAAAAGGAGAAATCAGGGAGGTAACTTTGAATCATAAAAGATATCTCTTTTTTTTTTTGAAAATCTCTCCCATCTCCTATAAGCTTCTCTTAACAAGGTTCTCGAGCTAGATACAATACAAAATACTACTGCATTATTTAGGAGTTTCCTTTTTACACATGTCAATGCATAAACTTTTTTTTTTTATGACTCCGAACACACACACACAATTTTTATCTGTGCCTTTTTATGTGAGACATATTTAATAGCTTAAACTCTTGTCAGATTTTCTCTTTTTTTTTTTGACACGTTCTATTTTTCCCACGGCACCTGAGATGTGTAAGATCAAAAAAATAAACCTTTTTTTTATTTTTTCTTTCCTTTTTTTTTCATAAATGTTGCAAAGAAGAGTTTTACCCATTTTAAAGAAAAAGTCTTTATATACTACACAGGTAATTTTGCACACTCTTGATAATAATAATAATAAAAAAAAGGGGGGTTATGGCCATGAGGGTTAATTCTTGCAAACACTTATATATATATATATATGTAGGCAGTTCCAGTGGTAAGTTTTTTTTTTTTTTTTTTTTTTTTTTTTTCAGTGAATCCCGAGAGATTTAAACGTAAAAAGAGTAGGTGGTGCAAGACAAAGTGTCTCATCCACTTGTAGATAATTACCAACGACACCATGATTACCTTCGAATTTCCATTACCGAGCGTTGTAATCTCAGATGTAAAAAAAAAAAAAAAAAAAACTTGGAGAACATCTTCCCCCCCCCCGACACGCGCAGTGTGAACTAACACTTTTAATTTTTTTTTTTAAAAAAAAAGGCACGTATTGTATGCCTGAAGGAGGCGTCCCACTTTCTGCAGCAGGCAGTCTTTTAACCACGACCGAGATTCTTCGTCTCGCTCAATTATTTGTTTCTCAAGGTGTAAAAAAGATTCGTTTGACGGGAGGTGAACCCACCGTAAGACCTGATATTTTGGCCCTGGTAGAAGGTCTAGGACGGTTGAAAGGAAAAGGGTTGGAGAGTCTAGCCATGACATCCAATGGCATTGCATTGAAACGCAAATTACCACAATTGGTAGCCTCTGGCTTAGATACCTTGAACGTTAGTTTGGATACCTTGGATCCGCATCTATTTGAAATCATGACCCGTAGAAGAGGATTTCATCGCGTGACGGAGGCCATTGATGAGGCCATACGTTTGAATATGAAACATGTCAAGATTAATACCGTCGTCATGCGAGGCGTGAATGATGCCGAAGTACTCAATTTCGCTGCCTATACAAAGGATCGACGGGTGAATGTGAGGTTTATTGAGTATATGCCGTTTGATGGAAACCAATGGAATCGACAAAAGTTGGTACCCTTTAAGGAACTCATTGGACGTATTGAAGCGATGTATGGTCGGTTAGATAGGTTAACAGATACTGCCAATGATACCACCAAGGTAAGCTGGAAGCATATATATATAAAAAAAGGGAGGAAAAACTAAAGAAAATACTTCAGCATTATAAGGTACCTGGATATCAAGGTAAATTAGGCTTCATCACATCCATGACAGACCATTTTTGTGGTACATGCAATCGATTACGTATTACAGCGGATGGTAGTATTAAGGTGTGTTTGTTTGGAAATACAGAGGTATCGTTACGTGATTTGATCCGAAAGGAGAGTACGGATGAAGAGATTGTGCAAGTCATCAGTATGGCTGTCAAGAAAAAAAAGAAGCAGCATGCGGGTATGTTTGAGTTGGCTTCACAAAAGAATCGTCCCATGATTCTCATTGGAGGATAGTTCTATATATTCTCTCTCTCTCTCTCTCATTCTCTCTCATTTTCTCTTTATATATATATATGTATTAAAACTTATTATTTCTATCTCTCTTTTTTATATATATATCTCTTTTTTTTTAAAAAAAAAAAAGTAGTCAAACAAAGTGTGGGTATTCCAAGCTACTTGCTACAGACAGAAAATGTGTCTGTGGGACAACAAAGAAGAGCTTATTCGCAAGCGAGATTGACGCATACCGATGAAGAAACAGGCGAAGCACGTATGGTGAGTGTGACGGAAAAGGCTAGTACGTTTCGAGAAGCCAAAGCGATGGGAAGAATTGTGATACCACAAGAAGCGTACGATTTACTCAAGAAGAATGAGATGCATACAGCCAAGGGGAACGTATTGACCGTAGCGCAGATAGCAGGTATTGGAGCCGCTAAAAGTACATGGCAGTTGATCCCCTTATGTCATCCCTTGTTATTGGGCTTGATTGAAGTAAGATTGTGGTTGGATGATGAGAGACGGAGTGTGGAATGTCGGTCAAGAGTGCAGACGAGTGGGAAAACTGGAGTAGAGATGGAGGCATTGACAGCCACAAGCGTGGCTTTATTGACCGTCTATGATATGTGTAAAGCAGCCAGTAAAGAAATGCGTATCGAAGGGATCCGTGTCGTTGAAAAAACCGGTGGTAAAAGTGGGTTCTGGCAATCGAATGAAAATGATGATGAGGGTGTACAACAGGAAAATTAACACTTTTTGCAACCAATGAAGATTCTAGAATCCATCCTTCTATTTTCAGCATAAACTTATTACATAACAATCATAAGATTTCGTAAGCAAATAATAAAATTATTACCCGTAGCAGATTTAGAGGCTCTTAGTTTTGAAAAATATTGTAAATTGGGATTCCCATTCCAGAATTATCCCCATATACAACACCAACAGTAAAGTTAGAGGAAGAGTTACTGGGATATTTTTTATAACTAAAAAGTAAGCATCAGATACCGTACTACAAAAAGGAATAAGAAATAGGGAATCCCTTACACCTTTTTTATTTTATTTTTTTACTTTACGTCTTCAAAATTAAATTACGCCTATTTACATGACATATCATTTTAACTTTTTTGTAATCTTCATAGGATGATCGATTTTTTTTCCCCATAAATATGCTCACTATTGGTACATGATACTACTGATAAATGAACTGGTCTGGGGTTTACTCGTATAAGCCTGGGACTATTTGCATATATTTCCATTATAAGTAAAGGCTCAAACATTACGGCTGATTACATAAAAAAAAAAAATTAAATTATCCTGACATAATCCAGCCTTGTTTATCAGTCTGTAAAAACCACTCATTCACACACTTTCTTCTTCTTCTTTTCTTTTTTCCTTTCCTACGTAAAAGCTAAAATTATCGAGGCAGTCTTACTTAAACATGAAAGAAAATTACAATCATGGTGTAAAGGTTAATTAATAATGACTTTAAATTTTTAAAAAATGCTAAAAAATATTTACCTCTTTCTTTAAAACATGAAAAGGACGTAATGCATTTTTTGTGATATTACGGCTGAGGCTATTTTTCGCTATACAATGGAGACCTCTCAGGCTTAACTTACGGGTTCTAGCTTGGGACCCCTATGAGTCGCATAATTTTTTTATTATGGTAAATGATCGCGTAACTCTAAAAAAAAAGCGTAGGATTCACCACAGCTTCCCCGCTGATTGAAAAGATCATCTTTTGGCAAAATCGTCAAAAATTGATCTAGGATTTTCAGGCATCCACAGTCATCATTTGAGTTTCTGTGGTGTACGAGTATTTGATGCTCAAATAACGTTCATTGGAACCTGAGTAAGTGTTTTCCTCTGCAATTGACTCCGTCTGTCTTTAATGCCAACATATTTAATTATTAGACAGTTTCGTACCGTCGAATAGATGGTACGTTATTGTAAGGTCGTTTATGCCTCACCGGTGTAAGACCTAACCCGGTGAATGACCTTGCGAGTATGACGTTACACCATGCGTCTTCTTCAACGTTTGATGTTCTTCAGAGGCAGAAATTAAAGAAGAACTAGATTATCGCAAGTAATGGCACTCGACCCGTCTTCTGGACAGCGACATGAAGTCTCAGAGTAGTGAGGATCACCATGAACCTCGAAGTCGCGATTACGAGTTGGTCGCAGATTGCAATGAAGCTGAAGCACAACCATATCACCAAGAGCAGCTTTGATATTCCGAAGAGTAAAAATTAAAAATTATTTAATAATCCTTCCGCAGGTTCACTGTCTAGAAGGATTTGACGTAATTAAAGGCTTAACCCAATTAAAGTCCATGTCAAAAAAAAATGGGCCCTAAATCATTAAGTGATATTCGTCTATTGTAGGTGACAACTCATACAATATATACCCACCCGGAATACTACTAACGTTCACATATATAACTGACATTAGAGCCATTAATGATTTCTATCTTTTTTAGCAAAGATAGAAAAAACTCAGTACTAAATCATATGCTATTGTATGATGAAAATGATTATGTGTAATACACTATTGAAAAAAGAAGACAATCAAGGCCACTAAATCTAGTGAGTCATCCAATGAATTGTTTCATTATATGTTGTCTCACCTATCATTATGATTTTTAAAAGTGAGCGTGGATTAAAAAACTGAAGAATCCATCTGGGACTAGTTTACAGTCTTTAACTGTAAAGTAAAAAACTCAAAGCCATTAGAAAAATTAAACCCCAGTAACCAATAAACGTGTCTGTGAGTTCCCCCCCAGCCAGAAAAAACGTTTTAAATATCCGACGATGCAAAAAAAAAAAAGTTATAAAAGGAGCTGAATAAAATACTACTTTCTCTTGTTTTAAACTAAAAAATTACGGGCGTGAGCAGAGTCGTGGTATAAGCGAATCTTTATCAATGGGCCATATCGCGCTACTCATCCCCACGATTAAACCAACGTGCTTTGACATCTTGTATGTCGGCCGGTGCATTGGCTGCAGTTATCTTTTTGTGCTTTTTTGAACGAATTGACGCTAAACCAACTGTACGCACAACTATTTTTTATTTTATATTTAAATTTAATTACAAACGAAAAAAAAAAAAGGAGTGAAAGAAAGAGAGAGAGAAAAAAATGATCAGCATATGCCTTCTTATGACAGCTATGTGCACTTTTTTTTTTACTTTGACAAGCTTTTTTTTTTTTTACATGTTAATAGTCTAAATCAAGTACAGGTAACTAATAATTCACGTACTGAAATGGATATATGGAATTGTATAATTTTTTTAATAAAAAAAGGGTAGGAGGAGATTTTTAATGATAAAAAAAAAAGGGGGGGGGGGGGATTTACTCTTCAGCAACAACAGGAGCGGCCTTCTTGGGCTCATCACCAGTAGCTCTAGTGTAGATGACTTGAGCGTGATGACGAGAGATAGCCTTGATCAAACCTTGAGCTTCGAGTTCACGGATAGCGACACGAGCTAAAGAACCGTTCAACTTGAGACGATCAACGAGGACGGATTGAGAGATGAGCTTGTAGGTGGGGACTTCCTTGAACAAACGGTCATAGGTGGGCTTATCGAGAATGACAATGTTGTTGGACTTATCCTTGACCTTCTTGGCAGACCACTTCTTCTTGGCCTTCTTACCTCCAGATGAGGAACTGGGCTTACCGGCGACGTCCTTCTTAGCCTAAGTGGAATTGAAAATGTCAGTACATTTTTCTCTTTTGTGAGTGCCGAGTTGAGGAGTCATGTTGAGAAAATAAGAATGTGCGTTTGTTTCCCCTAATGTTCCATTGTCATTATAAACATGTTGAGCTGAGGGGCAAATACAGTTAAAAAAAAAAAAAAAAAAAAAAATCCATGCTGTTTTGTTGATTTTACTGTTAGATCCTAGGTGGATGGATGGATGGATGGATACGATTTAAACAAATCCATTAGCTAATCCATCAATTTAATAATAAAAAAACAAAAATAAAAAGGTGGGAATCCATTTTCGTACAGATGATGAGTGGTGGGTGGGTGGAGGAATCTTCTTATTCTTATTTTCTCAATTGGACCTTTTCAGTAATTTTGTTTGATGAGTACTAACCATTGTAAATTTAGAGAAAGAACAAAAATAGGGGCATACTACATAGTGCGCTTTAGTATCGGACCCCTCCCTCCCCCGCTCCACCCCCCCCCCCACCCGCGCAAACACTGCACACACCACACCTACCCTCCCCCCCCCCCCCTCACACACACAACATATTCACTCACGCTCATCCTCCCCCCAAAGTGTCAGAAAGCAAGTCACATGTCATCATATGTTTAGACTCCGATGACCTTACTGTTTCTCTTTTGGTATGTATCTTGGAGATATTTTCTAACTCTGCATACCATCTTTTTCAATGATAAATAGAGAAAGAATTAGTTAATAGATAATCGAATGCTGATGCATATGTTTGTGTAGTAGAATTATATTTTAAACTCCCGTTTTGGTAGTGGGGGGGGGGGGAAGGGAGCCACTATAAATAATAAAATTTGTTTCGGTGAAAACGGACGGGTTCTTTTAATATAAAAACGATTTTTTTTTTGGGGAAGGGTCAATGCTTGGATTACTTTTACAAGAATGAATTCTGATGCGAGTATAAAACCAAACCGAAAGAAAGCCTCGCGAGCCTGTTCTCATTGCCAGAAAGTAAAAAAAAAAAAAAAAAAAAAATTAGAAAAATTTATATATTTTTTTCTTATTCAATGGGAGCTACATGTAAACCTGACTCTTCCACGCTTTAGGCTCATTTGACATGCGACGATTGTACAAGTTTATTTTTTCCGATTGATTCATTTTTTTTATTTTTTATTTTTAAATATTAACTCTCTTTCTTATTGTACAGCTCGACCATGTCAACGATGTATTAAAAGAGGACTGGAGAATACGTGTACAGACGGAGCAAGGAAAAAAGCAAAATATCTACAGGATGATGATCAAGGTAGTTTTTTGCCCCTCGGCCTATGTATCGTTTTTTTTTTTTAAGTATTAAGTTTTTTTAAAATTTGTAGATTCCGATACACGGTTTCAGTCAAATATGATGACACCACCCTCCATCCTAGGTTACGTTGATGGTAACTTGTGTTCATCGTAGGAATGATTTTTTTTTGTTTTGTTTTTTTTACTGAGCATACAAATAGAAAAATATGGGTTTGGAAGTGATGCAACGAATTTGGAATACGGAATGATCTCTAGCATGATTCCTTCACCTACATTTCATCCCCCGCCACAGCAGCAGCAGCAGCAGCAGCAGCAGCAACAACAACAAGCGTCGTCATGGATGCAGATGGAACCGAATACGATGGTGATGAATAGTAGTTCTACGCAATCATCACCTAGTTTATCGTCATCGAAAAGCGAACATCCCAAAGTGGTAGTACGAAGGAGGAAAGGAATTGGAAATACACCAGAAGAGATTTATTTTCGAGTGCAGAAACCGTATAATTATGTAGAGAGTTATCGTTATTTGATCGAATACGCAAAGCACCGGTAAATTATAGGCTGGAGATGGGGGTAGTGACGATGTGGACTAATTATCTATGTGTGTGTGTGTGTGTGTGGAGAATAGGATGGGTAAAGAAGAATTGGTGAGGATTAGTCGAGCGCTTGTATTATTTCGACCGTCGTACATGTCTGTGGTTGCTAGTTTAACGGAGGAAGATTTAGTGTATATGGAGAAATGTGTGCAGCGTACCTTATTAGAGTTTGAGAAGCTGATTAGTTTCTCAGGGACACCGACGGTGGTTTGGCGAAGAACGGGTGAAATTGTGTTGGTGGGTAAAGAGTTTTTATTATTGACGCAATGGAGTAAAGAGGCTCTACTGGGAAAAAAGACGTACATTTACGAGGTAAGCAGAAAAAGTAGGATGCTGTGTATATGTTACTCAGTGTTTTTTATTACAGTTGATGGATAATGGATCAACGGTGGAGTATTGGGAAAAATTCTCTCAGCATGCGTTTGATAATGCAGAATCAGGTGTTTACATGTCTGTTATCTTGATGAGTCCTTCCTTTCGACCTGTGCCGTGTACGTTTTGTTTTACATTGAAACGCGATATTTTTGATTTGCCCTGTGTTGTAGTAGGAAACGTAAGTCTCTTTTCGTGTGTGTGTGTGTGTGTGTGTATATGTTTAAACATTTCTTGTTAGTTCTTGCCAATACTGGGTGCTGCCACACCCCATCAACAGCAACAGCAACAACAACAACAACAACAGAGCTAGAGTCACGTGAATGATGGTGTACGTAGTTCTCCCCGAAAATTAACCCCCTCACACACCCCATCCTTCGAAACATGAAAAACAATGTAGACTTTTAATTTTTTTTTTATTATCTTTTTCTTTAACTTATACAATATATAAATATACATATATTCTATACTAGTTTCCTCCTTCAATTTAAAGAGAAGAAAAAAAGAGAGAGAGAGAGAAAAGGTAATAATTAGACCTAAAGAAGCCAATTCGGGGGAAAAAAAAAAAGAGATGTAAAAAAAAAAAGAGTCTCATCTGGTTACTTTTGAGGGAGCGCGTGTATGTGTTTCTAGAAGAAGCTAATGTATGTTTTCTTAGGGCAGCCATTTTCCCTTTTTTTTTATATAAATATATATACAATTGAACAAGCTCATCTATTAGGATTGCAAACCTTGAATAGAACCTATTTTCCATCATCAAACAAGCAACCTTACTCCATTAGCGATTTTTTTTTCCTGGCTGGCCCAGTTACGAAATAACCCAAAAAAACAACGTGAATACTATCTATGCCATGACCACGGACATTTCAAATACCACCCATTCCACTAGTGATGAATTAAACCACTCTTTTGTAAGTTTTTCATTATTATTATTATTTTTTTTGGGGCGGGCGAGGTCTATTAACGCTGCTATAATGAAAAAAAGATTGAGATACAAGAACTACGTACTAGAGCAGAGGAAGAACGCAGAGCAAAGCAAAGGTACACCCTTGACGAAAAAAAAAAAAAAAAAAAAAAAAAAAAAAAAAAAGTCGCCCTGAGTTTTTTTTTTTTCTGTTTTGAAAATTATGCAATAACCAGTAAAAAAAAAAAAAAAAAAAAAAAATCCAATGTAGGATGATTGAAAAGAATCGAACTCGACTTTTAAAAGAATTATTTTTATTAACCAAAGATAATCAAGATATCATGAGTTTTTTAAACGGAGCGATGGAAGAGATATTGACAAGTGAGGAAATGGTACGAGAACAAGCGTTTCTTAAAAAGCATGAATCCAGGTAAACCTTTCCCCCCTCCCCCCTTCCGTGTACACACACAGGATGGCTGATGAAATTATTATCTAGAGACGGTTTATTCCCACCTCTTTTCTTACCTAGCCCGACTACTACAACAACAACAACAGCAGAGATGGTAAGTAAAACCCTGTTGATCACTGCTCCACAAGAAACCAATACCCTTTTTTCCATGTCCCGTAGTCACAAGAGGAGGAGCAGAAACCGAAACAAGCATTGTATTTAACCACCACTTTACCGAAACGATCGGAATCCAAGCAACATGCAGTTCAGATTTACAATGGACACAAATTTGTCGATCGACGTAATGACGTGCCGTCGGGTATTGACCTTTATGCATGGCAATTAAAGGCTACATCCCAACCGTTGTATAAACAACTACAACAAGCGAGAAAAGTCCTGACAACACACGATTGGATGGTAACGTATCATCATAGAGAGTTTTTTTTTTTTTTTATACTCAATTTTTGTTAATGGAAAAAAAAAAATTTAGCTTGCAAGGGATGAATTAAAGGCAGTGAAGACAATTGAAAGCATTGAAAATCTGAAAAAGAAAAATATGTGGAGTTCTCGACAATTAAAACGACAAAAGATGATGCCTCGAACGAAAACGCATTGGGATCTGACCTTGGATGAAATGGTAAGTCAAGTGTAATAAGTAAAAAGCCCCCAACCTTTTTTTTTTAAATTTTTCTTATATTTATATATATACATCAGAAATGGATGAGAACGGATTTTAAAGAGGAAAGAAAGTGGAAGATGGCAAATGCTTATAAGCTATCCAAAGCGGTCATGGATTGGCATCGAGCTACGGATAAATCCAGCGTGTGTGTCAAGGTAAAGACAAAAAAAGAAGGGCTTTGAGAGAAGAACTAAAAGAGTCAAACTGTATAGATACGCGAACCTAGTACTTTATCCAGCCAAGAAACGATGGATGAAAACCCGACGACGACAGTCAGTATACCCGTGATGCAGGATGTCAATAATATACCAGAAGAGGTCATGCAAGATGACGACACAAAGGAAGAGGAGGATGAAATAATCAAACCTCAGGTGAAGGAAGAAGAAGAAGAAGAAGAAGAGGAGGAGGAAGAAGAAGAAGAAGGAAATCGTATTTCATCTGAAGTGATTGCAGATTATCGTCGATTAATTCAAATGTTGGATCTGGATCAAACCGTATTTCGATTACGAGACGACCCCAAAGAAGAAGAACAAGATTTAATAGCATTGTTTCCGGATTTGATATTGTATTCAGCACCCGATGGAGATCGTATTGGGAATGATCCATACTTTGATGAAGCAGAATATAGTCGTATTTTACCCTTCAAACTATCCACACAACGTTTGGTATTGCAACAGAGGACACGAAAGCGAGATGCAGAAGGATTACAAGTATATCATTTAGAAGACCTGTCCAGAAACAACGAACTATATGACTCCACTGCATCCTCACGTAAAATAAAAAAAAGAGAGAGAAATCTGATCGAAAAAAAAAAAAAAAAAAAATCTAACTTTTTTCTTTTTAAAAAAAAAAAAATGTAGCCTTGTTTGCACCCAAGAAATCAAAAGATACACCGGCGATCCAACCACCTACGCCTCAAGCACCTTCTACACGTAATCATGGGATGACATGGTCTGAAGATGATGATTTATGCCTGATTCAACTGATTGTACAATACTCATTTAATTGGGAATTGATATGCGATGCATTAAACGGGAGTCGGTTGGCAGTTCATGGAGAGAAGCGTACGCCATGGGATTGTCATGAGCGATGGAAGCAGAACAATTTGACCTCACTTTCTGGACAAATCAATACTGGTAAAGAAGAACAAAGGGCCCTTATCTGGATAGATAAAAAAAAAAGGAGGAGGGGGGGGAGGGCATCAGATATTCTAATTCCTTATTTTATTTTTTTTACATATTAGCCTATGTCAGCAAATTGAAAAAGGAGCTTTCAAGAAGACCCTCCGTATTAAAATTTGATTGTGCTCGAAAAAGACAGCGACAATATAATATATTTGAAGCTATTAAAAAGACTCAAAAGAAAAGAGAAGATTCTAACAAATCCAAAAGTAAATATAGCCCTCCCCCCCCCCCTTCCAACCCCCTCGTTTATTAAATACTCTTTTTTGTACACATTTAGCCAATACAGCACCTCCGCGTAGTGTGATAGAAACTCATGGTCTGAGTACACAAGGACAAAGATTACCTTCTGCCATGGAATTAAGTCTACACAAGATTCAAAGGGAAAGACAAATGGCACAAGCATTAATTGAACAGCGTCAAATGTCTAATTATGGTTTGAATTCACAAGGAAATGTAAGTCCTATATATTTTTTTTTTTTCACTGTATCCATAGTAACCATTTTTTTTTTTATTTTACATACAAAAGGGTAACCCAATGGCTCCACAGGTAACTACATCACAAATGAGACCCCCTACAGCATTGAATTCTTCTGCAGCATCTGCGGCGATCGCTGCCGCTGCCGCTGCCGCCGCTGCTGCGTCTGCGGCCACCGTCTCCTCTTCCACTACTACCTCCTCTTCCTCCTCGTCTAACGCCGCCTCTGGGGGTACTTCCACCAATAATAGGGGGATACCTAGACCTCCTCCCACACCACAACAACAATTTCAACAAGCGCAACAACAAGTTCTTGTTCAACAGCAACAACAACAACAGCAATTACAGCAACAACAACAGCAACAATTACAACAGCAACAAGCGGCTGTGATAGCAGCGCAACAGCAGCAGCAACAACAACAACAGCAAGCGCAAGCTCAAGCTCAGGCACAAGCTCAGGCTCAGGCTCAGGCTCAGGCTCAAGCTCAAGCTCAAGCACAAGCGCAAGTTCAGGCACAGGCACAATTACAAGCTCAGTTACAGGCACAATTAGGTACGACCAATCATAATGTTGGGGGAATTCAAAATCGGTATCCAGCTGCACAATTACACTTGTTACGTCAACAGCAGATGGCCTTGATGGCGGCGGCGCAACAACAACAACAACAACAACAGCAGCAACAACAACAACAACAACAACAACAGGGAGTAAGACCACCTACTGTGACAGGGCCAATGCAACAAAGATTTGCCAATGTATTGAATGCATCGCAACAATCACAAGGTGAGTTTGATATGTTTTTTTTTTGAGGGTTGATATTAACTTGATGCATGGAAAATCAATCTCCCTTCATAGGATTATCATCATCACCCGTGATAAATAGTGATAATACAGCGGTAGCTTTAGCAGCCCAATTAGCCCAATTAGCACAGTTAGGATATCCAATTCAATCATTGGGACAGTTACAACCGAATCAACAAGCGAATTTACAGCGATATATAGCGCAATTGCAAATGCGTACACCACAAAATACACCACAACAGCAAATGCAGCAGAGATTACAGGTAGCGCAAATGCAACAACAAATGCAATTGCAACAACAATTGCAATTACAGCAACAACAACAACAACAACAACAACAGCAACAACAACAACAGCAACAGCAGGTGAATGGAAACTCACCGCTGTTACAGAGAAGCCCCAATAATAATAATAGTAATAATAATAATAATAATAATGGGCACTTGGGCTGATGAAAAAAAGACAGGGAGAATTTTTTTTTTTTTTTTATATATAGTAAAGGGTGAACAGGGTTCTCAAACCTGCCCCCCCTTAATCCCTTTCTTTATGTATGACACAATTAAACTCCATTTATATATATAAACAACATGATGTTATTTTTTTTTATTGATTGTAAATGTTTGGGGGGGGATAAGAAGAAGGGTAAAGATATATACAATGAATAACTTTTTTTGAATAATTAAAAAAAAAAAAAAGCAATCTAAGCGTGTCCTTCTCTTGAGGCGACTTTATAATTTGGAGAGGCAGCGACGTGGTATGAAGAAAGGTCCTTTTGTTCCTTTAACTTGAAGTCTGTTTTAGCACTAGCAATGATGGCTAAAGGGGGGAAGGATTGTTTTAGTATTTGTTTGTGTATGTTTTATAAAAAGAGTTTTACCTTCTCGGATACCTTGTTCACCGGTAGCTAAAGTGCCAACAGGTAATTTACCATTGACGGAAAAAGATTTTAATTGCTTGACGAGTTCAGGATGTTCTTTCAAGACGGTATATGATCTTGACATTTTTCCGATAGCCAGGACTTTTCTCTTGATAATTTGTCTGCGATGAGCGTCTAATGCTTGGTGGTTTTCCATGTTGATGTTCTCAGCGTAGGTGTTGGTATTGATGATGGCGAGTGACATGATTATAAGAGCATACACTAAAGGTATAAAGAAAAATGAAAAAGTAAAAAAAAAAAGAGTCGTTGGGTGAGAGAAGAAGGGCTATTTATAAGAAAAGAACCCCTTAAAATATGCATTAAAACACAGAAGAGTTGGATTTATCCTTTTACGAAAGAAGCTGGAAGTTTGAGAACATTCTTGTCCTATTTCTTGAGCCGATCAGCTGTAATCTGCATTCAGTAATTCTAAAACTTCTATTTTTCTGTTCCATATTCAACAACATTTTATATCAAAATGTGGGTTTTTTTTTTTTTTTTTTTTCTATTATTTTTATTATTATTTATTAATCACCACTAGCACAGCCTCTACATCCACAGTGAACACATTCTACCATCTTTCCTTCTTCCAGCTTTTCTTTTGGCACTCTGCAGATACATGTTGTTCCAAAATTTGTATCTTTAGGTTGAATACATCGAAGACAACACAATTTCTCAAACCCAGACTAAAAAAAAAAAAAAAAAAAAAAAAAAAGAGAGAGAATATGTTAGTAGGCTTGCTGGATAATAATAATAAGAAAAAGAAAAGAAACCTTTTTCCACTTGGCAATAAGGTTGGCATCGGCATATTTATTCTTTAGCAAGTAATCATATAGATCGCGTGAGATCAACTTTCTTTTATAATATAAATCGTAAATATAACGAGACCGTTGATGATGAATACGGAATACTGGCCATGTTGTTTCCACAATACGTTTTCCTTCATGCGATTCGTTCTCCACTATAAAAAAGAGATGCCAAACATGAGTTTTTTTTTTTTTTTTTTTTTTTTTTTTTTTTGAGGGAAGTGACGTTTTTTTCTTCTTCTTCATTTTTACCTTCTTTCATTTTCTTTGCGAATTCTTCTAAAGTAGGTTCGATTTCATCAAACCCTTCAGGGGCTCTTTTTGTTCTTGTCGTTCTAATCTTTGGCATCGGTGTATGGAATATGTACAGATAAAAAAAGCTTTCCTAATGAATAAAAAAAAAAAAAAAGTTTTTTTGTCGTCATCTTTTTTTTGGGGGGAGAGAGAGAAAAAAAAAAAAAGATGATGACGACGACTGCATTTTGGGGGGTGAGGGAATCTTTAGTTTCAAGATCCGCTCTTCATCTTTTTCTATTATAGAGGTGTATCATTTGCCTGTAGGTAACGTGGAATTCATTTGAACATTGGGGGGTGATTGCATGAAAAAAGAAGGGCAAGATTTTGTAAGAGTGCATTCATGGACTTTTCTTTTTTTTTTTTTTTTTTACTCAGCAAATTGACATATAAACGGGGGGTATGGTGGATAGAAAAGGAGTGAGAGAAAAAAAAAAGTCATACTGTTTATGATAGGGAGACAATTTTTACAACATTTTCGTATCCATGGTTTTTAAACTGTATAAAAACTCCTATCTCTTTGAAATGTTGTGATAAACAAGGATGATAACTTTAATAAAAAAAAAAAAAAGTGGCGTTAAAAAAAAAAAAAAAAAAAAAAAAGGGTGCAGTAACACAAGGAAAGATTTTCCCTTTTTTCTTTCGCAAATAACCATAAAAAAATGTCTACAAATATTGATGGATATTCTTTATTTGCTTCTAGTACAGCAGGGCTTGTGACTCGTGTCATGACGCATCCTTGTAAGGTACAGAAAGGGGGGAACCCTTTTTTTTTATTATTATTAAATCAGCAAACTAAACAACGTTTTCATTCAAACAGTGGACACCATTAAAATCCGTTTACAGAGCAGTACAACAGGCAGTAATAATCTAAGCGGATTACAAAAAGTCATATTCCCCACAGGTGGACAGAATTTAGGTGGATTATACCGAGGATTACCAGTCGCCTTAATATTCTCTGTACCTGCCTTAACTGTCTATCTCACCTCCTATGAGGCTGCTAAGGGTCTTTTACATGACCATGGCATTGCTCGTGATGCTGTCATGAGTCATTTAACCTCTGCGTGTCTTGCTGAAGTGGCAGCTTGCTTATTATTTACCCCCATGGAAGTATTAAAGAATCGTTTACAGACATACAAGGGCCAAATGGGGAACCAAAAGTTAATAGGTACCATCTTTCGGCAGGAAGGAATACGTGGATTCTACAAGGGGTATGGCATGGGTTTAGCGGTGTTTGTGCCTCATTCAATGGTATATTTTGTCACCTATGAAAAGATGAAGGGATGGTGGATGAGCAAAGATGAGAAAAATCATGCTTGGTGGTTGTATATGATATGTAGTGGTGTAGCAGGTGTGACAGCTATCTCCATTTCAACCCCCTTGGATATTATTAAAACAAGGTGGCAAATCTCTGCTGCTGAAAATGGACAGGCCTTTCGATCTGGACCATGGCATATTGCTAAACAAATATTTCTACATGAAGGTAAAACTACTTTATTGAGAAGTTTTGGTGCTACCGTTGCTTGGGGGTTGCCTACCACTGCCATCAGTATGACTGTCTTTGAAATGTTGAAAGACAATAGACATGCATTTTCATAACTCTCACTCCTTCATTCCTATTATCTGTGTGCGTGTATTTTTATATATATCAAATATAAACATTAATAAAAAAATTTATTGAAAATATAAAATGGGAATGTGAGTAGGGAATAATTAAAATAAAGGGGGAGGGGGGTAATAGTAAAAAAAAAACTTAAACAAGACTGTAGAGGGCTAAAGCAACAGCACCAACAGTAGCACCGATACTAGCCCGTACAATTTGACCGTTGGAAGTTTGAACCTTGGCATTAGCACCTGTAGAGGGACGAGCCGCGTGTGAAGCTCCAGCAGAACTAGCATGAGCAAGACCACCAGAGGGACCAGCAAAGGATAATGAAAGTCCAGTGGCGTTAGCCATATGAGAAGAAACACCCGAGGCATGCATAGAGGCAGATGCACTGGAAGGCTTCATTTTAATGTCTTCAGCAGCTTCAACACCCGTGTCTTCATTATCAGAGGCAGCTTCCACTGTGTCCTCCGCTTCCATTTCGTTTGCCTCACCTTCACCAGCAGGTTCACTCATTTCTTCAGCAGCATTAGCATCTTCCTTTTCAGTCACGTCGTCCTTTTCCTCCTTTTCAGTGACATCGTCCTTTTCAGTGACTTCCTCCTTATCATCTTTGGCTTCCGTTTCGCCTTCCTCTTCCTTATTGGGACGGAAGGAAGCAGGTTTGACTGCCCCGTGCTTTGGTAAGGAAGCTTCATTGGCCTCTCTTGATTTCTCTTCCTTTTCAGGGTTCTCTGATTTCTCAGGGCCTTCCTCTTTCTCTTCATCTTCTTCATTGTTATTGACAGAAGCAGGTTTAGCTACATTCTCTTGACGAGGTGATGCTTCTTCATAGTTGGAATTGGACTTGAGAGCAGCAGCAGCAGCAGCAGCGTCATCATTGGAGGAGGCGGCACTGACATCATCATCAGCTTCGTCTGATTCAATGTCTTGTTTAACAGCCAAGGGAGCAGGTGGTGTATCTGATGAAGATGCAATAGAAGCACTGATATTAGAATCTGCGACTTGAGCGGGTGCGACTTGAGCTAAAATAAATTGGAAGGAACGAAGAGAATATATTATTAGCAATGGAGGGAAAAAAAAAGAAAATGTTTTTGTTCTACCCCTTTCTAAAAGAGAGAAAGCTTACCCTGAACCATAAGGGTTGCGATGGCAACAACAAGGATAGTCTTTGTATGCATTGAAAAAAAAAAAGAAAGAAAATTAAAATGAAAGGGGTGTATATGGAAAGAAAGAAGAGAAAAAGAAGGAAAGAAAGGGACTTTTTATTATAGGATGTAGATATGAATGTCTTTTACAATATATACTTTTTTTTTAATATTAGAACTATTTGGGTATGCTGTTACTGTTTGGTATGTTATTGTTTTTTTTTTAGAAAAAAAAAACTTATTGTACGTTTAAATCTAAACAATGGAGGATAAGATCATCATTCCTTTGGGCGCGGTGGAGAGGGGGGTGAGTTGAGGAAACAAAGTCTATTATATTTCTCCGTTCCCATATTTTAACTATATTAAAATCTAGGGTTATTTTTTTTTTTTTTTTTTTTTTTTTTTTTTGGGTGCATGATGTACGTTTTATTGGTGTGGTTGGAATTTATATCAACAATGTAAAAAAAAAAAAAATAACAATAAGTGTGGGCCAGTTAGTTAAAATGTGTCAGGGCCCAGCAGCAAAAAAAAAAAAAAAGGTACACAGGTTGTATCTACACATGTAAAAGAGAGAGAGAGAGAGACTGACTAGCCTTTATAAAAAAATATCTTTTTAAATTTTTGTTTTTTCTTTATTATTATTATTACTATGTAAAAAAAAACAGTTATTCCATTGTTGTCTTGGGTTGCATTTTTTGTTGTAGGAGTACAACAGATTGTTGATAGAGTGTTGTAGAATGTGTTTGTACAATGGTACGGTATTTCTCTAAAAGGAGTTTTGATTTCTCCAAAAGTGTAATCAGTACCTCATCCAAGGTATCTTGATGCTGTTCATAAAAATAAGGGACCGTGAATAAGCAAAGAATGAAGGCACCAAAAAAGACCTTGGTGGGGACTAAACTAGTTGCAAAATAGATGCATGCAGACAGGATACAAGCGAATCCAGTGGTCTTTGTATCGTGCACATAGACAATTTTGACGGTGCCCTGAACCACAATTTCCAAGACATCCACCGCCTTATGAATGTAATAGTCGATCAGGTCACGCGGGATGATCGCTTTTTGGCGATGCGCGTCCATATGAAGGCTTATGTAATTGGATTAGGTAAGCATTTTTTTTATATATATTTCTATAGTTATAAAAAAAACTTACTGGTAAGGGTGAATCAGCTCATGGGTGGGCAAACCGGTCCAGACAGTGCGGATGAAATTATAGACATTAACAAATATTAAATTGAAGCCGGTCAGGATAGTGAGGGATCCAGCCAAAACGTACAATAAAGAGTAATACCGCGTCAAGACCAGCGATCCTAAAATGCCCGTTAAAATAATACCTGTTCGACCTGGTATTTCCCAATAAATCAAGTCCATGAATTCAAAATAAATCAGCATCGCTACATCTTTTTTTTTTTTTTTTTTTTTTTTTTAATAAAAAATGTCAGTCTTTTTTTCTTTTAATGGAGTGTTTTGATGCGTATAGATTTTTTTTTTTTTTTTTTTACCGTTTTCCATTTGAAACTCATCATCTACCATCACCATATCCTCATCGTCTTGCTCATCGGATACATCTAGTTTTTGTACATTGGCGGGAGAAATAGGAGATGGCAGCTCGGTAGATTCAGAGGGTGTGAGAGGTTTACTTCCTAGCACTTTTAGACCGCGAACCAAATCATCCTGTGATAATTGAGGAGAAGGTGCTTTTATTGTAGATATATAAATGAGTCAATGTGATTTATCTTTACAAAGGGGGGGGGGGATGCTACTTACGGGCCATATGATTTAATTGTTTATTCATGGTCAAATGATAAGGGTTTGCAGTTTCTGTCATGGTTTAAATGAAAAAAGGAGAAAGGAAGAATAGAAGAGAGAAAGAGAGAAAGAACGGGTACAAGTTATATACTTTATAGGGTTGTTTCATGGACCATTTGGGCGTTTACCGAGTGTGTCCCCTAAGTTGTTTGGGGATGAGGGAGGACTACGCCCAGCTCTTAAATTTTTTTCATGCGACATGAGTTTTTTTTGAAACAGTAACAATAATTATCTTTTTTTTTTCATCTCTCCTTTAAATATAGCGTGGCTGTGTTATTGATAAACAAGAGTTTAAGCAGAGGATACAAATGCCGTTGTCGGTGACTTGGACGGGAAATCCCCTTCTGTCTCCCTTTAATTTTTTTATTTATTATTTATTTAAAAAAAAGTATTTTCATTGATCTTTGTTCTCTATTGACATACTGGTGAGAAAAGAGCCTTTTTTTTTTCGAAATAGAAAAAGAAGTGTTTACACGGTTTTAACACGTAATGTTTGTTTTGTGTGTGTTTTTAGATGAGCCGATATACATTGCGGGCCGATATTTTACGGATGAAACTCATATTTGTAATGCATCCAAACAATGTTACAGACTCTTTTTTGAAGAGTGATCCCACTTTATGGGATTTTGTCCCTTTTGTAAAAGAGAGAGAGGATAAAGCCAATTTATTGGTTGTGTGGTGTTTTAAAAAACCTTTTTTTTTCATTGGCTCTAACCGTTGCTTAATCAGCCGTTATCAGATAATCTCAGACTATAAACGAGAGAGGGGGGATTTTTTTATTTTTGCATGTCTTTTCTTCTTATTCGTAAATTTACAAGCAAAAAAATAACAATAAAAATGGCGACAGAATCACATGTAGATAACTTTTCAATTCACGGTAACTCGGTGAAACAAGTAAATATATAAAAGTTATTCCCAAAGTGGGAAACTAAAATAACAAAAAAATAATCTAGGTATTTGATGTGCCCATGTCCGTAATCAACCGACCGATTCCATCACAATTGGATAAAGAAAAGGTGGAGAATATGAAGACGATTTTACAAATACCCGAACGAGAGAATGAGTTGACACCTATTGTAAGTTTTGTAGCCTGATGAGAGTGATTTTAAACAGCCGCTCGCATATGTCTTATATCTTTTTTTTTTTATAGGATGTACATCATGTAAAACACAAGGGTCAAGACTATTACTTTGCATTTGGAGGGTGTCATCGTTGGGAAGCAAATAAAGAGTTAAAAAGAGAAACAATCAAGGCTAAATTAATCGAGACACCTGCTAGTGTGATCAAGACATATCTTGGCTCTTCCTCACCATTTAAGGATTAGTGTTTTTTTTAAAGATAGATAAATTTTAATTTATTGATTATAAAAATGAAGGGGAATCAAACCAGGTTTTGACAGGTTTCTAATCGATCATGTTCAGTAGGACAGAATATAGGTCGTGAAGGGTCAAACGTGTCTGTAACGATCTTTTGATCTCCCGAGAGAAACATTTGATTCCATAGTGCTCTGGATAAGTAACTGTATCCCACTGTGTTTGGGTGATATCCATCCACATTACTACAAGGGTTTTGTTTTTATGTTTGTTAAGGATTGATTGGGATAAATTTATATAAAAGTTACCTTAAAGCATATGGAGGCACCGTGGATGTATCAGGGTTCATGGGTTGATAAACAACCGCAATGTTTTTCTTGACTTCACCCAAATATGGCTTGATCATATCATTGATCTTGGAGCTTGTCAGTTCTTGTGCAATTTCAGACAAGGCTTGATTATATTCGACTACACGTTCAGAAATAAATTTCGTGCCACCATGAGGATGTCTGCAACAGTAGCATTCGAAATCAAGTAAGTCAATCGTGTCATTGACAAATTTTTTCTTGTAACCTGGTTGCTGATCCGTGAGATGAATAAGATCGCTGTATTGCATAATACCCACTTTTTTTTTTATATATACAAAAATCCAATTGTTTAAAATCCATGGAACCCCATGACATCATATATTCTTTTACACATACCAAGGTTGATGAATGCATAATCTACATTTTCAATCAGCTTTCGGAGACTATTTTTCACATTTGCCTTGTATCCGTCGACGGATTTACCGGGTAGACAAGAGATAGAGGCATCATTAAATCCGATAAAGACATTGATTAGCTTCCAGTGTTTGGCCAATGGCGTATTAAAGCCAATGCGTTGTGATAAATAATCTACTTGTTCTTCTAGTTCTTGACTGGTTGCCCCTGATTGAGCTGCATTCAGAAAATCGATACTGGGACTAATACAAAAAAAAAAAAAGATTTAACGTTTGTTTGTCGATCCTTTTTTTTTTTAAAAAAAAATAAATAAATAACTTACTCGTGATGACTATCAAGACAGAAAAATGTTTCTACAGAAAACATGTTTTGATGTTAATTATGGGTAAAAGTGATAACCCTTCTTCTTTAAATATATATTACTGGGGCATAATCTTGCAGGTTTCGCGCCAAGTGAAGAACCATGTAAATAAGGTTGGAAATGTTTGACGAGGTTTGAGATTGATGGTGCCCCTTTATCCTATGAAAAAAAGTTACTTTAGTATGTAATACTTTCTAAATACTTGGGGTTGTTACTTACACCACCCATCACCCAGCTTTGACCTCGATATTCTATAAATTGATCGTTTGATAGATACGGTGTATCGATGTTTCTAGCCACCATACCAGCGGTGACACTAGGTTTATGATTATTATTTTATTAAAAAAAAAAAATGATTCAGAAGCCCAATGTGTATATTTTATTTACCTGTCGCCCAATGCAGCAATGACGGTAATATCGTCTACTCTTAGATCATGTATATTTCTGGGCGGTGCATGCGGAGCGATAGCCGGACAATCCCTAATATCTTTCACTGTAATTGACAGGATGACTTGAATGAAGGAAAGAAACACCGTGATAAATAACGTTATTTGCATTTTTTTTTTTTTTTTGATAAAGTTAAAAAGAGAGAAAAAGAGTGAGGATGAAAAAGTATGATGGGTGGCAAAAAGTGTACATCTTATAACTTGGTTTTTCTTTTTCTCTCCTTTTTTTTTTTATGTCTTTACAGTTTGCTCCCCCCCCCCTCTCTCTGGTATCCCTTCGTGAATGATGTGAAAAAGAACTCCTCTTTATAAAAATGATGAAAAATGACGAGAAGGAACAATATTAGTTTATTTTTGAGAATGTTTAAAAGTAGATAAGTAAGTGTGTGCGCACTCTTTTTAATTTAGTGTTGCGTGTTTGTTTATGAAGGCCTCTTTGTTATAATTGACTGTAAAAAAAAAGGGGGGGTGGGATGCTAGTCAATTTTTCTCAAAGTGCAACGTGTTTTCTATTATAGTCATGCATTCAATAGAAAATCCCCCTTCCCCCAGCAACGACATGTCAGGTGATAAAAGAACTTTTTTTTTTATTTGCTAGAGAGGAAAAAAAAAAGAAGCGGTTATTTAAATCAACCGATCATCACAGACGTCTTTGGTGCTTTCGAATAATGTATTGCCGTGCATATCTTTTTAGATTAAAAGTATAAGTGCTACACAAGTTTATTTTAACAACAAATTTTTAATGTCCAGCACAACTTTGGTCAAAGTTATAATGTCTTGGCGCATCTGTCTTGTTTCTTCCATGCTCTTATCTAAACGTTCTATTATTTCAGACTGTCTATCGATCGGTTGAGAACCCGAGCCACCTGGGGAAGATTTCTTGTTGTCGTTACCAATGGAGGGTGAAGCTTCTTCGCCAGCAATTGCTTCCTCAGATTTTTTCTTGCCCTTGTCTTTACTACTTTCACCTTTTTTATCTGCTATAAGATCTTTATCCTTTTCGACCTAAGGTTGTAGTTTTAGTTTTCGCGGGTTCGTTTTGTATACATAAAAGTAAAACTTACGTGATTCCCTTCACACAACATGTCAGGGTTCACTGTGTCTGCTGGACTTTTTTCGAATTCTTCGAAAATGACTTTATATGTATCGCGAAGTTGCTTTAGTTGGTCTATCATTGAATGTCTTTTGACAGGTGTTAGGTGTGGATCCTGGCTGTTGACATCAATTAGCATTTTGTCCCACTGTTCGGTTCTTGACCCATGAACAACACGATAAGGCTTATGCTCTTTGCATGCATTGAGCAGAGCCAACTTTCTTTTGGCAGTCCATCTTCCCCTCTTTTGGGGTTGGGACTCAATGTTAATATTGTGTGGATTTTCCATGTTTCTATTGCTAATTTTGGAATTAAATAGAACTAGAAAGAAGTTTATCCAAATTAAAATTTCACTATTTATGAAAAATTGACAAAAGAATTTTATTAAAGCCCCCGGCATGTGCCAATAATGACTCATGTTTATGAAGAAAAAATTTTTTTAGCTCAATTTGGCAAAGTCGCCTCCATGTATTGACGAAAGTGTGCCGTAACATATATTTACGAGTACTGATCGCGTATCTAACATCATCGTATATATCTTAAAAATAAATTTGTCTGGCCTTTTTGATCTATTTTACAAACCTTTGTTACCCTTTAAGTATGTCTTTAATAAAATATACGGTCTCTTAGGGACAGCCAAATTTTCTTAAGGACAGCCATTTTTCTTAGGGTCAGCCAGGGTGCGCGTAGTCGTAATGTTGGGATTATGACACTTTAATAGACACCAAGAGGTCAATATAACTTAACAACTTGAAATATATACACGTTTATTAAAAAAAACATAGTGTAAACCAGTATATATGTTTTACAGCTTACTTTCAGCTTCTCGTTTAGACTTTACCTTAATATTGCTGCGTAAGATTAAGATCAAACGAGCTCAAAGGCGAAAAAGTGAAGATAGAATGGCCAAAATAAGTATAAATTGTTTAATATACATTTCGTAATTGGTACATTGTTTTTGATTGTATATCCTTGTTCCCAGGTCTAAAGAACATCCAAATCACAGATCTTTCGTTGCGACTACGTGCACTTTGGCTGTCCCTAAGGAAAATTTGGCTGTCCCTAAGGAAAGCGTAAAACATACCTCGAATTTTATCGATTACGTAAAAAAAAATTTAATGCTGGAAAGAAAAAAAAACATTGCAGACGTATCCCGCCCGAGATTAGAAAGCTTATTATAGAGCAAGTTGCGATTGAAGGAGTTATCACTCAATCGGTAGCTGCTAGACGATATGACCAACATACTTCACTTTTTAAAAGTATTTTAGATGCCTGTTACACTGAATTCATATAGAAACAAAGAAAATGGGCGGTAGAAGAAAGGAAGTTGAAAAGTTCAAGGATGAGCATGGAGAATGCATTGCACATATTTTGAATGAAAACCGTACAAAAACGCTTGATACGATGAAAGAAGATTGACTGGCAAAATCCTCTGATCTTTCTGAAAAGTCCATATCTTCAAGTGCTTTGTGGCGATACCTAAAAGAGCAAATGGCATTCACATTAAAGCGTAAAAAAGTGGACGATATACGCCAGAAACAATTGACCAGTGATACGCGTTTTTCATTCAACGATTGTCAGAAAGAGGCACTGGGTTACAAGACACATTGTGTATTTGAGAGTGGCTTTAGCGCGGACAAGTTTACACAAAGGAAGGCACCATAAGCATAGTCGATAATGCTACAAAGCAAGCATAAATTATATCCATCTTTGCAGGCATTTATTAGCGAGGTGTTTACAATGTATTTGTAAAGATTGACAAAGGAAAAACAATTCGTACGTTTTCCATGGACTCTGTTAAGGGGATCCTGAAGAAACTAGCTCATTCTAAATGCTGGATCTTACTTTTTTGTGAAGGATAAATGCTTCCATTCACAATGCGCAATTGGGTGGAAGAATGCTTTTCAAAGTTAAAATACTTGGTAAATCACAGCATTCTGTTTTCTTTGGGGATGGACCTAAAAATAATAATAATAAAAATGCATTTAAGACCATTTGGGTAATATATTTTAGCGTTGAGAAATGACCTTAATATGGCCAAATTTTAGTGGGGTGAGTGTGTGAGTAAAGCCTAAAGTTTTTTTTTCCTTTTTACTCAGCTTAAATTTTCTGAATTTGTAACAAATTGTTCCCCCACACACATGCACAAAGTGTTTATATAACGTACCCCTTTTTATCATTTTTCTTTTCCCTTTATATCTTCACTAAAGAAAGAAAAAAAAATGGCCCGTGTACCACCAAACGACGAGGATGCTAAAGTACAGACAGCTTTGGCGCGTATTGAACAGATCAAATCTCAGATAAATTTATCGTCTTCGCCCATGTCTCGACAGGCTCCCAAGGATATGGCGAGAGAGCGAGCTGCCGCTGATTTTAATATTGAGGCGCTGGCTATGTTATGGGCTGGTGGAGAGAAGCAATACAGGCTGGTTCAAAAAGCCTATGGGATTATCAAGGATGACCCCTTGTTAGTTGTTCAGGCACCTCGTAATTTTTTAGAGCTCTCCAAGGATGAAATGCGTGAATTGTAAGGATGAAAACATTGCTGTTGTTGCTGTTGTGTAACCAAAAAATTATAATGTTTTTTAGTACGATGGGGCAAATATTCCGAGTGATTCAATTTATGAAGGAAACAGAGGATAAAGAATTGGCACATGAAGTTGGTATGGCTACCAATGTTTATTCTGAAAGTTTTTCAATGCGATTCTTTGTGCATGATTCACTTTTTCGTAATGTTGTCAACATGTTGGGAAATAAAGAGCAGCAAGATCGGTATAATGATGATATCAGCAATTTTAGAATTTTCGGATGCTTTGCTATGGTAAGTGCCCCCTCTCCTCTCCTGACATCTTGAGAATACTAAAATTATATGTATAGACCGAGTTGGGACATAGCTCTGCATTAAGAGATATTGAAACAACGGCCACGTATGACTTTGCTACTGATGAATTTATCATTGATTCTCCTACAATCACAGCAACGAAATGGTGGATTGGTATGTCTGGACAGACGGCTACGCATACTGTTGTGATTGCACAAACCTTGGTGGATAAGAAAAATGTGGGACTGAACTGGTTTGTGGTTCCACTTCGTAGTAAATATACGGGCGAATTAGAACCTGGAATTCAGATTGGTGATATTGGAGCCAAAGTAGGCCATGCGGGACTTGATAATGGATGGATTCAGTTCCGAGAAAAGCGTATTCCACGTCATGACATGCTGGCAAAATGGGTTAGTTTGAATCGACAAGGAGAGTTTACGCCAGCTCCTAATCCAGCTGTCATGTATGCGACTTTGATCCCTGAACGCTTGTCCTTAATCACGGGTACGACTCAAATTATTTCCCAGGCGCTTGCGATTGCTACGCGGTATGGCGTTGTACGTCGTCAAGGCAACAAGAATCAGCAAATTATGGATTACCAATCACATTATGTCAAGATTGTGCCTGCTATTGCGTTCATGTATATGTTGAAGACAGCAGGTGTTACCATGCATGAGCAGTTTGCGGTGTTGACGGGAGATGGTAAAATGGATCCTGTGGTCTATTTGAATCATATGGGTGATATGCATGCTTTGTCTGCAAGTTTGAAAGGGTTGGCTGGATGGTATGCGACGGATATTCTTGAAACGTGTCGTCGAAGTTGTGGAGGGCATGCGTACTCTTCATATAATGCGATTGGACATATTATTGGTGATTGGGGTGTGATGACTACGGGTGGTGGAGATAATGTAGTGTTATTACAGCAGTGTGCTCGATATCTTTTATATCGACTTGAGCAACAGCTTGAATATGATCAATACCCCGACCTCTTGTTTAAAAGTTCTGGTAGTTACATCAAGGATGCTAAAAGATATTTGGAGAATAAGACATGGGGTACCAATGATGCCGGAGATTGCTTGAAGGATTTCACCTTGATCCAGGAAGCCATGAATACAATTTTAGTAAAACGTGTAAGTAAATTTTTTTTGATATTTACCAAAAAAAAAAAGAGACATTAATTTATAGTTTTGTTCCTATTAGTTGTATACAATTCAACAAGCTCTCAAGAACGGAAGCACGCATAATGACGTATTACTTGAGTCTGTCCGGGTTTCAGAATTACATTGTGCCTCATTTATATTTAGTGTGTGTGCTGAAAAGTTTGGACAACATAAGGGAGCGTCAAATGATATTGAACCCAGCGTGTTGGCCATTATGAAAAAACTAACCGCGGTTTGGGGTATGCATGTGCTTTATACGTATGGAGATCAAGGGTTCAAGGAAGGGTATTTTACTCCAGAACAAATCAACAGTATTGAAAAGACGTATTTGGAACTTTGTAAATCACTTCGTATGCAAGTGATTGGACTCACAGATGGATTTGGATTCCCTGATTTCATTTTGAAGGCCCCTATTGCTAGATATGATGGAGATATTTATCAACGTAAGTGTTTTTTATTATTTTCTTTAAAGGTTAATTAGGATTATTAACCTGTTGTTCATGCGTGGTTTAAAAAATATAGCATATCTTGAAACTTTAATCGCTTCACCTGGAAGTACGGGGGTTCCTGCTTATCACGCTAAATATATTAAACCTTTGACGGAACAGGAAAATCCTAATGTTCTGAAAAAATAAAAATCTATGATGGACTGATGTAAATGCATGAAATTTAATAATTAGATAAAAGTAAGAGATGTTTTTTTTAAAAAAAAATATGGAAAGTTTCTATTATAAAGCGGATAAGGATTGTTCATGGACAAGCTCTGAATACGTTCCATTAAGAGCCAAAAGGTCCCAATGAGTTCCTTGTTCAATAATACGACCATCTTTCACGACACAGATCAAATCTGAATTTTGAATGGTGGAGAGACGATGAGCAATTGTGATGGTTGTTCTACCTCCCTCTTCCAAAATATTGTCCAGGGCTTCTTGTACAATACGTTCGGAGTCACTGTCGAGAGCAGATGTAGCTTCATCTAGTAACAAAACTCTAGGTTTACGGATTAAGGCACGAGCAATAGCAATACGTTGTTTCTGACCACCAGAAAGTTGAGAACCCTTGTCGCCAACACGTGTGTTGTATCCATCAGGAAGACTTGAAATAAACTCATGAATATTGGCGGCTTTACAGGCGGTTTCAACATCTTCTTGAGTAATTTGGACATGATCATCTACACCAAATCGAACATTTTCACCAATGGTGATATCAAAAAGAAATGGTTCCTGTGAAACAAGAGCCATGTAACTGCGAAGATTGTTGATGGAGTAGTTTTTAATGTCGACGTTATCGAGAGAAGCAATGCCTTCAATAGGATCGTACCAACGTTGAAGCATACCAATGGTAGTGGATTTACCGCAACCGGAAGGACCGACAAGGGCGATCGTTTGACCGGCATTTCCTTTAAGATTAAAGTCGCCGTTGAAAACGGAAACATCAGGACGAGCAGGATAGCAAAATTTAATATTTTTGAAATCAATATCGCCTTTAATTGTTTCGTTAGCGGGTTCAAGGCCTTCTAATTCAGAATCAATGAGAGGTTGCCGACCAAGAACGGCAAAAGTTGAAATCGCAGAATATTTGGCTTTAGCAAAAGTACTAGCGAAGACACTACTTCTTCCAGCCATTTCAGAAGCGATCATAATAACTAGGAGATAAAATAAAAACAGTTAAAACAACTCTTTATCTTGGTATTATGTGTGGGGAAGATTTACCTTGCATTGTTGTAAACATTTGTTGAAAAGTAATACTGCCATTAGCAATTAATCGAGAACCACCATAAAATGCAACAGAACTTGTGTAAATACCAATACCACGGCTAAGACCGTACCCAATTGATGACAGGTAAGCCTTTTGTCCAGCAAGCTTGTGGGGACGTTCAGTAGCATGAAAGTAGCGATCCTCAAAGTAAGATTGCTTATTCAAAGCGGCAACAGTACGGATTTCACGAATAGCCTCACCGGCCACTTCACCACTTTCAGCATTGGCCCTCTTTGTTTTATCTTCATAGCCACGATGAACTCTGGATTCATAAGAGGTAGCAATCATAATGAATGGAGACATACAGAGAACAATTAAAGATAAAGCCCAACTGTGAACGAATGCAATGATTACACCAACAGCCATGGTAGTAGAAAATTGAGTGACATCGCCCCAGACCTTTGTGACCATTTCGTTTACGTTGTGAGCATCTACCGCCAGCATGGTAGTCAAGGCACCTGTGTTGTTTTCTTCCATATCATAGAAGCCAATTTCTTGACGCATATAAGCTGCGAAAAGATTATAACGAAGACGCTTCGTGTAAGATTCACCTGCAAGCTCAAACGACACGTTTTGTGCACTATATCCAATGAATGCACAGACACCAATGATGAAGAAAAGTAAGGCGTAAAGATTGGTACCTTTTAAGGGACCAGGAGCGATGTTTGTGCTTGAGGGATCACTAATTGTCGTAATGACTTTTGAAAACAAGAAAGAGTAGATGGGAAAGATGCAACCGGCCAAGACAGCACCCAAGACGCCTGAGACGAGGAATGGCCATTCGGGTTTCATTTGGATTAAGATTTCTTTCATGGGGGCCTTTTGCTTTTTCATGATTTTCTTTTCTTGCTCTTGCTTACTAATTTTTAAATCATAGGCGTCTAAAGTTACTGAACTGTTATTGTTGCTATCGAGATATATTCCATCCTTGTTTTCCAATTCAACTTTTACTTCTTTCTCATTATTATTTTTAGACACCAACTTTGACAATTTATGAGCTTCTTTCTCGCGCACTTGTTCTTGGATTTCTTGTTCTTCTTGTTGAAGTAAGAGATCAGGATCAATATTCTTGATTGTGGAAGTATCCGTCGTATCGATCGCTTGCTTGCGAACCAAATCAGCATAGACACCGTTTAATTGCAAGAGTTCGTTGTGTTTTCCTTGTTCAATCATGATACCGTGATCCATAACAACGATAAGGTCAGCATTTACAATAGTAGAAAGTCGATGAGCCACAACAATAGTAGTACGATTGGAGGAAGCTTTATCAAGAGCATTTTGAACCAAACGCTCAGATTGGGTATCTAAAGCAGAGGTAGCCTTGATTAAAATGTTAGTTTCAATAAAAAAAGATTATGCAAGCGAGATGTGTGTTAAATAATTACCTCATCTAATAACAAAATTGAAGGATTCTTTAAGATAGCACGAGCAATAGCAATACGTTGTTTTTGACCACCAGATAGCATACGACCTTGTTCACCCACAAGCGTATCATAACCGTTAGGCAATTGAGTGATGAAAGTATGACAGTTAGCTTCTTTACAGGCGCTAATCATTTCCTCATCTGAGATTTTCTCCTTGTCACTTCCCATAGCCAAGTTTTGACGAACAGACATGTTGAATAATACCGGTTCTTGACCAACAGTACCAATTTCTTGACGCAACCATTTGACATTGAGATCTTTAAAATCATGACCGTCCAAAGTCATGCTTCCGGCCAAGGGATCATAAAATCTTTGCAATAGTTGAATTGTAGTTGATTTTCCAGAACCTGATGGACCGACAAAGGCAACTGTCATACCAGCCTTGATGCTAAGAGTCATATCCTTTAAGATAACAAGATCGGGACGAGAAGGGTATTTGAACATGATATTTTTAAATTCAATAGCTCCGGACACATCTTTCAGCTTTAGACCTGCTTCGGAATCGACATCAATATCAGGTACACGATCAATGACAGCAAATATCTTATGGGCCGCACCGCGAGCACTGAAGATAGCGGTCATCGTACCTGGAAGATTGATCAGGGACATACTTCCGACCATCATACTCATGAAGACCACAAGAACAGTAGGACCGTTCATTTTTCCTTTGATGACAAGTTGAGAACCATACCAGAGAGCTAAAGAGTAGGTAACAAACAGGAAAAAGATGAAACTAGCGAAACCTACACCGGACACTATACCACGCTTGTAACCTGCTTTACGAGCCTTTTCAAGTTCGACCTCATATCTTTGGGAGAAGCGTTTTTGTAAACTGAAGGAATAAACGGTACGGATCGAGTTAAAAACTTGTTCTGCGACCGAACCAGCAGCAGCATAAGAGTTTTGGGATGTTAAGGTATACTTGGTGATAAAAAAACCCATGCCGCCGCCTGTCAAAACTAAAAGAGGCATTACAGCTAACATAATTACAGCCAATCGCCATCCTAAAAAAAATATAAAAAATTAGTAGTCAGATCAACAAATTTTAAATCGAAAAAAGTTGAGTGTACCTCTGGAAAATGCAACAGCAAATCCACCAATAAATTGAGAAGAAAACATAATGAATCTGCCAAACTTTTCTGATATACCATCTTGGATCATTTGCGTATCTGTTGCTAATCTAGTATTCAGAGATCCTTCTGATGCTTCATCAAACCAACCCATTTCTTGACGTAAAACGGCATGGACATAAAGTCCTTTAATCCGACGGGTCTGACTTTCTCCTGTAACGATCCAAAAAGAATTGGAGACGTATGCAGCAAACAAAATGGCAGTTCCAAAATAAGCCATTGTTTTAATGACAGGTAAAGTGTTTTCAAGTATCCGGCTGGGATCTTGCAAAGACTGCGTCAAATTTTGAACGAAGGATCCATAAATCACCATTGACGCTGGTTGTAATGCTCCGGTGGCTGATGATAATATAGTAGCAATGACAATCATTAATTTTTCTTTAGGTGTGGAAAAACGAAACAATTGTAAAATCGATACACTTGGAGCTTTAGGCTTTTCTTTCTTTGCCTTTAGTGGAGATTTTTTGGCTCCAGACATTTTTTTATTTATTTATTTTTTTTAAAAAAAAAAGCTGAAGTGAAAAGAGAAAAGAAGACTGTGTTCTTAATTTTTTTTTTCTGAAGGTCTTTATAGCGGCAATAACAGTAACTCCGATTAGAATACAACCAAACAACCATAGATTCTTCTCCTTTTGACATAAAACGGGTAGAGACCCATATTTCTTATTATTGGCCTTTTTCATCTATATAGAATAAAATGGTTACTCCTTTGGGGGCCAAGATCGAAACTATATCCTGAATTGAATTTAGCACAAAATTGTAATCCGAACAATGATGATTGGATCGACATAATTTTATTTGTCTATTGGAGAGATTACAAACCCATTGCGTGGTATTGATCAAAGCATAGCATATATCCCTATCACCTCTTCGTTTTCGGGGTCACATGAGAATTTGTACATCATCATAACAATAAATATGTTATGTCGGATGATTAACGTAACATATATACGCATAGACCGTACGTTCTCGGGCACAAAAGATTTTTTTAAAAAAAAGGTGTAACGGTGGAATTACCTTTCTCTATAGCCTGTGAAATTTGAATAAGGTCATCTATTATTTATTGCGGTATTGGATTAAATGTTTTGTGTAGTTTTATACTTTAAGTGAGCACCATGCTGTAAGATAACAAGTCGAGAAAGCTATAAATTATAAGTGAACCTTAGCAGAAGAACAGACTAAGTATTTATTGGTGGTTTAAAACGAACTTCACTAAATCTTTCATAATTTCATCTCAGCGAAATGAGAGTGTAACAGCGGCAGAATATCTGTTACTTTTAAAAAAAGAAAGAGTGTAAACAGCGCATTCCGTTTGTTTTCAATAAATGAAATCCTCATTAGACAACTCATTCGAAAGTGTCTACGGCTTAAATCGACCATATTTTGATGATAAAACAATTAGCCAATCGGTTTTCCTTTTTTTTATGACAAAGATTTTTAAGGACATTGGGCCTTTCGTATTGGCTGATATTTTGTCTCAAAGTAATTCGACGTGAAACCTATCAAATATGGTTCCGGGGTATTCAACTCATTGGATTGTAGTTCACCTAATATATAGTGTATGAAAATTACTTAAATCTATTATGCCGTCAATCAAGTTTGATACTAAATTAAAAAGCATGCTGCTTGATCGAAAGAATAAGGGTGTTCAATTGCCTAATTTTAATTTTCACTTAGACGCAATTTTTGTGGATGAGAACAGTCCTAAGTTCCAGGAAGCGAGGTGGAATTTTCTATTTTTCTCAAAAAATGCCATTTTACCTGGAAAAATGGATTAGTAATCCAGCAAGGTTTATATGATTTTGCTTGCCGATAAATGTTACTTCGAATATATTTAGAAGAAGTCCATCCCCCAATAATAATATCTCACGTACATCTGAAAGAAAAATAGAACAAAAAAAAACAAAGAAATAAAAACTCCAGTGCAATAAACTAAGAAGATTCTAAGGTACGATAAAGCTTATTGTTCGAGACCAACGCGTCCAACTACCAGCTTTTACAAGAGAAATATTTGAAATCCCAAGGACAGCTAAGTTATTATCTCAAACAATGATAAAGCGAGGGGTGTTGGTTTAAATCTAAGAACCGGCTTCATCAAAAGGCCTAGCCAATTTTTTTTTTCAATTTAGAACGTAAAAGGTAATCCCATGTAGCTTCGGATGCGGGTTTTTGTGTAAGACCGAGGTATATATATATATATATACAAATGCAACACAAAGTTTTGTTGAAAGGAGAATCAGCTTGATATGGTATTACTTCTGAATCACAATATATCTTGTTTGTTTTCAAGCATAGTACACTAAATTTAGATTTGGCATAATAGGGGTTGTGAAATACATTTAATTTACCATCTAAACCTATTGGAGACCGTGTAAATATATTTTTTTATGAGAGATCGTTTATAACTTCCAGGTCTTTATTATATTTTTTAAATGGAGAGAAGAAGGATATGTTATAACTGAATTTGAAGATAACGTAGAAATTTACTGAAACTTTTGATGGCCAGCAGATTGTAGAATTATTTGAGCGAGCAAGTCGAAACGACACATAATGTGAGCGCATATAGCCACCTAAGCACAAGCGCAGCCAAAAAAACACTGCCAGTGGAATGACATCGGCCAACTACAGTCCTTCCCATAGACATAGCCAACGACCTTATAAAAATATGACGTTTTCTGTAAGCATTTGACTTTCAAGGTCCGATTCGCCCTCCTAAAAATAAATACAAAAGGGATCTTGATCTGCTATTTTTTTTTTTCTTCTCTTCTTTTATTTCAATTTTAAAATGTCAACTTGCTGTACACTACTATTTTCATTAAATTATTTGTGCACGCTTAGAATAAAATTTTTAACAGCGACGGATTAAATAATCAATTTAAAAAAAGTTTATTAATTTGCCAGAACGCTGGCTAAGTTTAGCGTGTGAGTGTATATACAAAAAAATTAAAATGAATGTCCAATCGTTCACACAACAATATGACGTGATAAAATGATACTTCGGGTTGTTTTGTGCGTGTGAGAAGTGTTTTCGTTACTAAATTTTACTTAGCTCTACCAATAACAATATACATTTAAATTATAAAAAGAGTTCGAATTACAAAGCGGATAAGGATTGTTCATGGACAAGCTCTGAATACGTTCCATTAAGAGCCAAAAGCTCCCAATGAGTTCCTTGTTCAATAATACGACCCTCTTTTACGACACAGATCAAATCTGAATTTTGAATGGTGGAGAGACGATGAGCAATTGTGATGGTTGTTCTACCTCCCTCTTCCAAAATATTGTCCAAGGCTTCTTGTACGATACGTTCCGAGTCACTATCGAGAGCAGATGTAGCTTCATCTAGTAACAACACTCTAGGTTTACGAATTAGGGCACGAGCGATAGCAATACGTTGTTTCTGACCACCAGAAAGTTGAGAACCCTTGTCGCCGACACGTGTGTTGTATCCATCAGGAAGACTTGAAATAAACTCATGAATATTGGCGGCTTTACAGGCGGTTTCAACATCTTCTTGAGTAATTTGGACATGATCATCTACACCAAATCGAACATTTTCACCGATGGTGATATCAAAAAGAAATGGTTCCTGTGAAACAAGAGCCATGGAACTACGAAGATTGTTGACGGAGTAGTTTTTGATGTTAACGTTATCGAGAGAAGCAATGCCTTCAATAGGATCGTACCAGCGTTGAAGCATACCAATGGTAGTGGATTTACCGCAACCGGAAGGACCGACAAGGGCGATGGTTTGGCCGGCATTTCCTTTGAGATTAAACTCGCCATTAAAAACAGGGACGTCAGGACGAGCAGGATAGCAGAATTTAATATTTTCGAAATCTATGTCTCCCTTAATCGTTTCATTAGCGGGTTCAAGGCCTTCTAATTCGGCATCGATGAGAGGTTGGCGACCAAGAACGGCAAAAGTCGAAATAGCAGAATATTTAGCTTTAGCAAAAGTACTAGCAAAGACACTACTTCTTCCAGCAGATTCAGAAGCAATCATAATAACTATAATAGAAAATAAAAACAGTTAGGAAAAGTTATTACAAATAGGAAGGAGAGGAGGAGATTTACCTTGCATTGTTGTAAACATTTGTTGGAAAGTAATGGTGCCATTAGCAATCAACCTAGAACCACCATAAAATGCAACGGCACTTGTGTAAATACCAATACCACGGCTGAGACCGTAACCAATTGATGACAGGTAAGCCTTTTGTCCAGCAAGCTTGTGGGGACGTTCAGTAGCATGAAAGTAGCGATCCTCAAAGTAAGATTGCTTATTCAAAGCGGCAACAGTACGGATTTCACGAATAGCCTCACCGGCCACTTCACCACTTTCAGCGTTGGCCCTCTTTGTTTTATCTTCATAGCCACGATGGATTCTAGATTCGTAAGAGGTAGCAGCCATAATAAAGGGTGCCATACAGAGAACAATTAAAGACAAAGCCCAACTGTGAACAAATGCAATGATCATACCAACAATTATGGTGGTGAGAAGTTGAGTGACATCTCCCCAGACTTTTGTCACCATTTCGTTTACATTGTGAGCATCTACAGCCAACTTGGTAGTCAAAGCACCCGTGTTGTTTTCTTCCATATCATAAAAACCAATTTCCTGACGCATATAAGCTGCAAAAAGTTTAGATCGAAGACGTTTAGTGTAATGTTCACCAGCAACTTCAAACGCTAAATTCTGTAAGCCGAATCCAATAAATGAGGCGACACCAATGATAAAGAAAAATAAGGCATATAGATTGGTTCCTTTTAAGGGACCAGGAGCGATGTTTGTGCTGGAGGGATCACTAATAGTTGTAATAACTTTTGCAAATAAGAAGGAATAAACGGGAAAGGCGGAACCGGCGATAGCGGCACCAATGACACCTGTCGCAAGCAGAGGCCACTCGGGTCTCATCTGAGATAATACTTCTCTGACGGGAGCCTTTTGTTTCTTCATGTTTTTCTTTTCTTCTTTTTGCTTGCTAATTTTGAGTTCATAAGCGTCCAGAGTGACCGCACTGTTATTGTCGCTATCAATAAAGATTTTCTCCTTATCGTCCATTTCAATTTGAGTTTCTTTCTTTGTGGAGGCCAATTTTATCAATTTATGAGCTTCTTTCTCGCGGAGTTGATCTTGGATTTCTTGTTTCTCCTGTTGAATTAAGAGATCGTGATCAATATTCTTGGCTTTAGAAGCTTCTTCGTCCGTATCAATTGCTTGCTTGCGAACCAAATCAGCATAGACACCGTTTAATTGCAAGAGTTCGTTGTGTTTTCCTTGTTCAATCATGATACCGTGATCCATAACAACGATAAGGTCAGCATTTACAATAGTAGAAAGTCGATGAGCCACAACAATAGTAGTACGATTGGAGGAAGCTTTATCAAGAGCATTTTGAACCAAACGCTCAGATTGGGTATCTAAAGCAGAGGTAGCCTTGATTAAAATGTTAGTTTCAATAAAAAAAGATTATGCAAGCGAGATGTGTGTTAAATAATTACCTCATCTAATAACAAAATTGAAGGATTCTTTAAGATAGCACGAGCAATGGCAATACGTTGTTTTTGACCACCAGATAACATACGACCTTGTTCACCCACAAGCGTATCATAACCATTAGGCAATTGAGTGATGAAAGTATGACAGTTAGCTTCTTTACAAGCACTAATCATTTCCTCATCCGAGATTTTCTCCTTGTCACTACCCATAGCCAAGTTTTGACGAATGGACATGTTGAATAAAACCGGTTCTTGACCAACAGTACCAATTTCTTGACGCAGCCATTTTACATTGAGATCTTTAAAATCATGACCGTCCAAAGTCATGCTTCCGGCCAAGGGATCATAGAATCTTTGCAACAGTTGAATCGTAGTTGATTTTCCAGAACCTGATGGACCGACAAAGGCAACTGTCATACCAGCCTTGATACTAAGAGTCATATCTTTTAAGATGACAAGATCGGGACGAGAAGGATACTTGAACATGACATTTTTAAATTCGATAGCTCCAGTTACATCTTTCAGCTTTAAGCCAGCATCAGAATCTACGTCAATGTCAGGGACACGGTCAATGACAGCAAAGATCTTGTAGGCAGCACCACGGGCACTAAAAATAGCAGACATAGTAGCGGGAAGATTAATCAGGGACATACTTCCGACCATCATACTCATGAAGACTACGAGTACAGTAGGGCCATCCATTTGTCCTTTAATGACAAGTTGAGAACCATACCAGAGAGCCAAAGCGTAGGTTACAAACAAGAATAAGATAAAACTACCAAACCCTGCGCCAGATACAAAACCACGCTTGACACCAGCTTTACAAGCCTTTTCAAGTTCGACCTCATATCTTTGAGAGAAACGTTTTTGTAAACTGAAAGAATAAACGGTACGGATTGAGTTAAATACTTGTTCCGCAACAGAACCAGCAGCAGCGTAAGAGTTTTGGGATGCTAATGTAAATTTGGTGATGAAAAAGCCCATACCACCGCCTGCCATAACTAAAAGAGGCATAACAGCCAACATGATTACAGCCAAGCGCCATCCTACAAAAAAAAAGGCATTTAATGGTTTGATTAACAAATTTTGAATTGAAAAAAGATGAGTGTACCTTTAGTAAATGCAACAACAAAACCACCAATAAATTGAGAAAGAAACATGATGAATCTGCCAAACTTTTCTGATATACCATCTTGGATCAATTGTGTATCTGTTGCTAATCTAGTATTCAGGGATCCTTCTGATGCTTCATCAAACCAACCCATTTCTTGACGTAAAACAGCATGAACATAGAGACCTTTGATTCGACGAGTCTGACTTTCTCCTGTAACGATCCAAAAAGAATTAGAGACGTATGCAGCAAACAAAATGGCAGTTCCGAAGTAAGCCATTCTTTTAATGACAGGCAAAGTGTTTTCAAGTAAATTACTGGGATCTTGCAAAGACTGTGTCAAACTCTGAACAAAAGATCCATAAATTACCATCGATGCTGGCTGTAATGCACCGGTTGCTGATGATAAAATAGTAGCAATAGCAATCATTAATTTCTCTTTGGGTGTAGAAAAACGGAATAATTGGAACATCGATACACTAGGAGCTTTAGGCTTCTTCTCTTTTGCCTTTGGTGGAGGCTTTTCGGATTCAGACATTTTATTTTTATGTAACTGAGGTAAAATATGGATGAAAGAAAACTGTTTTTTTATTTTATTTTTTTGAAGGCTTTTATAGAGACAATCCTGGATCACCCAGAGTTACTCCGATTAGACATTTTATGTAGGACAATCCAAACAATCAAGTTTTTTTTTGTTCCTTCTTCTTTCATTTATGGGTAGAATCCCATCATAATTACAAGTTTCTGATGCAGTCTTTTCATAGACTTAAGTGAAGACAACAAGAACAATTTTTTTTCCTTTATTATTATTATTTAGGGTCTTTTCACCTGTGTTGAATAAAATGATCGTACCTCCGGGCCGAAATCAAAATTATACCCGAATTGAATTGAATTTGGCAAGAAACGTAATCCGAACAAGGGGATCACGCTAAAATTATCCGGATATGTGTAAAATAGAAACCGGTGTTTATATTTGGGGTGGCACACATTTTTTTACTGATTATTAATACATTGCGTGGTATTACTCAAATGACGCGTATACCCTTATTCTTTCATCTTTCCATTTTGGGTCTACGTGAAAGGTAGTGCGACAGCACAAATGCAAACAACGACATTGTGATTTAATTATATCGGATGATTGAAATAATTTGATGAATACATATTGGCCGCGATTACATGGGCATGATTTTTTAAAACGTGCGATGGTGGAATCACCTTTCTCTGTTAGCCTGAGAATTGTTTTGAACATGTTATTCACTACTTAATACATTAGAATCTGATTCGTCAACTAGAAAATAGGCTAAATCTAAATTTATAGATTATGCTTGAGTAGTAGTAAGTCGTAGTTGATAGGCGATGTGACTAAAGTAAGGTTTTACTAAAGGTAGCATTATGTTTATGTTTATTGTGGCATATTACTTTCAATAGCATCTGCTGTAAATTAGGTGGCTGCATCATCCGTCCGAGATAGTAATTTGACAAGTACCAGAGATCTGGGCCCTTCTTACCAAAATGTATTGACCCCTGATAGAGTCGTATTGGGCGGACATGATTAAATTTCTGTTAGGTTGTAAAGTACACTTACTTGATTGTTTGGGATCACTTGCTTTTTCCTTTCTTGATAAAGTTTACTTACGCCTCTGAAGTTTTTTTTTTACTTATATCTACATTGACTTGGGTTTTTGAGTTAACATAATTTTTGATTCGTTTTATAAAAGTACCCCTTCGTAATTTTTACACTTTGCTAACTTACTGGAAAACAATTTGCAAATGTAGTATCACATTCATGTAAATATTGTGATGGAATATTTTCAGTCAGTCAATAGTATTCCAAAAGATTACAGATGTTACTATTACTTTTATGATTAATCAATTTTTTTTTCTCTTTCTTTCTTTTCTTTCCTTTTTGCAAGAGCATTATCCTCAATTATCTAATGAGAAGAGCAAGTTTTAAGAAAGGTAAGTCAAAGATGGATCCTTTTATTTTTCTCAAGCAAATATTAAAACAAAGCAAAAAGGCACATCTTTTTACACAAGAACGTTAAAATACATTCTTAATTCCGTGGGACACGGATCTATATTACGTTGCAGCTAGTTCCCACTATATTGTGGGAGAGTGTAATTTTAAGAACGAGTCCTAGATTTAAGCTTAGATTACAATTGGTCACATACAGTCTCTGTATACTAAACCTCCAACGCTTCTCTTAAGGACAGCCAAAGTGCACGTAGTCGCAACGTAAGATTTGTGATGTGGATGTTCTGTAAACCTGGAAACAAGGATACATAATCAAAAACAATGTAACAATTACAAATAAATATATATTAAACGATTTATACTTATTCTGACAATCCTATCATCACTCATTTGCCTCTGAGCTCGCTTGATCTTAACCTTACGCAGAAATATCAAATTTAAGTCCAAACGAGAAGCTGAAAGTAAGCTGCAACACACATACACTGGTTTACGCTATGCTGGTTTTAATAAACGTGTATATATTTCAAGTTGTTAGGTTATATTGACCTCTTGATGTCTAGTAAAGTATCATGATCCCAACACTTCGACTACGCGCACCCTGGCTGTCCCTAAGAAAAATGGCTGTCCCCAAGAAAATTTGGTTGTCTGTAAGAGACCCGAAAATATTTTTGAACAGTGATTCGCTTAGTGATTCATCTGATGCTTTGTCTGACGCGTGATTCTGGCTCTCCCTCTCCCAAGAGGCGTAAGACAAGAAATTAAAAGTGATTCTCATATCTTTTATATTCTCGTCCTGGTTCAAAAAAATAAAATTGTTACTGTACGGACTTTCATCCTTGTACATTGTCAAGGATTTTTATTGAGGATATTAGGTGATTGAGTGAATTTTGAATCTAATTTTGGCTGTGCTTTTTTCTTTAAAGCGCAAGTATGGAAACCTCTATGTGCGTTTATCAAAGATAAAATTTTCTGCTAAGGCTGTTATTAGAAAAGTCTTAAACAATGATTGCAGTATTAATATTTTATCATTTTGCTTCGATAGCCCATTTTCCTACTAGGACTCAACAGCAATTTTTAAAGTCAGATATCACTGGCGTTACTCTTGTGAAACTCCCGGATACGGAAAGAGTGAGGATGTTTCAAAGAGATTTGCGAAATAAACATTTTGGAATGTGAGGCTATACGTCATTTGTTGGGGGGAAAAAAGATATAAGGAATGAAAAAAAAAAAAGAAGAGAGTCACTCTTTAATCTCCACCCCCTTACAATAACCAACCTCTTATCTTTTCTTTTCTCACAGAACTATGGGCAAAAACAAAGGTGGAGGATTTAACCTTTTTGAAAGCTACCTTGCCTCAGGACTTGCTGCTCAAGAAGGAGGTTCAACGGGTGAGTGCATGTTATCTTAGTCTCAACTTGTTATTCACACACACATACATTCTAGACCAACACATTCCGTTACCTGACTCAATGGTAAGCGTCATTCAACTTTTTTATTTCTTTTTGTACTAACTCAAATAAAATGTAGAGAACTACTACACTTTTAGAACAAATTGGTCAAGATCGTAAATGGTCCGAAGAGCAAATTGAAGTCGATATCGCCATTTTGGAAAGCAATCGCCTGTACTATGTAAGATCCGATGACTGTAAAAGGTATCTCATGACTTATCCATCATTACTATTAGGTCAGTGATCTACGTGAGTTGTCTAAAAGTAGCTGGAAAGCAATTGATTTGTTGCCTCTCGTCAAGGACTTATTAAGAAATGCATTGGATCCTACTGAAAAAGAAAACATAAAAGACAAAAAGGATAAGAAATCCAAAAAGGACAAAAAGAAGTACAAGAAAGAAAAGAAGGAAGCCAAGAAGGAAGCCAAGAGAATGAAATTGGGTGAGCCTGTTGTTAGTGGTCCTATTATCAAAGACGACATGGTCGCTTTGGATCCTGAAACTATTAGGAATACAATTCAAAATATAAAGGCTGTGCAAGGTGATACAGCAGCACAGTCAAAGCCGGATAAAAAAGAGAAGAAGGACAAGAAGAAAAACAAATCCGTCTCCTTCTCCAAAGATGATCCAGCTAAAATGAACGGTGATTGCAGTGGTAGTAGCAGTAGTAGTAGTAGCAGTAGCTCAAGTAACAGTGATTCCGAGTGTGACGATAAATCATGTAAACCAACAGAAATGAAACCAAAGGTTTTTACTGGTCGTCCTATTCAAGCAGTGAGTGCCAATCGTATCAGAGTTCAAACGGTAGATGGTGTCTATGAAGCTGATCGTTTTTGCCCACACAAAAAAGTCGATTTATCTACCTGGGGTCAAGTAATTGGAAATACTCTTATCTGTTCAAAGCACAATTGGAAATTCAACCTCGATAACGGTTCTGTTGGAACCAAAGGAAGATCCATTAATCCATGTAAAGTCAATGATTGGTAGATGTATTTTTTTATTCTTTTATACATATAGCTATCCTTTTCCCCATTTGTACACACATGTCTATAATTCAATTTTCTTTTTTCGTTTACTTCTTCTTGGGCTTGGGGGTGGAAATGGCCTGAGGCTCGACGCCCTTTCTATATCTCTCAACCCAACTTAAAATATATCTATCATATTCATGTAATTAATACTCGTTGCCAGGCAATCGTTCTTCATGTTTCTTACTTTCTTTGCTTTGTGTTAATGCCCATGTCGGTCTTCATTACACGACTGTTGGTTGTGAATAATTGTTCCCAAGTCTAAATAGTGTTCAGTCAGTATGTCCCAACTTCGCAGTGTCGACTAATCATTACCTCAAACTTGCCAGCAACATCCTCACAACTACGACCAATAGCCTTCATGAAGGTAGGGACGTCTTGAACACTGCCTATGTAACAAGTTAATGCATTGGACCCTGATCACAAAATTTACTTAAACAAACCTCTAACGGGAGGAACGACAGTGTTGGCGGCATGATGAGAGTATCTAACTCCACGTAAGACTGAGCTTCTAATGGTGGGGATCATGGCTGTCAAAATGTAATGAACAAAAGAAAAAAAAAAGTTGGCCCTGGTCTTAAAAATAGCATCCACCAATATCCTGAGCAAGAGTCACGATTTGACTCCGGCATGAAATTTGCATACAGTCAATTTATAAGGGCTTAACTTGATTCAGGTAACTGTCTTAGCCCCATAGTCAACCAGAGATACCAAATGATGCGCCCATTTTATACCAATGTTATTGACATTGATTAGGGAAGAGCCCGAAAATTCAGTCACTGTTAAAACAAATTAGTCGTTTACATTTATGAATAAATCAATACTTTTGCGTAACTGTAGGTATGTGCTGCCACAATAGGATATATATAGAAAAGGCTACGTTACTTTATTGCAGTAATCTGTCAATATAACCCATTAAGTACATTGACTATACTTTGTGACTACAAATAGATAGTGCATGTTATATTGTTTTCTGGGATTTAGAGGAAAACCACTATGCAGCAGTAGATGAGCTATTGTGAAAGTTAGAAGAGAAAATCTATGTACCAAAGATAGAAACCGTTATAGCAAGAGAGCTAAAGCGTGTAGCAAGCTATTGAATGATGTATAAATTTGATAAATTAATGGGATCGTATCTGGTGAATCATATATACTGCTGCCATTGCAGGTATTATTTATACTAGGTACAATGCTCGACCGCATAATTTAAGTATATTCAATTTATCCTACGACATTAAATCAGCACTTTCAAGATATTGCGTTATGTGTATAAGGTTGTCTGCGCTTAATTGCAATTCTCGGTGATATTTTTTTCCGCCGAGTGTAAAAATAAGCCACCAACTACAGGAACCATCGTCCAGACTACTTAGAGCAATGCAATAAGCTTTAGAAACTACGTTTGTACATGGATTACTATACGTAGACAGGTATAACTAGCTGGTATAGCTACCCTTTTTTTAAGCTGCCAGACTCATTTCGACAAAAAGCCACTTTATAAACACATTGCGTGCTTTTTACTAACAATACGATGATATTTCTTATTTTATGGTTTATAGACTTTTCCTTTCTACCCATCTTGGGGAATTCAAACAAATAATTGAACTATGGTATCACTTTATCCAATACGGAAAACTTTTTTACATCAGAATGTGCTCATTGTTTGTTTATCATTTATTACATTGTTTGTCCCATTTTTAATTGCTAACTTTAAACAATAAAAGTTTTACACTTACTAAAAAACCTCACACATACTTACACAAAGTACATCTTTTGTTTGAGAGTGTATCAATATCATAGATTAGATCATAAAGTAGATGATTATTTAAGATGTAAATACCACACGGACCCTCCTATCATTTATTTCAACTCAGTTACTGAATCTTAAAACTTTCTTCAATGGGCTGATATGAAAGACAGATAGAATTTGCCGGAAGCATTGAGGAAAGACATGATTGAGTAATCATACGTAAAGTAAATAATATGTGGTATATTTGCAATTGTGTGATTTAGCGGCTAGTTTGTCTTCCGCATTAATTTGAAACAGGATGTAACCTTTTCAATGGAAGGAACTGTCACAGAGCATTATACGCTTCAATTGCAAGTGATTTGGATGTATATAAATAATGCACCCATCCATAAACTGAAGGACAAAAGATTTATTGAAGCCGATGTTTAGCTTGTGTTTGTCTTCTACTATATTACCCATTCGAGCGAATTGATCCGTAACTAATTTGTTTCTAATAAGTTATGGAAATAGTGTACGACACTGCTTTTTAAAAAAAAGTACGATACTTTAATTTGGCAAAAGAAGCACATTTGCATCTGTGTGTTACGGCTTTTTACTACATTGGGACGTTGAGTACCAACTTTGTGAGTAATCAAACTGATTCAAACGGTCAGATCATCTTATCTTTTATCTCCTCGTGCCATATGTTGATACTTGGCCTTTTATGACAAATTGCCCCCCTTACAGCTGTAATTCGCGGAGATGTAAAAAAGTTTTTTCATTCTTTTTTATCCAGCTTAAATAAGGATGGAGTTTTTCTTCCCCTTTTCTCCTTTTTCTTTCTTCACTTGTATACATTTATCGTATCTAACCTTTTTACCTCTTATAATACGGTTTCTTTTTTAAAAAAATTGAATGGACATTCATTACTTGACTACTATATCATCAAACAATCAAAACAATAATTTTATATACAATGTCAATAATATCCGAAAGTACTCCCGTCTTACCCAGTAAGAGGTTTCAATCGAAAGGTTATACTCATGAATTCAAATGGTTACTCAAGAATGCCATGCCCTTGGTAATCAGCTATTTATTACAAAATAGTTTACAAAGTGTCAGTATTATCAGCGCAGGACACTTGGTAAGTTTTATCTATTTTATCTTGTCTTTACCCAATTAAATCTTTTCAATTTTTTTTTTTTTACAAGGGCGCCAATGAGCTATCATCTGCCACTCTTGGTAGTATGTTTGTTACTATTACAGGTTTATCTGTTGCAACTGGTGCTACCCTGTCTTTGGACACCCTATGCTCCCAGTCTTTTACCAGCTCAGATGACAAAACTATTGTCGGGCTCCATGTACAACGTTGTTTAGCTTTCATGTCCATCCTCTTTGTACCTATCATTGCACTTTGGTGGAACGCCGAATACATTTTTTTGCTCTTGCGCCAGGATCCCATTGTAGCAGAGTTGGCTGGTGAATATGTGCGCTGGATGATTTTAGCTGCTCCCGCTTTCGCTTTATTCGAGTCCTTAAAAAAGATGTTACAAGCTCAAGGCATCTTCAATGCACCTACCTTAGTATTATTTTTAGGTACCCCCCTTAATCTGTTATTGAATTATGTGCTCGTTTGGGTACCCGCTTTTTCACTTGGCTTTGCTGGTGCTCCCATCGCAAGTTGTATTGCATACTGGGTTATTGTATTACTCATGGCTTTGTATATCTATCGTGTAGACGGATACCAAGCTTGGCCCGCATGGTCAACTCAGGCCGCTTTTAATTTCAACCATTGGGGACCTATGGTCAAATTGGCCATACCTGGTATTCTCTTGATTTGTACTGAAACATGGGCTTATGAGATTGTTGCGCTGGGTGCAAGTTGGATCGATACACCTAACCTCGGTGCTCAAAGTATCATTTTGACCTCAATTACAGCCCTTTACACTCTTGCATTTGGTGTTGGTATCGCTTCTGCTAATCGAGTCGGAAATCTCTTGGGCGCACAAAGACCCAAACAAGCTCGTATTGCCGCACGAACTGCATTAGTGGTCGGTATTGCCGTCGGTGCCTTAAATTCGGGTACGCTTTTGGTCTTCCGTTCAAGCTGGGCTTACATCTTTACAAGTGATGCACAAGTAGTTCAAATTGTGACAGATATATTGCCATTGGTGGCCTTATTCGTATTTGCTGATAATATTGCCGGTGTTGCCGATGGTGTATTAAATGGTATGGGACGTCAACATGTGGGAGCATGGTGCAATTTGGCTGCATATTACCTTTCCGCTTTACCCGTCGGATTTTGGCTTTGTTTCCGTAAAGGATGGGGACTTGATGGTCTTTGGGCTGCGTTGGCCGTGTCCTTAATTGTTGCTTGTCTTTTGACCGTGGTTTTACTTTTGAGCTCCAATTGGAAAAAGGAGGCCCTCAAGGCCGAAGAAAGATCAAAGGAGGAAGAAAATAATACCAGCAGTAGTGAAACCAGTAGAAGTAATAGTCCTCTTCCCATATAATGTTATTTAAACTCATTTTACCGCATAAATATATATATATATATATTCTTTTTCGTTTTGCATCATAATCGCATATAATAATAAATCCATTATTCTTAAAAAATCCTTTTCTTGAGTATTATATAGCCATCGTTGGCCACTGATGTTCTCATTTATCAGTTTCTGGTGGGTTAATGTAAAATGAGTTAGGCTTATCATCTGATTGACACCATTCATGTAGCCAGTGGAAGTCTGTGTAGGTACCAAAGTTTCCGTTAATTACTGCCCAGTTGGATTGAAAGTTTATAATTAAAAGATTTGAGGGCAACAAGGATTGGTTTTGCAGCCCATCACAATAACGTATCTGCCATTTGCTGACAATTAACTTGGATTTTAAAAGAAGCTTTATTGGTTATAGGGTAAGCGTTTGAACATATATATCGCTGATTTTACAAAGTAGAAAATCATAATTCTTCTGCACTCAAATCGATATCAGCGAATCGACTCTTAAGCCCGTATCCCTCCCAAAATAGCAGCTGCAGTATATGTATGCTTGTACAACATGAACTTAATCGGTTGACGATCATTCAGACATGTTACCCAAACATTGTAAGCCATAAATACTTAATTAACGCAATAGAAGTAGGCCCTAAAGAATACAGAATGCATACAGTTTAATACTAGGGGTTGATAGCTACTAAGCTAGCGTACAAAGAGCTAACATATAAGGTTGATGCCAATAACTTCTATATTCGCTACAACATAATTGGATTTAATAGCTTATTATTTATTAATTAAAAAAAGAGGCAAGCCACAATGATAACTGTTATAATCAAGGATTTTTCCCATTACAAACAGTTATGGTAATCTTTGATATTTTCTATGTTAAACATAGGATAATCCTATGCGATAAGTTTAATGATGAGGGTATCCCAAATTCAAATCAGTTGGTTCCGGAAGATTTTGCTTGTAATTATGTTCAACATTATATGGAGAAGATGGGGATGTTAAGATACTGGGAGCAGGACTTGGGGGATATGCATCTGTCATGTCCATTTGAGAGTTGAAGTCTAATAGTTGATCTGGCTGATTCTGGTTTAACGAAGATATCATCAGGTCCTGTTGTTTTTGAGGCTGCGAGTTCCAGGTACTGGCACTGGCAGGAGAAGTGACAAATACACTTGGATGATTAGAATTATTGTCAAAACTATTCACTACGTGAAGCATAAAGTCGGACTAAATCAATTAAAGATAAAAAAAGTATCGAAGCTAACTTACATGGTGTAGAGACGGCAGCGATCCCTTGCCGCTCAGCCAATTGCCCAATAATTATCTGTTGTTGAATCTGTACTTTTTTTAGATCTTGAAAACCTTGCAGCAAATTAGCGAAGTTTTCTTGAAGATGACGGAACTGTTGAAGAAGATCGGCCTGTGATGTTTGTATTAAAGCAAAAGAAGCGTGCATGTTCCCTGCCTCCTTTTGTAATAGTCCGGATTCCATTGCTTTCCTCTTGATATTTCCGAGAAGTTCTGGACGACCTCTTTGAAAATTTGGATGAGAGAATTCCCAAAGTTCATTCTGACTTTCTCCTTTGTGTCCTCGATGAGACTTGTTAATCTTGTGAAAACCGTACATGTTCAATTGACGCACAAAACTTGAAAAATTGGAGTGCTTAAAGTATTCAGAGAGTACTTCGTTAGCAAAACGATTTACATCCCGGACAAAGAATGACGTGCCGCTAGGATTCCAAGATATCAAATGTTGGTTATGCGTGTCATTAATCATACTAAAATGTATCTATAAGTTGAAAGAAACCCCTTGATTTTGTGATTATAACAACTCACCTATAGAGCTTTTTAATGAATGTGCTAACACCTTGTTTCGTGTAACGCTTATGAGATCCATTCAAACTTTCGCTGTCCACCACAACCTTACTCACTGAAGATATTGCTGTATTAGGGTGATTCGATGATGAGCCCGTTGACGGCAGAATGTTACGGTGAGGTCTAAATTTGTATCTTTTGTTACAATCAGTTTGTACCGTGTTATTATGACTTGTTTTTGACATTGGATATTAATATATGGTGCATAGGAAGCAAGAAGAACATTTTTTTCTTTCATCAAAATGATGGGTTTATGCTTTAAAATTGGGATTAGTCGAGTTTCAACGCAACTGCATCGGGATTCCAATATCTCTCAGACCCAACAAACAAAACCAGTCCATCGAGAAACCTCGTTTGCTCTGTAACTTAGAACTTAGCTTTACAGCACTATCTATAGGTTTCTATATTTCGTGAGCAGATCCTGGCTTTATGGTTTTGGACCCATGGGAAAAATAGTCAAGGCTCTTTTTTTATTGCTAAAAAATCGAATTTGTGCATTTTTAATTATTAAAATACAAATAATTTGGTTTCGTAGACTTGGTGTTGTGATTTTTGGGGGACAATTTTAATGCTTGTATGATCCTCTTGTGGTTTGGAATAGTTTCTACAATAACGGGTCTCAGGAGCTTCTCTTCGGCTGATGTTACTGCTGGTCTCATTGTCATCACAAACTTATACTCACACTTCTTCTTTCTCCAAGTCGTAATTCTTTTTTTAGGTTGCTGTGCCAGCATTCTGTGGAATTCTTGTCGGCTGGACGTATCGATAAATCCTTCCATTATCAGTATTATTAGCCTCTCAAGTGCCTGCTTTTGGGTAATACTTATTTCATGATCTTTAAATAATGAGCATAAGTGGTAGAAGCATATAATAGATAAAGCCCTTTGAGATTTGAATTCAGGTGTATCCAAAAGAGGATAGTGTACCACTTTAGGCTCCGTGGGTACATTTGCCCCCGTCATATTCCCTGGTGAAGGATCTTCTGAGGTTTCCTGATGTATCTTTCTTATGAGACCGCTTTTTATAATTCTTGTCTTGAGATTACTGTACGAAAGAGGTGGCGGGCTGATGTCTCCCCAATTTTCCATACCCTGCTCTAATTTTTAATATTTTGACAAAATTTAAAGATAATTAGACATACCTGCAACACTTTGATCAAACATGCTACGTAGTAATCGTCTTGTTTTTCGTCGCGACCCTCAGTTTTTGTCATGTTGTTTTTTAGTAACAATGTGATGTACAGGATGATGAAATATTGTCTTGTTCCTGAGGGAAACTACGTCAGTCATAATACTCCTTGATATCTTCAACAACTTTACCATAATCAGACAAATCTTGAATAATAGGTATCATATCTTGTTGCTCGTATCCATTGAATTCTCTGATCACTTCATGTACACCTGCATACGAATCATATAGTTTTCCTAAAAAATTAAGAATCAAATTTGGATACTCCAGAGAAACAGACAATGAGGTCGATGGATGTAAAGCATAGAATAGTGATGATTTTATAATTGTGTCTTCGTAGGGATGGTTCCATAATAACAATAAATTGTAGGTCCATTGTTCTGCATGCTATTTTAATTTAATTTTTAGACATTGACAACAGGTCTTTTTGGCTGCTTCTTTTCTTACCATGAATAGCTCGTCTGACAATTTTGTGGATAGTTTACATGCCATAAAAATTTCGTGCCATCCTTCGCTCTCTTGTGCCGCATCTGTATCTTCGTCGCAAATAAATAAATCATCTAATGCTCCTGTAATCTGAAAGAAACATTTGGGTACTGTTAAGGTACACCTGGTCAAATCGCGTGCAATGTTGTACCAAAGCAACTGACTTTTCCAGTCTATGTTATGTCATTAGTATTGACTGATTGCTTATTTGTATTTTATAAGCGCTCACCAAATGTTCGTAGCGTCTCCTCAAAGAATTGGGTCAATAAAGGAAATTGACCCGTTCTAGTTTGTAAGGCATAGGAAATAATACGTGACAATAGATTAATGCAGTTGAGGACAGATTCCCAATCTTGAAGTCGCAACAACGTTGGTCCAGTGCCATGAAATGATCGAAGTGATAAAAGCTTCGTGAAATTGACAAGGTATATTTCAGGTAAACAATAAAGAAAAGCGGGTGGATTGGACTTCAGCATAAATTTCGGAGTCCAATACTGTGATGAGGATGGTTCACAGAGTGAGTTGAGCACATACAGACCGAATCGGAGTAGCACTAGTTCAGAGGCGGTACCATTCTGAAAGAAAGAGACGATATTAGTCAGGACGCAGTGATCCAAGACATCTCCCAAGGATAGTAAGGTTTGATATTCGCATGATGACGGTGTTAAAATGAGTGGGTAATCTTGAGCTAAGGTCTGCAAAAGAAAACCAATTAGTTTAATTTAAGTTAGAGAATTTGCTTTACCTTATGATAACAACAGGATTTTATGAATTGTGAGATATTTTCCATGTAAGTACCAACTAATTCGCTGTTATTTAGGGATATAGTATCAGTTAATACTAATACTAGTAATGTCTCTTTCTTGTCGTCTTTCTTTCTAAAAGCACATAGATTTCCCAAATTATACAAGACAGGAATAGTTGCCATAGATTGATTTTTGTTTTGAACACACGATAAAAATAATTGTCGCACCACTTCATAAGGCCATATGATAGATAACTAAACAAATATATCAATTGACCTATCAACATGTCCAGTGTGTAAAACCTTACTATAATCAATCTTTTTGTGATCTCTTCTGGAACCGACGCATCCAATTCAAAGGAGGTAATTTGATTTGTAACCCTAACAATTTCCTGATCGAACGGAATATTCCAAAACGAGGTTGAACCAAGAGTAGGTAATCGGATATCATCGTTTTCATTTCTTTTTGAATATGTTAGGGTATTTCAACCATGTAAAAATATCATGTTTTTTACCTAGATTCAAATACATGATCTCTGAAAAGCAATAATTCATGGTTTGTCGACACATAATTAAGACAAGTTTCCATCAACAGAGTAAGATCCTATATAAGAAAATTAGTAATCAAAATTGTGTGTGAGCAGAAAAGAGGTGTACTTTGATCATTTCCATTGACGTAGCATTATCCGTTAAATTATAATGCCTCACATGTTTCTTTATATGTTGGTATAAGAAAGGCATCAAATTTTCTTGTACTATCAATCTTGCAAACCCATTTATAAAATCAGCATCTTCTAATTCGCTTTTTTTTTTTTTGAAAGATGGTTAGATATGTCCTTCGGGTCAGGCATGTATGTATTACCTTATCCATAAGTCTAAGAATTGAGTAACTAATTTCAAAATAGACTTCCAAAACATGCCTCGGGTACGTATTATATATATGCACTTTAGTTTTACCCCGCACATTGTACGCTCTTCATATTTTTGTTTAATCACTTGCTCAAGTCTATCAAAAGCACTGTCTTCATCACTCGGTATGGGATGAGCTTTGTCTCGCTGATTTGGTAAACCCCCAAGACAGATATACTCTTCCATCACTCTAAATATATGCTCATGGTCATTATCCTCCTGATCTTTTTCAGATAGATCTAAATATTCTCTCAATGTTTTTTGCATCCTATAAAGATGGAAGTATCAATACATATGTACTTGGAAAAAGGTGAGAAACTCAATATTGGGTTACCCAGTTGGCTTATATGAAACCATTTTCTTTTGAATCTCACAAGATGATAGACGAAATTCCTCGTGTTCGAAATGAAGAGGGAAATCATTTAATATCTCGGTACTATCCAGGTAAAAATATTTTTCCTTTGCCAGTTCTACAACTGCATAAACTGCCTCCTTGTTACACAATAATCCACCAACCCTGATCAGTTTAAATAAACTGTCAAATAATCTTCGCAACCGAATTTCTACACCGTTACTTGGCTGCTGATCATAATTCTCGAATGCGATCATGATGCAATCGTAATACTCCTGTATTAATTCAGTAAACAGACTATCTGGTGCTGGGTAGGATGATATCATAGCAAGCCATGCATCCATCTTTGCATGAAACTCTCTATCTTCCAAGTCTAACGATAAAGGAATAAATAACTTGATAAGTTCGGGTACTTGTTGTGTTCTTTCCCCGTACAACTCGAATAGGATTTTGATTGCAGACTTTAAATAACCATAAAAATATTAAGTCTTCATTCTATCAATACACGCTAGAATCGTACCTCAGCATCACACTTCCAAAGTTCTCTTTTAGTGTATCCGTATAGTTGGTATCGATGCACAATAGCCAGGTAATGACTTTCAGTTACGCCATTTCCAAACCTTGGGACGTCAAAATCCGTTTCATAATCTGCATATTTGAAGTTAATATCACATCTAGATCCGTACTTTCTCTCTCTCTCTCTACCTTCTCGCTTTATATGGGCATGAAAGACAATATTATGTAACGCCTCCAGGGATTCTTCCGTTTGGTTGAGATAGGTTATTGTCTGATCAAAGGCAACCCAAAAATTTTCTGGGGTGTAACTGCTTCAAATATGAACACCTCTCTTTCTATCTTCATTTTTTTGTTTACCTATTTGGGTATTTCGACTCGGATTCCAAATAGCCGTTCAATTCAACCTGCCATGACCAAAAACATAAATGTGTGTACCAGTCAAAAATTTACCCTAACTTACTTTAAACCTGTGCTCCATGTGTGTCATTGTTGTCTCAATCATGAATATGAAATGGAGAAACGAAAAAAAGAATAAAAAGGCTGTGACGGCTTAAGGTTAAGCTTTATACCACGCTTATTTTCGTTAATCTCTTTTCTTAAAAAAAAACAGAATCACACACACTATGAATAGTTCAAACGAAGCCCTTGTTATGCATTTTGTCCAAGAAAATTTGGACACGATTCCCTTCAAAACTTTACGTCGCGATGAAGAAAAGATAGGCTTTCAAGAGCAATCAGACCAAATGAAAAAGATATTACAAGACGATCCCGCCTTATTTCTGAGTAAATGGGGGCGTTATTTACCCCACAGCGTGTTAAGTCAATTCCAAAGCATCAAAGATAATTATGAAGTGGATTTTTATCTCAAGAGTTTGCTTTATGAGGATGAAGAGGAAGTCTCGACACGCCCAGCCAAGTCAGCTTTACGCACGCTTGTTCAAAATAGACGTTATGAATATTTGAAACGACACTTAAAAGACTCGGATTATTTCTCAGACGAATCTATCCAATTACGGGATCCAGCTTTATACGACCAGTATATTGGTCAGCATATATCTGCTCAAGAAAAAGAAGAACCGTTTGCAGATGATATGACCCTTGTGAATCGAATCTTAAGTAATATCGATCGAAAATTCGTAGACGATCATTTACATCGTCAAAAGATTGTGGATGAAGAACAAATGGAGGAGGAAGAGGAGAGTGAGAGTGAGGATGAGATACTGGAAAAATCTACACCCACAGTGATTACAAAAAAGAAGACGAAAGATGTTAATATGACGGATTCTGACTTACCCAAAGACGATGTATTAGATTCTGATGAAGACAATATGGAAGAAATAGATGAAAATGATACGGAAGAAATCATGAAATTCAGGGAAGAACAACGATTAGAGCTAATTCGACTGCTTGAAGAAAAGTTTTTAGCGGGAAAAGATGTGAGTAGTATGATGAATATAAAGGCATTTAGATGGAAAGACTGACCATTGCGAAAATAGGATTTCGACTATGACCAGGTGGATTACAATGAGGTACGGGGAAGAAGTTTTCTTAATTGGATATCTTGTACATATATATTGACACTACTCTCAAATAGGAATATGATGATCTCGAACAGTTGGAACGGGATATCCAAGATCGATACTTTGACGAAGATTAAGATGTGGTTTTTTCATCAAGAGCTTTTTATCTTATTGCTTCTTTTTATTTCAATTAGTACTTTTTACTTAAAAGTGCCAGTAATAATGTAAAACAATTTAACTAAAGTGAATAAGCGTTTAAATTAAATAGGAACTACGTAAATCCAGAATCTAGTGTCGTCAGACAAGTACTTTTTATCTTTTGTAAGCTGACTGTAAATCCAATTGACACCGTTCTTGTAATCCGTGATATCTTGAGTGTAAGGGTTACTGAGACCAGATTCACCGTTACGATGACCAGCAAACCATTTATCAGGACCATAAAACTTTTGAGATTCCTGTCTAGCCTTAATATCTTGAGCAAGATTCTTGTTTAAGACGGCACCCTGGTTAGAGTCATCCTTGCTGTATTGTTTGAATTGCGAAGAGGAAGTACGGAGCATGAGCCAGTTTTGCTTGAAAATACCAAAGTTGGCTGAGTCACCAGTCTTGCCATCACCATAAACATAGTCAGTATTCAAGTCAGTGGTTTCAAGCATAGCAATAGCAAGATCATAGACACCACCACCATTGTTCAAAATTTCCTGCTTTCTTTTACCCAAGCCTTGGATAGTTTCGGTACCGGTTTTAGAGGCAGCAGATACACACGAAATGACAAAAAGAAAAAGGAAAGCACTGATTATTCTGGCTTGAATCATTGTTGATATTTTTAATAAGTAATATCACAGGCAAAATGTTGGTACTTTATATAGGCTTTAACCAGGTAGCGTATAACGTCAGTAGCATGCATGTCAAGGTTTTGTCCCACCTTACAATGGATTATGTAAACAATTTATTGCTATTTTTACATTGCATAGTATGCTGTGCCTATCTAAATTATTGCGGTATAAATTATTGTAACACCTTAACATTTTTAAAAAATGGGCGGGGGATCGGCTTGCATTTATTCCATCTCAATCTCAATTACATTGTGCATATTAAAAAGCTGTCTCATTGATAGCCCACGATAGGCAACAGCTTTTTTCTCAGCCAGTATATACATACACAGGTAAGCTTCCTCTATTGTTAGACCTTTTTGTATCATCTGACGTTAAAGATTCGAAATTTGTCTCATAAAAATGCCTAGGTATTTATGAGATTAATTATCATTTACAAAATTAATACTTTTTTACATGGCATCTTAATTTGCTCTCATATTGATGTATTAATCTTAACAGCTTAAAAAGTAACTGCCATGCATGATAATATTATTTGTCTCCCGACTGTTCCAAATAACGTTACCCAAATTTATAAAAAAAATTTGTACATATAGTAGCAAATCCCGATCGGTTTAGGCTGCATTACCAATTAATACTCTATCATAAGAGGATCTTTGTATCTAAAAAATGGTAATTTGTAATTGCGGTAGTAGCTACTAGAACGTCAACTAAAAAGAAGGTCTTCAAAGTCCACTTGAAGCTCAATAATATCAATATCAGAGCAATTGACACCAAGTCTTAAAGTAAATGGGATCAGCAAAACGTCTGCACTGATTCCTTTGAACTGTTTTTAATTCAACTTTATAGTTTCTACAATAGACAATATGCCAGAAAAAATATTTAACTTGATTGCTTATAGCTGTCTTGGCATTCCGCGAGTAATATTTAAATTAAAGATTGATCTCACAGCTATGCTTCTTCTTCTTTTAAAGTTACTATCGATCTACCTGTTTTGCATGGAGAACAAAATTAAAAATAAACCAAAAGTGATACTGTTAGAACTTGGATGCCACTTCATTATGGACGAAAAAAATATATTCTAATGTATTGATGGTCTATGAGAAAAAACTATGGATATTTATATAAAGAACTGGGATAGTTCTAGAAAGAATATTAAGCGTCTTATTGGATCATGATGTAATAATCTGGTGATAGTAAATAATCAATATGTCTTTAAATTTAGCCCTTCCATGCTGAGTATATAAGTATTAGTCAGAGGGATCAACAGTTATAACATCAAATGATAAGAGTAATATTTGTGCTCAGGATCTACAGTTTTTTATCATAAACTGTAAAAAATATGAGCTAAATGTTCTGTACAAGATTTCTATATATAAAAAAAAAAAAAAAAAAGAGGGAGTTCCCATTCCCAGTGGCAATGTACTTCAATGATTCTCCAACGTGCTATCTCACAGCCGAACCAGTGCTCTAGGTTTTCCCTGCTGTATTGCTACCCTCGGGCGATACCCCAGTATTGAACAACCTCCGAATTTATGCCTACGCTTAAACTCGAATGTTGACACCAGACTCTCTAAGACACTGTTTTCGACAAATTCACAAAGTACACTGTTAATTCCACCGAAGAATGAATTCATCTCTTCGAAGACCGCAACTTTGCGTACAGAAAGGCGTGAAACTTTCCGGTCAATTACTTTATAAAATTTTTTTCTTAATACCGCAACAAAAATTGTACGGAGCTCAACTTGTGGTTACAATTATTTTCTTTCAATTTTTTTTTTAATATTTTGTAGGGCCATAAAACTCATGAATACACTCAAGGTTTTACGTGGTTTTGAATAAACACCTGTATTTGCTAGTATACAATTACATTCACTAAATCATTATCCATTTGTGCCTTTTTTTTTTTTTTTTTTTTTTTTTTGAAGAAATAAACACAAACAGCCATTCCAACATTATTTATAGCAATAGGTTTGTGAACAATAGATTTACAGCCTATTCAGCTTTGGACAATAATACGCATGAAAGGAACGAATTGGTTCCTTATGGAGGCCGCTTCAACTTTGAAATATGATCTTCATTGTTAATTTTTAGTTGATAAAAATCTCTGATGTGTGGTGGATTGTTCCATATATGAGATTGGTATTTTAAAACAAAATCATTTTTTTTTCTACAAATCAAATGATAAAACACAAGGTTTATTTTTTCTTTGATATTTTAGTTAATATTTCCGTGTAGTTTGAATAAGAACAAGGTCATGTACGGTAGTAAGGAAAAATAATCTCTGATCGAACATCAGCTACATCTTAAAAAGTACCGTAGTAGTTGCATACTGTAGCTGTTATGTCTTTTTATGCCTAGTATCTTCATTCATAGCGTGTATTTATCTCTTAACAACAGTTAATAATTTAAGTAACTGTTAATCATCTTACACGTGCTATAAGATGACGCAGTGACACAACCTCTTGGATTAGATCTTAGATATTACCACACACATCATAGACGTTGTAATATGTTGGCATCACGTCCTAAGATTAATTACCACTTATATTTAGTTCAATACAATAAATGTTGCGACAGACCAAAATCTGTATTCCACACACCCTTTTCAATAAGTTAATTTAACTGACGGAAGAGCACAAGAGAATCTGTAATTCCGCTTGACATTTTTAAAAGGATATAATTGTATTTTCTTAATTTTGAACAAAAACTTAAGGCAAGTTTTTTTAATACACTTGTTTTTTACATTGTGCTTCTTTGGATGACTATGAAAAGTGTAAAGTAAAAAAAAAAAAAAAAAAATGCACAACGCAGGTAATCGTCTGAAATACATTGTGCAATAGAAAAAGTTATTTCTTTTATTCCCATTTCAATTTATCATTTATCAACTTGTAATCTGGAATCCCGCAAGGAGGAGGGAGAGGCAAAACGACTAGTATTGAAGTGATATGATATCCGTTAACTACATGTATATGCAAAAGCGTTTTTCTCATGGCAGTAACAAAACTAGCACTTAATACAGCAACTCTGTAAGAATACTTCTTAATGGCTTAATAAATGCATGCAAACAAATTGATAAGTAAAGTAATAACATATTTATAATTAATTACAATAAATCGATTAAAATGATATCAGTTAAATGGGAACAACGTAAATCCAAAATCTTGTGTCATCAGACAAATACTTTGAATCCTTCACAAGTTGATCATGAATCCAGTTGACACCATCCTTGTAATCCGTGATGTCTTGAGTGTAAGGGTTACTGAGACCAGACTCACCGTTACGATGACCAGCAAACCATTTATCGGGACCATAAAAGTTTTGTGACTCCTGTCTAGCCTTGATATCTTGAGCAAGATTACTGTTCAAGACGGCACCCAAATTAGAGTTATCCTTGTTAGAGTTCTTGAATTGAGAAGTGGAGGTACGAAGCATAAACCAGTTTTGTTTGAAGATACCATAATTGGCAGAATCACCTGTTTTACCATCGCCATATACATAATCCGTACCTAGATTGGTGGTTTCAAGCATCGCAATAGCAATATCATAAACGCCGCCTCCATTGTTTAAAATTTCTTGCTTTCTTTTACCCAAGCCTTGGATAGTTTCAGTACCTGTTCTGGAGGCAGCCGATACACATGAGATCATAAAAAGACAGAGGAAAGCGCTAATTATTCTGGTTTGAATCATAATTGTCTTTTTTAGAGCAACATTACAAGAAGAAATGAGGCCACTTTATATAAGCCCTTTTCATTTTTGTACTGATGACGACTGTACAACATCGGCAACATAAAATGTCAACTTTCTGTTTCATAAGTCATAACATTGGATTATGTAAACATTTGATTGCCTTTTTTGACACTGCCGATACACGAAATTATTTGTATTAATTATTGTGACACCTGGGAAAGTATAGTTTTTTTTAAAAAAAAGAATCGGCTCGCACTATTTAATTTTAATCACATTCAACTTGTGTATCCTAAATGAGCGCGTGTGTGGACGATACAAACTTGTTTTATTTAGCTTGTGTTAACTGATGTTGAAGATAATAAGGAAGTGACTTGGGCACATTTTAGATTAAGTAATTTTTACCAAATCTACATTTCTTGTACAGCTTATGATTTTAGATTGAAAAAAAAAAGGTAAGATTGCCATCATACTGCATGTATTACCTTAATATCGCAATAAGCTTGATAGCCAACCCCCCCCCCCCCTTAAATATATACAGCAGTAACATATAAATTTACGACCTCTTAGATTACACTATATTCTTTAAGGCATTTTATTAAATTTTTTCACAAGAACCAGCAGATCTTATATACAGACTACATTACGAATTAGTAAATTCATGAACCGGGACTAACCACAATTCTTAAGATAACCGATAGAGCGTAGTACTTTTGTATTTAAGACCATCATTTATACTATACTTTCCAACTGATAACATTAAAAAATAATATGTGATATGCTTTAATTTTTTAAAAAATTTAGAGCGTCCTTCTTACAGGAGAAAAAGTAAGGCATCGACCACACCAGGGTCCGTGGACAGTGAATCCGTGACATGATAGACGGGCAAGCAAGACAAAAATAAAATATAATGATAAAATGCTTAATTTATTATAAAGTGAAAAACTATGTAAATTAAATGGGAACGACGTAGATCCAGAATCTGGTGTCATCAGATAAATACTTTTTATCTTTAATAAGCTGACTATGAATCCAATTCACACCATTCTTATAATCCGTAATGTCTTCAGTGTAAGGGTTACTGAGACCAGATTCACCGTTACGATGACCAGCAAACCATTTATCAGGACCATAAAACTTTTGAGATTCCTGTCTAGCCTTGATATCTTGAGCAAGATGCTTATTCAAGACAGAACCCAAGTTGGAGTTGTTCTTGTTGTACTTTTTAAATTGAGAGGTAGAGGTACGGAGCATAAACCAATTTTGCTTAAAGATACCAAAGTTGGCAGAATCACCGGTCTTGCCGTCACCATAAACATAATCCGTACCCAGGTTGGTGGTTTCAAGCATAGCAATAGCAATATCATATACACCACCACCACTATTTAAAATTTGTTGCTTTCTTTTTCCCAAGCCCTTGATGGTTTCAGTACCTGTTCTAGAGGCAGCTGATACACAGGAGATCACAAAAAGGAAGAGAAAAGTGACAAATAATTTAGTTTGAATCATTTTACTGTTTATTGAAGTGGCAGAAGGAATACCAAAAATGAAGGCACTTTTTATATAAAAAAAAAAAACTTCCATCTAATTTTTATTTTCATTGAGAATGACAGTTACACAACGCAAACAACGTGCATGTCAACGTTTTGTTTCAATAATAAACATTGGTGATTATGCAAACAACCGAAATTTACTATTTTTAACACCGCATTGTCGTATGCGGGCTGCCTAAATTACTGTTATTATTTTTATATTAATTATTGTGACACCTGAAAAGTAGGAACGGGCATATCTATTCAACTCAATCCATGATGGATGTGTATGTTCTTGGAATAAACATATCGAGATAAATGATGAGCACTCTTAGTTTATGTATGCAACCTCACAGACATGTTTTCCCTTTAACCTGTGAAAACAGCCTTCGCTTTAAATTTGATGGGTGTGAAGATCATAGGGTAAAACTTTCAATAAAAATTAAAGGTAAAAGACATGTGACATTTATTTATCATTTAATAAATGGCCTATTGCATTAACGTATTTACCGTATCGACACAAAAGAGGAAATTGACATACGTAAGACCGTGATTTGGCGATCCTACCGAATGTATTACCCGATTTTTTTTTTTTTTTTTTTTTTTTTTTTTACTTTTTTTCGTAAAACATGAGAACCAAGAAAAAAAAAGTTATGAGTTCTAGATTTCAATAAAAGTACTTGACCTAATGTAGCAATAACCCGTTCAAAACAATTAACATCCGGCTGGTAACAGAGTGTGGGATGATACATGATTCTAGATAGTTCATCGTGAACTAGGCTATTTTCGTAGTGTAAGATACTACACTCTTTTATATGCTCCTACAGATTCTTTATTCAGCCTGTACGCATCTAAATGTCCATTGCATGTAAGCACTTATCTATGTCATATCACGGATCCAGTTTAAGATAACCCGGGTGTTATTTATCAAATTGAAGTATGACATTCAATTGAGATAGGTCTTGGATTTGTCAATGTCAAGATAAGGGTCTGCCAAATTCACTGCAGCTTTGAGAAAACGTGATATTAAATCCAGTGACGTTACTAATGGCAACTTTAAGTGAAAAGAAGTAACGTAAAATAAAGATAAATACATAGCAACATAAAAAGTTCTTTATACATGAGCACCAGACTATAAGCTATCAACTAAGAAATATAACATGTGGGGATATAGATTATAGTACACATGCCGCTGGAAAAAGTCTATTTTAGTGCTGATTTCCAGAAAGGATTTCGGTAAAGAACAAAACAAATGATTTTATTAAAAGAAGCCAAAATAATAGTAGTAAAGGTTTCTGAGGTCAAAGAGACCAACCAAGAGGGCTGCTGTAAAAAAGTGAGTTCTGTCTTTGAGAATGCTGCTGTAGTTGTTGAAGGTGTTCTGGTGACGTGTAGAACACATCAACGCCACTCGCAAAAAAAAAAAGGGAGACCACACTTTAGCAAAAGTTAATCCAGTCTTGATGTTTGCTCAGGCCCATTTTGACGAATAATTTCATCAAGACAATTCATACTGGTTCTTATACAGTTTGGTATACTTTCACTGGCGGTAAAATCCAGTTGTTCACGCAACAGATTTAATCGACTGGCTTAACCAAGGAGAGTAGTGACCTTTATGGACAACGTTAATTCTATTATGAGATCCCAACCCAGGAAGAAAAATAAAAATAAAAATACAATCAATAAAAAACGCGCTTTCTGCATATAAATTAACTGCTTACATTATTCATGTTTTGTACAAGTCGATAATCGGGCCAAAGCACAATCTGTTAAATTGGGAGCCACAGCAATCATGACAGCCAACAAAAAAAAAAAAGAAGGAGCTGGACTTGAATCTTGAACATTCCAAAGCGAGTTCTTTATACAAAATTGTAAATAGACCGGGAAGCCTTTTTTTTTTTTTGAACAGATACAACAGTGAAGTCATCTCCGGTTTGGATTTGAATGCTGGAGCTTTAAATGAATCGGCCAAAAAATAAATAAATGAATAACAGAGTGTACTCATAAGGTGAAAAAGCAAAAACGCTCATCATAAACAAAACGTTGGAAGTGTCATGTTTAGTATGGACCGAGAGAGTGTTTATATCAGTATTAATTATTTTGGCTCTTGTTAAAGATGTAACACAGAGTAACTATAGTTGTCCTTTTCTTCTAAAAAAAGACTGATTTATTTACCGATATCTGTTTAGTGTGTGGAATTTCCAGGTAGAAGCTTATAGAACTGCGTAAAAATTAAGGGAGTTGTACTTAAATGGGAGCCCTTTTTTTTATTATCCAGTACATGATGTGATGATACAATGGAGGAATTTCCAACCGCCTAAAATCTGTGCTAAAGCTAAAAAGACCTTTGTAACACTGTCAAAAAAGAAGGGGTTATGCATTTGACTGAAGAATGAATTTTTTTTTTTTAGACAACAATAAATGTTTTTTTTCCAAATAAAGAATGAGATGAAATACGCACCAATTCAAGCCACGTTCTGAAGCCTACACAAAAGTTATTCTTGGCTGAAAAGAAAACCGCACAGGTAATAATTATCCATTGTCGCACAGGATGATGATACAATGGGCGATTTTAAATAAAATCTCTTTTTTTTTTTTCGATCTAATTGTTGACTTTAAATCTTTTTAATGGGCAAAGCCCCACAGGGAAAAAAAGTAGAGAGAGAGAGAGAGAGAGAGAAAGAGATATTTTCATGACAAGCCACATGGGGGATATAAGAGAAAAGAAGAGGTGCTATAAATATCGTAGATCCTACCCCCCAAAATAGAGATGAGGGAAATAAGACGTCAGAAAAGAAGTGTAAAAAAAAAAGATGAGCCTTATATTCTAGGGGGGGGAAGTGGCTCCGCTCTTGGGCAAATAATAAAAAGGGCACCTCTCCCCCCCCCCCCCCCTTTTGAGTTGTTGTTTGCTGGTTTCCCTCTTTTTTTTTTTTATTGTAAATATATTTTAAAACAGCAGATGAATATTGTAGCACCACGTCCACAAAAACCCTCTTTTTATTACTCCATGCATCAAGAAGATGAAGCATGTCAAGAACTACGACAAATTCTTGCTTCTCATCCACACATGATGGAAGATTTCACCATTATTCGCACCAATAATCCATTACCTCATGAACAGGCTGTCTCCCAAGTCAAGCGACCCAGATCCTTTAGTGTTGGCGACGCAAGAAACTATCCCATGAACCTTGTTCATTAACTTCTTTTCTGTATATATTGTACATAACATTTCTTTTTTTTATACAGCACATATTCATTTATACATATATATATATATAAAAATAAAAACAACTGTTTATATCATCCCCCTTTTTATAACAAAAATTATTATTATTTTTTTTTTTTTTTTTATTCTTTCAAAAAAACAATTATATATACAGAAAATAAAAAAAATGGTCTAAATTTAGATTTTAGCATCAACGTATTCACTCCAAGCCTTAACCTCATCGGGAATTTCAGAAGCAGTATGAGGACGATCGGTTCTATAACGAACACAAGAGTCCACAAAGAGTGCAGCTACCTTACTATCGTTCAAGAGAGGAATACCGAAATCAACAGCTGCACGACGACAGACATAACCTTCATCCAATTGATCGGGAGCACGAATCTTGGCTAAATGAACCACGAAATCAATATCATTGTCCTTGAAGAGTTTGTTCAACACACGTTTATCTTCAGCACAAGAGGCAATAGGTAAACACACACAAGGTACACCGTTCGCTTCCAAAAAGGTCTTGTCTTGTTGGGTAGGTACAAAGATAGGATGACCCAACTCGTTATGGAAGGTCTTGGCTACATGGATATAATCCTTCTTATCCGTCACTTCATCTCCACCAATCAATACACCTTCTCCACGTTGAGGGATACGGAAGTTTTGGGTAGATTGAATAGCGGCCCAGAAAGCTTGATACTTGTCTTTACCGAAACAAGCTACTTCTCCAGTAGAGGCCATCTCCACACCCAAGAAAGGATCAGCACCTGCAAGACGAGTCCAAGAGAATTGAGGTACCTTGATAGCTTGGTAAGGGTAATCCTTAGCCATCAAATTGACAGGTTGGGGAACTTCCTTCTTGGCAAGAGCACGGGTAGCAACATCAATAAAGTTGACACCCAGTACCTTGGAAACAAAGGGGAAAGAACGAGAAGCACGTAAGTTACATTCGATGACCTTCAAGTTAGGTTCCAATTGACCAGGAATCTCTTGCTTGATAATTTGCATATTAAAGGGACCCGTGATTTCAAACGCATGAGCGACCTTATCAGCAATTTCCTTGAGACGATCCATCGTGTTCTTGGTTAAATCACGAGGAGGCAAGATCAAACTAGCATCACCAGAGTGAACACCAGCATTTTCAACGTGCTCAGAGACAGCATGGGTCAAGACAACACCTTCACTAGCAACAGAATCAACATCAATCTCTTGTGCGTTTTCAATGAATTTAGTAATGACAACGGGGTGAAGAGGTGAGACGTTAGTAGCATCAGTCAAGTTATGACGAAGAGCCTCGGGTGTATAAGCAACGTTCATAGCAGCACCAGAAAGAACATAAGAGGGACGAACAAGAACAGGGTAACCCACATCTTGAGCAAACTCAAAAGCAGCTTCAACACTCGTTAATTCCTTCCAAGCAGGTTGATCAACACCAATCTTATCCAACATCTTACTGAATTGGAAACGATCCTCAGCGGCATCAATCATGAGAGGGGAGGTACCCAACACATTTAATTTGTTTTGATGTAACTTTAAGGCAATATTTTGAGGCAATTGTCCACCCACACTCACAACAACACCCTTAGCAGACTCTAATTCAGCAATATCCATCACACGTTCAAACGAAAGTTCTTCGAAATACAAACGATCACATTCATCGAAATCGGTAGAGACAGTTTCAGGGTTGTAGTTGACCATCACTGTCTTTTCACCCAATGCACGTAAACCACGAGAACAAGAGACAGCACACCAATCGAATTCGACAGAAGAACCAATACGATAAACACCAGAACCCAAAACCATGGTGCCTTGATCATCAAAGGTGACATCGTTCGTGGAAGCGTTGTAGGTGGTATACAAGTAATTGGTTTGAGCAGGGAATTCAGCAGCAACAGTATCAATACGCTTGACATTGGGAATAATACCCAAGGACTTACGCATAGCACGTACTTGTAATTCTTGAGATCCAATCAAGGAAGCAATCTTGCTATCAGAGAAACCAGACTTCTTGGCATTCTTGATCAAATCGGTAGGTAAATCTTCCAAGGGAACACCAGCTTGATCGATCAAACCCAATTGAATATCAGCAATCTTTTTCAACTTGTAAAGGAACCACTTATCAATGTTGGTTAATTTGTTTAAATGTTCAACCGTGTATTTTTCACGGATAGCTTGATCCTTGTTCAACATCACTTGACCTAAAGCAAACAAACGTTGATCGGTAGGGTCACGCAAGACATCATCCACATCTTCAAACTCTTGGGGGAGACAATCAAAGCCCTGGAATCCAGGATCGACTTGACGAATCGCCTTTTGTAAACTCTCTTCAAAGGTACGACCCACAGCCATGACTTCACCAACCGATTTCATGGCAGAACCAATGTGACGATCGACGTATTGAAACTTGGCAAGATCCCAACGAGGAATCTTGGTGACGACATAATCAAGCGAAGGTTCGAAACAAGCGGTCGTGGTTTTAGTGACGGCATTTTGAAGACTGGGTAAAGTATGACCGAGACCAATCTTGGCAGCAATAAAGGCAAGAGGGTAACCGGTAGCCTTGGAAGCAAGAGCAGAAGAACGAGAGAGACGAGCATTGACTTCAATAACCTTGTATTCTAAACTTCTAGGGTTTAACGCATATTGAACGTTACACTCACCCACGACACCCAAGTGACGAATGATTTTAATGGCAGCAGTACGAAGCATATGGTATTCTTCATCAGATAATGTTTGAGAGGGAGCAACCACAATGGATTCACCAGTATGAACACCAAGAGGATCAAAGTTCTCCATGTTACAGATAGTAATACAGTTATTAGCAGCATCACGCATGACTTCATATTCAACTTCCTTCCAACCCTTCATGGAACGCTCAACCAAGAGTTGAGGAACAAGAGCCAATGATTTGGTGGCCAATGTACGTAACTGAGTTTCGTTATCTGCAAAACCTGAACCAAGACCACCTAAAGCAAAAGCACAACGAACAATGACTGGATAACCAATCACAGCAGCGGCCTTTAAAGCTTCATCTACACTATCCACAGCTGTGGATTGAGCGACGGGAATATCGATTTCTATAAAAGGCAAGTTCAGTATTCGGTCGGAGATGCGTCTATATTAAAAAAAAAAAATTTTTTTTTCTCTTTTTTTTTAGCGTACCGTTTAAAGCTTTGACGAACAAATCACGATCCTCAGAGGTGATGAGGGTTTGGATAGGTGTACCGAGGACTTTAATGTTTAATCTCTTGAGAATACCTGAACGATCTAATTCGATACCACAATTTAAAGCGGTTTGACCACCAAAGGTCAAGAGAATACCGTCTGGACGCTCACGTTCTAAAATGTTGGAGACATATTCACAAGTGACAGGCAAGAAATAGACTTTATCTGCTAATGTGTGAGAGGTTTGGATAGTGGCGATGTTGGGGTTAACCAAGATAGTTTGAATGCCAGATTCTTTTAACGCCTTGATTGCTTGGGAACCTATTTTATTTATTTTAGATTAGCCTTTTTTTGACACATGTCAAAAAAAAAAAAAAAAAAGTTACCAGAGTAATCGAATTCACCAGCTTGACCGATAGAAAGACCACCGGATCCAACGATGAGAACCTTTTTGACGTCAACAAGAGGAACATGAGCCAAGATTTCTTCAGAGACCTTGACAGCAGAACCACCACGAGAGGAAGTTGCTGGGGGAGCGGTAAGACCAAATGATGTAGCCATTGTTTATATGTAAAGTATGATTATTATTAAAAAGATGTGTTGTTACTTGATTAAGATGTTGTCGATATATGTTTTATCAAATGCCAAAAGACCGGAAGTAATTAAATTGAACGCAATATTCATATAATTATGAAGGGTGAAAGCTGTTGTTGTATTTTTTTTTTTCTTAGAAAAAAAAAAAAAGATGTTTTTTAAAAATTTTGTGGAAAAAGAAGAAACATTTTTTTGGGTTTTTTGGGAGGCTCATATTTTATAGTCCTTGTCCCCGTGACTTAAATCCTAGGGTGAGTCATTGTCACTACTGGCCCGACTTTTAGGCGGAGATGGGGTATAACTACTAAAATTAAAACCTAACAAAAAAATCTTCTATTTCCTTCAAAAAAAAAGATGAGATGTGTGACAGATATTTGACAACCCTTTTTAAAAGAGAGACAACACATCTCCTTTTTCATACTAAAGGGAGTTATATTAAATAGGGATGAAACACGAAAGCACACCTTAACAACTTTTTCACTTGTTTTAATGATTCGACCAACCAAAAAAAGGGGGGAAGGGAAGGGGGGGTTCTTTTTAAAAGTCAGTTCTCTCACTATAAAGGGGTTGGGGGGGGGGGGGGGGAGGGGGACTTTGGGTGTAGAGAGAGTAAATGAAAGCATGCCGTCATGTCACAAAAAAAAGTGTAAATCGCGAGGTGTGTAACTGTGTTATATATCTTTTTTTTTATTTTTTTTTTTTTCTTATTGTTTCCTTTCTCTCTCTCTTTTAAAAAAAAATAATTTTTTTTTATGTGGAAGGAAAATGGATTTTATATCGAATATTGGGAATAAGCGGAATAGTAGAAAGACCAATAGTCGACGACCTTATACCAGAAGAACTTCAATTTCCTCCGTCACCAGTGTCAATGCTCCCACCAAGAAAGAAAAGACATTATATTCTTTAAATAAACATGAAGTCTTTCCCAATTACAAACCACAACAAGACATGGCTGGTAATTCTCATTTGAAACACTTCTTTTTTTTTTTCTTATCTCTCATCTCTTTTTCCTTTTCTTATAAATAAAACAGCAGAGCAGAGCTTGTCTAAACCAGACAAGTTATGGATCAATACAGACCAGTATCAATCCAGTAGTGCAGAAGAAGAAGACTTATTTTCAGAAGTCGCAGTAAGTTTTCTTTTTCTTTTTCTCTCTCTCTCTTTTGTTAATAAAGTTTTTTAATTTTGTAGAGGCAGTTGGATTTAAGCGCTGAACAATTAGCCAGTCTATCCGACGAACATTCACCTCTGACCCCAAGAGTTGTTTCAAAGAAATCCAGTCAATCCAAATTAAAATCAACTATTAAACCCACCAAGAAATCAGCACCTCCCAATTACGTAAAGATGCTTTATAAACAAAAACAAAAAGGCATTACTTATGAGTTGATCCTGGAATTATCTTACTACATCCGCACATCAGACAGGTACTACAAGAAAAAAAAAAGAGTAAAGATTCATGAAACATGCATTTATTTTTATATAGCTGGCTAGAACGTTTCATCGAGGACGGTGGTATGCAGAAAATAGCAAAAGATCTAGGTATCATCCACAAGAAACCCAACAGGTAAAATTAAAAATAAACATCCCCCACATATACAGAGAGTCTTATGCTTATGACAATCCGAGAATTTAGAACACAAAACGATTATAAAATAGAATTAGAAATATTAAAATGTTTAAACACCTTGATGAATCAAAAGGTAACAAACCCAAAAAAAAAAAACCTGTATATATATAAACTCACTTTTTTTTTTTGTTTTACCTTTTCTCCTTGTAGTCTGGTTTACAAGAAGCATTTAAACACTCACGCATCATAGACAACTTTTGTATTTCACTTATATCCCCTTATATACCCGCAAGAACGCAAGCGTGTGAATCGCTCACTGCCTTTTGTTTTTTACCAAACGGACGATCCATGGTGTTACACGGCATGGAACTCTTAAAGGGCGCAATGTTTCTGGGAAGGTTCGATGCATGGATGCAAGCCTTGGAAAAGACATTGGACGGTCGTGGCAAGATGGGATCGGCTGTGGGGGCGAGTGAAGATCTCAAAATGACAGGCATGGTAGGCTCCGGTGATTCTCAAATTACTCAGTACATGTTTATCAGTGTCCTCTTCATCAACACACTCGTCAGACCCGATATCGTAGAAGATCGAAAGGAACGCATCCTCTTGAGTGAGGAATTAGAGGCCGCAGGTATTCATACCATCTTTGAAAAAATGGCCCATTTACATCATGAACATATCAATTTGGCCATTCAGAAATTTAAAGATGAGATTGACGCAGATACAATGCAAGAGGATATGGAAGCCTATTACACCATGGATCCATTGCATTTATTTCAAATCTTGATGACAGCTACACAAAATACTCCCGCCTCACAGAGTTTACACAACATTCTTTGTTATTTGCTTAAAATTCAAGACAATCCCGAAAAGAGGTAATCAATCTCATTTTTTTTTTTTTTTTTCAATTCGAATAAATCTGACCCCCCCCCTTTTTCTTAGCAACTATCAGTGTCAGCTGATTGAAATGTTGGTCCAGCAGGTAGCCATGGATCAAAATATCGCTTATCCGGACGACATTTCCAATGTGAGTGAATTTACTGTACAAACCTTAATACCTAAATTCTCAACTGACGAAGACGAAAGCAAAAAGAAGGCTTATCTCGGTATATATATATATACATTTTTTATTATATCTTGTATATACTTATCACCTTTTTTTTTTTTTAAAAAAAACAGACGGGTCGGATGACATAATCGGGTCGTTGGAGGCAAAGATAGAATACCTGGAAAAAGACCTCAGTTTATCAAAACAGACAAATGCCATGTTAAAGATCTTTTTTAAGAGCACAGAAGAACGTTACAAGACTGAATTAATCGAGACAGAAACAAAGATGCGTAAGCTTCATGACTCCGTACGTAATCTTACAGAATATGGTAATCCGTCACCCAAGCGTCGTAGTTTTCGAACTCCTCCCATCCTCCCCAACACAACATCCACATCAGCTGCATCCGCTGCAACAACAACAGCAACGACAACAGCAACACATACAGCAACACATACAGCAGCAGCAAAAGGACTTGGTGCACCATCATCCTCTACAATGCGAAAGAGTGATTTACGTAGTTCTTGGACAGCACCTGTAGTAGTCACTACACCACCTACCGTCCTACCTTCACCTAAATCAGCACCTGTCAATGATCCCACTGTTCAAAAGAGTCCAGCACCACCTTTACAACCACAACATGCACCTGGTAATGGCATTCGACAATCCTTACGATCAAAAATTGGAAGTTTTGTACGACGTTCAAGCAATGACACATTAAACAATCCTAATTTACCGCCCAAAACAAAATCACGAGGGAGTTCCATGGATTCCAATTCATCTTTAGGTTCATCCTCATTGAAAAGGGTATCCACACCCACCAGTAGTAGTACTAAGAACTCAACGGGGACAGCGAGATCACAATCGGTAGGGAGTGTTCATAGTTTAAAGACGTCAGTTTCGGATAAAGATGTGGTACGGTCAACGACCTCCAGTACAGTAGGTTCACAACATTCGAGAAAATCACTTCATGATGAGTTTTCGGTTTTGGAAGAAATGGTGGAAGAAGAAATCCAATTGTTACCTCAACCCGCATTACTTTCACCCCATTCTCCTTCTGTCATTCGGGATGGGTATACTGTACTTGTGGATGGTGAGTTGTTGGTGTCACCTGTACATCATGCTCTCGTGGATTATACATTTCCTCCTGAACCAGTTTCTGTTTCTCCCCTTACATATGCACCATCTGCACCATCGCCACCACCGCCACCACCACCACCACCGCCACCTCCTCCCCCTCCACCACCACCACCACCACCACCACCACCATCAAACGCATCAGCAGCAGCAGCAACAACAGCAGCCACCACAGAATCGCTACCCCCCGCCAATATTTCACCACCTGCACCACCCAACAGTAATGCGACAAACACGCCTGTATCCTCACCGCCTTTACCACCCACGTTTCTGGGTGTGACAGGACGTAAACCGAGCGCGTTTCAAGCAAAGCAAAAATTAAAGTTTGTGGAATGGGAAAAGATGAATTTTATCAATATTCAACAAACGATTTGGAACGAATTTGAACGGGATATTGAAATGTCCTTGCACAAACAACTGGAATCCACGGATTCCATCATGGAGTACCAATTGGCGAAAGCAGGGGTATTTGATGATGTGGAATTAACATTTGCACAAAAGCCCAGTGTAGCCATCAAATCCAAACCTACAAAGCAAGAGACGCATATTTTGGATACAAAGAAGGCCTACAATTTAAATATCTTTATCAAGAATATGATCAAAAAGATTCCATTTGACGATATTCGTTACTCGTTCTTGCAAATGGATGCCTATTTTTTAGACGAACAGATTATCTTGAACTTGTTAAAATATTTACCTTCCGATGATGAAAGGGCCAAATTACAAACCTATGAATTGGCTTCGTTGGAAGAAGTCGAACGTTTAGGGATCCCTGAAAAGTTTTGTCTTCAGATGATGAAGACAAAGCGTTTAAAGGAACGATTGGAATGTATGTTGTTTAAATCCACCTTTTGGGAAAGATACACTGTATTGCATAAACAAATGACGTCGGTCTACAACGCTTCTTTAGCATTAAAAGATGCCAAACATTTCAAGGAACTCTTACATGTAGGTAAAAAAAAAAAAAAAAAAGAAAGATACAAAAAAAAAAAAAGGATAGCAAATCTCTCTTTTATTAACACCTCTTTAAAAAATCATGGTAGTTGGTACTATTATTAGGCAACTTTTTAAATGGAAATACCTATCGTGGAGGAGCATTTGGCATTAAAATTGCGAGTATTAACAAGGTAAGTGGAGAGAGAGAGTGTGTGTGTGTACGTGTTTAAAAAAAGTCAATAGAATACTCATTTTTAAAGTTGTAGTTGATTGATACCAAGGGTACTTCAAAATCCACCACCTTATTACATTTCTTAGTAGACGCTGTAGAAAAGAATTTCCCAAGCACACTGACATTTTTAGAAGAACTCGATGAATGTGGACTCGCCTCCAAGGTATCCCGTAACGAGATGATGACCGAGTACAAATCCATTGAAGCGGATCTAGAGCGATTACAGACCGAGTTAAACAATCATTTCCCTTTACATGAACATGACCCGCATGATGGTTTAGCTTTACCCGGTCTTGATAAATTCGCTTCTTCCATGCATCAGTTTTTCAAAGAAGCCTCCACCGAATTTCGTCGTATATGCATGATCTCCCAAAAGATGGCTGAATGCTATGATCAAGTCGTCCGATTTTATGGCGAGGATCCCGTCAAGATGCAACCCGATGAATTCTTTGGCATATTTAAAGAATTTACCACCAGTTGGGATAAGTGTTCGGCCGATGCCAAGGAAGTCAAGATGAAGCAAGATCGTGTAGAAAAGCAAAAGAAACGTGATATCGAGCGTAGGAAACGAGCCAACAGTAACGCAGGATCTCTTAAGAAGGGTGAGAATGGACAGGATGATAAGGCCATCTTGCATATTTA